AGGCGCAATGTAGAATCTTTTCTAGATCTATGAAAGAATGAGTTAGGGTTTTTTTCTCTCTTTCTTCATCTAATATATTTATTTTTATGACAAACAAATGAAATAAGAAAAAAAAAACAATAGAAGAATATAACAACAACAAAAATTTAGAAAAATGGAAAGATAAAAATTATGAAGAATAAGAATACAAAGTCGTTAAAGAAAACAAATAATAAATTTAAAATAATTGATATGGTTTTGTGTACTAAAATAAAATAAAAAACATAATAAAATATTGAAAAATACAAAATATATGAAATTGACTGATATAGTTTATAAATAACTCATCTAAAACGTAATGAAACTTAAATGATTTTATCACATTAATTTTGTATATGTATATAAGTTTAAAAGTCAATCATCTTAAATTATATTACTTATATAATTAAATATTTGAATAAATTTCTTATTTTAAAGATGTTATGCCCGCATCAGGTGCGGGCCAACCACCTAGTTTAATATAATAGACGTAATTAAATAATTAATTAAGATTATACCCTTTTTGTCAACAAATTAGGATCATATTAAGTTACTTATTCCAGCCATTATGTCATATCCTAATCCTCGATCGGAAGGAATGTTTCCTAGTTACATATGCAGGTCATTTGAAATTGGTAATCGTGTTTATTCAAACTTACTTGAATAATACATTAATCCCTAGTTTTCTTTTGACTTACCAGAATACTCCATGATTTATAGACAAGACATAGCCACATGGGAAGTCTAGTACGAAAACGCTATGGCAGACCAGGACTTAAGTTTATTTAAACTTTAAAATCTTTAAAATTTTACTTAAATCATTTATTTTTAATCTTTAAAATTTTACTTAAAATCGTTTATTTTTGTCGGCATTATTTATATCAGAAACAATTAATTTCTCTTAATTTTAGTGAAAATAAGGCAAACATAGCCCTTGTGAATGGCGGGCCCCAAATGAAGGACAACGAATCCATGGAATCAAAACACATGTTTGAAGCTGACAACTTTCGATTTCTTTCCCATCTGTGGGTCCCATGCTGTCTTAGCTGTCATTTTTCCCAGTTTAATTTACATAAATAAAACATATTTTCCGACAAAACACTCTTTTGTTAATATTATTGGGTTTTTTGTATTGTAACAAAAATGAAAGTATTTGAAAGTAACGTAGATGATGTATCTGTAGTCGCAGTCTTAGAGAAATAGGAGAGAAATAGCTATTATAGCTGTGGTAAAAATGAAGAAGCTAAAAGTAAATTCATAAAAGCATTATATTCTTTTTTGTTGGATAAATTCGAAACAGAAAAGGAAAAACTGTGCCAACTTGGCCTTTGCCCACTGGCTCGGCCGCAATTATTCTGAGAAAAATGACGCCATTCGTGACATCATCTTCTCCCGACAACACTCTTTACGGTCCAACCAATCCCAGCATCCGCGTGGCAACATCACAACCGTTTAAATAATAATCCTCAATGATGAATTCGATATATATTTTATACCACACACGACCCAATATTTAGCCCTTTGTTTCAACACATTTCACATCCCTCTCTCTCTCTCTCTTCAAACATTTTCGTTAAGAAAAAAAAAAAGAGACAACTAAAAAACCCTAGAAACAGAAGAATCTCTTACTCGTTTTCGGATTTCTTAGTTTTCTACTTGTTGCTATAATCACTATCAAGCAAGATGATTAATTTTGAGGCGACGGAGCTGCGGTTAGGGCTTCCTGGTGGGAATCACGGAGGAGAATTGGCCGGGAAAAGTATTGGGAAAAGAGGATTTTCCGAGACCGTTGATCTCAAGCTGAATCTTTCCTCGACGGCTATGGATTCGGTTTCCGAAGTTGATATAGAGAACACGAAGGATAAGGTCGTAAAACCACCGGCCAAGTAAGAAACTTAATTTCTTTAATCTATATTTCAATTAAAATAGTTATGCGTACTTTGTGAATAGATTTAGAAAAAATAAAAAAATAGTACGAGCTGATCATGATCTAGGGGATGGATTAACACGTTGATTGTATATATTTTCTTTTATATTTCCATTTAATCAGTGTGTTAAAATAGGTTAGGGAAGTCGGGGGCGATTATGAAAATAATTCTCGCAAGATCTGTGATTTTTCATTTGTTTTCTTCGGTTTTGCTCCATGTTTTCAACATATTTACAATAGATTATTTATATTTGATGAATAAATATCCTTATAACGTTGAGTGTTTTGTTTGAAATGTTTTTGGTCGGGCAGAATTAAGAAAAATACAAAACATAAGGAATCTTGCTTTATCTACGAAAATGATTAAAGATTAAATTAATGTTTGGCAACTACAGCCACCTAACATCCGACACGTGTGAAGCAACTAGATGATCACAATTTTTTTTAATTATAAAAAATTGATTTATAAATAAAATTAAAAATAAATTATTATTACGGAATTTCAGGACACAAGTTGTAGGATGGCCACCGGTACGATCTTTCCGGAAGAACGTCATGTCCGGGCAAAAGGCGACCACTGAACTTGCCGGAGAAGGAACCGATAAGACTTCCGGAAGCAGCGTAGCCACCTCCACCGCCTCGGTTAGTGCCGCCGCAGCTTACGTGAAGGTTAGCTTGGACGGCGCACCGTACCTAAGAAAAATTGACTTGAAACTCTACAAAACTTACCAAGATCTCTCCAACGGCTTAAGCAAAATGTTTAGCTCTTTTACCATAGGTAAATAAACATAAATATGTATTTACTGATGACATAATTTTTTTGTTTTATACATTGTCAGTTGATTTATATATTTGTTGTTTTGTTTGCAGGGAATTGTGGACCACAAGGAATGAAGGATTTTATGAATGAGAGTAAATTGATCGATCTTTTGAACGGATCAGATTATGTTCCAACGTATGAAGATAAAGATGGAGACTGGATGCTTGTAGGAGACGTACCGTGGGGGTATGTATTAATTATTATTATTATTATTTTATATATATATATATATATATATATATTATAACAAATATTTATTTATACTTCGTTTGGATTATTTTTAGGATGTTTGTTGATTCATGCAAACGTATAAGAATAATGAAGGGATCAGAAGCGATTGGACTTGGTTAGTCAAATTTTATTCTACATACTGCAACACTGCTAGGACTTAATTTACATTTTTGTTAATACTATTTTCGATGTATTGCAGCTCCAAGGGCATTAGAAAAGTGCAAGAACAGAAGCTAAGCTGAGAGTTCCTTGAGGACATTTTCTTCGTCTCTCCGACGATAGGAAGAAATGAAAATCGGTTCAATCAGTTGGATATCTCAAAACGAGAAAGCCAAACCGGCTCGTAACTATTGTTCCGAGCAGGGAGTTTGCGTATAATATAATAAATAATAATATTGTGATGTATTACATTTGATAAATGTAAACCCTTTTTGTTATATGTATTATATACATATATAAATATGTGTATTTTATTAGGCTCGTATCAAACGACTTTTGTTTTTACGCATTATCGTGTTGTCCATATGGTCAGTGACTCAGTGTTCGTAAGACATCTTAATGTGTTACTTTGTATTTTTTTTATCCAAATTGTAAGCTCATTATTTCATTTTCAACCATCTGGAAATTATAATACCATACTACACCTTTTTGTTCATTTGAGTATATTTGTCCGTTACAAGATTCAATCGGCAGCTGCATATTTACTCATTTATATATAATTCCTCGAAATGGGTATGTTGTTGTACTATAACAAGTTACAACGAAACCAAAATTCAGTTTATCAATTTTCTTGATATACGTTGATCTGTTTATCATTTTTAATATTTTTGGTCGATGAACATATATGAGAAAATTTAAATAGATCAAGGTAATGCCGAAGGTGGTGGGAAGGGCAAGAGCATGTGGATAATGTAGAGTTGTTGGGGGACAATATTTTAATGAATTCTAAATAAATTAACACTGTCTTTAATTTGTATGCTCCATTATTGATATGCTTTCAGCTGTCATAGTGTCATCCATCCCCTCAACAAACAATGGGTGGCAACGATGATTTTTTTTTTTTAATCTATTTATCCAGTTTCTTTTTGTTTGGTAAAGTATATCTTATTTCTTGATAAATTTCATCCTAAGCGCGATTCACCACAAAAAAAAATGCATTAAGAAGTAACTTGGTTGTAAAGTTCACCACACATTCGTTTTATTTGTAAAATTTATGTATTAAGTAGTTTGCTCAAAGAGAACTAGCTGAGATTGTCATAGACTCATAGGCATAGAGAATGTTAAATAAAGACAGGCACATTTAGCCAAATAGAGGAAATCATTGCGAAGTTTTGCAAAAAAGAACAATAATATCATAAAATCTGCGAGAGCATCATATTGTTTGAGTTTTTATCAAAAAAAAAATCATATTGTTTGAGTAATATATTACATATGCGTAAACGTTAGATCGTAGATATATATGGCGATATATCAAGCTCCGTCACATGGCTTTTATCCCAAAGTCAAATTATGAATTGCATGCATATATATATATATATATATATATATATATATATATATATATATAAAAGAGAGGAAGGCACAAGCCATTCACTTCATGATATATTACTCCTTTATGTACAGTATAGGCAATGTCATGCATAGTTTAAGCCATTGCGAGAAAACGAGGACTGACAAAGATTTGAGACATTTGGCCCCACCTTACAAATTACAATCTTACTGTGTATACGAGAAAAAGTCATAAGAGCATATTTAACGGGAGGCGCTTAATGCATCGCTTGTCTTAAAATTAAATCAAAATCAATTTTAAATGGAGAAGTCGACGCTTATTTGAGCATTACAAGCGTCGGTGCTCGTTGCCACGTGGCAGAAGATGATTGGATGTTGTTTCATTTTCTCTTTCCGTTCTCTCTCCTCCCTCTCTTTTCTCCGTTGCTCTTCACCGACGATTTGAGAGTTGAGACCGAACCAGTTTTCGCTCAAATTAAATCCAACCTGTTAACAATGAATGGTCTAGCTCCGGCAGAGGATCGGTCTGAGATTGCCTTCTTCGACGTCGAGACTACAATTCCGTTCCGAGCTGGCCAAAAGTTCGAGATTCTGGAGTTCGGATCGATCCTCTTTGCCCCAAGAAGGTAGTGGAGCTTGGAAGCTACACAGCCCTTGTTCGACCCGCTAATCTCAGCTTCATCACGCCTCGGTCTGTGAAGTGCAACGGTATCAAGCGAGAGGACGTCGAATCGAAACCTTCGTTTGCATATATCGCCGACATCGTCTATAATATTCTTCATGGTAGGAACTTTCGTCACTCTTCCTCCTCTAACCCCTTCTTTTTTAAATTACTCCGTTTTTGCTTGGTTTATGTTCAAGCTGAATTGAAACTTGATCCGAAAGTTCTGTTCTTTAGATAAAAATGTTAAAAAGTCGAGCTTTTGTTTAGTTGTGTTGATGTTTTCTTTGTTGATTTATAATGTAGGAAGGATATGGGCAGGGCACAACATATTAAGGAAATTTGGTTTACCTTTGATCAAACTCGTGGATGGTATGTTAAACTTGTATATGTAAAATCATCTTTAGCTGAGATGGTCTGTTAAACTTGCGTATGTTAAGCTGAATGTAAGATCTCTTGTGCCGTGCAATGATACTCTGAAGTATGCGTCTCTAAAATCAGAACCAGATTTCAGGTTGATTAAGTTTTCTTCCTGTGTGAATCGGTTTGAAAGATACAGAGATTGATGTGAATGGAGATGGTATGAATCATAGCTGATTGCCTTTTCTATTGTCAGTTTATTGGAATCTTTGATCGGTTACCGATGCTGTACTATTAAGGTTACATATTGCTTATAAGAAGTGTTTTATGTTCTATCTGCTCATGAGCTTTCTTTCCGTGTTTCATTTCCTATAGTTGCCAATTATTACATGGTTTATAAATCTAGCAACTTGCTTGGGTCTTATAAACGCTTTTGATTTGATCTAATTGAATTTGTGGTTTGGTTTCCTTGAAAACTCACATTGATATCACTTTCCAACATGTTGTTAAATGAAATGCATTGTTGGAAGAGAATATCTGATCGTTTCTTCTTTTGTTGTGTGCAGGAACAATACATTAGGGACAGCAACGGTTCTGACCGGCTTTGAAGTTCAACGAAGAGGCTATTCTTGGTTTATACTCAGATGATCTTGAGACTTGGTTAGAAGAAGTTTTTATTTCTGTTTATGTTTTTGAATTTTATGTTTAAAATGTTTGTATGTTTCATATTTCAATTATGTAATGTATTTTATGTTTTGTTCATTAAAAAAATTAAAGTTCAAATGAAAATTTCATTTTTTTCTTAAGCACCTCAAAATAAGATTCTCCCATTAGAGCAGAAAAAAACAGACAATTCTTAATAGAGGTGCTAACACACTTTTAATAATAAGACAAAAATTTAAGCACCTCTACAAGCACTCTCCATTATACATGCTCTAATCTCTAACCCTGTTAGGTCCGATAAACTAGTAATAACCACGAAAAGACGATGTACTTTGATTTACCGATTCGGTTAGAACAACAGGGCGTAAAAGTATACACCGATCATATCCAGAAATATTCAAATTATCTCTTTGAAAAGAGTCATACTAAAAAAAAAGAGAGTCTTACTCCAACACTAGTTAACAAATTCTTTCAGATATATGGGCCAACTGAAGCTTTACAATAATATATGGCCAAATGAATATTATAGAGCCCTACACTAGTTAACAAACTCTTTCAAATATTTGCCTTCGAACTTCATCGTGTCGTTTATACAAACTGAAGGCTTATGTTCATATCTTATATGCGACTGCAACCAATCTTTACCACGAAAACTTATCGTCTACTTACTAACTTGTTTTAGTATCTCGATTTAGGTTGATACTGAAAATACTCTACAAACTGATCTTAAGCTGAAATGTACGAGTTCATATTTTTAACACAAAAAATATTCATTTTGCAATTTTCACAAAATTATCTATATGGACATTAATGGATGTAACACCAATTTGCCTAGACGGGAAATTGCACCGGTGGATCGAATTTTAACGTTGATTAGTCAAACCTTTAACAAAATAAAACATTGACTAGTCTTTTTTTTGTCGACAAACATCAGATTTAGTCAAATGATACGAATCATACATATTTATCCAAACGAGAGCGACTGTTTATCAACCAGGCTGCTATTATACAATTAGCCGCCTCTTATCATCGCCTGCGTCGCCATGTACGAAGATACCAAATACTTCCTCATTTTTGAACCGTCTGATCAGATTGCTCTGACCATTAAGCTTCCATGTAAAGGGTATCGACGGTTTTAATTCAAACATGTCCCACCGGAGTCTCAACCCCATCACGTTATCGTAATTTCTCGTAAAAGAGCATATTCCAATTGATATAGAGAAATCACACTTCTCAGTTCTCATTTTTATTTGCGTTCTTCAAATCAATTCACACAGCTCTCCTAACCAGTAGAATTAACCTATTTTATTTATTTCTATTTATAATCAAATCCAAGTATCCAACCTGAGTCTAAACACGACTGCATGTATGGATATATCATATATGAACTCAATTAAACTACATATGTATGATTTAAACAAGTAACCTTTAACGTCTATAAATCAATTTGGACAAAATTACAAGAAAACCATTATTATATTATTTACTATCGCTACAGTGATTAAATTTGTGTATGTATATATACATGCATTAGACTACCAAAAAAAGACAAAAACCTATCGATCATGAAGATGATCAGACTTAGCATCACCGTCATACTATTAGCATACACGGTGGCAACGGTGGCCGGACAACAGTGCGGCCGCCAAGCCAGTGGTCAGACTTGTCCCGGCAACATCTGCTGCAGCCAGTACGGATACTGCGGAACCACCGCGGACTACTGTTCTCCTGCCAATAACTGCCAAAGCAATTGTTGGGGAAGCGGGCCAAGCGGTCCGGGTGAGAGCGCTTCGAACGTACGCGCCACCTACCATTTCTACAACCCGGAGCAGAATAACTGGGATTTGAGAGCCGTGAGTGCTTATTGCTCCACGTGGGACGCTGATAAGCCGTACGCGTGGCGGAGCAAGTATGGCTGGACCGCCTTCTGCGGACCGGCTGGTCCTCGTGGTCAAGCCTCTTGCGGCAAGTGCCTGAGGGTAATTATTATTACTTTTTTCTTAATTCTTGACTTTTGAATCTTTGTTAATAAAAACAAAAATTAAAGAGAAGTCCGCTTACAAAAAACTAAAATAAAATTGATGGAAGTATGGAGAAATATTAGCGATTAATGAAGGAAATATAGTTTTGCTGGTTTTTTAGAACCCGTTAAAAGAGTGAAATAATTAACCGACATAAAAGTTTGGCCATTTCTTTTGCATGCAGGTGAGGAACACAAGGACGAATGCAGCAGTGACGGTGAGAATAGTGGACCAATGCAGCAATGGAGGATTGGATTTGGATGTTGCAATGTTCAATAGAATCGATACTGATGGTGTTGGCTATCAACAAGGCCATCTCATTGTTGACTACCAATTTGTTGACTGTGGCAATGCGCTCGTTGAGCAGCCGGATTCCAAAAACATCCTTGTTACGGCCATTGATGGCGTTTGATACTATGTACTAGATCGGTCCACACGTAATAAATATAATAAAAGACATATGTCGAGTGATATTTTTGCTTAGAAAGTCATGGTTAATAAATACAAAGAAATGTCATGGACCGGGATTAACGTTCTACGGTTATGGATAACAATGGTGGTCTTGGCAAAGACGTGCACGTTTTCACCTTCTGAATATATATAGCAATGTACTGGTTCTAGCTAGCAATGTACGCTTAATTAAATATAAGATCGGATAAAACTCAAGTTTAATAGGACTGAAACATCTTATTATAGGATTCACCTATATAACAGTATTTGCATAAATTTAAAACTTCATCTATAAAAATACACACAATAAACTTACTATTTTCTTACGATATTTTGAAAATTGCAAGAACCTCAATCGTCATGAATGTGAAATAATAATGCTAATTTGCTAGAGCCGTCTCTGAAGAATAGTAATACATGGAAGAGTCAAACCAAAGCCAAAGAAGATAATACACAACGCTCCAAATTTCGTACTAGGCTAAACTAGTCATTTCATAGTGTTTAATTTTGTATAAATAGAGGAGTTTCATCAATTCTTTATTCTATCTATCACAGATTCAGATAAAAGAAATCAACATATATAGAGAAAGAATGTCAAGACTTAATATATGTTTGTTTGTGTTGCTATGTGCGTTTGCGGCCAGAGCAGCCGCTCAATCCGCTAACAACGTGAGAGCAACTTACCATATCTACAATCCTGCACAAAACGGGTGGGATCTTTACCGAGTAAGTGCGTATTGCTCGACGTGGGATGGGAACCAGTCGCTTGCGTGGCGTCAAAGGTACGGCTGGACAGCTTTCTGCGGTCCGGTTGGACCACGCGGTCGTGACTCTTGCGGTAGATGTTTAAGGGTAAGTCATTTTATCTATTCCAATTATAATTACGTTTTGAAAGCGCCTTATTTAATTCAGAAATCGCTCTTTTTATATATAAATTGTGCATGTGTCATCATCTATGTGATCTAAATGTCTAAAACGTAATATATAATTAATCAGCAAAAACATTAAAAAAATGCAAACGCAGGTGACGAATACTGCGACTGGAACGCAAGCGACGGTGAGAATCGTGGATCAGTGTAGTAACGGCGGTTTGGACTTAGACGAGGGCGTTTTCAAACAGCTTGATATTAACGGCCAAGGAAACTTTCGTGGCCACTTAATTGTCAACTACGAGTTTGTCAATTGTTGAAGATCTTCAAGTTCAAGTTCGTCACCGTATTATATCACCTTTTAATTAATCATGCTAATAAGAGAAAATAATTATCTCAGGTTTTATCTTTCATAATAAAGAACAAGGGACCCTATTAAAATAATATGTTTGAAAATTTGTTCTAGGAATAAAATGATAATTCAATTTCAGTATTATTACAAAATCCCAAGTAAACTTGAGTTCATATTGACACTCAATCCCAAGTAAACCTGAGTTCGAATCAGCCGCTGCTCATTTTTCTATTTAATGGGTCCGTTTTTTGTTTCAATGAATCAAATTACAGATTTACCCTCTTCCTCTTCCTTATGTGACAAGGCCAATCCCAATTCCGCTGCTTCTCATTTTTTTTTTCCCACCAAATTGTTGTCGATTCTGCGTTTCTCCGCCGCATAATCGTTAACACTCCGGCGAGTTTTAGAACGCAGCTTCCCAAGTCTCAGCAACCACTAGCCATAGCTATGTGGGCTTTTCTTCTCTCTCTCTGGAGTAGATTTTTCCGACTAGTGATGTTTTCCGTAACCACGGCAGCGAAAGAGGAACCGTCGGAATCACCGCTTATGTCACTTCCCGAAGACATCATCGTTGAAATCATCGCACGTGTGGAGAGATCCGACCATCCATCACTCTCCATTGTCTCGAAGCAGTTGCAGTCAATCGTTTCCTCTCCTGAGCTATTCGCGAGAAGATCCTTGCTGGGCCGCATTGAACACCGTCTCTATGTTATCCTCCATCTCCATGACTACAGCTCCTCCAATACCTCTTTGTACGTTCTCCACAATCGTCGCTTGGTCCCTATCCCTGGGCTTCCCACTAGTGGCTTTGTCGCTTCAGGCTCAAAGATATATGGGTTTGGTGATGATATCGCATACTCGAGAACTGCGGTAAGCATGGAGTGTGCATATCACACGGTAAAAACCCTCCCGAGCATGCCTTACATGTTTAGTAGAGCTGCTAGTTACATTGACGGGAAAGTTTATGTCACTGGGAATTTGGGTTATGACAGGGAAGAGGTTTCGGTTGTGGTGTTTGATACAGAGAAGCAAATGTGGGAGGGAGAGGTGATAAAGCCAGAGATCAAGATAGGGAATATGATTAGGTGTAGTCTTGTGATGGATGATAAGATATATATAGCGGATTATTTCAGGAGCGTTTTTTACGATACAAAGGAGAGGACATGGGGAAGAGATACGATGCTGGATTCTAAGAAGTGGATGTTTGCGGATGCGTGTGTGCTTGATGACGTGTTGTACTATTACAGTCGTGATGAGAATTGTTTGAGAAGGTATGATCCTAAGAAGAGGTGTTGGGGAGTGGTGAATGGTTTGGATGACTTGTTGGCTACGACGAGAGGTTCATGGGCTATGTCGAGAAGTTCGATGAAGACGGTAGAGACTGTGAGTTACAATGGGAAACTGGCCTTGTTTTTTCTTAGAAGAACAGGAAGAGGAGATAAAGGGATTTGGTGTGCTGAGATTTCGCTGGAAACGAGACAAGGAGGAGAGATTTGGGGTCAAGTTGAGTGGTGTCATCAGGTTTTGAGTATTGAGGATCAAAGCTGCGAAATTAAATCTCTACCTGTTATGCTTTGATGTCTCTTTCCTCCACCTATGTATTATTATAACTTGCATCATCTTTTGTTCTTTTTGTTTCTTGAATTGATTTGGTCATGCTGGCTTCACCATATGGCTTGATAGATTTTCTTTTCATTAACATACTAGAATGAAGTTGATGCAAAGAGCAATTAATTTGAAGAATATTAAAACGAGTTTTTAAGAGTTACTAGTTAATAAGATACCAATGTAAGAAGCAATCACAACTTCATACATATACTTAAAAAGAGCAACCTTTCGAAGAAAACTTTGTTCTTGAAAGGTTTTTTTAGTACACTTCAAAGTAAAAACAAGGCAAAACTGCATACACTAAACAGAGCCCTCTATGATTTGGCATCAATCTTGTCCTTGCCGTGAAACTTCCTTCCGGCATCCACAGCTTCTCTGTAGAAGAAAAGAAATCAAATCGGTTATCTCGACAAACCGATAACAAAAGGATAAAAGATCAAACAGGGTTTCTAAACGAACCTGAAAGCATCAACGAGCTCTTTGCTTTCAGGGCTAAGCAACACTCCCTCGTAAAATGCATTTGCTGCCTCGTCGAATCGCTGGATATTCATCACAGTATTTCAGTGAGTTAATAAAGTTTCAATGTTGAAAACTAAAAATCAGAGCTTTTTTTTTTTGAAGGGAAATGGAAAAAGCTTTTACCTGAAGCAAACGCAGAGCAGCGCCTTCTCTGAAACAGGCTTTAGGCCAATCAGGTTTGAGTTCTCTGCATGCTTTCGCATCGGACAAGGCACGCTCAGCTTGTCCTAACCGCAACCAGCAGAGGCTTCGGTTCGAGAAGAAGGTATGATCCGTCGGGTCAAAATCAATTGCCTTTGTTCAAAACAAAATGCCACAAAATCAAAAATGGACACATAATAGGTTATGAATAGTGGTTTTTGAATTCAGAGTAAGTTTTAGAGTTGAATACTTGAGTGTATGCATCAATGGCCATCTGGAAATCCTTTCTGTGGAATGCATCTTGTCCTCTTGCTTTTGCTTCTGCAGCTTTTGCCTTTGCTTCTTCAGAGACCTGTGGAAGATCTTTCTTGATCCCGGTCTCTCCTAATTTCGCATTGTTTGAGTTTGCCTCTAGTTCCTGAAAAACTTGGTTGTTTTAGAGACGAATAGTTGAAACTTTCAAGAAGAAACAAAAATCAAGAGAGATCTAATACCTTTTCTTTGTTTGATTCCATGTGGGAGAAAATTCCATCTACTGACCAATCCGAAACAGATTCGGGTTTCGTTGTCAACGGGAAGAGGATCTCAACAATCTTTCTGTCCTCTCTTGCAGCCGCCACTTCCAACGGCCTGTTTCCTTCCTACAAATCACATAGTTCATAGTTGGGAATTAGCAAAAACTACACGAGAAATCGAATCAAATGAACAAAAGAAAAAGTTTATTTTTGCCAAACAATTGTTGTTTTACCTCGTCCTTCTGATTAGGATCAGCACCAGCTTTAAGCAAACAGTTGATTAACTCGAGACTTCCAATATCAGCCGCAATGTGCAACGGAGTAGCACCACCAGCAAAAACGTTGGCTTTGGCACCTGCCTGTAATTACCAAATTTTCTTCTTCTTTTAGTTCTGATTTTTAAAACGTTTAAGCAACAGAGAAGGTTAGGAAGATGACAAACCTTGACCAACAACTCCAAGCATGCTACGGAACCAGCTGCTACTGCAGATAACAATGGTGTGACACCATCTTCAGTCTCAGCATTAGGCTGCATAATCATTCAAAGAAAAAACCAATTTTTTCAGGCTAACGGAAGAGTATAAGTTTCAAATAGACAATCAAAATGCAGAAAGACAAAAAAAGTGTTTACATTGGCGTTGTGTTGTAACAAGACTTCCACAGCATCTTTCTGGTCGTGACCAGCAGCCCAAACCAATGGCGTGCCAGACTCGCTTTCAGAATCAACGGGAACACCTCTTGAAAGCAGTTCCTTTAGCAACTCGATTTCTCCTATTCAAATGTTAACGACAAGGCATACATGTAAGCAAAAAGCACAAACACTTCTTCATGATCTGAGAAAGTGAAACTGATAAAGCAAACCTGTCCCAGCCGCGTGATGCAATGCCGTGGCTCCAAGTTCACTTGCAATGTTAGCATCAGCTCCGTGCTCTAACAGATACTTTGCTGTTTCAATCTGCCCTTGCCTCGTAGCATGAACAAGCGGAGTATCCCCAGCTTCATCTTTGGTGTCGGCATCGAGTTTGAGGTCTTCCAAGAGATATCTGCAGACATCAGTTTGGCCTTCTCTTGCAGCGAAATGAAGAGCACCGCGCTTGTTCGCGTCTTTGATACTCTCTACAGTTTTTCTCAAGTCTTTTCCTTCATCAAGCTGCTCAGCAACCTCTGCTTGGACAAGAGGAGATTAGAGCCGAAACTAATGCAATATACAACATAGCAACGTTAATTTAAATTATAAAAAGAAAAGAGAGCAATTAACGAACTCACTCTTAAGGAAGTCAAGATTTCCTGTGCAAGCCGCATTCAGGAATTGCTGAACTTTCTCCCTCGCTGAAGTCACAATTCAAAAAAAGATGAACAAGAAAAAACAAAAAGATTAAAGATTCAAACTTTAGGTGTCCAACTTCAATACCCAATTCATGACATTGATTAAAGTATTGCGAAATTTCAGTTAGTCCTAATTGTTGAGTTTACAATAGCAGAAACGAATTTTCTTCATCAGATCAATTCAACTACAGAGGAATAACAATAACAACTACAGAGCAAGGAATCTAGAATTCATACGCATTCAACGACAGAGATCGACACATATTTTCGAATACATAAAAGCAGGAAGAGAGAGAGTAGACCTGCAAGAGCAGCAGAAGCATCAGGAGCCATGGCAGATACTAAGCTTTTAGCTAATTTCTCGGATGAGTTGATGAAATTTTAAATTCGGTTTGAGAATCGGCGGTAGTTTAGTTCGCTGTTACCGGAGTTTGTGTCTGAATATCAGAAGAAATCAGAAACAAGCTTTTGCCTTTTTTTTTTCAATTGCCTGGAGGCTTCTTCTATCTAGGTTTTAAGAAGAAGAAGATTCGAGAGGTTTAATTTTATCTTTCGATAAATTTAAATTTTACACCCTCACATTAGTTAATTATTATAAAACATACCCCCTAATTTTGTTTGTACAAAATAAACCCTATCTTTCTCACAGAATCTTAATTTCCACTGAACATTAGACAAAATATGAAAAGAAGAGTAGAATTGTTCATTTTATTACTAGCCTGCCAATCCAAGACCATATCGTAATCTTTTTGTTTACAGTTTACGAACAAGAAAGGCTTTTTTTCTTTCATCTTTTGTTCCCTTTGCACAGTATATACAGAGCCATAATCTTCCTTCTCTTTTTTAACATTCTATCTTTTTCTGCTTTTTTTTTTTTCTTCATAATCCTAATTATGAAAAGAAAATCTGAGTGATTGACGCTTACAATCACATATACACTTTATCAATAAGACTGCATCACAGAGCATGCAACTGCTTGTGCCCAATGTCTCAATCTCTGCTTTACTTCTTGAGGATTGTCCCCTACAAAACCAAAACAGAAAAATATCAGAAAAAGAACTCTCAAGTTCTTTATTTTGATCATTAGTTTTTTTTTTACCTGAGCAGAAGATCTTCAATGATTCTGAATCAGTTTTCTTGGGGCTACACGGTACACTGTAGGAGAAAGCTGATGATGCGCTGCTGCTACGGCTGCTACTAGGTGAAGGGAGAGGCGAGGCCTGTCGAGTCACTGCAAAGTAAAGATCAAGAGCTGGTAACGTATTGCAGAGCTTTTGTCCTGCTTCTTCATTGAAACCGAAACCTAGCTCAATCGATCCTTTAAGCTCGTTTAAATCCTCATCGGTTAGTTTCTTCTGCTCGCCAAGATTCTCCGAAACGCCTTTGTGAAGAAGCTTCTTTTCTTGAATCATTATCATCTGGCGTCGCCTTCTTTCCCAAGCAACGTCTCTTGGTGTCTCGCACATGGGCAGTTGCTTCGACAACCGCTGTTTCGGTTTCTGTGATCCCACCGGCGTTGTCGCTGCTGTTCTGACCGTTCTGACCTCGGGAAGGTCCGTCGGTTTTGAGATTTGCAATGTAAGACCTTCTCTTCTTCTCACCATTTTGTTTTGTGTGTATATAAAGCAGCGTGACCGGAAGCTAATGTTGTAATGAAGATATGGCTTGTGGATGCAATGTTAGGGTTTTTATTAACCACTTTTAAGAGATTATCAAAAGCTATAAGCTTTTTTTGTTAATGGATGTTCTTTGTCTGATGGCCGCGTACGAACATATAACGCGGCCAACAAAGAGGTTTATAAAACGGGTCGGGTTGATCAAGATTTTGTTCTTTTATGCCCTTGTCTAGTTTGATTTAGTCCAACCCGACCAGATAAACTTTGATGAGACTCGAGGTGCTTTAATGGAGGTTAGCAAATTAGTTTCCACCATTGATCTATGCAATGGATAGAGACTAAAGCTATTTTCCTCCATTGACTCAACCAAATCTTTAGGGACTATTCTTTGTTTAGATCTATCTCGATCAAGTCAAAACTTTTCATATGATTTTTGAAACATTATGGTTTACGAGTTACTATATTTAGATTCAATGAATTTCATGTTCTTCTACACAAAGGGACAAAAAAAAAGTCTTTTCAAGTTTCTATAACCATATGCTAAACATAGTTTGTTCGAGTAATCCTCTCCTCCAAGGGTTCTCTAACTACTTCTGTTTCTCTTTCACACACAACAACAGAGAATGAGAAAACACCACTAACCTCATTGCAGAGAAAACTAACCAGACAAAATAGAGCCAGAAAATAAAAAAGAAACAAGAGTGTATCTCGCCATTTCTGGTTTTTTGCTTCTTGTTGATCCAGGCAAGTCCTGCTCTGAGTTTTCATGGTTAGGCCATAGAAAAATCAAGAAACAAGCTTCCAAGCGTAAAAAGAAACAATTTATTCATCCTCCCATAGGTCACAAAGAATCTCATACCCGTTGATGTGTACGCCATGAACGGGAAAACTTGGATTCTCTTTTACCTCTCGTGTCTCTCCATTCTCCTGGTTTTGCCAGCTAGATCAAACGGTCAAGATTTTGCATTGAGCTGTGGGGCAAAAGAGCCATCTACTGACCCAGACAAGAAAAAATGGGAACCAGACGCAAAGTTCCTCAAGACAGGAAACTCTATCCAAGCAACAGCAACATATCAAGACCCTTCCCTTCTCTCTACAATTCCTTATATGACAGCAAGAATCTTCACAGCTCCATCAACTTACGAAATCCCGGTTAAAGGAGACCAAAGGCATCTGCTCCGATTACATTTCTACCCATCAACATACACAGGCCTCAACATATCAAACTCATATTTCGCCGTGGCAGCTAACGATGTAACCCTCTTGAGCAATTTCAGCGCCGCTATCACCTGTCAAGCCTTGACACAAGCGTATCTGGTGAAAGAATATTCTCTTGCACCCATCGAGAAAGATGTCTTGAGCATCACTTTTACCCCATCTGACAAGTATAAAGACACTTTCGCCTTCATCAACGGTATCGAAGTGATTGAGATGCCGGAGCTGTTTGACACGGCGGTTCTCGTTGGTTTCTCAGATCAGATGGCGGATGCCAAGGCCGCGAATCTCCAGTCCATGTTTAGGCTTAACGTTGGTGGTCAGGACATCCCTGGAAGCCAAGACTCCGGTGGGTTAACGAGAACATGGTACAACGACGCGCCTTACATATTCAGCGCAGGTCTTGGTGTCACACTTCAAGCAAGCAACAATTTCAGGATCAACTACGAGCAAATGCCAGTCTCTACAGCTCCAGCAGACGTCTACAAAACCGCTAGGACTCAAGGCCCCGACGGGAACATCAACATCAAATCCAATCTCACATGGACGTTCCAAGTCGACACCAATTTCACTTACATCATGAGACTCCATTTCTGCGAGTTCCAGCTCTCTAAAGTCAACCAGAAGGCGTTCAACATCTACATCAACAACAGAACAGCGCAGACGGATCCAGCCGCTGCAGATATAATCTCTTGGACAGGAGAGAAAGGGATTCCGACTTACAAAGACTACGCCATCTACGTAGATGCTAACACCGGAGGCGAGGAGATATCACTTCAGATGACTCCATCGGTTTTTGCCAAACCGGAGTATCTTGACTCGCAGCTCAACGGGTTAGAGATCTTCAAGATGGATACAATGAAGAATCTTGCCGGTCCAAACCCGCAGCCATCGGCATTGCAAGCTAGCGAAGAGGTCAAGAAAGAGTTCAAGAGCGGGAAGAAGACAGCTTTCATCATCGGCTCAGCTGGAGGACTCGCGGCGGTTTTGCTCTGCGCGCTGTGTTTTACAGTCTACAAGAAGAAACAGTATTATCAAGGAGGCGACTCTCACACATCAAGCTGGCTTCCTTTATACGGAAACTCTACCACGTCAGGGACAAGATCAACTATCTCAGGGAAGAGCAACAATGGAAGCCAACTATCTAACATCGCAGCAGGTCTATGCCGTAGATTCTCCTTACCTGAAATCAAACACGGAACGCAAAACTTCGACGACTCCAACGTCATCGGAGTTGGAGGTTTTGGTAAAGTCTACAAAGGAGTGATAGACGGGACAACCAAAGTAGCCGTGAAGCGATCGAACCCTAACTCAGAGCAAGGACTCAACGAATTCGAGACGGAGATCGAGCTTCTCTCCAGGCTAAGGCACAAACATCTGGTGTCGTTGATCGGATACTGCGACGACGGAGGCGAAATGTGTCTCATTTACGACTACATGGCTCTGGGAACACTCCGGGAGCATCTGTACAACACGAAGAAGCCACAGCTGACTTGGAAACGAAGGCTGGAGATCGCGATCGGAGCTGCGAGAGGGCTACATTACCTTCACACGGGAGCCAAATACACGATCATACACAGAGACGTTAAAACCACAAACATCTTGGTTGATGAGAATTGGGTAGCGAAAGTCTCCGACTTTGGATTATCGAAAACCGGACCTAACATGGACGGAGGCCATGTGACAACCGTCGTGAAAGGGAGTTTCGGGTATTTAGATCCGGAATACTTCAGGAGACAGCAATTGACGGAGAAATCGGATGTTTACTCTTTCGGCGTTGTGCTATTCGAGATCCTGTGCGCTAGGCCGGCGTTGAATCCGAGCTTGCCCAAGGAGCAAGTGAGTCTCGGAGATTGGGCGACGAATTGCAAACGGAGAGGGACTTTGGATGACATAATCGATCCCAATTTGAAAGGGAAGATTAATTTGGAGTGTTTGAAGAAATTTGCAGACACGGCGGAGAATTGTTTATCGGATAGTGGAATTGAACGGCCGACGATGGGAGATGTGTTGTGGAATCTCGAATTCGCGCTTCAGCTTCAGGAAACTGCCGATGGGACTCGGCAACGGACTCCGAATAGAGGAGCGAGCTCCGAGGATGTCGGCGGAGGAGGCATGGCGATTAACGTCGGCAGAATCGAAGAACATGACGTCAGTGATATTTCCTCCGAAGAGAGTAGTGGAATATTCTCTCAGATAGTGAATCCCAAAGGACGATAAGGTCATTTCACAACTCTTTTCTTTACCGGTTAATTTCTTCATTCATATTATGACTATATGAGAGGACCAAATAAATGTTGTTTTGTTTTTCTTTATGTCATTGACAGGCAACAAAAAAAAGGGATGGATGAAAAAACTTGAAGATGGTTTAATTTATCTTGAGTGGTAATTTTAATTAATTAATCAAAAACGTTTGTAAAGTTTTATCCCTTTGTGATGTTACATGTAATCTGTAATCACACACAATTTACTGTATTAACGATTCGTAGATAGAATTTTGTATGGAAATTTTTGTCGGATGAGATTAATTTTTGTTCAGTTTCTTGTCAAATTGGAGTGCAGTAAAATTGTGGTTAAAGTCGGTTAAACAACTGAGAGCGGGAATAATTATAGTTATCCAATTTTGCCCTTACAGAAAAAATGGAAAGAACGTTAAAACCGATATAACCCTAAGTAAAAGTAATTATTTCAATTTCATCAGTTTTTTTTCACTCTTTCCTTCTCTCTCCTTCGAACACACTTCTCCTCCTCCTTTTCTCCTCGCCGTCAAATAAGCCACTGCCTCTCCGTTAATCCTTCGCCGCCGTCTGTCTTCTCGCCGTTGACCCATTTCGGTAAGTTGTCTCTTTATCAATCTATGGATACGGAAATTAACATCCTTTTGGTACTCTCCCTTATCAATTTTGATACATTGGTTGTTTGAAATTAATCTCTGTTGCGCTTTATAATCCCGGAATCAAGATTTTGTGCTCTAAATTCTCGCCAAGTCTGCATCTTTCTTCTCTGTTTTTCCTTTTTTTAATAAAATTTCTAAATTCTTACAGAGATAAACACTACAAGCGCAGGCATAGTGACTGAAGAGAGCTCCTATTACTCCGAGTGTGTTTTCTAACGGTGAATCAATTCTATCTATACTCCGAGTGAAACCATGGCTTACGGTGGTCCGTCGATGAATCCACCGGCTATGATCGGCGCGGTTCCCGGGTCTAGCAATCTCAAGCAAGTGAAATTAGAAAGGGAAAGCGAACTTAGGATCGAAGTCTCTGACGAAGATCTCAAACTCCGTGTGGTTAACGGGACAGCTGAGATTTTCGGCTCTGAACTTCCGCCTGGAATCTGGCGTAAGTTCCCTCCACGCCTCAAATTCGCGGTATGATTTTGACCATTATAGATCAAATGAGCTTGTTGATTTGTATTGGGTTTTCTCAAAGTTGCTATCAAATTCACCCTCTAGGCTTCATGGTTTGGAAAGGTCCATCCTTTGCCAGTGAAGATTGTTCATCTTTGTGTTTTCTTTGGATGAAGACTTAACCTTTAGGCAGTAATTTGACGAATCAGTCGCATAGTTGAACATCATAGCTCTGAGTCCCTGTGTTTACCGTTTTGTGCCTTTTGATTACTGTCAGGTATTCACCTGGTATGGAGCGACAATTGAGATGGATGGTGTCACGGAAACTGACTATACAGCAGATGAGGTAAGAGGTTCTTGTTTCAATTCCCACGCTTCCTTTAGATACTTAGAGCAAAGTTTGTTTAGTTTACTAACAATGTCTCGGTTCTCTTAGACACCAATGGTCAGCTACGTCAATGTGCACGCCATACTAGATGCAAGGAGACGTTTTGCCAAAGCTTCCACATCTACTGACTCAGAACCTGTTCAGGTACTTCTCTTCTTTGCTGTATGGCGATGTTATCAAGTTGAAACATTTGGTTCTTAAGAATCTGATTGAATGCAGGGACCTCGGGTTATTGTAGTAGGGCCTACGGATTCAGGGAAGAGCACATTGACAAAGATGCTTCTGAGTTGGGCAGCCAAACAAGGATGGAAACCAACATTTGTAGACCTTGACGTTGGCCAAGGCTCGATTACAATACCGGGAGCTATCGCTGCTACTCCTATAGAAATGCCACTGGATCCAGTTGAAGGGTTTCCTCTTGATATGGCCCTCGTCTACTACTTTGGCCACTCCGCACCCATGTAAGTGGATTTTTTCGAAACTTTCTCTTCCACATTATACGTTTATTTCTTGTCGATGAATGACTTTTGGCTATGGTTTACTCTCTCAGTACCAGCGTCAATAACAACACCATTAACAACGTTGAGCTTTACAAAGTTCTGGTGAAAGAGCTTGCTCAAGTGTTGGAGACACAGGTTGCAGGAAACCCTGAATCTCGAGCCGCTGGAATGGTGATCAACACAATGGGATGGATCGATGGTGTCGGTTATGAGGTTAAAGTTGGCTCCTTTTAGAGTACATTTTCTTTCTTTCCATTGTTCAAACTATTGGCTAAAGAATGGTTATTTCTTCTGCAGCTGCTTCTCCATGCGATCGATACATTTAAAGCCTCGGTGGTACTTGTATTGGGTCAGGAGAAGCTTTTCAGCATGCTTAAAGATGTGCTGAGAACTAAGAGTAACGTGGACGTCGTGAAGCTTCACAAATCAGGTGGAGTTGTAGCCAGGAGCGGTGCTGTTCGTAAAGCATCTAGGGCTTCTAGGATTAAGGTAGATATATATTTTCATAGCTTTTAATGACTCTTGTTGCATGCTGTTTAGAGACCAGAGATTCATAAGAACGGAATCTTGAATTTGCAGGAATACTTCTATGGACCATCGAATGAGCTCTCTCCCTATGCCAACACAGTGAGTTTCAGTGATGTGCAAGTGTTCCGCATTGGTGGTGGACCTCGAGCTCCAACATCAGCTCTTCCAATCGGGTCTGACCCGGTTTCTAATCCGTTGAGGGTAACACCTGTGAATATTGACCAAGGTCTGCTGCATTCTATACTCGGTGTCTCGTATGCAGAAGAACCAGACCAGATCATCTCAAGGTATAATCTCAAAATGTTCTTGCTGTTTCAGAAATCAAAGGCTTGTGTTTTTTTTTAAATGTTTTTCTTACTTCTCTTTGAATCTTTGTGTGCAGCAATGTATCTGGGTTTGTGCATGTGACGGAAGTTGATATGCATAGGAATAAGATAACGTATTTAGCACCATCGCCTGGGGCATTGCCGAGCAAGTTCTTGGTCGCTGGATCTTTATCATTGGTTGATGAAGGAAGAAGATGATTAAATTAGACAAGAGAGAGCCATGTTGTTTTGCTAAGAGAATAATTTACATGTAACTTTAACAATTACATTAAGCCTTTTTCTATATAAATTGCAGGTTCTGACTTGTGAGTTTGAAATTTTGTTGTTCTGAAATACACAGCTTTTGCTTTTAAAGATGTCCGAATGTGTAAAAGATGTTTAAGTTACATTATCTAATTTTGCCTAAAAAGATGCATAATTATCTAATTTTTGAAACCAGGTTTATGATTTAAATTTGTACTAAAAATAGTAGGTGCAAAGTAGGTCCACTAGTAGGCCCCGCTTTGGGAATCTTTAACAGAGGGCTCTGTTTTTTTGTTTCTCCCTTCTCTGAGACTGCGACGACCACCTCTCTGCTCTGAGGTCTTTCCTGTAATAATCCACTCTTATACAAATAAAAATGTTATTGACAACTTTAGCTTGTTTCTAAAAAGAAATTGATTGAATTTTGGTCTCCTTGAGACTATCAATAAACGAAGAAAGCTTTCTGATTTTAATATTTTAATGGTGGTGGGGGAATTTATTTGGTAAAAGCAAGTCTAACTCTTCCCCACCCACAAAGTGGAGAAAGCAAAAGTCATAACCTTTGACACTTTTCTCAACATCTCTCTCTCTCTCACAAACAAACAAACAAACAAGATAAATCTTTCTCTTTATTTTATCCTAAATCCCTGGGTGATTTCTTGCTCTTGAGCTAGTTTATTTCTTCTGAAAGATCTCATTTTTCTTTTAGCTCTACAATTTCGTGGGATTTTTGTTTCTTCTTCTTCTTCTGAGCTCATTATGGCTTCCTGGGTATAGACAAAAGATCTCATATGTGAGCTCTTGTATTGAGGGAGTTTCGATTTTACTTAGACAGATTCAGCATTTGGAGGAAGGAACTCATGTTTATTGGTTTTTTTGTTAGGGGTTGAGTTCTGGATTGTTTTGATCTAATTAGGACTACACTCTCTCTTCTTGTTTCATGTCTTATCGGTTTAGATTCACTGGGATTTCGATTTAGGGATCTTTTGTTATATAGGTTGCAGATTCCATCTTTGCAAGGCTTTTTAGGTTCTTGGTTTGATATATCATTGTCTTGGCCTCTTGAGAGTTTGGTGTGTTAGTTTAGTTTATGAATTTGAGGAATTAGGGTTTTCTTGTTCTCTCATCTGAAAGCTTTGGGTTGAAGAAACAAAAAACATGGAGGAAGTTGAAGCTGCTCACAAATCAGCTGTAGAAAGCTGTCATGGAGTCTTAAAGCTCTTATCACAACAACCCACTGATCCCAAATCTCTCTTTGTTGAAACAAGAGAAGCAGTTTCCAAGTTCAAGAGAGTAGCCTCTCTGTTATCCAGAGGGTCCTCAGGTCATGGAAAGTTTAGGAGAACCAACAACAAGTTTAGGTCTTCTTTTCCTCAACATATCTTCTTGGAGAGTCCTATTTGCTGCGGTAATGATTTAAGTTGTGATTACACTCAAGTTCTTGCACCAGAGCCTCTTCAAATGGTTCCAGCTCCTGTTGCTCATGATGAGATTAACCAAAGACACCAAATGGCTCGTCATCCTCCTCCATTGATGCTTGGTCACAGAGTGTGTGCTGAGAAGTCGTTTCTGGAGTTAAAGCCACCGCCTTTTCGAGCTCCTTATCAGTTAATCCATAACCACCAGCAAATAGCTTACTCTAGGAGCAATAGTGGCGTAAACCTCAAGTTTGATGGATCTGGTAGTACTAGTTGCTATACACCGACGAGTGTATCGAACGGGTCGAGATCGTTTGTGTCATCTCTTAGTATGGATGCTAGTGTTGCGGATTACGACAGGAACTCGTTCCATTTAACCGGATTGCCTCGTGGGTCTGACAAGATATCCAGGAAGATGTGCTCTGGTGGTATGAAATGTGGGAGCCGAAGTAAATGTCATTGTTCCAAGAAAAGGTTTGTCATTTCCTCTGTGGCAATGTGACACTTGTGATATGTTTTGTATGTCGTTGTAAAAAGGTTTGAGCTTTTTTTTAACAGGAAACTTAGGGTGAAACGGTCAATCAAAGTGCCTGCAATCAGTAACAAGATTGCAGATATTCCTCCAGATGAATATTCATGGAGAAAATACGGTCAGAAACCGATAAAGGGCTCACCACATCCACGGTAACTATGCATACATATACTTTGTTGCTGGAATATTTCTCTATAGTTTTGTGTCAATTCATATAATCAATCTCCTTTGTGTGTTTTGTTTTCTCTTGTGCAGAGGATACTACAAATGCAGCAGTGTGAGAGGTTGTCCGGCAAGGAAGCATGTGGAGCGGTGTATCGATGAAACATCAATGTTGATTGTGACTTACGAAGGGGAACATAACCATTCAAGAATACTGTCTTCACAGTCAGCTCACACCTAATGAGAAGAAGACCATGGTCTTTGTTCTCTAACCCTGCTGTTATGATTTGAAGAAGAGTGAATCGGATTCAGGAAACTAGTCTTTGTAGTTTGTGATTTGCAATTGTATATTCCCACTTTGATATGAGTTGTAATGAGTGTTTGTCAACTTGGATTCTGTGGTCGTATCAAGCATCAAGCAGCAATCAACAATTTGGCATTTTAGTCACTAACGAGGAAAGCTTCCATAGTTGAATAACAAAAATCTCTTATAAATCGGAGAATATTTAACACATGCATAAAGAGACAATCTATATGAAACACAAGTTCAAAAGGCAATCAGCCAATCAAAATGATGATGAAGATCCATGCTGTTTAACAACAACAACAACGAGAAAGAAGATCCATACGAAGAGACTAGGTGGATAAGAAGTCACATTCCCAGTGTTAAAGAAGTAGTGTCCGAGATTTTGAACAACATAAAGATTAGTTTAGGGAACACCAAAGGATTAGCTTTCATTTGACAGAAACAGAGGACAGTCTGCATGATCGAGATAGACTCTGATATTAGCAAACTCATTTCCAATTTCTTAAATCAAAATTTGTTTGGCAGTGTCTTCCTTGGGATCGTAAGAGAATAAACAGAATTGGCCCGTGACAGAGTAGGATGCAAAGATAAGCTCACCTGTACTAAGTGCACCTTTGAATTTGAACATGTATTGCTCACTTAAGTCTCTCCGACAAGGAACCAAGATAGAAACCTTTGACCATTCTTGTTTGCTGGCATTTTTAAGAACGTGCATGTCAAGTGTAAGACTATACACCCGACTCATCAAAGCTATTTTCCCACCGTAGTTCCCAAGGCAAGAAATCTCTTGTAGATGCCGCTCATCCTCAGGTAACGGTAACTTGATGACATCAAACCCTTCAGATCTCACATCAAAACTTATCAAAGATGCTTCCTTTCTGATCCAACCATAATAAAACACGATTCCGTTTATGCATAGCTCATTAGCAGTATGATAAGGAGGAAGATGGGGTCGATGGGGATGCTCGCAGTTGATCATCCTCCAAGCTTTTTCTTGAGCTCCTAAAGTGTAAACTTGATGCTCCTCCGATACAACAACTAGTGATCTCTCTTCCTTCTTACTCCTAACATCCTTCACCGTCATGCACAAGACTTTGTACACACGACTAACCGGATCATACCCGAAAACCGCTACTAGGCGTAGTCTCCTAGTTTTGACTTTAGGCAGAGGTACGAATTGGTCAGTGCTAGGGTTCCCAACCAACAACACTTTCGGAGAATCGCTTTGACAGCAGACCAAGTGATGCAGCGCATCTCTACTACTATCTTCTTTATCTTTCTTTTCATAGTATTCGTATGGGCTTTTCTTTAGTTATTCGAGTCTTAAGAGTTTGCTTGGGCTTTAAGTTATGTTCTTGGTATTCATATGGAGACGTTTGAATTTTTTTTTTGGTTTTCGTCTCTTTCTTGTGTTGCTAGAAATGTTTCTGTTTTTCCTTTTTAGAAAAAAAAATACTGAGAGAGAAAACAAAAACCCTTTTACTCTCAAGGGTCGCTTATGCGGTTCGAACGCGGTCGATGCGAGATGAAATGCGGGATCCGAGCCACTGTGGCAGATGGTAAAACACTGTGCAGTGATTCGCAAAGGCTGTATATATACCGAAATGTTTTTTAAAATAAAAAAGAAAGAAGGGGTCGTGCATGCGTTTCGAACCCGGGTTGATAAGAGATGAGATGGGGAATACGAGCCACCGTGGCAAGAGTAAAACATCTGTACACGCGAGCACAAAAACGAGTCTATTTTTTCACTTTCTTGTAAGATGTGTTTAAATTCCCGCTCGCTCTTGTGATATTTTCGCAATTCGCCATTTCCCACTTCCCACAGTTTTATTTTTCTCTCTCTCTCTCTCTCAAGAAACAACCGAGCTCTGACGAACACGAAGATGAAATCCAGGGTAAATCCCAAGATGAACACGAACACAGTTTTAGCCGCCACCTTATTATTTTCGTATTTTTCTTCTTACTTGTTTGAGCCGAAATCTTCATCTCCATCGTGCTAGATCTAATGTCTTCTTCTCTTGCTACCTCAAACGAAACCGTCATGGTTTCCTCCAACCAGAATCTCCTTAACGTCAACATGACGAACGTAACCAAACTCACCTCGTCCAACTTCCTCATGTGGAGTCTTCAAGTGCACGCCTTACTCGATGGCTACGACTTAGCCGGCTTTCTCGACGGATCTGTCGTTGTCCCACCATCGACCCTCACCGCCAATGATGTTGTCTCGGTGAATCCGGAGTACACCATCTGGAAACGCCAAGACAAGCTCATCTACAGTGCGCTGCTTGGCGCAATCACGGTATCCATCCAACCCATACTCTCTACCACCACAACATCTGCGGAGATATGGTCCGTGCTCTCCGCCACCTACGCGAAACCAAGTCGTGGTCACCTCAAGCAGCTACGACAACAAATCAAACAATGGACAAAGGGTAACATGTCCATTGACACTTACTTTCAAGGATTCACCACCCGTTTTGATCAATTGGCTCTTCTCGGGAAAGCACTTGACCTTGAAGACCAAATTGAGCATGTCCTTGAAGGTCTACCGGAAGAGTACCGTCCCGTGATTGAGCAAATCGAAGGCCGTGAAACTCCTCCCTCATTAACTGAAGTTCACGAGAAACTACTCAATTTCGAAGTGAAACTTCAGTCCAAAGCTGTCCCACAAACCAATCTACCGATCACTGCAAATGCGGCTGCTGTTCGAGGTTCCTCCAACTACAATCATCGCCACAACTATCAAGGTCCGTCTCGCAATAACAGTCGAGGCCAAAACCAGCAGCAACAATACTCTCCTCGCAACGACCAAGGCGCTCCTCGTGGGTATCAAGGTCGCTGTCAGATCTGCGGGATCCAGGGCCACAGTGTGCGAAGGTGCCCTCAGTTGCAGCTTCCGGGTAACTCATACAACAACAATGCTCGTCCCAACTCCTCACCTGTTTCATGGCAGCCCCGTGCCAACATGGCCATCGCACAACCCTACAATCCAAACAATTGGGTTCTTGACACCGGAGCAACTCATCATCTCACTACTGATCTCAACAATCTCTCCCTGCATCAGCCTTACAATGGTGGGGAAGAAGTCACCATAGCAGATGGGACTAGCCTCTCGATCTCGCATACTGGTTCTACACTCCTTTCAACTCCTTCTCGTCCTTTAACTCTTAATGATATTCTCTATGTCCCTAATGTTCAGAAAAACCTTATATCTATGTATCGCCTGTGTAACACTAACAATGTGTCTGTTGAATTCTTTCCTGCCCATTTCCAGGTGAAGGATCTCAGCACGGGGGCTCGGTTACTCCAAGGCAGAACTAAGGATGAGTTGTACGAGTGGCCGGTTTCACCATCGAATGTTGTCTCCCTTTTTGCCTCTCCATCACCTAAAACGTCTTTTTCATTTTGGCATTCCCGTTTGGGACATCCCTCTTTAGCTGTTTTACAATCAGTTGTTTCGCAATTTTCATTACCAGTTCAAAACTCCACACCAAAACAATTGCCATGTTCCCACTGTCTTATTAATAAAAGTCACAAACTTCCCTTTCACTCAAACACTATCACCTCAAAACACCCTCTCGACTATATCTACACCGACGTGTGGACGTCTCCCATCCTCTCTATCGACAATTTCAAATACTACCTGATACTTGTGGATCATTACACTCGTTACACCTGGTTCCATCCTCTACGACAGAAGTCTCAAGTGAAGGAGACCTTCATAGCGTTCAAAGCCTTGGTCGAAAACAGGTTTCAACAGAAAATCCGAAACTTATATTCAGATAATGGCGGTGAATTTGTGGCATTACGGGACTTTCTCATGAATCACCATACCTGAAGCTCTTTCAACAGTCACCAAACTATACCAAGCTACGAGTTTTCGGGTCTCTCTGTTTTCTATGGCTTCGACCCTATGCTAGCAACAAATTGGACAACAGATCCCTACCGTGCACCTTCCTTGGGTACTCGCTCACTCAGAGCGCCTATATGTGCCTCGATAATTTCTATTCAACAAAATATACTTTTTAATAAATGAAAAAACAATAAGATCATTATCAATTTTTGAAATTAATAATAAGGAAAAACAATATTTTTTTTTGAATTTAATAGTTTAGATTTTAGATGTACGAGGAAAATAAATTTTTGAAAGACAATCTATACTATATAAAAGTTGAGGCTATAAGCCTCTAAGAGCGTCCACATCAGCTTTTAAGAAACCAATTAAATTTTGCCAAATCAGCATTTTAATTTTAAAATCGAAAATTAAATAAGTTTTTAAGAAAAATTACATTATCGTACATATCGTATTAAAGAATAGAAATTGTACTATTGTAAATTTTAATACTTAATTATGGCATAAATTACCTTAATCCATTATTTTTAATAGTTTATGGAAATTCAACATAAAAAAAGTTAAACTAACAAAAAGAACAAAAAAAGAAAAAAAGAAATTATGAATAAACTGGAAACTCAATGTTGAAAAAGGTAAACTAACTAAATTAAGAAATTAACAATTTAGCTATTTTAATGTTTGGCATTGGCTATAAATAGTCCTCTAAACTTTAGAATACACATACACGAGTTCTAAAGACAACCATATTCTTAGAGAGAGCATTTATTAAAATAAGTATGTCTTCTTCCAGCTTTTCTGTTTCTGATCAGTTACGGTCTCCTTTTGTTTTCGCTAAACTCACTAGAGGATTTACTAAGAAAGAGCTGCTTGCTAGAGTCATCCACTTCTGGAAGGCAAGAAACCCTAAAAATGGAGGTCTGCCTATAGGATATGAACTGCTTCTAATTGATCAAAAGGTAACGACACAAACATTAATCACCAATTATTAGCTTCCAAGGTATCATCAATGCTAAACACATCAATATGAATTGCAAGTAGACATCACCATCTTTTAAAAAGCATGGAACTTTGGTGATTTGAGGGACTTTTTAAAGATAAAGAGGCAATTTAATCTACCAAATATATATAAAAAAAAGCTTTAGACAACTAAAGAACTCGCAAATACTTAGTCAACACAAAAAAGAAAAGAACAAAATCATAAATTAGATAATAAACCTTCACTTGGGTGAGAAACAAGTAACTCGACAAGTACTCGGAAATTGATAAAAGAAAACTCGCTCATGATAGAGGCAAAGTCCTTAGCTTTACCCCAAAACGTTCATCAAAAGGCGGCAATTTTGAAAAACTAGACATCTCTGAGTCTCTAAAACTTGGCGGAGCAGTTGGCATCACCTAAAGTAATAGATTTATCACAAATTTGGATCGGAAGAAATAGACTAAACGCTAAACACATAATCTCAACATCAACAAAACTGGCTTCAAAATAAGGAAAATTCAAACCTTTCACGAAGTGATTAGCTTGAGAGAATCAGTAGAAGAAACAGAGAAATAAAGTCTCGGAAGAGGGATTAAAGCAGAAACTGTTCCGTCAATCAATTGATCTAATTAGTTTTGACAGGTCTCAATCGCTCAGAGGAATTAAGGCAAATACAGTAAAACCTCTATAAAACAATAATGTTGGGACTTTAAAATTTTATTATCTTATAGAGTTATTATTTTATCGATAAAACAATAATTATTGTTTTATAGAAATATTCTATAAAAAATAGAAACTTAATAGAAATATATTTTTTCAGTTTTTTTATTCAAAATTTCCTTATACTTTATTATTTACGTATTTTATATTTTACTTTTCTATTTTTCTATTTGACATATTTACTTTTCTATTTTTCTATTTTATGTAATTTTCTATTTTTCTTTTACATATTTACTTTTTTTTTCTTTGTCCAACAACAAATTATTTTGTTTATAAATATAGCATTCTCTTTTTCTTTTAGCAAAGTTCTTCTTCATACACAAATCTTTTTCATTATCACCAAATTCAATAATGGCTTCTAATCATCTAAAGGGTGTTTCAAAGTCAACAATGACAGATCATATACGCAAAGAATTGTGTAAGTATAAAAAAGATCATAAAGCATGCACTCAAAAGGAGTTGCAATCATGGCTTGAAGAAAAATTTCAATTAAAAGTCTGTCAAAGTGTGATTTCAACCACACTCAAGCGATCAGCTGAGTATCTTTCTAGCAACCTAGATTTGGGAGGAAACATCAAGCGACACAAATCAGCAAAATTTCCAGAGATGGAGAAAGTTGTTTATGAGTGGTTTCTCCAATACCAAGATCGTGTGAACATGTCTGGAGAGCTTATTTTGCAAAAGGCAAAAGATACAATGAAGATTCTATACCCCCAACAAGAGTCTGAGCACCAATTTTCTCAAGGTTGGCTTGAAAAATTCAAACTACGACATGGTATCAAGTCTTTTCGTCGTTTTGGAGAAAGTGGTTCGGTTGATGTACAAGACATGGAGAAGAAATTGGAAGCAATCAGGGAAAAAATAGATAAATTCCCTATGAAAGATGTTTTCAATATGGATGAAACTGGTTTGTTTTACAGGTTACAAGCTGATCATTCTCTTGCTACGAAACAACTTGAAGGAAAAAAGCAAGACAAAGAAAGACTAACAGTTGTTATTTGCTGCAATGAGGATGGGTCTGAAAAAATTCCATTATGGATTATTGGAAAATATGCAAAGCCACGTTGTTTCAAGAATGTCAACATGAGTAGCTTGAATTGTCACTATCGTGCCAACAAAAGAGCTTGGATGACAAGTGTGATTTTTGAAGAATATATCCGCTGGTTTGATAGTAGAATGCATGGGAGGAGAGTCTTGTTTGTGGTAGATAATTGTCCAGCACATCCAAAAAATATTGAAGGATTACAGAATGTTGAGCTCTTCTTCTTGCCACCCAATATGACATCAAAAATTCAACCTTGTGATGCTGGAATAATAAGAGCTTTTAAGATGCATTATCGTAGAAGATTTTACCGTCAAGTTTTAGAAGGCTATGAGTTGGGACAATCTGATCCAAGTAAGATAAATGTTCTGGAGGCTATCAATTTTGCGGTGTCAGCTTGGACCATTAATGTTCATCAAGATACAATAGCAAATTGTTTTCGACATTGTAAAATTCGTTCAGGAGATGTCCTACCAAGGAATTTAGAAGATGAATCAGTTGACATTCGTGAACTTGAAGTTGTGATTAATAATCTTGGTTATCGGAATAGAATGGATGTCAATAGCCTACTCAGCTATCCGGGTGAGAACGATTCATGCTCAGAAGTTCAAAGTCTAGAAGAAATTGTGTCTACTGTTCTTAATGGTGAAGATGAAGTTGAAGATGATGAGGAAAGACATGTGGAAGTAGTTACACGTAAGGAAGCAATTGTGGCTTCGAGAACTCTTCACAACTTTTGGTTGCATGTTGAGAACACACCACCAGAAATTGTTGATGCAATAAGAAAAATTCGAGATGAGCTCCAACGAGAATCAACCTTTCAGAAAAGACAAACTACATTGGAGTCATATTTTACTAAACTGCCTTAGATATATATGCCTTAGTTTTATAATTATTGTCTTAGCTTATTGTTGGGACTATATTTTTACATAAGAGTTTCAAAAATATTATTGTCTTATCATCTTATCGCATTATGCTATTTTTTACATTGGCCCGAGTTGGGACCGGAGAAATTTATTGTCTTATAGTGTTTATTGTTTTATCGAGTATTGTTTTATAGAGGTTCTACTGTATCCAAGATGAGAAACAAAGAAGAGGGATCTCGATGATGAGATTAACAATGTTCCGGTGGGAATAAGGTAGAAACATTGTTCGATTTTGTTGTCGGTCAATGAAGAAAGACAACGAATCATTTCTAATTTCAATGTGATAGCAAAACTGAACTGTAACAAACCAAAACAATGGAACCGGGAATCGGAAACGCGGTTGTTAATTAAACAGGATATGAAAAAGAAAAGTTTGGAATATATGAGATTTTTTAACTATCAAAAGAGTTATTTAAAAATAAAGAGATGAATTAATTAAATGGAATTGAATGCAAAATAATTAACCAACAAAAAAAGATAAATAAATTAAGTATAAATCATAAACTCAGAGCTGAAAAAGCTAAACTAATAAATAAAATTAAAAAGAAAATTAACAATTAAAATATGTATTAGACTAATTATAAAATTATTAAATTGGTTAAGTAAAAAATAATTAAAAAGTATATTACAAAGAAAAGTTTATAAAAAAGACAGACAGCAAAAATTAAAAAATTGTGAAGCTTTAGTAAAAAAAAAATTAATAGTTTAAAAAATCATTAGACCAGACCCGCGTGTGCGCGGGTCAAAAACTAGTAGACTATTGAAGATTAAGTAGAAATCATATTCTTCTACCATTATCAAGAAGGTGTATTAAAACAAGAGAAAGTTCTTTTTAGTCTATATTCACAAATCTTCCCATTTTTTTTCTTTTTTTGGATTTGGAACTTCTTCTCTCAGCGATAGCATGTTATTAGAATATACTTATTTGATTTTCATTTATCCTTACGGCATCTTTCCATATCCGACTTATTTCTTGAATTTATCATTATTTGTTTTCAATATATTTTTGACTTGTTTTTCTATGTTACCATGTAATTGGTGTCTGATGAATTATAGAATGTAGTTAAATGTTGCTGAATTATTTCAATGTTACATTTATCCACAAAGTTACAAAAAAATTACAAGGAAAAAAAAAAGAAAAAAAAAAGAAAAAACCACAACTTATTCTTTTATATATATAATATATTCTAAGAAATTAATGTTCTTTTCTTGTTTGACATAGGTTTGGTTATATATATCCAGATTTAAATTTGTTTCATGTACCATAAGTTTTCCAAATTGTTTTTTGAAATAGCCTAAAAGAATCAGATATATCAGTTATTAGTTAATTTTATCTCTCTCATTTTATCTTATCTCTTTGTGTTCTATCTCATTATATTCTATCAGGTTTATGATTATATTTGATTTAACTATTTTATAAGTATATATTTTATTATTCTACTAATTTAATTGAATGAATATTTTATTATTCAATTACATAAGTAAGTTGTTAAATATTTATTTCGCATTCAAGCAATACTAAAAATTATTATCATTTATGTTATTAAATGTAGATTATGTATACCGGATTTGAAGTCAACATCTGTTTAATGGGCCACGCTGTGACCCATAAGATTTACAGAAATAAAATAATTTTTTTTTCTCGCAAAAAAAATAAAAATAAAAAATAATTATTGAATAATTATTACTCCCTCTATTTTAAAATATAAGAGATCTTAGAGTTTTCTGGTAAAATATAAGAGATTTTAGAATTTATATGCAAAACTAAATCGTTATTTTAATTGTTTATATTTCGTAGATTTTGTTTTCATTAGTTAAAATATCTTGAAATTAAAATTGATAATAAAATATATTTTATTTGAGAAAATACATAAATTAAATAGATTTTTAATATATGTGAAAAAACCTCTGAGAATGTATTCTCATTACAAATAGCCGACAGAAAACAAAATCTTTACAAAATAAAAAATTGGTCAAAGGACGCTCCAGTTCTCTCAATCCAATTCTCGACCACACCACTCTGGTTAGTTTTCTGCTATAGTCTTTGTTTCTTTGGATCCTAAATCCATCACTGTTTGGATGGATTCGCATCCCGACAGTGATCATATGTTTCTCTGTGTTGTATGAATTTGAAACACAATTATCCCCAAATCGAAGTTGATTCGTTGGCTGCTTTCTAAGGCAGAATGCTTTAATTTTATTTTAGATTCCTTCCTTCCCATTGATTGTTGGTGGTGGTGGTTTTGAAGAAATTTCAGATTTTGATTATCTGATTTTGCAGATGGTGAATTGAATATAGCTATGGATAGGTTCAACAGCCTAGCAGATGATACAATTTGCCAAATTCTATCTTCCCTTGCGATAAAAGAGGCTGCTTTAACATCTGTCCTCTCAAAGCGATGGCGTTATCTGTTTGCCTTTAGACCGAATCTTCGTTTAGATGATGATGACGGAGTTGGTGGAGGAGGAGAAAGTTTCATCGATTTTGTGAACAGTGTATTGGGTGTGTCAGGCAAATTTCCAATGAGCAACATATCGATAAAATCTGGAAAGAGAATTGATATCGACGATACGGGTCATGTCACCCGCTGGATGACCTACGCGCTGGAACATGGTGTCCGAAACCTTAATATAGACGTAATCGCTGAGGATGTCATTATGGTGCCTCTCGAGATGTTCACTTGCAAGACAATTGTTGAGCTGAGACTATCAAAAGGATTCGAAGCTTTGATCCCTGACGACGTTTATCTTCCATCACTCAAGACTCTCTATCTCGATACTGTTTATTTCTACAATAAGCGTTATTGTGTGTTGGAGAAGCTCCTCTCTGCTTGCCCCGTGCTTGAGGAGCTAACCATTCATAGCCCGAGCTGGCAGGTTCCGAAAGGTTGTCGAACCGTGTCGTCTTCGACTCTAAAGAGACTTACTATCAAGGTTGTTCTTTTTGTTGACTTTTGGGACTTGACATTCGACACTCCAAATCTTGCCTACTTGGAGTACTGGGATTTAGCTGCAAGAAAGTATCCGGTTGTGAATCTGGACTCCCTTGTCGAAGCTAAGCTTGATCTCGATCTTTATCTCAATATGAGCAATCCGACAAATCTGCTGATTGGGTTAAGATATGTTGAGGTGTTGGAGTTGTTAACTGTTGATACTTGGATGGTAAAGAATCGATGTCTTCTTTTTCTTTTGGTGGTCGATGACTAATAAGTATTGACTGTCTTTCTCTCTTGCAGATGTTCTGTTTTTTCCGTGAGGAAATCCCTGTCTTCGGCAACCTGTTTCGTTTAACTATAACAGTTAATTTCCCCGACTACGATTGGGAATTCCTGCCACTGCTTTTGGAGAAATGTCCGAGCCTACACACTCTCGTCATCAAGGTATTGACCCAAGAGGAAGCGTTTATTGGACAAACTCAGACCTCTCTCTCTCTCTAACCTTGCCTCTTGTTTTACAGGGTCCATTGCACGCTGACACACGTGACCGAGAATATGGACTGTCATGTCCCGTGAAATTATTGGAGATTTATGAGTATGAAGGAAGCAACGTTGGAGAGCTGGAGCAGCTGAAGGTTTTCATTGAGAAACTGCCATATCTTGAGCTTGTCAAGGTTCTTGCGTATGCAACAGACGACAAGGACAAGTCTCGGATCACCAAAGATCTGCTCATGCTTCCTAGGTCGTCCATGTGCAATATCCAGATCATGTTTTGCGAGGATGCCTTGCCCAGATTAAGTCGTGTCAGGAAACTATAATTTATTTCATAATGTTTTGGATAACAAACTTTTGTTTGGTTAAATTTATTAAATGTCTGTTAAGACACAAGTTGGTTTGTGTGCACACAATTGCTCTGTTTTCCCAGTGATTATTATCTTTCGTTTGAAGTTTGAACTTGAATCGGAAGACAAATCTCTCAGTCTGCGACATACTTGCTTACCTAGAGATGGTGGTGACAGATGATATATATATATATATATATATTATATGATGATGATGATGATCTTTATGATATTCTTAGTCGATGTTTCACCATTGATTGTGTTGCGTGTTTGCGGAAGTGATTAATGTTGGGCAGAAACAGATCTTGGCAGGAACCCACATGGAAAGGTTATGTTTCGATGTATGTTTGCCAAAGATGGACTTGATCCAAATTCCAATACAGAGCATGTCTTGAGATATTGCAAAACAAGTCCACGTTGTATGCCGTTTGTTCACCTTGTTCCTGAGAAAGAAGTGCTTAATTCGCTCACAAAGTGAACCATCACCAAACGTCGTCGTCGGATCACTCAACCTCGGCTTCGGTCGGGATTGAGCTGAATGCAGATGTGGGCTTAGGAAACAATTCTTCAAGCCCATCTGTTACAAGTGGTACACAGGCCCACACAGAAGACAATCCAAGCCCATCGACTGAACCCAACACACAGCCCACTTCGTCTCAAACTTCCCCAACACGATCATCCTCACCGTCTCCTCCGTTACCCAGTCTCTCTCCACCACCACCAAGTCCCTCTCCACCACCACCGCCTCCCTCTCCACCACCACCACCACCGGAGAACCGTCACACCATGACCACTAGAGCCAAAAACAACATTACCAAACCCAGACAAAGATTGACCCTCTTAACCACAGCCACTAAACACAAACCACACATACCCTCGACTGTAAACCAGGCCATGCGTGATCCAAATTGGCGCCATGCTATGGGCGATGAGTACAATGCTCAGCTCCGGAATCGTACCTTTGATCTAGTTCCGCCGGCGCCGAACCAAAATATTGTTCCCACTATGTGGATTTATACTTTGAAATACTTACCCAATGGTTCTCTTGACAGATATAAGGCGAGATGGGTCGCGAGAGGTTTCAATCAGCAATACGGCCTTGACTATGCTGAGACCTTCAGTCCGGTTGTCAAATCTCTGACCATTCGATTGGTTTTACAGCTCGCGGTGAACCATTCCTGGCAAATCAAGCAACTCAATGTCAACAATGCGTTCCTTCATGGCACACTTACAGAGGAGGTCTATGTATCGCAGCCTCCCGGGTTTGTTGATCGTGATAAGCCTGATCATGTCTGTCGTCTCAACAAAGCCCTGTACGGACTCAAACAAGCACCGCGTGCTTGGTATCAAGAACTGAAATCTTTCCTCTGTCGCATGGGTTGCATGAACTCGGTTGCTGATACGTCTGTCTTCTCATACATCACCGGAAATCAGGTGATCTATGCCCTGGTGTATGTTGACGATATCAGTCACAGGCAACAGTCCGGCACTTGTCTCTGCCTTCATTGCTGCACTCGGAGCTCAATTCTCTCTCAAAGACCCCACAGACCTCTCCTACTTTCTTGGGATCGAAGTCACTCGTACAAACAGAGGTATGCACTTGATGCAACGGAAATATATCATTGACTTGCTCACAAAGGTTAACATGTTGGATGCTAAACCGGTGGCTACACCTATGGCTCCCCATCCGAAGCTATCCCTCCACAGTGGCAGTGTCCTTGATAATCCAACACAATTCCGTGCTGTGGTTGGTAGTCTCCAATACTTATCTTTTACTCGACCGGATATAGCCTACAGCGTCAATCGTCTTTCCCAGTTTATGCACCGGCCAACTGATCTCCACTGGCAGGCTGCGAAACGGATTCTACGCTATCTCGCCGGTACTCACTCCCACGGTATTCTCCTTAAACCCAATACTCCCTGCATCTTCACGCTTACTCTGATGCTGACTGGGCAGGTGACGTGGATGATTTCGTCTCAACAAACGCTTTTATTCTCTATCTCGGCTCCACACCACTCGCTTGGTCTTCCAAGAAACAGACGGGAGTTGCCAGGTCCTCAACCGAAGCTGAGTATCGATCTGTCGCCAATACTGCAGCCGAGATACGATGGGTCTGCTCCCTGCTGACCAAACTCGGTGTTCAGCTTCCCGCTACTCCGGTCATTTACTGTGATAACGTCGGAGCAACTTACTTAAGCGCCAACCCTGTCTTCCATTCTCGGATGAAACATTTAGCATTGGATTTCCACTTTGTACGCGAGAATGTCCAGTCGGGTGCGTTGCGTGTGGCGTTTGTCTCTACAAAGGATCAACTAGCGGACGCTTTGACCAAACCTCTTCCAAGACCACGGTTTCTCGAACTCATGTCCAAGATTGGTGTGAGAGAACTCCCTCCATCTTGAGGGGGCGTGTAAAGTATATATGTAAAGGTCTTAATTGTCATTAGTCATAGACCTAGTATCTCTTGTATGCACCCTATATATATTGTACATTCAACATCTAATACATCATTCAGCCTCCAAACCTATATCTTCCTCATCAAACCTTGATGTGTCCCCATGGAAGACTTCCAAGACTACAGGTATTGTTTTTTTGTGTGTGCGTTTGATTAGAGAACGAATGGGGATCTGTTCGAAGGATGATTAAACTGAAGGGTATTGATTTGAATACTAAGATTCTTGTTTGTCTTTCATTTAGATGGGTTCGGGAAGAAGAAGGCCAAGAGGCTTGACTTTGACTCATCCTCTGATGATGCTACTGGTACTTTTTTTCTATATTTGGCTGTGGGTTTGGACTGTGTGTCTTGAGATCCGACTTTGGACTTTTTGTATGTGTTTGGTTTGGAGGTCGCCGAGAAAAATGGAAGCCGAGGAAGAGGTTTGTCCCGAGCTTTGATGTGACCCCGAGGAAGAACTACGAGACGACAGGTACTCTGTGTGTGTGTCTGATTATAACAAGGGTGTGCGTGTGTTTGTTGTAAACAAGGGTGTGTATGTGTTGTTTAGAACATGGGTGTGTGTGTGTGTTTGATTAGAACAAGGCTGTTTGTGTGTGTGTGATTAGAACAAGGCTGTTTGTGTGTGTGTGATTAGAACAAGGCTGTGTATTGACGACAGGTATTGACTTTGTGTGTGTGTGTGCTTCGGTTGTTTAGGTCTTTATGAGCGTCGCAAGGGGAAGAAGAAGCTGGCCCCTCTCACGGATTCTTCCTCATCGAGCCCTGATGTGCCCCCAAAGAAGAGCTCGATGAGGACAGCTATTGACTGTGTGTGTGTTTGTGTTTGATTAGAACAAGGGTGTGCGTGTGTTTGTTTAGAACAAGGGTGTGTATTGTATTGACGACAGGGTGTGTATTGAATAGAACAAGGGTGTGTGTGTGTGTGTGTGGTGTGTGTTTGTTTGTTTTGATTAGAACACGGGTGTGTATTGACGGCAGGTATTGATCTTTTTGTGTGTGTGTGTGTTTAGGCCGTCGTGAATGGAGAAAGAAACAGGTTGCTCGCCTCACGGATGTCTATAACCAAATGAGGACTCTGCACCTTGGTAAGGGTGTAAGAGATTAAGTTAAATGAAATGCAGAGAAGAAGAAGTAGAATCTGCGTTTCCTCATACAATTGTCACTTTTTGTTTTTGTTTTGCAGAGAACGCCAAGGCTATTAGGGCCAAAACACGTGCTCGCTGGAGTCTCTTCCCGAGCAAGCACCATGGTGGTGTTGCTCCAGAGAAAAATCCTTTCATTTGCCTTCCCATGGTCGACGGGTTAGAGTGGTCCAAGAGAGATTGGAAGCAATTCCACGACTGGATCTTGTTTGAGAAAACGAAGGCGCGTGTGGATCCCGACATGGAAGACTACTTCTGTTAGTCCTCTCCTTCTCTCCCTCTCTGAAGTTCAAAAACTCTGTGCCCTCCTCTCTCTTTCAAACCAACCATACTCTGGTTTCCAAAACTATCAAACCTACTTTGTTGCACAGTTTCTTGTACGAAAACCTACTCTGTTTGCACAGTTTGTTCTACGGTTTTATATACAGTTTATGAGCTTGTGTCTGATTACATATTATGTGATATTGCTGGACAACTATGACCGATTAGGATGTAAGAACTAAAACGAATTCTCCAAATAACATTAGACATGCATGATATAACACTATTTTGATTGATCACAAGAAGTCAAGAACTGATAGAACATTATTCTTTACCTCAAGTTAACAAAGACAGACGACAAGAGAGATGAAAAGGAACAAACCCAATAAGACTAGTACTATACTACCCGAGAGGCTGAATGATAACCAGTCTCTGTAAAACTACTAGTAAATGTCATTTGAGAGACTGAATGACAAACAAACTCGGTAAAACTAGTGGTAAAGAATAGTATTTGAGAGACTTAACAAACCAACCAGTTCCTAGATAAACCAATGGACAAACTATTTCTTGCTTGTTCCTCACGTAAGCAAAAGACTACCAACATGTTCCAAGAAGGTTTCAGCATAGTAATGTTCCCTTCCAGCCTCTCCGTCGATCTTAAACTCTCTGCGGTTTCGTGTGACTGGATTGTAATACAAGACAACGTGTGATCCATCGACCACCCCGCGTAGTTCGAAAACAAGCTCTCATGTTCCAAAGTCTTTAGGAATCCCAACGCCGCCATCCTCATGCACATTTCATCCCTAACGCACACTTTAACTTCTCCATCACGCGAGTCAGACAACACCAAGGCAATTTTCCCCGTTATACTCCACAAGTTTACAGTCAATGTGGAAACGAATTGTGACTCCCTCAGGGCACTAATTCAATAGCTTTATTCTTTTTCAGACCCCAACGTTGAAGCTCGTCACAACAGATTTATTATGATCTTGAAAGCGCCAAGCTCCGTGCCTCCGTAGAACACAACTCCTCCTTTACCATCGGTCTCCAAGAATCTTCACCCACCGTGATAGCTACATGGTTGCTAGATCCAAGTGCACCATTTGCCAAAATCGTACACAACACCTTGAATGCATTTGTGGCTTCATCGTATCCAAACATAGTTCAATTCCGGTAAAGTCCCAAACTTTCTTGTACCCGGATTGCATATCGAAATCTTAGAGTATGGTGACGAAGACAGACCAGACCTCGGATTGGTTCACAATTGTAATCTACTCCATATGAATCAAAAGGCATCAAAAAGAAAGAAAGAAAACAAATTCACCAACCAACCATGCATGCACGAAGATCAACTGGAACAACGTCTATTACATTTCCGCCAAATTAATTCATGTAAAAGATCGATTGATGTTTCTCAAAGAAAACTCCTGATTTCTTATACTTCTCCCTTTCCCAATTCTTACATTGCAAGCCAGCTATCGTTGCAGCATCCAGAAAACTCTATGAAGATTGTAATTTGAAATTGTCAAGTTTGTACATCGAAAGATTCAGCAAAAAGAAAGCTTACGGCCAGAAAACAAATCAGATATGAAGAGACTTAATCGTTGGCTTTGTTTCCATCTGTTTATTTTTTCCGGCTTGAAAATGACGATTATTTAGGGGATTCTTACTTTGTTTCCATCGGTTGTGCTTGTCGAAAGAGAAGGTAATATTACAAATTTTTTGGCGATGAATGTGTGCAATTATAAATTTTGAAAATTTAGATATAGCTGAATATATGATATTGATAAACTAAAGAAAGAAAATTAATAAGTTAGGAAAGTTAGACTATTATCTCTCTGATTTTTTGCTTTTGAGTCAAGCAATTTTCGATTTCCTAAATCATCACTGTATTTTGATTTTCTTACTTTTGTTTCTGGTACAGGTTTGTATGCTCCTTTTAAAAAGTGATCAAATATTTATATTACAAAAAAAAAAAAAATATTAAAGTAAACCCGCAAGGCTTAATCTAGTTAATTATATATCTCAAAAGTATATATTATAAATTAATTTAAATAACTAGGAACATAGTGAAAACCGTATTTAAACATTTGGGATTACTCATGTTGTTTTAGCAGCAAAAACAACACTTCATGAAATAGAATTTTCGAATATAAGTTGTGATCATCATATCGCTGCATGCATATGTTGCTGATCCGGAATTAGTTAAACTATACATTATAGATAATAGATCATCAACAGTTCCATGCATTAGGTATATGTAATTATAGAACCACATACAATGGACAAATCCCTAAATCGCCATAAACTATCCCTTGACTTTGAAAGGAGAGCCTTAACTAGAAGCATCAACATTGAAATTAAAAGCCATGGGGAAAATCACAAAGATGTTGTGATCGTGTCTCGTTAAGTGAAAAAAAAAAAAAAAAAAAAAAAAAAAAAAAAAGCAATTAGAGACACATTAGGTTCGCAGTATCATCCCATCCAACAACGTCCCAAGTATTGGTGAGATAGCGGCCTGATGTGTCTTTGATTTCAACTTTTCTCAAATGATTCTCTTGTAGATTGTAAAGAAAAACGTAGAAAAGAGTTGTACTTTGAGGTCTAACGATAAACCCGCCGGTCCGAGTACGAGATCTATTTTGAGGTACCAAGATGACCTCACCGTTTCTAGTTGTACCTTGTACCCTCAAACTCATGTCATTGACTATATGCATATTGACTATATTCATTTGAGAAGAATGCAACCCCAGAGTCTTTCTCGACCACCTATTCTTCTCTTCATCTTCCATAACCCATAGTTCACCACACCTTCGTCTTCAAGATCGATATGGTGTAAAAGAGCTACCCTTCCACCGTATTCAATAATATCAGTATAGATATGAAACCAGTTGGCATCTTCAGGTTCTTGGAGCATACTGATTTCTTCAGAAGTCATATCGAAACTCACAAGCACTGGGAAAAGAAAACGAACCCAAGCCAAGTAATGCATACGCCCATTGATATTCAATCCTTGTGTTAAAGGACGATGTGGTGGACACCGGATTGGAATCTTTCTCCATCGGTTTGATACTTGTCCTCCCAGTATGAAGACCCAATGCTCTGACATGTATGTTACCACCGTTGCAACTCTGTCCCGGCGTCTACAAACTGTACAAACCACTTTATATTGATCATGAACAGGATCATGTCCTATATGGTACATGATCTTCATAGAATCCTGATCTTGAGCTATGATGGTGGATTATTCGATGTCAGGTAAGGCTACAAGTTGCCTAGTGCTAGTGTTGTATATTTTCGCACTTGCACCATTTACAAAGCATATGAAACCGCGAAAAACGTGAGAAACGGAGAAGTCTTCCATCCCTGAGGTGGTCAAATCTTGGTCAACTACAAAGGAATGCATAGTAGTACGGTCCGAGTTAGGAGAAGCCGACGATGATAGTAATACATTGTTGTTGCCCAAGCCCAACATCATGTAAAGACGCGGTGGCGATGATGAAACATTTAGGAAACGGTTGGTGAAATATTGGGAACAAATTAAGGATGACCAGAGCTTTGTCACAGATTTGAACCTCATAAGGGATTTCGCAGGCAGTCTAGTGAGAGTCTCGATCACGAGATCGAAAGGGATCTCTAGCGACTGGTCGCGGTCGTGGCTCTCGCATATGTCTCTTCGTCCTTGCCTTCTTATTCTTCCCAGCTTCCTTCTTGTCTTCATTCTGATGACGGCTAGGTTAAACCAAAAAGCCATATTTAGTGTACGTCGTCGTCGAAAACTTTGGGACAAAACCCTACATATACAGTAATCCGATTCCTTTATTAATCTTAATCATATAACTGAAGGGACCAACTAAAAAAAAGACGTATTGGGCCTTGTAACAGAGCCCATGTCACTCAGTCCAAAAACCTGGCATGTACCGATCCAACGACGTCGTATCCGTTGGGTGGGGGAAAGTAACTCGGTGTTTTGATCAGGGAATATTCCGAGAGTAGTAGTTATGAGTTACGATGTTGGTTTGGATCATACTGACTAATATTATCATCATGATTTTCACCAAGCAACGACAACTTTGGAGGAGTTTATGATGAGAGATCTTGGTTTATAAGATGATAAGCATGATCATGTTTCTGATATTGGTGGTTCACAGTAATTAAGATCACTTTGAAAATAATTTATGTTAAATGTATCTACATTACATTAGATTATTATTATTATTATTATTATTATTAGTTGTAAGGACTGGTTTTTTTCGAGAGATCAAACTTGAACACGAAGAAAAAGAAATCAAGGAAGAAAAAATGAAATGTGAAGAAGAAAAAAAACCGAATAAGGATTAACTAAAAATTATAATAACATGATGTCAGAGAAGCTGAAGATGATGATGAAGAAAAATCGGAAATAGAATATAAAAAAAATAGAAATAAAAAGAATAATACTGAGTTGGAGAATATAAAGATACAAGAAACGATCAAAGAACAAAAACTGGAAGATAAAGAAGAAGCATAAAAAAGAATATGATGAAAACAAATAAAAATTGGAAGAAAAAAGAAGAAGATAAGATCTTCAGAGAAGAATAAAAGGGATAAGAAAACAACCACTTAAAAAAACTTTTACAAATAAAATAAAAATAAAAGCAAATCAACAACTAATTTTTAATGTGAGATTTAGGTGTGCGGTTTAAGGGAGAATTATAATATGGATTTAGGTTTAGGATGTAGGTTCTTTAATTAGGAGGAGAGATTTTATATTGTGGGGTTTGTGTTTATGGTTTAGAGTTTATATTGATGGGTGTAGGGTTTAGTTTCTGGTGTATTTATTAAAAATTTGAATTATTATAGAAGTATATCAAAAATTAAAAATCACTTATTATAAATTTATATCTACCATTCTAAAATACACTCACAAATAGACTTTGGGTATCATTTTTCCCATATTTTCTCGTATTTTTCATAATTTTCCATATTATTTTCAATTTTTCCGATTTATTAAGACTTTGGGTATTATTTTTTGATTCCCAAAATTCCCATTTCCTTCCCATTCCCGTATAATAAGGGAATGCTTCGAGAATCATATTTGGTTTCCCGAATTTCCCATTTCCGTCCCGTACGTGTTAATTCCCGTCCCAAAATCCGAAATGCCCAAGACTAATGGCCTGCAAGATTTACAAAGATACATATCAAGAGCAAATACAAAATAAATACAGATCAAACATATAAAATTTAAATATACTCCCTCCGTTTCATAATAGTTGTCACTTTGACAAAATGAATCGGGACTATTTATTGATGTATTTGGATGTGTTTTAAGTCTTAATACATTTAGATACATTGGGTAAGTCAGGAGTCAAAACGACAATTATTATGAAACGGAGGGAGTAATAAATATTCAGATTTTATATATTTTCCAGATTTGTTACTTAACTTTCCGGTCAGTCGGACAATAAAATTTTATATATATATAGAAGAATCGAAAAGTGATAGTTCCATTATGGAAACAAAATAAGATAAAATATATGATGTCATCTAATAATTTATACCTTTTACTTATATTATAAAATGAGGAATATTATTTTATAAAATTAGTACAGTAGAAACTCTATAAATTAATAATGTCGGGACTTTGATATTTTATTAATTTATAGAGTTATTAATATATAGATTTTGACTAAAAATATTTTCCAAAAAATAAAATTCAATATTAAATCAGAAGTTTCCTTTATACGTATATTTTCTTAACTTTTTTTCTGATGTTTCTATATTTACTTTATTCTTCACATTTTCTCATACTTGCCATATTATATAAAATTCCTTTTTGCTTTTAATTTCCATATATGTTTGGTATGTGAGAGATTCATATTTTAGTAGTTAGATATTTTAGGTGTATATATATATAAATAAAAATAATTATTAATTTATGATATTATTGGGACCATATTTTACATAGGAGTTCAAAAAAAGTTATTATCTTATTATCTTATCGAATTGTGTCATATTTTACACCGGCCCAACTCGGGACCAGAGAAATTTATTAATTTATCGTGTTTATTAATTTATCGAGTATTAATTTATAGAGTTTCTACTGTATTTTTTTTCTTATGTTTTTAAAATTAGTTAATAAAAGAAATTATTTATTTGGTTTATTCATGCTATTTTGGATGGAAAAGTTTAATTTTCAAAATACTTTAATATTTTGTAATACTTATATAAATGTTCTTGGGTTAAATATATATAGTAAGATCTGTTTGATATTAAAGTATATAGTACAAATTGAATATTTTTTTTAGATTTATTTGATAATTAAATAATCAGAATATAATATTAATAAAAAACTAAGAGAGAATTGAAAAAGAAAAAAAAAAGTAAAAATCTGATGTGCACCTGTTAGAGAGTTTTTTTGGTTCAAAATATAATTTTTGTTTCCTCACGAAAAGAAAATAAAAACTAACATTGATTATTGAATAGTTAATTTCTGTATAACTAGCCGACATAAAAAAGAAGACAGCTAATGGGCTTGGTTCGTGGTGAAGCCCATTTGGCACATCAGATAGTTTGCCGTCATAATCAAGCGGATAAGATCGAGAGCGACTCCATTGTTGTCGTTGTTGATTCTCTTCTCTCGAAGCTACTCTTCGTAAACCCTGTTACACGAGAGAGTTAGATTCAGTGTCAGCCACAGCCGTTGAGTGTCAAAGATGGATATTGAGCAACATTGTGATTCTTGTGGGGCGCAGACGAAGGTAGCGTTACCAACGGCATGTGGTGATCTCACCCTCTGCTTGGACTGCGCACGAACCATGGCACAATCATCGCAGAGGTGTCCGTTTTGCGACGTGCCTGTCACTAGACTGAGGCAGGTTAGTTAAATGAAACCCTAATCTCTCATATTTCTCCTTCTTCATTTCCAGATCTGTGTTGATGAAGAATGATTTCGTAGGAAACAACCATTAGGATGCCAACGGAAGAGGAGATGGAGAGATTGATAACCCCTTGCAGCTTCCCCCAGAAGGATGCCGGAGATTTGGCCACGGCCAAGGATCGTCGTGCCGGATATGAGGAAGACGGTTCTCTCGTTATCGAGAAGGAGTTGGAAGATGGCCGGATTGCGCGGTACCAGGGCCGATTGACACCCAGGTCAAAACTACTACCTTCTCGTACCAATTCGCGGCGAGTTCGTTGCGTTCCGTGCAGATGATTGGTAAGGCTCGACTGGTTTTCATGTGTCTTTGTTCTAGATACAGTGCGATTTCGTTGCTTTTAGGGCTGGATTCGACTGGTTTTCATGGCATTAGATGAGTTATAGTTTACTGGAGATGATAGAACACATTCAACGTCTCTGTTCTAGATAAATTCTGTGATTTCTTTGCTTTTAGGCCTGGATTCGACTGGTTTTTGTGGAATCCGTTTTGTTTTTGTAGTTTTGGGAGATGAATAACACAGAGAACACTGAAAATTTTCTTGCATGCTCCAAACCTCAACTTTCTTGAATTCTGATAACCGAAACAAGGAATCCTCATTGTCTTTGTTAACAAACATGCATTTGAAGCTAGACACAGTGTGATTTGCTTGCTTATAGGCCTGGATTCGACTCGTTTTCATGAGGTGAGATCAGTTATAGTTTATTGGAGATGAGCCTGCTTGCATGATCTGAAATTTCCTGAAATCTTTATTACCGGAACAAGATTTTTGCTAACAAACATGAATTTGAAGCTGAGATTTCTACTCTTTTGCAGGTTTCAGATGAAAAAAACCCCTCTTGTTGCACAACGAAACCTCGAAGAGGCTGAGGCGTTGATTGAAAAGCGTGATAAGTCGGTCGATAAAACTGCAAACCGATTTCTGAAGAGCAACCCTACAAAACCGGGCAGCGACGAGAAAGACTCAGGCAATCTAAAGGGTAAGTCTCTTTTAATTAGCTCTACCAAAAATAGTAAATAGTGTTTCTATTGTCTTAACTCTTTCTTTTGCTCATATTTTTTTAGGTGACGATCAAGACGATGACCTCCAGTGGGGTGATATCGTTTACAAGGATGACTCCACCAGTAGTAAGTCAGCTTCAGGCAGTCACAAGTCCGACAATCAGAGTAGTAAGTCTCCTTTTTTTTTGCTTTTTCTTTTAGCATATAAGTACTGTGTCTATTGTTTTTAACTAAGAAGAAAACTCTTTTTTTCTTTTAGCTGATGACGAAGAAGACAGGCTTCTTTTGGGGTGATAAGCGGTTACTAGCAAATAGCAAATATGGGCTTATAGTGGACTTAGTCCATCTATATCCCACTTTTAAAGACAATTTTGGGGGTTATAAAATACTGATTTGTAACTCTTCCATTAGACTTTCTCCATTTTCATGGTTCTAGGCGATGGTTCTCGAATTTACCTGAGACTTCTTCTCAGTTATTTTCTTTTCTTTTGTAAGTTTTTGAATGGTTTAGACTACGGAAAACAAATTGCGTCTCTCTATTTTACTACCAAATTGCGTCTTTAGTTTACGGTTAAAACTAAAATGAATGTTCTATGCCGTAGCTAGAGGATATGGCGGTCTGATGTTTATTTCTATTTTTATTGGTCGAATGTTGCACGGTGACAAATTCATACTTAAAGTTTGACCTAATTCTGTAGTTTTCATTTCTTTTGATTGGCCACCCAGTGTTGCACACTGGCAAATTCATATTCTTGTCACTCTAATTTATATTTCTTTAGAAACAATAACAATAGTAGAAAATTATCCATGGAACAATAAATGTGGAAAATAAATTTATTTCAGAATATTACAATCATTATTATTCATTAGTTTAGTGAGTCAACAGAATAACCATAAACAAAAAGCCCCGGAGAGAAATTTACTCACGCTAGCAAAATAGAGGGTTGAGCCAAATCATAAGTAACCGTAAACGATAATTTCTATTCAACAAAATATACTTTTTAATAAATGAAAAAACAATAAGATCATTATCAATTTTTGAAATTAATAATAAGGAAAAACAATATTTTTTTTTGAATTTAATAGTTTAGATTTTAGATGTACGAGGAAAATAAATTTTTGAAAGACAATAGACTATTGAAGATTAAGTAGAAATCATATTCTTCTACCATTATCAAGAAGGTGTATTAAAACAAGAGAAAGTTCTTTTTAGTCTATATTCACAAATCTTCCCATTTTTTTTCTTTTTTTGGATTTGGAACTTCTTCTCTCAGCGATAGCATGTTATTAGAATATACTTATTTGATTTTCATTTATCCTTACGGCATCTTTCCATATCCGACTTATTTCTTGAATTTATCATTATTTGTTTTCAATATATTTTGGACTTGTTTTTCTATGTTACCATGTAATTGGTGTCTGATGAATTATAGAATGTAGTTGAATGTTGCTGAATTATTTCAATATTACATCAGTTGGTTTTGCTGAATTCTGCTGAAAAACAAAAAACTTACAAAAAAAAAAAATATCCACAAAGTTACAAAAAAGTTACAAGAAAAAAAAAACAAAAACCACAACTTATCCTTTTTTTATATACATATTGTATTCTAAAAAGTTAATGTTCTTTTCTTGTTTGACATAGGTTTGGTTATATTTATATATGTCCAGATTTAAATCAGTTCAAGCGGAAGAACCGAAACCGGATCGTTTTCATTGCTTTCGTTTCGTTTCATGGACCTCGTGACCCTTTTCATGGCCATCTTCTGAGAAAACCCTTCCTTCCACGGCGACTCCAATTACTACCAGGGGTTTTAGGTTTTATTTGGACTAAAACCTCTTTCTTTTCTCGAAATTTGGACTAAAACCTCTTAAGTCAAGACTTTTGAGAGTAAAACCCTACTTCAATTACTATGTGTTGTTTGATATTTAGGGATTTGCAAGTAAAACCTCTTATTTTATTTCATTTTACAGACAAGTCCTCTTTTTAACTGAAATAAAGATCTCCGTTTCTATTTCCGAGTTGGTTCAGTTTCTACTAAGTTAATCACAACAGTAAAGATTGTTGTTGTACAAAGGAAAATACAAGATACACTTGCTAGTTTCTATTGAATCTTGAACAAAACTTTCATAACTAGTTCTCGCTATTTCGGCTTCATATGTGAGCATCTGTAAGTGGAAATAGAACTCACTGTAAACCTTTGCAAGAACTTCTTTGCACCAATGTGCTTTTCTTCTTGATCAAGTAACAGTAGACTCAGTATATTCACAGAAGTTGATATGCCTTAGCTTCTTCCTTGTCTCCCACCGATGTTAAACCCGGAAACTGCCCAATATCATGACCAGCAAGAGGACTTAACCTGTCATGTAAACCGATTGCAAACTCTTCCGGATTAGCTTCACCGTTCTGCAGGTAATCAGCAATCTGCAGGGGAAAAAAAAAAAGATAACAGAACACATGACATCTTTTCTTCTGCAATCAGCAGATTTTTAAGACAAGGACACAACCTTGTTAAGAAGAGCTTCTTACATGGTTTCCAAGGGCTTCGCCGCTTAAAGCTGCAGATTCCAAGTTAGAACCGAGAAGCCAGTCACCGCAAATACCAGCACGGCCTTGTGGATCAAATATACATGGAACTGCAGGCGTGTTCTTTGGAAGAGCTGCTCCCCTGTCAAAACAATATTGAATCAATCACTCCACAGATCTTTCAAACATTTTAGCAAAGTCATTAACTCAATACAATTTTTTGACTTAACCATAGCTGGAGACGTGTATAAACCGGTTTAGGAAGCGAGCCTTCAGGCAAACCCAATGCGGTTTCCACACCGTGAAGCATACCGGCTCTAACTTTCTCTGATGTGACCGTTGGGATGTTTTCCTAAAGAGAAGAAAAAAAAAACAATTTGATTTCTGCAAACTTTTAACATTTAAGTTGTGAAGCCTTTGAAGAAACTAAACCTGAGGAACTTTGTTCTGTTTCCCATATGCTGCAGTACTGAAGAAAGTCCAGCAATGAGGATCTCCGCCATTTCCTAGCTTTGCAGAGTTATTTCCCATCCAAGACAATGATTCAACTCCTTTCACAAACGCTCCCTCGAAGTTCACTGTAGGAAGAGGTTCATCGAAAGCTGCTAACAGCGCCCAAATCGAACTCAGATCCAGTTTCTACAACCCAAAACAAAAGTAGAGAACTGTATCAGAGAAATGTCATAAGGTTTAGAAAGATCTTTTGCCCTAAGATATTGTATACCTTCATCTGTTTAGCAACTAGAGGCAAGCCTGATGCAGAAAGCAAACGATTCGCACATTTACCTGAAACAAAATGGTTAGGGAAAACAAGAAGACATAACAAAGCATCTGAAATCTAGGAAAAGAGATACTAATACACTTTCTTTACCATTATGAGCGATGACAATTACATCAAACTGACCACGAGGTGTTCCATTCTCACTCAAATGCCACATTCCATTAAGTGGTTCCACCTTACTAATCCAACAAGGCCTCACCAAATTCACCATTTTACTCTACATAAAAAAAATCAACAAGCATTACTTACTACTTCATCTCATAAAAAAGAGGAAAAAAAGACTCGATTTTTTTAATGTACCTCTAATAGCAACGAATCAGCGAGAGCTCGCATGCCATTAATAGCTATGTATCTTGGAGGTGACGATGGAGGAAACTGTGAGAAACTACCGCCGATTTCAAGCTCCCCCACAACACCTTTCCACTCTCTAACAAGTCCTTTCTCTAACCACCCGTCGACATATTGGATAAACCGAGAATCATTCGCGGTGAAGAATTGAGCGGCGTGGTCAAAAATCAGTCCATGTGGTTCAATAATCCTTGTTCCAAGTCTTCCTCCTAGCCCATGAATCCCCTGCGTAAATGACATCAACCCAACACAGAGAAAGAGTGAATTTTTAACTCATTCGATTCAATTCAACGCATTTGCGCCTAAAAAGCTTCGATTTGAAGTGAAATTACAACGAAAAAACACACCCAGAAACCACAAATTGACGAACCGTATCGAAAACTGTGGATTGGACGCCGCGAGCTTCCAGGTTCAGTGCGCAGACCAGACCCGACATTCCGCCACCGATAATCGCAACCTGAGGGTCGGCGGAGACCCGCGCGGTGAAAGTAACTTGTTCTTGTAAAAAGGATTTTTTGAGGATCGACCTTCTAGAAGTTCCATACTTGGAGGAATTCCGCCGTTTCTGGAAATTAGGGTTCCTGCTGTTGGGATTCGACGTCTCAGAATTCTTCTGAGAATCGCAGGTTGTTATTAATTTTCTGGTGGTAGATAGATCAGAGTTTCTGGGTTTAGCTAGGGCTTTGAGTTTCAGAGGTTGAAGAAATGAAGAAGAAGACAGAGGAATTAAAGAAGTGGCCATGGTTGAATTTTGGAGGGAGGCAAAGAAAGATAAATGTTGATTTCTGATTGAGATTATCTGTTATCTTTTAAATTTTCGGAAAGTCGAATTTACCGTTTTGTCCCCTATTTGGTTTATTCCGTTTTTTTTAATCTACTGCAGTAGTATAACCAAATTTAAAAATTTCACCTATATGATGATAATAAAGTAGATTTAATGTGTAGGCTGGTCAAATAGATTGGGAAAATTTAATCAAGATTTTAGTGATGCGTTTTTGTGATTTTAATCAACGAACACTTTCCTAAGAAACAAAAAAACTATATTAAGTATTTAATATAAATATTTATCATTCTAATTACAGCCGAAATATGCATGCATTCAAATCTCTATATAAATTAGAAATTTAGAATTCCTAATTGATTTGATATTGTCACGCGGTTCGAACAATTCAGTGTGTATAAATAAGGAGGAACAGGGAAACGGAAGACAAGCGAATGAAAATTATGGGTTTGAGGAAAGCATCTTTGCTTGTATACTTTCTATTCTTTCTCCATCTCCAGCACCAACTTCTACACGCGATTAGGATATCTTTGACAGATTTAGCCACCGTTGATCCACAACATGACAACAATCTCCCGGTGCAGTTTGCTGAATCGAAGCCGAGCGGTGACGCATTCGCCGGAGATTTAAAGAAATCAGCCGTCGTTGTTAAAAAGATCAGTTTCGGCGGAGGAGGACGCAGTTTCGGCGGAGGTGGACGCAGCTTCGGCGGCGGGGGAAGTGGCGGAAGCAGAGGAGTAAGTGGCGGAAGCAGAGGAGGAAGTAGCGGAAGCAGAGGAGGAAGTAGCGGTGGTGAGAGGACTATCGGAGGAGGAAGAAGAGGTATATATCCGTATCCGTATATTGGCGGTGGATCGCACCACAGTGGTAACCGTTCAAGCGGTAACAGTTCAAGCGGCTGCCGGGAAAGTGTTCCGGTTTGGTTAGGTTTATCAACTTTAGCCGGTTTGGTTTTCGTTCTGTAGGGTTTTCCGGATTAAACTTACCGGTTTAGGTTAACTGGTTGGCTCTGTTTAATGCCGTTTTTGCTTTCTACCGGTTTGCTCAGTGGATATTTTAGTGTACATATCAACCGATTTGAATACGTAAATAATCCGATTAGAGAATATTGTTTGGTCAATTAATCCAACAGTACTCAAATATACAAATCTCAACAATCAACATAAAAAGTTTCACATTACAATTAAAACCGAGAAAGACAGTTTACATTGTGAACCGAACATATACCGGAAATAAACAAACCGAAATTGATTTTAAATTTCCTCCGGTGAGATCAAATCAAAGCGTTAGTTTGACCAAACAAAAGCATCAGTTTCAAGGCTCACAAGCTTCTTCCAAGGACTCGTTAACTGGTTTCAAACCAGATTTACCTTTGCCAGATCTGACACGAGGGCTGTCTTGTGCGGCATTGGTGTTCTTGTTCTTGGGATCGTCTTTGTTCTGAACTGTTCCGGTGCTGTGTCTGTTCCGGTTAGAGACCGTCTTGAGAGTCTCTTCACGAGAAGTCGAGGTGATTGCGTCGCTGAAGCTTTTTCTCCGAGAAAGGATGAGTTTTGGCGACTTGGGACGCGTCAAAGGAAGCTGTAAAGAATCATAACATAAGCTACTACTACTTTATCATCACAAGAACAGAGTTTTGGATCCAAAAGATACCTTCTTGAGCTCAGGTTTCGCAGGAGGAGCCTCGTAATAGAAATTGGGGACAGGTTTAGCCTTGAACTTGAGATTCTTTCTAAGTTGTTTCAAGGCTGCTTCTTGTTCCTCCTGCAAAACAATGAACTTTTTCCATTTAGAATCCAAAAAGACTGCAACTACCGGAAAAAAATTGTACTTTACTTACCTTTTGCCTTTGTTCAAGCTCGTTCCTTTCGGCTTCAAGCGCTTGGTTCTTCTCTTCAAGCTTTTGGTAATACTGAGCCACACAATCACCACAAAAGCTCAATCAATAAACAGAACAATAGTGGCTTGTATATGTTAAGAGTGCAAATTGACTTACTTCTCTGCGTTTCTCAGCACGTTGAGCACTCCTAAACGTTGGAGCACTTCCATGGGTCACTCCAGACTTACCCATCCTCATCGATGATACGGCGCTGTGAGTACATGATCGTTAAGGAACATGATTGGTTTTGTTTAAGTATAAAGTACATACACACATACATAAGCATCAAGTATTAAAATGAAAGAGGCATGTAAAGGATACGAAGAAGCAATGGAGCAATTATCATCGTCCTCGATATGCTTCTTGTTCTCTGGTTGCAATGGCCTCCTCACCGTGAGCTGAGGAGCATCGTGCTGCAATAAAACATAAAACAAACGGGTCAAAATCGTCGAAAAGCCTCATTTTTCAAAACCAAGCAAGATGTTCTTAAAGTTTTTTTTTTGGTACGAAATGTTCTTAAAGTTTGTACCTTTGAGACTTTAGCATTTCCATTACGGATTTTAGGAGATCTCTGAGCTCCGATTCTCTCAGAGATTTCGAGTTTTGGTGCGTTCTCGGAAAGAGAATCCTCCTCGGTGCATTCCTTGACTTCAAATTCCTCCTCAGACTCGGCTGCAGCTATCTTTGGAGCGACGTGAACTCTGCCGCTTGAAACGTCGGCGTTTAGGTCCATAAGCACCTCAACAACTTCTCTTCCCATTCCACTGCTCATTTCACCCACCAAAACAAAACAAAACAACTAAGTCTCTCTTTTATACAGATTCTCAAATACCCAATTCAATTTCTAAGATCTCAGATTATCTTCGCCCTCTAATTTCTCTCTACAGGGAATAAAAAATCTCGTATAACTTTGTCGAATCTGAAATTGTGCGGAAACTATAGATAGAGAGTCACAGAAGAACAATTCCAAAGTGAAACCAACACGCATAAACAACCCAGAAGAAGACGCATTCATAAATTTATTATTTAAAAAAAAAAAAAACGTACATTTTGAAAACCAGATGGGGAATTTTCGAGGAAAATCCAATATTGCGAACAGTTTATAGAGAAAGAAGCAGATATCCGAAGAAGAACAGGTACATAAAAAACAGAGAATGATAAATTCAAAAATGCGAAAGAAATTGTTCTTACGAGTCTTGTAGGATTGAGGAAGGATTCTTGTGCACCACCTCTGATCGCCCGTGAGAATTTTGCAGACAGAATAGAAATGAATGTCTTTCTCTATCCAGAACAAAGTTGTCTCCCTCTCTCTCTCTCTCTCTAGAAAAAAAGAAAGGATTTTTTTGGGCGGTGACTATTTTGGAATTGTGTTTGATTTGTGTTAAGATGTTGGTTATTTATCAGGACTTTTCAAATTTTATTGTTTCTTTTATTTTCCTTTTCAAGTCGTTTGCTTTCAATTTTTGGATTTTCTTGGCGCTTTAATTACATCACTTTGATTTTCTTCTATCCACTAATATACCGTATGATTCTTCCTTTTCAAATGAGAATAAAATAGGTCTCTTTCAAGGAAATTCAAACTAATCAATGATTCAATAACTATTGCGCCCTGTAAGTCACAAGACGAATACCAATGTGACAATTACCTCATTTAATAGTAACCATAAATACCAATGTGACACGTAACTCATTTAATTATAACCACCTCTCGACCAACGTGATGCGAGTATTTCACTGTCACTGCTTTTTTGAAATATTTCAAACATGTATTCGGAATTTCGGATAGTGTATTTTCTTGTTGCATCTATAATTCACACCTTATTAAAAGTGCTGGAATGTTAAAGTACGTATTAATTTATTTGTAGTGTAAAAAGGAAACAATAAGCTTTTAAAATGCATCATGCCTGTTCGGTTTCAAACCTCAAGAGCAATTCTTGCTTTCCCTCGCTACTCGGTTTAAATTTTGCAGCTTTTTTGAAGTGTTACTACTTTTGAATATCGCATGATTTATTAATTTATGGACCATACATATATAGTATACTTTATTTACAGAGCAAGATTCTGACTTGTATGCATAAATCGTGAGTTCTTCAATTAATAATCTTTTGGGTAAAAAAATAATGATCTCAATGCACATAATAAGTTAATAACACACATCTTCGTTACAAAGACTACACAATTTGAGTTTATTTTTCAATTGATGGGTACTTTGTTCGATGAGGTTTAAAATCAGCTTCCTTATTTATTTTACAAGCCATCGAACATTAATTTAAAGTTATTGTGTAACTACAAAAGGCAATTAAATCCATTTCAAATTCGCAAAGAAACCGAACTAGCCACCGATATTCGAATTGTATTGGTCTTTATAATTTTTTTTACTGAATAGAAAATTCAAGAAAAATAGAAATATCCAATATTATTCCGATTTCCGACCGAATACACGACCTTTTGTGTATGTATTTGGGAAAAAACAATGGTGCTCGCTACTCACTTTGCATTGGAAACACGTAGGACCCACGTTGCAACTCAAAAACCAGAAAATCTTAGCCTTTGGCGGCAAAATTCTTGCCATGAGAACATAAAACAAAAGGCAGATCAGGTCAGTTGGTCCAACGAACGGTCCCGAGTAAATAAAAAGATATTGCCTATGAATACCGCCAAAGAGATTATATGGACCATCTCGTTACTACTCATGCTGGAAACTATAATACACTATGGATTTTCACTAATTAGTATTTATAGTCTCGTCAGACAAGAATGAATCATGAATGTAATCGATCAATAACACTCAAGATATATGGACCATCTCGTTAATACCGAATTTTATAATTCAAGCCCATTTAGGCTACAAATATGTCAGGCCCATTTCGGTTGATAACGATTAAAGACGCAACGGCTAAGAAACATCGGGGCAATCTCGTCATTCACATACTTGGAAACGAGATTAACCAATCCGTCTTTCGCTCTTACTCGGTCAACAAACCACTCGAAGACGCACACGTGTCACGTTTTTGTTGACGCGTTGGGTGCTATATAATTGCCGTTGAGACTCGTAACGGTTTTCTAATTCCCCGAGTAACCAACCAAAGCGATCAGAGAGAACTTTTCCCGCTAGCGATCAGAGAGAAAAAGCCTTCGAGAAGTTACGCAGAGACTGAAACAAAGAGTGATCGAAGATGGCGATGGAAGTAGCAACACCAGCACCGGCACCGATCCCTGCACCGGAGAGAAACCTCGTCCTCGCGCCGGCAGTCGCGGCCTCTGTTGAGAATCACAAGAAGAACAGGATCCAAGTTTCCAACACGAAGAAACCATTGTTCTTCTACGTTAATCTCGCCAAGGTACGTTTATCTCTTGATCGGAACGAAACTTTCTCGCCGGATCCACGGTTTTCTAGATCAGATGAGTACGCGTTTATCGTAATTTGTGTGAATGATCTGCTTTACGGAGGCGTGAGATCCACTTGATTGTGAATTGCATTTGTAACAATAAACGAATTTCCATTAGCATTTCAAATTGTTTATCAGATCGGAGTTTGCTTGCCAGATTTTGTTTCCGATTGCATACGCACGCACGATCTGCTATTTCTGTCCACCAAGTGTTTGCTTGAATTACAAAGAGAATAATCGGAAAATTTCTGAATCAATTTTTGTGTTTTTGAATTGCGTTTGAATCTTTCGTCGTTTTGATGCAGAGGTACATTCAACAACATAACGAGGTCGAGCTCTCTGCCCTTGGAATGGGTAAAGGCTTAACTATAACTATAATCTTCATGAATGATATGTATACAGATCGGCGTTTTGGATTTGTGTATTTATAAAACTGAATCTTCTGTATATAGCAATCACAACTGTGGTAACAATCTCTGAGATCTTGAAGAACAATGGACTTGCAACAGAGAAGAGTAAGTAAAATCTCTCTTCGTACCATCACCGTTTATCTTTTCTGTATCTAAATAATCTTTGTTTTGCGTTAAACGATGAAAACAGAGGTGTTGACATCGACTGTGGGAATGAAAGATGAGACCAAAGGAAGAATGGTTCAGAAGGCAAAGGCAAGCTTCTTCTTTAACATTTCGTTTTATGTATTAGATTTCTACTTCTCATTTTACATCTTTATGGATTCTGTTGTTGTTGCAGATCGAGATAGTGTTGGGCAAGTCAGACAAGTTTGACTCTCTGGTGCCACCCGTGACCAACGGCAAAACCCCGGAGGAGGAAGCTAATGCAGACACGGAGGCCGCCGTGAAAGCACAAGAAGAAGTTGTTCCCACCACTGAGGCCTAGGAATGTGCCGGGCCGAGAAAGAACACAGAAGAAAAGAACGATTGCTCTATTACTATGTTTTGTTGTCTTTTGTTTCGTTTGTGACATATCGAACATATATAATACGCTAGATATGATAGTAATTGTTTGTTTAGGAAGTAACCTTTCTAGTATTCTACATTCTGATTTCCATTTAGGCTTTTGAATGATAATCATGTGATATTTTCTCAACGCTCTGTGAAACAACCCCTCTCTTGTGAGAAGGAGAGGAAAGAACATTTTCTACCTCACATTCATATTGCCATTAGTCTAAAAGAAGTGGCGAAACTTCTGGTTCTGACATTTATAGAAATGCAAAGCGAAATAATTTTTGTTTATATGTTTTTTCAAAAAGAGTAATAAACGAAAATTTAACAATTAAGAAATTATAATGGGCCATCAAGCAGACGAAAGGCCCACACTATTTGATATATACCATTTTTAAATTTGCGGCCTAATTTGCGATTCGGTTTATCGGTACTGTGGTCAAAATTAGAAGATATCACGACTATAAGGTTTAAATTGTAATAAAGTAAAAGTTCACCACTTCTCGATCTCAACTTTAAGATAATTTCACCCGCCTCCTTTCTCGCCGGAATCTCTCTCTCTCTCTCCTTCTCTCTTCCACCGCCGAACCCCTTCGAAGCAAGCTTCCAGTGGGTCTCTCTAATAACGTTGAAGGTCTAATCGATTCCATGTAAGTACACTGTCATATCTTAAAGCTTTCGGACTATATCTCTCGCTTTATCATTGGTAATTCTAGGGTTCCTCACTGGGTCCATGTGTTCGTTGTGTTAGTTTAGGGGTTTTTATTAGTCTCGGTTAGTCGGGCTTGTGAAATTTTGGTATATCGCCTGTCGAATTTCGAGTGCTCGGTTTCACGTAGTCTTGTATGTTACAAGTTGTATCTGTGGGTTGAATTAGATTTGTCAGTTGACACATTTCTATGAAACTTTAACTATGTATAACGGAAATTTAATGTGCGTGTCTGGACTTTTGTATTTATGTCAGCACTGTAGTCATGGCTGAAGCTGAAGATCAGCAAAATTTTGTTGCACACAATGGAGATCAAGTAAAAGATCATGGGCTAGATGAGGTGCACAATGGGATACAGTACCAGGTCGATGATGAGACCCTTGGTCACCAACCGTACCAGGTTCAAGACCCGATTCTTGAATCTCAGCAGTACGAGGTTCAAGATCAGATTCTTGAATCTCAGCAGTACGAGGTTCAAGATCAGATTCTCGAATCCCAGCAGTACGGGGTTGAAGATCAGACTCTTGAGCCTCAGCAGTACGAGGTTCAAGATCAATTAGAGTACCAAGAGTACCAGGTGCAGGACCAGGCTAACGAAGAAGCTCAAGATCAGCAGCAAGACGAACTACAGTATCATCCAGAAAACCAGGAGCAGTATCAGTTGCAAGACGAGGCTCATGATCAGGCTCAGTATCAGGTGGAGGGTGAGCCACAAGATCACAATGGTGATGAGGTGCGAGATGAAGTAGAAGGTGAGGAAGGAATTCCCGAGCATGAGGAGTCTCCACTGAAATCAGAGCCTGAAGGAGGTGCAACAGTTGGAGGTGAGGAGAAGAGGTGGCCGGGATGGCCCGGAGAGACGGTGTTCCGCATGCTGGTTCCTGCACAGAAAGTAGGTAGCATCATTGGTCGCAAAGGTGATGTCATAAAGAAAATAGTTGAGGAGACAAGGGCTCGAATCAAGATTCTCGATGGTCCTCCAGGCACAACCGAAAGAGCTGTGAGTCTCTAAATCCTTTTTCCTTGGCCTTACATTTCATGTTATAGGAGTTGCATCTTTTAGTCAAATAACGCATTTGAACCAAAACTGGAGTCCTAAATGATAAGAAAACTAATATAGTAGAAGATACACACTTTTAGGCTGTATAGTCCACTGGTCTAAAGTTTTCAGGCTCTAGCTTCTGTTGAAAAATGTAAGACAACCCTTGAGCAGACTTTCTCCTTGATCTTAATAAAGATGTAAGTAAACAGATAGGAAACTGCACACCCCCAACTGAAAGAAGTTATGAACAAAGTCATGCCAGGAAAGTGTTTTAGTTTGGCTGAGTGATAAGATTCTGAGGTGCTAAAAACGTGTTGAAGAATGTAGTGCATCAAGCGAAACTAACTTAGTAAGTAAAGTAGCAGGCCTGCTTAATCATTTCCTTCAAAGTGAAAGGGGAAGATAATCGACGAAGTTGATAAACATGTGAGTAGGGTTCCCTTTATTGCTGTGACCACCATGAATCTATGCAGGTTTCATCTTGCAAGTTTTATGGCAACAAATCACTCATTGGTAAGGTCTCAGATATGAAGAACCAAAGCCAGATGGCAAGGATTTCAGCCTTGAGGCGCTGCATAGTGCTGATAAGTTTATCCGAATAGGCAAGATTCTTCTTGTATAAATCTCAGTGCCATGAAGCTCTGCATTCTTTCTGGTAACTTCAGTACCTGGATGATTGATGTCTTGCTGCAGACTTTCTGCAGCATGCAAGGACCTGGTTAACCGGATGTAACAATAAGTGGACGATGAGATTATGGAATAGGCAACAATTAAGTAAAGAGAAATCTAAGATTGCATGAAAAAGGTTCTATGAAGAGCTTCTCTAAGTCTAGAATGTTGGTCATGGCTGCTATGCCATCTTAAAGGCGATAACCTAATTACCATGGTTACAAACTTGAAATGAAGATCTAAACAGGAAATAAACATCTGGTCAAGTGCATATTAGTCTGTACTTCATTGGAATTTTCTTTATTCTCTGAGAAATGATGGCACCAAAATTGATGATTGGTATAGAGACTAATATCGCTGTTTCTTACATGTTTGAAGTTGTTTGCTAATGTCGTCTGCTTGTTTCCTCTTTGTCGGCAGGTTATGGTTTCTGGAAAAGAAGAGCCCGAGTCATCTCTACCTCCTTCTATGGATGGCCTTCTGAGAGTCCACATGCGGATAGTTGATGGTCTGGATGGTGAAGCTTCTCAGGCCCCTCCGCCTACAAAGGTTTCAACAAGATTACTAGTCCCAGCATCTCAGGCTGGAAGTTTGATTGGAAAACAGGGAGCAACCGTTAAAGCCATACAAGAAGCATCTGGTTGTATAGTTAGAGTTCTTGGATCAGGTAGCATCTCTTCACACTTTACATGCTGAACTCATCTTTCCTCCTGTGTGTAATTTTTGTGTTTGTCTGACACTTGTTGTGTGGATTGTTTGTAGAGGATTTGCCCGTTTTCGCTCTTCAAGATGATAGGGTTGTTGAAGTTGCAGGCGAACCAACAAGTGTTCATAAAGCCCTGGAGCTGATTGCATCACATCTCAGAAAGTTCTTGGTTGATCGTAGCATCATCCCATATTTTGAAAACCAGGTTATCTTCTGTTCCCGTCCAGATCTTTGGCAATGTTTCCCAATTGCATTGCGTGTATGAAACTTTTCTCTGTACTCTGGTTTTGAAACAGATGCAAAAGCCAACTCGCCAGATGGATCACATGCCGCCACAACACCAGGCCTGGGGTCCACCTCAAGGTCATACCCAAGGTAGTGGTGGAGGTTCTAGCTATGCTCACAACCCACCTCAATATATGCAACCACCTCCTAGACATGATAGTTACTATCCTCCTCCGGAGATGCGTCCACCTCCAATGGAGAAACAGCCTCACCAAGGTATATCTGCATATGGAAGGGAGCCTCCTATGAACGTGCATGTATCAGCAGCCCCACCTATGCTCGCTCAGGTACTCACAAGTTAACCGTTCAATCTACTGCAATGCATGAAAGATTGAAAGTAAATCACATTAGAATCTGAGTGGTGTGTTTGTTTGTTTCCAGCAAATTACGCAGCAAATGCAGATTCAACTATCTTACGCAGATGCCGTAATAGGGAATTCGGGATCAAACATAAGCTACACTCGACGTCTTAGTGGAGCAACAGTAACCATTCAGGAAACCAAAGGAGTACCTGGCGAAATGACTGTTGAGGTCAGCGGAACTGGCTCACAAGTCCAAACCGCTATGCAGCTTATCCGGGTACGTATCATTATCATCATCACTCTCCCGGTTTTCGTGACCATAGCTGCGTTGTTGTATGTAATTGATCTCTCATAAACGAGACAATCCAATCTTGTTGATGACAGAACTTCATGGCGGAAGCTGGAGCGCCTGCACCAGCACAGCCGCAAACTGTAGCACCAGAGCAGCAAGGCTACAACCCGTACGCAACACACGGGTCAGTCTACGCAGCGGCTCCAACGAATCCGCCTGGAGGATACGCCGCGGATTACAGCTCAGGCTACAGCTCAGGCTACGGTTACTGATAAAAGATTATTATAAGTTACTTTTGTTTTAGAATGTTGACTAGTTTGCAAACAAGAGTGAGAGAACGCTAGATTGCCTAATCCTGAGAGTATATGTTGTTATTAGCGAGCATCCCTGTTTCTTGAATCAATTATCATTTATTTTCCTACCGTTTCGAAACGTTTGTGTGGCTGTTACCGTCTTTATTTGGTCAAATATGTTCACACTTGACTTTGCCCCGGAAAAATTCTTCGAATATCATTTGATATCGAACGTTGTTTGAAGTAATTTTAAGAGGAGCGAAAATTCGTTTCTACAAACGTTGACGTAGGACATGGTCAACTAATCAAAACAATTTTAAAAGTCTAGTAAGAAAATAATCTGTCTTCTCTCCGCCACACCCTAGAACACTGCATAGAAAAGTCACTTGCAGATTTTGGTAAGTTGTGACTTGTAAGTTGGGACTTGTTCCAGTTTATATGGTCACAAGATGAGATTCGTTCTTGAGACTTAACGAACTGTGTTTGGTTTGCAGACGCATCATTATGGACTGGATACTGCTTAAAGCTGCAGCTGAAGGGGACACTAATCTCTTTCATCGTACCAAACTCCATCAACCAGATTTCGACAAGGTAACGCCACAGAAGAACAACGTTCTTCACATTGCAGCTAAGAATCAGAGGCCTAAATTCGCTGCAGCCATACTTGATCTTTGCCCATCCCTCCTCCTTGGAGTAAACTGCAATGGAGACACCCCTCTCCACGTGGCAGCTAGAGTTGGTTCTTTAGAAGTTTCCAAACTTCTTGTCAATACAGCTAATCAAGCGACTTCTTCAGATGTCGACACACGGAACCAGCTATTGAGGTCTACTAACAAGCAGAACGACACAGCTTTAAATCTTGCTATTAAGCAAGGACATGTCCATGTAGCTAAGTTCCTTGTTGAAGAAGATACAGGATTGCTAGATATGGCCAATAACGACCACAATGATGTATTGTGTCCTTTGTACTTAGCTATTGAAAGAGGGCTTTTCGACACTGCTGACCACATTTTGGAAATATCTCCTTCGGTTTCCGGTAAAGGGCCTAAAGGTTTAAATGCTTTGCACGCCGCTGTGGAGTCCGACAATGTCACAACTGGTAATTAATTAACTGATTATGTTTTCTTTCTCTTTTGAAACTTTTCTTAGTATAGACTTGTTTCTTGTTTTGGTTAGGTTTCTTGAGAAAATTAATGGGGAAAAGGCCGGAGATGATCAAAGAAGCTGATTCTATCGGATGGACACCACTTCATTACTCGGTATGGCTAGGCAAAATCAAGATAACTCGACTCATTCTCCGACAAGATCACTCGGCTGCTTACATATCCGACAAGGAAGGACAATGTCCGCTTCATCTCGCTGCGTCTACTGGCCAAACTGATGCCTACAGAGAGCTCGTTCGTAGCTGTCCTTATGTCTGGGAACAAGTTGATGCCAAAGGCAGAACATCTCTCCACTCTGCAGTCATCTCAAGACAGAAAAGAATCATTCACTGTGTTGTAGACATGCCTGATGAGGTTTCTCTTCATCTGCTGAACGAAAGCGATGCAGATGGAAACACGCCTCTCCATCTATCTGTTGTCTACAAATGCCACGCCATTTTGCTTCTTCTCTTGCGTAACAAGCGAGTCGATAAACATGTTCTGAATAGAAACCACTTCACCGCTGCTCAACTCTTTTACTCTCAAAAGCAAGAGGTACATTACATTGCTGATGATGATCTCTGTATATAGAAAATCTATGCCTTTTTAGCTTATAAGGTATTGATTTTTTTTTATCAGATTGGTTTCAAAGTGGCGATGGTATACTATGCACTGCAAATATACTACAAACAACCATCTAAGCGAGAGAACATAGAGGCCAAGAGGAAGCAAGAGAAGAGAGATCTTGAAGAAAGCAATGCAAGAACTGATTGTGCAATGTACGAGGTTCATCTTCTAGTCGCGGTTCTTGTCGCCACCGTGGCGTTTACTTCGGCGTTCCAACTACCGGGAGGTTACAAACCGGACGGCACACCTGCATTGATGGAAGAAGTAGCTTTCAAGTGTTTCTTGGTGTTTGACACAATAGCTTTTTGCTGCTCTGTAACCACAGTCTATTTCTTGTTCTACGCTTCGAGAGATGGGTATAGGGCACGCTCCACTTCTTTTGTCTACATGTCTGCGATGCTAATGGTTGTGTCTCTGATCGCAATGGCGTCTGCGTTTGTATCAGGGGTGTATCTGATTTCGTCCAAATCGAGAGAAGTAGCCATTGCACCTCTCTTGATGGGTGGATTCTTCCTCTTGCATGGTTTCATCTACTGGTTCCTTGATCCTCGTGGCAGCTACCTCCTTGGCCTCGAACGACCTCGCCGCTTTTTCAGGAGGTTGATCTTTCGGAACTCACTGCTCCATGTTTTTGTATGCGACTGATCTTTATCTATCAGTGAGTTTGTGCAAAAGGGGATTGTTATAAGAAATTATTAAATAACAAACAAACTTGTATCTAAATTAACATACATTCAACAAATATAAAATAGGATAAAATCTCATCTCACGAGTTTATGCCTAAAAAACATTGCTCAAGCTGAGCATATAAAGAACATTCAACAAACATATAACGTGGTTTCTTCAGGTGTTTATTTCCATCTATGGACTGAAATCTTGAAATTGATCAAGAACGGTTGTCTTATTATAGTACACTTTTAACAGAGTTTTACCCCTGCGGTTTCGAGTCTCCTGTCACAAGAGGAATCCACACACAAATTCATGGGATTTGCCGGTAAACGTATATTATCTAATCCAATTAGGTTACTCCAAGTCTCCTCCAATCAAAGTTCATTTAATAATCAGTGCTAAATATTCTCGCGGACGTGTGGATATTTTAGCAACGTGAAGGCCATAACGTGAATACTATATCCAATAAATAAGGAAACTTGCGGGAACAGTTCGTATATGGAACATGTTTTAAATAATTTTAATAGAGCAAAGAAAAATAACAAAAAAGACAGGACAAGAACAAAAAAACTTGTTTTGACAAGCGTTGACGTAGGACAAAGTCCACTGATCAAATAATTTTCGAAGACTAAGACAACAATATATGTTGTACGTTATATCCTCCATACACTAGAAAGACGTACTGCATAAAAAAGCTGAATCTGCGTCTCTTTTCTCTCCAAGAAATCCATTTTTGCATCAGCGCACTTGCAGATTTTGTTAAGGTCTTACTTAATCCAGATGCTATGTTTGGTACGTAAGTTCTCTTTTCGGGTTCGTTCTTGAGACTTTATTAACTGTGTTTGGTTTGCAGACGCAAGATGGACTGGAGATTGCTTAAAGCTGCAGCTAAAGGGGACACTAATCTCCTTCATCTTACCGAATTCCATCAACCAGATTTCGACAAGGTAACGCCACAGAAGAACAACGTTCTTCACATCGCAGCCAAGCACCAGAGGCCTGAATTCGCTGCTGCCATACTTGATCTTTGCCCATCTCTCCTCCTTAGAGTTAACAGTACTGGAGACACACCTCTCCACGTGGCAGCTAGAGTAGGTTCTTTGGAAGTTTCTAAACTTCTTGTCAATCCAGCTAATCAAGCGACTTCAGATGTCGAAAATCGGTTAATAGTCAACCAAGTTCAAAATATGACTCGGGAGCAAATATTGAGGACTACTAATAAGCAGAACGATACAGCTTTACATGTGGCATTAAAGCATGGACATGTCCATGTAGCTATGTTCCTTGTTGAAGAAGACACAGGATTGCTAAATATGGCCAACAACAACCACAATGTATTGTGTCCTTTGTACTTGGCTATTGAAAGAGGGCTTTTCGACATTGCTGATCACATTTTGGACACATCTCCTTCGGTTTCCGGTAAAGGGCCTAAAGGTTTAAATGCTTTGCACGCCGCTGTGGATTCCGACAATGTCAGCACTGGTAATTAACTTATTATCCTTTCTTTTTCCCTTTTGAAAATTTTCTTAGTGTAGACTTGTTTCTTGTTTTGGTTAGGTTTCTTGAGAAAATTGATGGAGAAAAGGCCGGAAATGATCAAAGAAGCCGACTCTATCGGATGGACACCACTTCATTATTCGGTATGGCTAGGCAAAATGGAGACAACTCGACTCATTCTCCGACAAGATAACTCGGCTGCTTATGAATCCGACAAGGAAGGACAATGCCCGCTTCATCTCGCGGCGTCTACTGGCCAAACTGATGCCTACATAGAGCTTGTTCGTAGCTGTCCTTATATATGGGAACAAGTTGATGGCAAAGGAAGAACATCTCTCCACTCTGCAGTCATATCAAGACAAAAAGGAATCATTGACTGTGTTGTAGACATGCCTGATGAGGTTTCTTTTCATCTGCTCAACGAAAGCGACGTAGATGGAAACACGCCTCTCCATCTATCCGTTGTTTACAAATGCCACGACATTTTGCTGCTTCTTTTGCGTAACAAACGAGTCGATAAACATTTTGTGAATCAAAACCACTTCACCGCTGCTCAGCTCTTTTACTCTCAGAAGCAAGAGGTACATTACTGATATGAACCTTTGTTAACAATAAAGAGGTAGATAGAAGATTTAGGCTAAGCTTCCTCTTAAGTCTTAACCCTAAACTCTCTTGGAGATTAAGGTAATTCTTGGAAGTTGGCTCTTATTAATTCATTAGAGACCCTTACATAGGTCTTGATACAAATTTAATAAAAAACCTAATATAAATTTAAAAGGAAATCACTCCAACTTAAAAGAGAAAATAACAAAACCTTATTCATAAAATAAACACCAAAACTCATTAGCTAAAAGCCTAAAACATCCTAACCAATGCTAACTATTGGCTCGTATCAATTACATTGCTGATGATCTCTATCTAAGCCCTTTTAGCTTATAAGGAATTGAATTTTACAGATTAGTTTCATAGTGGCGATGGTATACTATACGCTGCAAAGATACTACAAACAACCATCTCAGGGAGAGAGCATAGACGCCAAGAACAAGCAAGAGAAGAGAGATCTTGAAGAAAGCAATGCAAGAAATGACGGCGCAATGTACGAAGTTCATCTTCTAGTCGCGGTTCTTGTCGCAACTGTAGCGTTCGCGGCGGCGTTCCAACTACCTGGTGGTTACAAAACCGACGGTACACCTGCATTGATGGAAGAAGCCGCTTTCAAATGTTTCTTGGTGTTTGACACAATCGCCTTTTGCTTCTCTGTAACCACAGTCTACTTCTTGTTCTACGCTTCGAGAGATGGGTATCGCGTACGCTCCGTTTCTTTCGTCTACGTGACTGCGCTGTTAATGGTTGCGTCTCTGATCGCAATGGCGTCTGCGTTCGTATCAGGCATGTACCTGATTTCGTCCAAGTCTAGATTATTAGCCATTGTACCTTTCTTGATGGTTGGATACTCCGTCTTGCATGGTTTCATTTACTGGTTCCTTGATCCACGAGGTAGCCGCGTCCGTGGCCTGGGACGACCTCGCCGCTTTTTCAGGAGAATAATCTTTCGGAACTCACTGGCTCATGAGCTGGTATGTCACTGAGTGAGTTTGTGTAAAAAGGGTTTGTAATAAAGGGAAAAATACAATGATTACTCTCTTCCTTTCATTTCATTTGTCATTCTAACCATCTTAAAGCAAATTTTACCTTAAAAACAAAGTTGACTTTTACAAATGTTCATTAAATAGAACGACAACTAAGAAAAAGGGAGGGAGTTTATTACATAACAATTCGTACCTTGTGATAAATTAAACCTAATTAACATACATTCAACAAATAAAAATAAAATCTCATCTCAGGAGTTTATGCGTAAACACAACTGCTCAAGCTGAGCAAGCATTTAAAATAACTGTAGAAAAGATTCAACAAACATACAATGTAGTTCTTCAGGTGTATGTTTCCTTCTATTACCTCAAATCTTGAAATTGATCAAGAACCACCTGTCTTTTTATAGCACACTTAACGGAGTTGTTCCTGTCACAAGAGAAATCCACACATATAAATTAGATTTGTGACTTCAATTAGGACACTAAACATTATATCCTTAAACACCAGCCAAGAAACTTACAGTGTTGTTGCTTCCAAATCAAATGGGTGCAGCACAAGTGGTTCTGAAATGGCCGGTCTGGTTACACCGGCTACAATGCACAACACGCTTCACTCGTCCTCTATCCTCAGCTCGAACCCGTCTCTTCCTCGGCCTACCAGGTGGTCTCAGCGACTTCGGTGGGTTTATAACAGCCTCAAGAGCCTCTTTATTCACGTTAGGATCTCCCTCAGAGAGCTCTCTCCAAAGACTCTTATCAGGAATCGGATGAATCGTCTGAGAATAGGTCTTCCTATACGTAGCCACAGTGAAACAGCTCTCAGTGAACCGATGCACATTCTGTCTACACGAAAGCAGCGCCGCCACGGCGTGCGCGCAAGGCAAACCGTACAACTGCCAACCACGGCAGAGACAGCACCGATTCCTAATATCAACAATGTTGTTCCCTTCATGAGATATAACTTCAAACTCCGCTTCATTCGCTCGAAGCACCTGATAGGTTCTTGCAAGCTCAAGAGCTTCCGCTACACGCCGCTCAGCGGTTGGAACGAGGATTGAAGTCCACTGCATACTCGTCTCACGTCGTTCGTTGAACCAAGTCATTAACTGTCTCCTAATGCATTCCATCATCTGAATAATCGGAAGACCAGACGCTTCAGCGATCCACGAGTTCAGCGACTCGACTATGTTCGCGGTCAAGTGACCAAACCGCTGTCCTTCGAAGTACGCAGTAGCCCACAGCCGAGGAGGGATCCTCCGGATCCAGTACGCTGCATCTTGAGAAACCTCTTCAATCTCAAGAATCTTGGCTTCAAACTCAATCACCGTCAAAGCTTGAGCAGCTTCCCACAGATAGTTAACCAGCATCGTGTTGTTGAACTCCTTGCGGAAGCTCTCGCTCAAATGTCTCATACAGAATCCATGAAACGCAGTTGGGAAATTCTGCTCCACGCCTTCCACTATCCCTTTTTGTCTGTCTGACAAGATGGTGAGCCTCGGCATGTTCTCTGTATTGGTCTCAAGAAGGTTATGAAGCTCACACAAGAACCACATCCAGTTCTCATCGTTCTCTTCGTCAACAATCCCAAACGCTAACGGAAACAACGCACCGTCACCGTCGAAGCCAGTGGCGAGAAGCAGAGTCCCCAAGTACTTGCTCTTTAGATACGTCCTGTCGAGTCCAAGAAGCGGACGACACGCGTTTAGAAACCCGTAGATGGAAGCTTGGAAAGAGATGAAGAGACGCTGGAAGCAGTTATCAGCAGGACTTCCGTAAACAGAAGCAATGCTTCCCGGATTCGTTCTCTTCACCTGTTCGCAGTACTGAGGAAGCAACCGATACCCTTCTTCGAAAGATCCTCGCATAGTCGCCATGATTCTTTCTTTGCCACGCCAAGCTTGCTTGTACGACAAGGTAATCCCATGGACACGGTGTATCTCTTCAAGAATCTCTTTCGGTTTACAATTCGGATTCTCTCGGAGACGTTGCTCGACGGAGCTAGCCACCCACTGGACGGAAGCTTGCTGGTGACCTAAATGGTTGATTCCTCCACAGCTGTGGCTTTCATGGATGGTTCTGATTGTGAAAGTTGGCACACCGGGGAGCTTTGCGGCGTGGACTCTCCATGGACATCCGTCGGTTGAACACTTGGCCGTGAAACGAGTTTTGTCGGATTTGATCGTCTGCATTTCGAAATGAAGAGCAATCGCCATGTCTCTCAACGCTCTGCGGCAGCTCTTAACGTCTGGAAACTCTTGACCAACCGTGAGCTGGTACGTTAGCTCGTCAGAGAGAGCTCTGGCTTGAACCGGAGTGCTGACCATAACCATTTCACCGTGGTCATCGATACCAATCTCGTGACTTGAGTCAACAGCTAGTTCGAGATTCTCGTCTAGGTCATGGTCTTCTTCCCCAACCACCATCTGGTTGTTATCCGATAATGAAAAGTCATGGTTTTGCGAGGAGAGGACTAAATCAGGATCAACACCGTCCTCCTCGTGGTGGCCAGGCTTTTCATCTACCGAGATTTCGTTCTCGTTCATGTAATCGTGATGATGATGGTGATGATGTTGATGATCCTCTTCATCTTGATTCTCGCTACTTCCTAAGCCTAGCTCATGATCATCATGTGGATGTCCTAAATCAATCTCATGATCGTGATCGTGATGAGCCTGTCCTAAATCCATGTTGTGGCCTTGCCCTAAATCCACATCATGGCTTTGACCAAGCCCTAGACCGTGGCTGTTGTGACCAAGCACCAATGACTGACCCTGACCAATACCGATGTTATGGTTTTGTCCGAGCATTAAATCGCGATTCGCCATGGCTTAGCCTGAAGCAATCTCCTTCCTTGTTTTATCAACTAAACTAGAGCTCCAAAAACAACACAGTCGTGAAAAGAAACTAATTAACTTTCTCGCTTTACAGGTACCTGAAAAAATAGGACAACAAGAATGAATTAATCTTCACCGGACAGTAAATTCCTCACCGAAAAACTGTAACTTAATCTTCAGACAAATGTATATGTCGGTCGTACAAGCTACAAATGCAGAGCAAAACCAAACAGTGAGCAAACAAAATCTGATAGAGACGAGCAAATTACACATAAAGTTACGATATTTACTGCGCCCAATCTCAAATCTACATAATCAGATTTAACTCTAAAAGCCAGATTCGAAACTCGACAAAGTTTCTGAATCATGTTCGAAATCACTATCAGGTAACGAATCGACTCCAAAACACAAAGATCTGGACTGAGTAAGAAGATAAAACGAATGAAAGAACACAACACGAAAGTCAAAAGTAAAAGGGAGAGAAGACATACCAAACATACAAACAAAATTGAAAAATTGAAACTTTTAACTCCAGAACCAAAAAAACTTAGGAGAATCAAATTCTTGGCATATCAAGCAAATCACGAGAAAACAGAAGAGACCAACCACCGTTTCTGGGAAATGGAAGATCTGGGGCTTCTATGAAGGAATCCGAAATGGGAAAGGAGCCGTTGGAGAAAAGGAAGTTGAAATTGGCGGGTAAAAAAAAAGGAATGGAGAAATCGGGGAGAGAAAATCAATGAGAAGGGCAAAAAGGAACGGAGAAGAGGAAGCAAAACTAAGGGGTGGGATTGGGAATTACAGAAGGGGCAGAAGAGGGAGAGATTAGGTTTCCCAGCGGCTGATGATTGCAATTTACACGTCCCACATTAGGGCATTTCTGTCTTTTTCTTATTTTTTCTCTTTACTCTCCCCTTGGTATCTCAGACTATTTACGGTTTTGCCATCATAGATTTAGAGTCCAACTACACTATCGAATTGAACTAACCAAACAAACAAGGCCCAACCCAACTAAAGTAGTTCAGATCAGATCTTTTAACTATTTGACATAAGTATATGTAATAAACAAATCTAGTAAATAATCACTCATTTCTCTGACTTAATTTCTCCAAGAATAGAAGTTGCCAATTATGTCAATGTTACATTATAAGGATGTAAGATCTATGCTTTTCATGAATTCAAAGTTCAAAACAAATATTATGTAAATATACCCGTAAATATATGTTTTGTTTTGTTAAATAATTTAATTGGTCGCGGAAACAGTCAGTTAACAATGCATTTTTTAAAATATATCAATTATAAAGAAAATGGCAAGTACCACAAGTCTATGCGTCCTTCCAAATGTAAAAATAGACAACGAGTTTCAGAAGAAATTATAGGCTCTACTCAAAGTAAAAATCAAATAACGTTGTGGTTTTTCTGGGCTCTACTCAAACATGCTTGGGAGAGGTCTCACGGCCATGAACGCATCCACCATCTGATTTTTATTTGTAAAACAAAAAATGTAGAGTTAGTAAAGAACTGATAATGAATCTTGATGGTCGAGACTCATAAACTTTTCTTGTCAAATTGATTTTACCTCATCAGTAACGGCAGCTCGAGCTCTGCGGTGTCTCTCCACCATTTCTGTCAAAACTTCAGTGAGTCGCTTCTTTACATCTCCGGTTAGCATTCTTCCTTCTCCATACTCCTGAAATAGTACAATGTTCCGATAAGATGAGCACATGAACATCTTTAATAACAAAGCTGGCGAGAAGTGTTACGTGATTTACCTTCTTTATGTGTTCAAGTTCAGAATCATCTTCTAGGAAGAAACTCAGATACTTGACCGGTATGTCCACCTGTAAAGTAGTAGAAAGAATATTAACACAAAAAGGACTTCGTATAGCACTGAAACCGTGAAGTATCAAGAAAACAGCTTTGCAAGAATCCGCAACTGATAGATACAGAATGGTTCCTCAGTTAAATTAGATTTAGGTACCTCGAGATTTGCTCCGAGTTCTCTGTGCTTCTCGACGGAGTCTTGCCCACCACTAAACGCAAATCTGTTTATCTGCATATGCCAAAGTTCAGACACTCAAATGCCATTACAGCTGCAAAGTGTCTAGGATTGGTGGGGGAAGAGTGATGGGAAGCAATGGGAAAACGAAACAACTTCAAATCACAGAACTCACCTTGTTTTTAATGTCCTTGGCGGTATCAGTCACATAGATAGCGGAATTTGGATCACTAGCAGACATTTTCCCGTTCTCTCCCTGCGAAAAGTTACCCCCCAAAGGCATTTCAATAGTTTGAAAGAAAGAAAGAGTAGTGTACAAGGTATAACTATATCTCTGTCAACTTGCCTGCAGAGCAGGAAAGAACGTTGACTCAATCAGAGCAGGCTTGCTATAGCCTAACCGGGGTGCAACATCACGAGTCATTCTAAAATAAGGATCCTGAACAGAACCAAAACCAAATATTTGATTATTCACACAACAACAGCATAACATAATGATACACAAAGGACAAACAAACGAAGAAAAATTAGGCAAACAAAAGGGTTAAGATCCAAACTGAAAAAAAAAAACTGCATACCTGGTCAATTGCACAAGGGATCAGGCAACGGAGATTGTCTTTGCCAGGGAACAAATGCGGGAATGAGCTAGGAAAAGATGGAACTGCCTGCAATTGTATGGAGAAAATTAAAAAGTGATCGAATTTTAAATACAACAGTCTTCTATATCCATTAGCATACACGAACAAAAGAGACACACATACCTGTATAGGAGGGAAACTTAGTTTTCCAATATAGTCTTCGCCGGAAAAGCCAAAGATTCCCATAGCCTAGCAAACAAGGAGATATGAACATGAAAACCATACGAGTCACAATCACATTGTGCAATTCAAGGAGATAGAAAGTGAAGTCACCTTATTAAGTGTAACGCACTTTCCAACCTTGACCATGTTTTCATAAAAAGCGCTACACACAAAGGTTTTATCTCACATCACCAGCCAGAAAAGACTAATGTAAGCATCAAAAACCGAAACCTAAACGGGATCCAAACGTGACTCACCCGCCAATATAGTTAAAGTCGGAGAAAATGAAGGTCTTTGTGACATCGAATCCGCAAGCAATTATATCTTTCGCGTTTTCTCTGGCAAGTCTTTTACTTTCCTCAACCGATATGTTCTTCCAGATGCATTTCTCATCGTCCGTAAGCTGTATCACGAGTGGAACCTTGAAAGCATCTTGCAAGTATCTGCGAAGCAAAATTCGAGTATCAAACAACAACGAAGTAAAGATCTTCCAAACAACAATCCTCTCATTTGATATTTTCTAAGATCTCACTTACTTGGTAAACATGAAAGGAATCAAATGCCCTAAATGCAGAGCCTCCGATGAAGGTCCTCTTCCCGTGTAGAGATAGAACTTGTCTCCTTTCTCAAACGCATCCAAAATCTCATTGAAATCCCTGTTAATCACTCACAATCAATCCAGCAATAACGAGGAATTCCATTTTCGCATCGACGCAATTCGTAAAAATACAAGTTAGCTAGAAATTCCGAACCGGTGGGCGAAGAAGACGCCGCGGCGGAGGAAAACGTGAGGTTGACGAGAAGTCAGTCTCTGAACACGATCGATCATCGACTCGTCGAGCCTCTGGCAGCCAAATTGGTCTATTAGCTTGTCGTAATCGATTTTACCGCCGTCTTTGGCGGACACTTCCCATGGAGTCACAACTGGCTCCGAGGATTCAGACTTTATCTCCTCCTTCTTATCAACCTCCATTGCGACGGGGAACAGAGAAACCTACAGAAAGGAAGTCCGATTCGATGGATTTAAAAAGAAGAATAAACAAGCTGGAGAGAGCTAACGGCAATGTCATCTCAAGTTACCTTTGGAGTTTCCGGTAATAAGACGGCCGAGTAGATGCGACGGCGGATTTGCGACTGAGAGCGTTTAGTAGGGAGGAGAAGGAAACGAGGTTTAAGTAATTATATGTTAATTACTATTTGGGAGTCGGAATCTTTCCTATTAATCAATTGCGCTGTCAAGTTTTAGATATGTCGGAATGAATCCATAAACATTTCTTCTTAATTAGAAAGCCCATTTATCATCAATCAAATCCTAATTAGTAAGACTAATTGCATGATAATTTTCTGGTTTCAGCGAAACGTTTAGTTCCTAGTTGAAGCGAACTTGAATTCGTTTTATTGCATTCTTTCAAACGAGTGAAGTAGAGAGGAGAAAGATGAAGTAAATAAAACATATAAAGTCTTGAACTTTAGATATCACAAATACATAGAGTAAATGACACGGGCTATAGCTATTCCTGGTACGGAGTCAGAAACAATAATCTGATCCAATGTCGTCTGGACAGAACAGTAGCAAACCAGGAGTGGATGGAGAAGTTCCCGAACAGCCAAGCTCGTTACCTAAAGAAGATATGCTCAGATCACAGTCCTCTCATTACGAGCATGATGGGTGAAAACTGGAGGAAATGGGCAAGCTTCAAATTTGATCAGAGATGGATCAAGAGAGAAGGGTTCCGACAAGTAGTAGAGGAGAGTTGGAGGAACCAAAGAAGAGAGCCTAACAGAACAATGACAGAAAAGATATCAGCATGTCGGAAAGAAATATCCCTTTGGAAAAGAAGGAATAAGCCTGCTTCGTCAATCAGAATCCAGAAGCTCCACCATGAAATCAATCAAACACTTCAACAAGACAAGCTGAATGAAGGGGAACTTCAGAGATTACGAAAGGAGATCAATGAAGAATACAGAAACGAGGAGACCTTCTGGAAGCAAAAAAAGCAGAATGGATTGGCTCAAGACTGGAGATAAAAATACCAAGTACTTCCATGCGTCCACAAAGACGAGAAGAGCTCGAAACAAAATCCAAAGCTTGCAGGACAAACATGAAAAGGAGTGGTTCTCGGAGAAGGAGATGGGGAGAGTAGCAGAAACTTATTTTAAAGAACTATTTGGGTCTGAGGATGTGGGATACAGACTCAAAGAAATGGAGACTAACTCCAGGCGTATCACGCAGGAACAGAACGACAAGCTGACGGCTCCGGTGACATTAGATGAGGTCAGAAAAGCTGTCTTTGACATAAACCCTCATAAGAGTCCCGGGCCAGATGGAATGAATGGTTTCTTTTACCAACAATTCTGGGATTGTATGGGAGCTGATCTAGCTAATATGGTGCAAGATTTCTTTGTAAACGGGAACATGGAAAACGAATTCAACAAGACAAATATTTGTCTCATCCCGAAAGTACCGAAAGCAAAGAAACTTGTAGATTTCAGACCGATCAGCCTTTGTAATGTGGCTTACAAGATCATTGCAAAGGTCATGGCGAATCGAATGAAGAAGATCCTGCCCACAATAATATCAGAAACGCAGGCGGCATTTGTGAAGGGGAGACTGATATCCGATAACATCCTAATTGCCCATGAGATGCTTCATGCCTTGAATTCAAAGAACAAAGTGGCAAAGGAGTTTATCGGTATTAAGACGGACATCTCAAAAGCCTACGACAGGGTGGAATGGAGTTTCCTGGAAGACGCATTAAAGGTCCTAGGCTTCTCATCTCACTGGATAAAACTCATTATGAGTTGTGTACAATCAGTGAACTATCAAGTCCTCATTAATGGAGAACCGTACGGCCACATTATTCCGACAAGAGGACTGAGACAGGGAGATCCAATCTCGCCGTACCTGTTTGTAATATGCACAGAAATGTTGGTGAAGATGATGTGCGATGCAGAAGAGAAAGGACTCATCACTGGATTAAAAGTTGCGAGAGGATCACCTGCGGTCTCTCACCTCTTATTTGCTGACGATAGTATGTTCTATTGTAAGCAGGAGGATGACGAGCTAAACCAGATAGTGCGTATTATTGAGGAGTACAGTTTAGCATCGGGCCAAAGAGTGAACTATCAGAAGTCCAGCGTATACTTTGGGAAACAGATCCCAACGCAGAGACGAGAGGAGATAAAGAGGAAGCTTGGAATCCAGCAAACAGGAGGAGATGGTAAATACTTAGGGCTTCCAGAGTCTTTTGGGGGTTCAAAAGTATCGATACTAGGTTATCTCCAGGAGAAGATCAATAAAAGAGCCAATGGATGGGAATCAAAATTCCTCTCGGCAGGAGGGAAAGAAGTGATGTTGAAATCAGTTCTCGCAGCCTTACCTACGTATACGATGGCGTGTTTCCAGCTCCCTAAAGAGACCTGTAAGAAAATCGTTGCAACAATGGCTGAGTTCTGGTGGAAAAATAATAAAGAAGCGAGAGGAATGCATTGGCAATCATGGGACAAGCTTACAAAACGTAAGGAGGAAGGGGGTCTAGGCTTTAAAGACCTAGAGAATTTCAATCTTGCTCTACTGGGCAAGCAACTGTGGAGAATGATCACAAAGGAGGATTCCCTTATGACACGAGTGTTTAAAGGAAGATACTTCCTCAAATCAGATCCTTTGAAGGCGAAACTTGGTTCCCGACCTTCCTACGCTTGGAGGAGCATCCATGCGGCTCAGGAGTTGATGCAGTATGGAATACGAAGAACTGTGGGAGATGGAAGCCAAATACAAGTCTGGAAGGATCAGTGGATGAATCGGAAACCAGCGAGAGCACCTGCAGCAATGAACAGAATTGAAAACCCCACCTTATACAACTTTCCACTTGAGATGAGACTAAAGGATTTATTGTTGGAAGGTGGAACGGATTGGAACACGGAACTAATAGAAGCAATGTTCCCACACGAAGAGGCTCAATTGATGAAAGAAATCAGACCGGGAGGTGAGGGAACAAAGGATGGCTACACTTGGGACTTTACAAGAACAGGGCAATATTCTGTAAAGTCAGGCTATTGGTGTGCAGAGAAGATACAAAAAGAAAAGCAAGGAACCAAGGAAGTAGACCAACCAAGCTTAGATGCTTTATTCCAATTGGGGTGGAAAACAGAAACAAGCCCAAAGGTGCAACACTTTCTGTGGAGATGTTTGAAGAATATCATTCCGGTGGCAGGAAACCTAAAAGATAGACATATCTCCAGGGAGGGCAAATGCGAGAGATGCCATATTGGCAATGAAACAGTAAACCATCTCCTCTTTACATGTCCGTATGCCAGATTACTATGGGCATCATCACCGATCCCTGCTCCCCCACAAGGTGAATGGTCAAGTTCGCCATACACCAACCTATACGAAGCCTTCACCTTGTCTTGGGCCAAACAAGAGCAAGCAAAGCTCCAGAAACTTGTACCCTGGATTCTATGGAGACTATGGAAGAACAGAAATGCCTTTGTATTTCAGGGGAAGGACTACTCGGTACAAGAAACTCTCCAAAGAGTACAAGAGGATGCAGAGGAATGGGCAAGAAGTAGAGAGGAGGAAAATAAAGGACAGCAGCAACCTCGAACAAGCACACCAAGGGATAAATGGAAAAGGCCAAAGGAAGGATGGATTAAATGTAACTCTGATGGAGCATGGCCGAAAGAAGGGGCAAAGTGTGGTTTGGGATGGGTTATGCGCAACCAAGAGGGCAAAGTGATGTGGATAGGAGCAAAAGCAATCCCGAAAACGAGAACCGTGATAGAGGCTGAGTTGGAAGCATTGAGATGGGCCATGAGGTTCTTGAGGAGATTCAACTATCGAAAAATAGTCTTTGAATCTGACTCTAAGGAGCTGATCAATATGATAAACGAAGCAGAGGAATGGCCAATGCTACAGCCGGGTCTAAACGAAATTCGACATTTGGTAACTCATTTTGACGAGGTTGCTTTTGCTTTTCAATCAAGAGAAGGAAATGGGGTGGCAGACAGAGTGGCGAAGGAGGCTCTTTCTTTTATGATCGATGCACCTAAGATATACTCTATTGTGCCAGATTGGGTTAAAAGCCAAATAGATGTGGACAATCAATTGTACTCGTTATAAGTGGTTAATAACAAGTTTGATGTTGAGCCAAAAAAAAAAAAAAAAATGACACAAAAAGCTGTTTAACAAATCTTCTCCAAATTTCCTTCACTCTTCATCTTTTTCTTCGTCTTCAACTCTTCATCCATTTCTGTAACATGAAAATGATATTGGTGAGATGATCACAGATGAATGATTTTCTTCCTTAAAAATCACAAATGTTTTTGTTTACCTGCAATTTTCTTCCAGCTTTTAGGTGGTCCAAAAGCAAGATAAAGCAAGTTGTAAAAGAAATAAATTGATATTGCGTCCCCGTGCGTCATCTTCTTTGTCCAAAACCACCCTGCAGGGAACATTAAGAAAAGCAGAGACGTTAGAGTTGAGATCTTCTTTCGATAAGAGCAAGGAAATGATTTATAAGGCAGAAGAAGAATCGATCATCAGTAATTATCCAGATTAGTCGACACTAGCTCACTCAAGTATGAACGAAACCCACTCTCATTTGACGAGGAAGAAAAGTTGCGAGTCGTCCCAAAGGATCTCACTCTGAGACGATTTTGCTGCCAATTTTTTCGATCCGAAATTTCATCAGCAAGCGGTCGAACAAAATCAATGATAAAGCAAAAACCTCACAGATAAACGGATTCATAAATATTGTATTATATACCTGCGCAAGTGCAATGGCGGATCGCACAACAAACCGCATGATGATCGGATGTTAGAGCACACACATCGCACATACCCAACCCGTTTCTTTAGCCCAAAAAAAAAAAAAAAAATGCAAATAATATCACATGTGGCAAGCCCAAGTTGGAGAGTCGACTCTCCCGGAAGCTGCCAAAACCGTTTCTTCCGGCCAGGTGTCACACGCAGAACGAGCCGCGAACTTTTTTTTGTTTTTTTCGCTTTCCTCTTTCTTTCTTTGTCTTCGTCTTCTTCTCGTTAATTTCTTCTTCGTTTTCCTGGATGTATCTCGTCGAATTGGTTTTGGTTTTAGTGGATCGTCTTCATCGTGGATTGGCAAATTATCTTCTTTTAAAGCAAAAAAAAAAAGATTTAGCCTTTCTTCTTCCAGCTTCGTGGATTGGCAAATTTCGATTCTGAATTTCGATGTTGCAGAATTCAATCCGAGATGAGTGGTGCGTCGACTTTTAGCTCAATCTGCTTCGAACGAGGATGCTGATTCAAGGTTTTTTCCCTAAACTTCTTCCTTTTTTTTTCCCTCAATCCTATTAACGAAGCTCAACAAAGGAAACGTAGATTTGATTAAATTTAAGCTCAATGTAGTTTACAGCTTTCATGTTTTGTTATCTCTGCAGTCTAATTATTATACAAATGTGTATTTTTTTAACATTTTTCGAGTTTAAAAAGGGTGAAAGGAAGATTCATGTAGCGGATAAGCGAGCCAAGAGGCTTGCTTTGGGATCCTCCAATGTGCCTTCTCCATCTTCAATGAGCTTCAGAGTTTTAGCCGGTAGCTTTGCTAAACCGGAAAAGGATATTCGGATTGGTCTTGTCGGTGCAGAGGTTTGTTCAAAACTCGACTTTTCTATTTGAAGGTTTCATTTCCTTGGACATTGCGTGTTTTAGTGATCTCTTTGATTTTGAAATGAATCAGAGCTTAAGTGGTATGTATGAGTAAGGAAGTTTTTGATTAAACAAATGATTTTGAATCCTCTTTTTTTTTTTTGGAGTTGCAGATCGTCAGGCTTCTTGCAAATCATCCGCATTTCGGCGTCACTCTGATGACTGCATATAGAAAAGCTGGACAGTCAATGGAAAGCGTCTTCCCGCACCTCAAAGGTCAAGTATATAGGCAATCTCTATACCTAATAAAATTCCAAGCAGTGAATCTGTTCAATGATGCTTTGTGATCAATGATTAAATCTCTTTTCTCTACTCAGAAACTACGTAGTTTGATCTCAGTGAAGGGTGCATACTTTTCTACTGTGGATGTTGTATTCTACTGTTTGCCTCACGGAACAACCCAGGTCCCTTTTCTTTCTTTTGATTCTTCAGCTTCAAATTTCTTTCTAAGCTTAACTGAAATGAGTTTGTTTGTGTTTCTAGTTTCTTGACTGTGATGAATTTTTCCGTCAGGACGTGGTGCTAAGGAGGCGAATCTTTACTCTGAGATAGCTGAAGGCATTTCTTCTTACGGTGTCACACGCATTGCCATGGTATGTAACAAACTGATTATCACAATGAGTTAAAGTTTTGGTTCTATGATTTTTGAACTCTGAAATGATCTCTTTTGTTTTGCAGTTCCTGAAATTGAACAAGGATTATCTGATGTTGCCCGATCAAAAGTAACAGTCAGTTTTACGCCACATCTCATGCCAATGGTACACATAAATCTCAAGCCTGTTCTATATAGTTTTTCACCTTGAACCATTGATTGACCCTCGTTGTTTTGGGTAGATCCGCGGAATGCAATCGACTATGTATGTGGAAATGGCTCATGAAGTTAAAGCCAAAGACTTATTATGTTACTTACTATGTTTCAAAAAAATATGTTTTGTAGGATGAAGAATTTGTCAAAGTGTTGGATGACGGAGTTGTTCCGGACACACAATGTTAGAGGATCCAGCTCACAACAGATAACAAAGTAAAAGCTCTCTCTAGCTCTACTAGTTTCGGTCAAAGACTTGCATCATTTTGTTGTTCTACAAGCTTTTAACTTTAAACTTGTCTTGGTTTTGTTGGAGCAGCTATTTTTCATTTTCTTTTTCATTCATTTTATATAAATTTAATATTTTCATTTTCTTTCATTTTATAAAATTTAAAAAATATATTGAAAAAAAATATATTTTAAAGAAACCCATATGGAGTTGTGCAATGTTGTGGCATAATTATCTAGTTTCTTCCCAAATCTCTTTAACTAAAATAATTTTTTTTTTAATATATTAAATGTTTAAAGAAACCCATATGGGTATGTGCAATGCACATGAAGGTTTGCTCTCTCTTTTTTTTTTCTCTCTCTAGTGAAATGAAGAGCAACTTTTCTGAATATATCTGCTTAGAAGAAGATAAAGATTACACCTTCAGTGTATATATAGCCTAAGGCTCATGGATAGAGGCAAAACGATTGCGAATCATGTGCACGCAGTCGCAGAGGGAGGAATAAAGAGCATCAAATTTGTTGTGTAACCGTATTTGGTGTGAGCTGTGTGAGTCGTACAATTTGTGAGCTGGAATCTCCTGCTCTTTTACTGTGATTCCTTCTTATCCTTGTTACCGTTGTATATAGTAGACTGAGAAGCATAAATGGGCTTAGTGTTGTTTGTCGAGGCCTTTCTTCTTTGTCTTAGAAGAAAGCCACATTAATAATTAGAAAGCCGCATTAATAAAACTAATATGGGTTTAACATTAATACGCCGTTGTTTTCTTTTTAATTAGAAAGCCACATTAATAATTTGTCAGTAAGAAAGCCCTATTGAATACTATTGATCATCATCAATCGAACCCTAAGTTCGTTTTATTGCAATTCTCTCAAACGAGTGAAATAAAAAGGAGAAAGATGAAGTAAATAAAACATTAAAAAGTCTTCAACTTTATCAGTTGTTTATCAATCGTCTTGCTCTTCCCTCACGGATTTCCGCTTAGGCTCCAAAATTCTTATTCTCTTCATACATTTCTGTAACATGACAGGATATTGGTGAGATCACAGATTTTCTTCCTTAAAAATCACACATGTTTTTGTTTACCTGCAATTTTCTTCCGGCGTTTATTATCACGTCTAGAAGCAAAAGCATGATATAACTTATAAATCACAAAAATTGATATTGCGTTCCCGTACGTAATCTTCCGTGTCCAAAATGACTCTGCAGGGAACAAAGAAAAGCAGAGACGTTTAGAGTTATATCAATGATATCTAAGAACAAGCAAGTAAGTTATAAGGGAGATTAGTCGACACTCACTCTCATCACGCGAGGAAGAAAAATTGCGAGTCGTCCCAATGGATCTCGCTCTGAGATTACACTGCCAAATTTTTTCGATCCGAAATTTCATCAGCAAGCGGTCGAACAAAATCAAGGATAAAACAAAAACCTCACAGATAATTAAACGGATTCATAAATACTGTAGTACCTGCGCATGCGCAATGGCGGATCGCAAAACAAACCGCATGATGATCGGATGTTAGGGCTTAGGGTTGCTCTCTCTCTTTCTCTCTCTCTACTGAAATGAAGAACAACTTTTCTTTTTCTGAATATTTCTGCTTAGAAGAAGATAAAAAGATGACAACTTCAGTGTATATATAGAAATTAGTTGTGCACGCAGTCGCAGAGGACTAAAGAGCATCAAATTAGTTGTGTAACCGTAAATGGTGTGAGCTGTGTGACTCGACGTACAATTTGTGAGCTGGAATCCTCCACTCTTTTACTGTGATTCCTTCATAGTAGATTACTCTTTTACTGTGAGCTGGAATCCTTCATAGTAGACTGAGAAGCATAAATGGGCTTAGTGTTGTTGTCGAGGCCTTTCTTGCTGGGCCTACCTAAGACTTGATCACGGGCCTGATTGTGTCTTTGCATGTAGTGAGTGATGTTGGTTGTTTGTGTGTTTGCATGTGTTGAGAAAAACTGGTTTCACGCTTGAGGAAAACTATGAACCGAAAATATAACAATCCAAAAGCTAGTAGAAATCAAAATTCGTATATCTCTCTCTAAGTGTGAGTCGGAGTCAGCGTGAAAGTGTGGATAAAATGCTCTCCATGGAACGAAGTTGGGTCCATCAATATGTATCTTTAATATCAATTGATCCATAAACTTTTATTTTCAGAAAGCCACATTAATTATTTGTCAGTAAGATGGTATTGAATATTGATCATCATCAATCTAACCCTAGAGGTTCTTAAGGTTCTTAGTAAGACTAATTGCGTGGTAATTTTCGGGTTTCGGAGAAACGATCGTTTTATTGCATTATTCTTTCAAACGAGTGAAATAGAGAGGAGAAAGATGAAGTAAATAAAATAAAACATACCAATAACACATTAAAAAGTCTTCAACTTTATCACAAATACATAGTAATAAAGGACATAAAAGTTGTTAATCAATCGTCTTGCTCTTCCCTCACGGATTTCCGCTTAATTAGGCGGCTCCAAATTTCTTTCAGTCTTCGTCTTCTTCTTCTTCTTCTTCTTCTTCTTCTTCTTCTTCTTCTCTTCATCAATTTCTGTAACATAACAGGATATTGTGAGACCAGATAAGATGAATGATCTTCTTCCTTAAAAAATCGCACATGTTTTTGTTTACCTGCAGTTTTCTTCCAGCGTTTAGCACGTCCATAAACAAACGCAAGATCAATTATCCTAGAAAACACAAGAATTGATATTGCGTCCCCGTACGTAATCTTCTTTGTCCAAAATGACTCTGCAGGGAACAAAGAAAAGCAGAGACGTTTAGAGTTATATCAATAATATCTAAGAAGAGCAAGCAAGTAAGTTATAAGGGAGATTAGTCGACACTCACTCATGTTTGAACGAAACCCACTCTCATCACGCGAGGAAGAAAAATTGCGAGTCTGCCCAATCGATCTCCCTCTGAGATTACACTGCCAATTTTTCGATCCGAAAATTTTTCATCAGCAAGCGGTCGAACAAAATCAAGGATAAAACAAAAACCTCACAGATAATTAAACGGATTCATAAATACTGTAGTACCTGCGCATGCGCAATGGCGGATCGCAAAACAAACCGCATGATGATCGGATGTTAGGGGCTAAGGTTTGCTCTCTCTTTCTCTCTCTCTCTCTCTACGGAAATGAAGAGCAACTTTTTCTGAATATTTCTGCTTAGAAGAAGATAAAGATTACAGCTTTAGTGTATATATAGCCTAAGGCTCATGGATAGAGACAAAACGATTGCGTATTATGTGCACGCAGTCGCAGAGGGAGGAATAAAGAGCATCAAATTTGTTGTGTAACCGTATTTGGTGTGAGCTGTGTGAGTCGTACAATTTGTGAGCTGGAATCCTCTACGTACTCTTTTACTGTGATTTCCTTCTTATCCTTTGTTACCGTTGCATACTAGACTGAGAGGTATAAATGGGCTTAGTGTTGTTGTCGAGGCCTGTCTTCTGAAACCCAATCTGTCTCTTCTTTCATTTCGGGCCTTTCGTGGGCCTACGTAATACTTGATCACGGGCCCGATCTTTTTTGTTTGTTTCCGAGTTGAGAAAAACAGGTTCCATCCTTGAGAAAAATTACCGAAAATATAACAATCCAAAAGCTAGTAAAATCAAAATTCGTATATCTCTCTATGTGTGAGTTGGAGTCAGCGTGAAAGTTTGGATAAAATCCTCCATGGAAAGAAGTTGGGTCCATTAGTTAACTAGTTAAACTACTTAGGAAGAGGAAGCAATTGAAGGGCAATGAAGAGAAATTGTTGGAGTTTTGTTTAGTGACAAATGGAGGATTTGTTTTATCATGTTATCAATATATCTTGGTTTAAGGGTAGATCGGTCGGGCCTTTTGAGATGAGATCATCAGACTAGTGTTGAGTGATGAGACGTTTGATTTTCTCATGGACCATTTAATCCTAAAGGGTGCTTTGATTAGTCAATACAAGACTCCCAAGAATGCATCAAATCTGAAAAATGTCTTGGACTCGAGTGTTGTAGCTTAGATTCCTCAGTACTTGCAAAATCGTATATTGTCTTACAAGATACATATTGAAGATTACATGTGTGGGATTTTTAGTCTCCTTTCGTCCGTTTTTTTTCCTTATGTGATTGCAATGCTTGGACGAGAAGAAATGTTGATTATTTTGCTTTACTCCTCAGTTTTTATGTTTATTTATACGATTATAGCATTCCTTATACTTTGCAGTTGCACACAAATACAAACTTTCCTTGTTCAAATCCTAATCATTTTAACTTACGATTGATAAATCAACAGCACTAATTAAAAACAAAAATGGTGATCGAAACACTCTTATTTTTTACCATACTGTACAACATTTAACATTTTGCTGTGACAAAAAAAAAGAAAATACATTTAAGAACTGTTCTGACGTGTCACTGGACGACTACAGATGAAACTCAAAAGGCGATCTTTCGTTTCCCTCTGAAAACAAATTAAATTTTCTGTTTTCTCGAAATGCCAAAAAAAGATGAGAGAGGGAAAGGGAAAACGAAAGGATGCTTTTACAGAAGAAAACCCAAAAAAATCATCCCCAAAAGTCAAAACAATTAAGTCAAAACCAAGATCCAACGGCCAAGATTCAATCCCTTCATCTCCTTCTTAATGACATATCTTCATTCTTGTTTAGATATGAAACAAAACAAACGCAAAGCTAATAAAATAATAAAACCCCGAAAAAAAAAATCGAAATGGAAAAATGAAAAAAAAAAATCCCTAATTCTCTCTCTCTAGAAATTTTCTTTCTCTCTCTGAAAAGGAATGGAACCTAACGAAAGCCACCACCACCAACAACAACAACAGCAGCAGCAGCAACGTCTCAGTTCTCCTTACTACCACCACCACCACCACCTGCAACACCACCACCCAACCCCTGCTTCCACCGGAAACGCCGTTCCATCTTCCAACAATGGGCTTTTCCCGCCGCAACAGCTGCCGCAGCCGCAGCCTAACGATGGGTCCTCATCCCTCGCGGTGTACCCTCACTCAGTTCCGTCTTCGGCGGTTACGGCGCCGGTAGAGCCTTTAAAGAGGAAGAGAGGTCGTCCGAGAAAGTATGTGACTCCGGAGCAAGCCCTAGCAGCTAAGAAAATGGCGTCTTCTGCGAGCAGTTCGTCAGCTAAGGAGAGGAGAGAGCAAGCGGCTGCAGCCGGAGGTACGCCGTTGTCTAATTCCGGGTCATCGAAGAAATCTCAGCTTGCTTCTGTCGGTGGGTTTACTCTTCCCCGGAAAATCCCTTTTCTAATTCTCATCGAATTTTTAGGTGGAATTGATGCATTTTGATATCAAAGTTTCCAGCTTTATGTATAATAGAATCCTAAAGTTGTTATTTTTGATTAATTTTGCTGCTAAATTCGTAGGTATAGTTTGAGACGTAAGTTAACAATATGCGACTCTGTAAATTTCATCAGTAAAAATTGAGTGCTCCTCTTAAGGGATTTAGTTTTCTGGAATTTGTGTTATGCTCTGAGTTTTCACAAGAAGTGTTTTTTTACTGTTTGCAGGGAAAACTGGGCAGAGCTTTACTCCACATATCGTTAATATAGCACCTGGTGAGGTATGTCATGTTCTTTACACACTCAAAGATCCTTCTTTTGGTTAAAACACAATCTAGCATTTCTTCATTGATGTGAATGTAAATTAAAGAGGAATCTTAACGCTTTTTAAGTGTTATATGTGGTGAATGTGACAGGATGTGGCTGAGAAAATTGTGATGTTTGCAAACCAAGGCAAGCATGAACTGTGCGTTCTTTCTGCATCAGGCACCATCTCTAATGCATCCTTGCGCCAGCCAGCTACTTCAGGAGGCAACATATCCTATGAGGTGATTCTCCACTTAGCCTTAAATTATTACTACTCTGTCTCGCTTCTTTGTTCTCCTTAAAAGGGAGTTGAAGTTTCTTTCTTTCTGATCCTCTTTGTTCTGTGTGTTAGAGCTAAAAAGATTTCTTAATTCAGACACTTCCTTTGAAGTTTGTCATATCACTGTTAGACTTGCTTCAGAATTTCAATCAACTTTTTTCAGGGTCAATACGACATAGTCTCACTAGCCGGATCATTTATCCGGGCCGAACAAGGTGGTAAAACCGGTGGTCTCACCGTCTCTTTATCTAGCTCCGATGGTCAGATCATGGGAGGAGCGGTCGGTACACACCTCATAGCTGCTGGTCCTGTTCAGGTAAAATCCTTAATGTTTCAAACTATCTTACACAACTTCTTGGGATATAAAAGTCGCCTGCAAATACTGTTGTGGCTTTGATTGATGGCCTTTGACTTGTGGGAATACAGGTGATTCTTGGTACGTTTCAGCTTGATAGAAAGAAGGACAACGCAGGGAGTGGTGTGAAAGGGGATGCGTCTAACAGCGGAAGTCGGTTAACTTCTCCGGCTCCTAGCAGTGGACCGTTGCTTGGCATGGGTTTCCGTCCTGGTATGGAATCTTCCGGGAGAAATCCAATGAGGGCAAACGATGAGCATCAACAGCAGCAGCAGCAACAGCATCAACATCATCATCAAGCCGGTTTGGGTGGACCTCATCATTTCATGATGCAAGCACCGCAGGGAATGCACATGGCACATTCCCGGCCATCTGAATGGGGCGGCGGCGGAGGTAACAGCGGGCATGACGGTAGAGGCGGTGGTGCTTATGACTTGTCAGGTAAAAAGAAACAAAACTCATAACTGCAACAGATCAGAACTGCAATGGATAATGTGGTCTAAACCGGAGCTAAAGCTTTCTCTTTTGCTTGAAATTTGGATGTAATCTTATCTTGTGCAGGAAGGATAGGACGTGATTCATCGGAGAATGGAGATTACGAGCAGCAAATGCCGGATTAGCACCAATACCGAGCTTCAAGAGACGTGTGTAGGGTTTAGATCAAAACTAGAAACCGGAGCCCCAAGCAAGAATCTGAACTGAGAGAGGACTTAAGAAAGACAAGATTTTTGTCTGAAGGGTTTTACATCAGAGACGGAAGTTGAGTGATTCCTTTTTTTTTGTGCTTCTTGGTTCGGTGTAATATAAATTCCACAGCCTTTTTCTTTCAGTAACTTGCTGATTCTACTTCTCTTTCATTTCATTCCTTTTCTTTTTCACTTTTTTTTTCACGATATTTATATTTTTTTGTTTCTTTTCTTTTGTTACTATAAACGGAAATGCTCTTCTTTGAATATATATATATATATATACACTTTGTTTGGTTTCTATTTTTGTTATTTGTGCATAAAACGGATCTTGTTTAGTAAACAATTCCACCTAGCAACCAGGATTGTAAGTTTGTAACTTTACTTTGAAAATTCAGCTTATTTTCTTTAAAATCGATTAAATTGTTACCATTCCTAAAGTTCTTAATATATTTCTTGCTTATTTGTTGTCAAGTTGTACTTTTAAAATTAATTTTTGGGAAATTTTAATCTTTCATTGGAACACCATTTTTGTTGATAGATATTAAGCAACTTCTCCGGAAATTGCTTAAGCTCAAAGTCTGCTGCTTTTGTCTGAAAAAACTTTGAATAGTTGCTGACTCAAGTCTCAACATACGCAACTGAAACTCCCGGAAAAGATCTGCCACGCCCACACACACACCCACACACAAAAATCGGTTTCTTTTCTTCTCTTCCTCTTCCGTTCTGTTTCTCGTCTTCTGTAAAAGAAGAAGTCAGATTGACCCAATAGATTTTGTCGATGCAAATCGTGTTTGATTGAGACCGGTCTTTCTTATTCCCCCTACTAGATTCGAAAGGTGTGTTCTTTGTTTGATTTATACCGTTGCCTTGAATCTCAGTTTCATTTCCGGATTAGTGATTACCCTCCTCTGGAATTTTCCCGGAAGATCAAAAAATTATTCAGTCGGTTTCTTTCTTCATTTCGAATATCGAGGAACATAGATCTTGATGTCTACGCGGAACATTGTTTAATCTCATTGGTGTGGGAATCTATGGTTACGAAGTCGGTTATTGGTCGGTTCATTGGATCTCAACTGGTAAAGCCTGAAGCTTTGAGGCTGGATTCGATTAGGGTTTAGGGGAGATTAAGATTTGGGTTAAAAGAAAAAGATGTTAAGATCTTTAGGTCTTGGATTGCTCTTGTTTGCTCTTCTTGCTCTGGTTTCCGGAGACAACGACTACGTGGGCTGTAACTGTGACGACGAAGGCTTCTTAAGCGTCCACACAATCCTAGAATGTCAAAGAGTGAGTGACCTCTTAATCGCCATTGCCTACTTCTCAATACCTCTCGAGCTTCTCTACTTCATCAGCTTCTCCAACGTTCCTTTCAAATGGGTTCTCGTTCAGTTCATAGCCTTTATCGTCCTCTGTGGGATGACTCATCTCCTCAACGCTTGGACGTATTACGGACCACACTCGTTTCAGCTCATGCTGTGGCTCACCATCTTCAAGTTCCTCACCGCGCTCGTCTCCTGCGCGACGGCGATCACGCTCTTGACTCTGATCCCACTGCTGTTGAAATGGAAAGTGAGAGAGCTTTATCTGAAGCAGAACGTGTTGGAGCTTAACGAGGAGGTTGGTTTGATGAAGAGGCAGAAGGAAATGAGTGTGCAGGTGAGAATGCTGACTCGTGAGATCAGGAAGTCGCTCGACAAGCATATGATTCTTCGGACAACGCTCGTCGAGCTGTCGAAGATTCTTGATTTGCAAAACTCTGCGGTTTGGATGCCTAACGAGAACAGAACGGAGATGCATTTGACTCACGAGCTGAGAGCGAATCCGATGAGGAGTTTCAGGGTGATTCCGATCAACGATCCCGACGTTGTTCAGGTCAGGGAGGCGAAGGTGGTTGCGATTCTGAGGAAAAGCTCTGTTCTTGCGGTGGAGAGCAGCGGTTGTCGCGGCGCGGAGGAGTTTGGTCCGGTGGCTGCGATTCGAATGCCGATGCTCCACGGATCGAATTTCAAAGGAGGAACGCCTGAGTTTGTTGACACTTCCTACGCGCTAATGGTTTTGGTGCTTCCGAACGCGAACTCTCGTGTTTGGACCGATAAAGAGATCGAGATCGCGGAGGTTGTGGCTGATCAGGTCGCGGTTGCTCTGTCTCACGCCTCTGTTCTCGAGGAGTCGCAGCTGATGAGGGAGAAGCTCGGGATTCAAAACAGAGCTCTGCTTCGAGCGAAACAGAACGCGATGATGGCGAGTCAAGCGAGGAACACTTGCCAGAAAGTGATGAGCCACGGGATGAGGAGACCGATGCACACGATCCTCGGTCTTCTCTCCATGTTTCAGTCGGAAAGTTTGAGCCTTGACCAGAAAATCATCGTCGACGCGCTCATGAGGACGAGCACGGTGCTCTCCGCGCTGATCAACGACGTGATCGACATTTCGCCGAAAGACAACGGGAAGTCTCCGTTGGAGGTGAAAAGGTTTCAGCTTCATTCGCTGATCAGAGAAGCCGCTTGCGTCGCCAAGTGCTTGAGCGTTTATAAAGGTTACGGCTTTGAGATGGATGTGCAAACGCGTTTGCCTAATTTGGTGGTTGGAGATGAGAAGCGAACGTTTCAGCTTGTCATGTACATGCTTGGTTATATCTTGGATATGACTGATGGAGGCAAAACGGTAACGTTTAGGGTTATCACTGAGGGTACTGGAAGTAGTCAGGACAAGGGCAAGAGAGAGACTGGCATGTGGAAGTCGCATTTGTCTGATGATTCGCTTGGTGTGAAATTTGAAGTTGAGATTAATGAGATTCAGAATCCTCCGCTTGATGGTTCGGCTATGGCGATGAGGCATATTTCGAACAGAAGGTATCATAGTAATGGGATTAAGGAAGGCTTGAGCTTAGGCATGTGTAGAAAACTTGCACAGGTCAGTGATCTTGATCATGGTCACATCTCTGTTTACTTTTTGATTACAAAATTTACAATCTTTGTGTTATGGTTTGGGGGTTTGTGTGCAGATGATGCAAGGGAACATATGGATATCACCGAAGTCGCATGGACAGACACAGAGTATGCAATTAGTTCTGAGGTTTCAGACAAGACCGTCGATGAGGAGATCGATCTTAGCAGGGAATGCTCCAGAGCTGCAACATCCGAACTCGAATTCGATTCTCCGTGGTTTGAGGATCACGCTAGCAGACGATGACGATGTGAACAGAACGGTGACGAAGAGGCTTCTTGAGAAACTGGGATGCGAAGTGACAGCTGTGTCGTCTGGGTTCGAGTGTTTGAGTGCGTTGTCGAACGTGGAGATGTCGTATAGAGTAGTGATATTGGATCTGCAGATGCCGGAGATGGATGGTTTTGAAGTAGCGATGAAGATAAGGAAGTTTTGTGGGCATCATTGGCCGTTGATTATAGCTTTGACTGCGAGTACTGAAGATCATGTTAGGGAGAGGTGTTTGCAGATGGGGATGAATGGTATGATTCAGAAGCCTGTTCTTTTGCATGTTATGGCTTCTGAGCTTAGACGGGCTTTACAGAGCGCAAGCGAGTGAAGTGAAGAAGCAAGAATCAAGAATCTTGATGATGAAACAAGAGACAAGAATCAAGATTCTGAAGGGACTCAAGAAATGAAGAAAACCCAAGTGTGGATTCTATGAAGATGTGATGCATAAAAAAACTCTTGGGGGTAGTGTTTTGTTGTTGTTGTTAACTCTGTTCTTAGTGTTCTACGATGATGAGAAGGCCTAGTTTGAAGATTTGTTGGTTCGGAAACTATTTATACGTAATGCTTTTCGCATTTTAAAGGAAAAATTATAGAATTTTATTAGATTTAATAGTATTTAATTTTATAGATTAATTTTACTTTTTAGCAACTCTCTTTTTCCACATTTTTTTCATTTCGTTACTGAAATTGATCATTTTTTGGTATCTTGTCATAATTCATCGGCTTTTATTCAAAACTGAAAGTTTCAAGCGTTCCCCTTTTTTTTGACATTATTTTGTCAACGTATAAAGAATTAAAATGAATATATCGTTTGTCAACATAAAATAATTTCTTCTTGAAACAAATTATTAGTTTAGACTCAGTTCAGCTGTTCTAGACCACACACCAAGCTTTCGATTTGTTTTATTTTAGTTTTTTATCGATACCAATGTTAGTGTTATTTAATGCTTTGTGTAGGCTTAAGAAGAAACATCACGTAACGCCATAAATTATGAAATATATTCGACAGATGTTCATTTTAAAAATATGAAATATATATTTGGTTGGACAATTATAAAAAAAAAATCCCCGACGACCCAAAACAATAATACCCATATTTAGCTTTATTCTGAAAAGTTCAAATCTTTCTTTCAAATAAGTAAGTATTTTTTTTCTTCGAAACAATAAACTATTACGAAAGTATCTATGTGCTAGTTAACTTATAGACCACAACATCAATGATCATATTATTTTCACAATATAAATATGACATAATAAACAATATAAGAAAACAGTCATTTCTCTCTACTGTTATCCTGAAAATTTACTATAAACAAAAGAAAAAGAAAAGAAAAAACAGTTGTTGACAATGGTTTTTTACATTTATCATTTCGTTTGTATATGTTTTGATGAAGGCATGAAGCAGTACATCGGCGTACTAATCTTTGTTTAATCTTGACATATCTTAGGGACCCCAAATTATGCTTTATCTTGTGGTCTTTGTTATACTTTTAATAATGCTCGTTTATGGATTCCTTTTCAAAGTAATATTTGTTAATTGTTCTAGTTTTAGACTTTTTCTAGTTAACTATTATTGTCTTTTGAGTGCGGTTTAGGACTTCCCTTTTCAATAAAATATCACAAGAAGTTATGGTTTGTTTTTTTTACTGGCATTTGATTGATTACTATCAGTAATTTTTCACAGCTTAAGAAACACATCTTTGGACCTTTTACTATAAACATAAGACCTAAAGCTCCATGAATGCAAGTTATTAGAAAATCACAAGATAAGTCGATATTATTTGGCTATGTTTTATCTGCTTGACAACTTGGATCTTGATGATAGACTGCTATTCTAATCACACATAAATAGAATGAACTAATATGAATGATTGAAAATTCAAAAGCAGTTCTAATGATTTTAAGTATTATGCATTTCTGCTCGAGAAAGTACGGATATGAATATATAATTAACAGGTCCATTAGGGTTTGCATTTTGCAAGAGGAACGCATGTGGTACCATGTGAATAGGCTCCTCTACTCTCATACTTTTGTTTATGGTTTTTAATTAAAAGATGGTCAAGAAAGCCTAGAAATTTGGTTAAATGACGACACTTATAAGCTGACAACAAGGGTGTTGATAATATAATATACACACACTTGTTTATAAAAAAAAAATTGGTAAAGTAGTTACATTGAACTTGCAGTTTGCCATATAAACATGGATTGACTAACAATTAATTTGTTGTAAGAAAAAAACAAAACAATAAATCTTTTGTAGTCGATTGATTTAGTTATGTTAGTGAGGTTGACTACACGCTTCTTTAGTTCTTTATAAATTAGAATTCCCATATTAGTTTAGGTTTCAATGAAGACGATTTGATGTTCCAGAAAAGAACATGCATAATAATTGGATAAACATGTTGTTAGAATATTCTACTGTCATTTCAAATAAACTTTTTCAAATTGTAACTTATTAGGTATACTATCATTTTTTCTTGGATACATCATCTTTTCCCCATCTGATTATTTTTCTTTCTTTTTTACGGCACCAAGTGACAGCACTACTGCTTAATTTTATGAAGATTGTATGCAAAGAGAATATACTACTAACCTGGATTTATTACCTTTTTGTGAAAAATACAGTTATCTAATGTCAAGTGATCGTTTTTACCCTAGAATCCGACTACTTTTAATGTGAACATGTTTTTTCGAAAATGATTATGTAAGTTTACCATCAATTAATAAATCACTCACCAACCGAAATAGAATAAAATCAAGTGTTTGTGTATGTGGAGTCGAACAGAACTCCTGGAAGTAATATTTTTCTTTTAAATGATAAATCATATATGTATACAGTATACTGATGTACATAGCTTAAACAATGCATGTGCATGATCTTATTGCTATTGCTCTGAATCGAATTAGAATTCGTTATTTTAGTCAGAAGGACATATGCATATCATGGTATTTATTTACATGTGAATAAATAATCAGTTTATTGCATGTTTATAGCTAGGATCAAAAAAAAAATTTATGTGACTATTGAGGCAAGGTGAGTGTGAGGTTTGTAATTCCCAATCAGGTACCAATAAATGCATGCACAAATACATAGATATATAAGTATTCTTAGTTTATGCTAGAAAATAACATCACACATATATATATATATATACATATACATATAGTGTAAATCCATCAGCAATGTCAAGGAATTGATTAGACTAAGTACTTAAGATTTTATCATTTTCAAATTATATATAACCCATATATAATGCTAATCATTAAAAATAAGTTAATGGTCAACCCGAAAGGGTTTAAATTTAATGAGGATCAATCAGATATATGTGCACACATAACTTCATTATATAAAATGAAGAATCCAGCAAAGAGAATTTTAAAACATCATAAAAAACACAAGTGAAATTTAGCAAATAATAATCATAGACTAAGGGAGAACATAATATAATGGACGCACACACTATATAGCTCACTAGTAGCAAAGTAGATAGTAACAACTGATCACTAGTTATCATCATCATCATAATAATAAACATCGTTATAGTTCTTATTGTTAACTTCTGTAAATTTAAAAGCCATTTTAACGTACGTTAAAATCCTGACCTAGCTTGAGCCCAACCATAAGCTTCTTGGCCACTCATCTGTCCTCCTCCGCCACCATTAGAAACAAGATTTCCAGGCATATTGTACACCGGAAGTCCTTGATTGCCATCCCCTCCACCACCACCACTACTCAGCGGCGAGCCTCCCCCTCCGAGTTGCCCTGGAACCACTCCTCCGCTGCCTCCTCCACCGACTCTCTCAGCCGCCTCTTCCTCCTCCAAAGGCAATCTCTCGTAAGTCGCATTAGAAAACGTGGCCGCGATTAGCATAACCGGACCAGCCGCCATCAATGGCCCCACAACACTTCCTCCAACGACCTGACCTTGACCACCGGCTAAGTAGATCGTTAAACCGGTGGATCCAGGTGGAGCAGGTCCGGGCAAGAACGAACCTGTTAAAGAGAGAATCTCAAACCTCCCTTGTAAAGCCAAAACCGCCGCACCCCCAGGAGCCGTAGCAACTGCGGCAGATGAGGGTTGACGGAGAGTGACGTTAGCCACCGTGCCGTTGCCGCTCAAGATGCAGATGCCACGTTGACGCCGCCTAGCGAAAGTAGCTAGGGTTTCGATGACGTCAGTCCCACTAGCGATCTCCATGACATGGCTCTTGAGAGCGTTTGGAGAATCGCGCGTGACAAAGATCGGTGGCTTTGGTTTGTTCTTGGAACCAGCAGGACGTCCACGTGGACGGCGCGTGGGGGCTTCTATGGCTCCTTCACGTGGCTCGTGGTCGTCGCCGCTCAAGTTATCTCTGTCGTCATCGTTGTTGTTATTGTTGTCGACTTCTTGGTGATGATGATGGTTGTTATGACCTGAGTCCATGGCCATGTTCATGGAGATGTGGAGATCTGGTTTCTTTAACTGAGAGGAACCAGGCGGCGTTGTTTCAAGGCCGGAGAGATTCACTTGTCCTGTCCACCATGGATTCGCCATTAAACCCTAAAGATGTTAATTTCTGATTATATATTTCAAAGAAGTGAAACCCTAAGAACAATAAGTTATTTTTTGGATCAAGAAGGTTATGAGAAGAAAAAAAAACTTAAATCCTGGAAGAGGAGATAAGATTTTCAGATCTTGATTTTAAAACACTTTTACAAGTTTTTGTGTTGTGAGAAACACAAGACAAAGAAAGGTTAATTAAAAGAACACGACAAAGAATGATACTAAGCAAGAAAGAGAAAAGATGTAATGTAAGCTAACTTATAAAATAAGTGGACGCATATGAAGATATTATACTTATAGATACATACATATACACGTATGACTGTATGAGCGTCTATACCAAAGGAAACAAAAAAAGTCCCAACACAATGCTCACACAATTATACTTAAGAAAAAGTATTATTACAAGCAGAATACATATGCATTCTAGGATTTGTTCGGAAAATGTTAATGGCATTGTTTTTCCTTTGAGCAAAAAATGGCATTGTTTTTGTTACAACTATTACCAATTTTATATAAATATAAATTAATTTACTTCATATTATAGCTAAAGTTTAAAGTTTTATAATTTCAACTAAAATAGAAAGAAAAAATATAGTTGGTTACTTATTATAGATTTTTTTAAGAAAACATCTATGATATGAATACAAAGTTTTCATCCAGAATACATTCAAAAAATTGCAGATACATAATACCAAAACAACTTATAATATAGGACAGAGGGAGTACGCTTCAGCATCGTATTGACATTAAATATTGTAATTGGTTAAGATAAAGATAATTTTCTTTAAACCTGTCATTTTATATCTTGTCTTTTTTAAGTTAGCGTTATAATTGATGTGTGGGGTCGAGCGCCGAGGTTGAACAAATGGGGCGCACGATCGTTTTCCCACTTCCATATTTTATTTCGAAAGTTGAATCTTAAGGTTTGTCCGAATATAAAAACTTTATAAAACAAATTATTTAAGCAGTATTCATTGGATCAGAAATAAGAATATTTATACAAACTTGTAACACCGAATATCTAAACAATGACACACAAGACATTTTCGATTTGCTAACTATATTAATAATTGACGAATACTCAAAGAGATTAGATAGAAAACTTCACTATTTGTATGTGTGTGTGTTAATATGAATGACATAACAACGGTAACAACAAATAACAATATATTTCAGCTTAAACAAAAAACAGTACATTTTAGAATCTTTTCAAAATTCAAGAGTGAATAAACATACTTATGCAAGCTCATGAGTGAATAGCAAAAGTAACGAATTTCCAGCAACCTCTTCCTTATTATTTTATTCACTGTCTACAGTAAAGGTTAATCGCCTTGACGCCTTCTAATGTAAAACTTTATTTCTGAGATATAGATACGTATGTATTCCAGCTATTATATTGTATCCAATAGAAAAACAAGGTTATCAAAACTTAAAACGTTTTACATAGTCTAGTGTACTACTATTCGTTTTCCCCTACTCAACAACTCTCAACTAATACATTATTTATCCATAAATGTAGCTAAAACATGATTTATAGAATAATCTAATCGAGGTGACAAAAAGCCAAAGGGTAGTTGAACTCCTCGGGACTACATAACACACAATAATTGAAAGAAATAAAAATGTGTACTCCTTGTGCCGATTAGTATGATTTATTTTGCGTTATTTTCTATTAGCTTCCCCAAGTGGCCAAGTCTCATCTCTTTCACCATACAGTATAGTTCACTAGTTTGATTTGAAAGGTCTACTATGACTCTGTGAGACAAAAGTATGAAGTTTAATGTAATAGGCTACAGAATATTGAATATGAATCTTTTTCATTCAAAAGAAAAATACTCAGTTTGAAATTTTATCAACTTTAGGATGAATGTTAAATGGTTGTGGTAACATATGTTATTGCCGTTTGGATTATTCATTTCGAACTATATCGCTGATATGATACTATAGTCTATAAGATTTTTAAAACTTGAATTGTATTGAATGAGAATGATATAAAGCTTAAGTTTCTAACTTTTTCAGTTAAGAGGATCAAGATAATCTTAAATCTGAACTAGAGTTTTAACATTTGTTTGTGATGATCAAAACACTCCTATGTAATATTTTCTGCTGCTATTTTCTAGTTGCATAGTTGAAATTTGTATATTTCCTTCTGCAGAAGAAAAATCATTTTTAAATTATTGTGTTTTTATCTCCAAAACTATTTGGGCCGATAATCTGTGACCATATTTCATTTAAGGCCCATAAAAGCATACACAATTTCAATTTCGGCTCCGGCTCCGGCTTCACCTACGCGTGCGTGACCGTCTTTTCTCCGTCGACGGAGACAGAGAGATTCGAGAGAGAGAAAGATGGCGGACAATCTATTCGAAGGACTACCACCTCCTTCTTCTTCTTCTCAGCAGCATGAGCTACCAATTTCTTCACAACCAGACGAGTCGAAGAATCAAAATCCCTCCCCGGCTCCAACTCTGGTTCTCAAAAGTTCCCTGAAGCGATCAAAGCCGGCAGACTCTGCACCCAATGTCTCCGGTAAGCTTAATCCTCGAAAAAATTATCCGTTACTGATCTATGCTATCTGAATTCGATTCCTTATGAAACCTTATTGCTCGTTAATCATTCTCCAAATTACTCTATTTTTCGTGAATTGAACACACTTCTTCTTGTTTGAGATAGAGGAAAAAAGCTTCCTGATTGAGATTTTCTACTCTACTATAGAGATTAGGGATGTGAATTTGGTTTTGTTCCTCTTACTCATCTGAGTTACTTCTCAAATGACGCAGCTCCTCCTACTCTCAAGAGCGCAATGAAGCGGCCAAAACCATCAGAATCTACACCGGAGCCAGAACCTGAACCAGAAGGTACATTCATAAACTAACTTACTGGCTTAGAGCTGAGCATTTGGAATTGATAATTGCTTTTTCCGATTTGATAAGTTGATCAGTTTGTCTTCTTTGATATTCAGCTGCAGCTCCTAAAAAGCGTCTACAGTTCAAGACATCAACCGATGCATCGGAAGAACAAGTGATAGAAGCAATGCAGAAGATAACATCTCACATCAAGAACCCTGCCAAGTTCTCCAAAGCTTCAAAGCTTGCAATACGGCTGATTCAAGCTGGAAGTGTGAAGCCAGAAACAAGCAGCCACTTCATTGCGATGCTTGAAGCTGCCATGACATCGAAAACCCCTTGTACAGATCGCTTGGTTAGAGCAGACTTTCATGCATTGTTCTCAGCAGCACAGGATGTAACCGAGGTAAACAAGAAAACTCTCATGGTTAAAGATATTGATCAAAGTATATTGGGAAGATATTGACGATTGGTCCTATGTTTTTCTTCTCATTCAGTGCCTTGATAAAAGCCAGAAGCATTTGTTGACCATATGGACAATCAAAGCAGTTGTGGCTAATGACCTCTTTACTGATGACAGCTTTATGGTGAGAACCCATATACTTTAGACTATACTGTGGAACGTTATTGTCTTGAATCTGAGGTTTTCATAGTGTCTCATGCACATTGTTTTTCTTTTAGTTTTCCAAGACTGCTACTCAAATAAAGGAGGCTATATCTGATCTTCCGGTGTCGACTGAGGAAGATGACGCGGAAGAAGCAGCTGCTCTTGAAGAAGAGGCTGTGAAGAACAATGGAGATGGCCAGACAACAGAGGGCGTGGCTGAAGTTACTTCAGCTGGAGATGAAGAGGATGCTGAGTCCGATCCCTTTGGTCTTGATGCCTTGATCCCCAGTTCTGGGAAGAAAAATGGTAAAACAAAGCTGAGGAAAGACTTGGCGACCAGAACAACTGAAGATACAGATGCCAAAGAGAATAAGAGATTTCTAAGGTCAAAGAGAGAAGTTTTGATTACTTGCCTGGAGATTGCTGCACGTCGTTACAAAGTTCCATGGTAAGCATGATTCATAGTACCCATTGAACTTGTTATCATGTCAAAAACTGCGAAACTGAGGAATGTTTGGATTCTTTTTCAGGTGCCAAACTGTTATAGACATATTGGTGAAACATGCATTTGAGAACGTGTCAAGATTCACATCACAGCAGAGACTAGCAGTGGAGAAGCTTTGGGCCTCTGTTCGAGAACAACATCTCCGTAGGAAGCAAGGCAAATCAGTGACAGGCAAACTCGACGTTACAGCTTTCGAATCTCTTCAGGATAAATACTCCAAGGAGACAATGAGCATCCGTGGCTCAGTTGGAGCCAGCGGTGAACGCCGTGCCCAACAATGGCTTGGTTAAATATAACATTCATCATAACAAAACTGTAGAAACTCTTTGCTCTGTATTGTATCTTAGAAAAAAAAGTTTCCATCTTTATCCAAAAATTTTACATGATCATTTACTGAATAATCTATTACAATACACGGGTACTGGTTCTTGTATGCTCAATCCCAGTTTTCGTTAGTCTGCCAATCATCATCATCTTCTCTCGGTGGCCTCACCACCAGAAGAACCATTCCTAAACTCTTCTTCACCGCACTCGCCTTTAACTCCGATCCTTTCTCTAGCTTAAGTCCGTTCTCAGCCGCCACGAGATAGTACCCGTCATCAGCCTCCACCGCATTCCTCTCCCTATCCGCCACAACCAGTAAAGGCTCTTCTTTTCCGTCCCAAGGCAGCACTTTTCTATCATCCCTGAAAGAAACCGCCACACCACCTTTCCCGATCGCAGCCACTGGGTTCCACGCCGGAAGCACCACCCATCTCCTCCAACCTTTCTCCGCCTCAACCACCTTGAAATCCCCTCCCGCTTTGGTCTCCATTGGAGCTTCAAGAATCTTCTCTTCCCCTTCCTCTGCTTTACAAACAGGTAGAACAATCACCGAGCTCGCTCCTGCAACCTCTCCGAATTTCAATCTCACCACCGGAATTCGAATAGCTTTGACCTCCTCTTCCTTCACCTTCTCTTCTTCTTTCTCGCCGTTTAACTCTCTGAGCAGCTTCTTCTTCGCCTTTTCGGATTCTGCAGCGTCCAATGCTTGTTGAAGCATTGAGGTTCTCTGCTCCGACGGATTCTTGTTCTCTCTGCTTTGCCTGTAATACAGGAACGAGAGACAATCTCCTGGTAAATTGTAATCGAAATCCAACCATCCGACGTCTCCACGACGGTTAGGATAATCCTTGATGGCTCGCGCCAAGTCCTGCGCGCCTTTCGAGTCGAAACTCCGATCGATGATGTACGTGGCGGCGGCTACGCGCTGCGTGATGCTGAGGAGGCGGATTTCGTAGAGAAGCTCTGCACCGCCGGTGTCGAACGCCGAAATGAGCTCAGGCTCGTGGAGGGACTGAGCAATCGAGTCGCGAACTTGGGCGCCGACGATTAGACGGTTCTGTTCGATGCTGGAGATTCCGGTGAGCTCCTCGATGTTGGGAGGAGTGAGACCATCGGTGTAGAGGGAAGAGATGAGTGGCGCGTATTCGAACCAGAGAGCCATTCGATTGGCGAGGATCTCGATTTTACCGGCGGAATCGAGTGAACGGAATTGAGGTGGAACCGGGGATGACGGTGGCCGGAAAGGCTGGTAAAGCTGTTGTCGCGGTGGTGGGTTTTTGGGGATCATGTTTTTCGGTTTCTGGGCCGAGCTGACGGTAAATGTGCGGGGTACTGGATTAACGGGTCGGGTATTCGGGTTAATGAACAATCCATGGGTGGTGGATTGTGTGAATGGTGAGAAGATTGAGGATTTGAGAATGTTTGCAGCGAGAGAAAGCATGGTGAGTGAGAGGTGTTGCAGAGTGAAGACGAAGATGGTAACTAATTGCCTTATCTTCGAATTATATAACCAAAATGTTTGAACCGAATTTTAAACGGAACTAAACCGGGATTGGTAAAAAATTCGCATATTCGCCCAACAGTATAAAAAGACCATGAAATAAGGCCCAGTTGTCTAAAGAAAAACTTATTAAGACCTTATTATTTCTCCCGTGTCGTCGAAGAAATCAGACACGAAGACTAAAGAGCGAAGCCCTTGTTTCAGATCATGACGCCGAATCTAAGATGTGCCTTTGCGCAGGTAAATCCGAGAAATCTGATTATCGTTCTTGTTCCCCTTCTTTTTGTGCGATGGATTGACCAAAAGCTTACAGGGATGGAGATCGATTAGGTCTCGCCGCAGTTTTTCTTCATCGCCTGGTAGCAGAGGTAACTTTCTCATCAGAGCTATTAAAATTATCGGATCGTGTTGGTTTCGATGTGTTTTGTCTGTTATTGTTCTTTCAGGAGAGAAGAAACAAGACCTCCTCGCGGCGGCTTTGGTTCAGTCTAAGAAGAGTATCTCATATGTGGTTACTGGATTTGGGATTTACTGTTTTTACGGTAATCTTGAGATTTTCTGTGTATTATCTTTTTCTTTTTTTTTGAGATTGATAGAGAACGAAAAATAAAAAGAACCAGCAAACATGGTAACTGTTTGTTTTTTCATGCTTCAGATTTCACCCATCTGTATTCACTCGTATCAAAGAGGAAAAAAAAGGTATGTAGTGTTAGTGTATACTGTTTTCTTTTTCTTTCTTTTTTTTACTTTTTTCTTGTACAAACCTAACCGTGCGTAAATCTTAACCAAAAATTGAATCTAAAAATCTGTATTTTTCTCTCATTGCAATTGCAGTTAGCTCTACTCGCCGAAGAAAAAGAAATAATGAGTCAGAGGAAAAAGTCTGTGTAAAATAATAATCTATTGCAGTTAGCTCTATTCGATTCCCACAGCAGTAGCAAATACACAGTTCCAGAGACTGGATACAAAGCTTTATAATAATTAGAATTTGCAGACACCAAAACAAATAGTAATCTTCCCCTCATAGATTTCTTTAGTGCATTTACTCTTTTCTCAACCTGAAAACACAACAAAGATGATGAGAACATAAAAGCAATGGTCACAGTGTAATTTTTAAGTGCTTTCTTGATTTTATTTTCTACCTTTTTCAAATCTTCTTCTGCCTCCTCAGCAAGATCTAATCCAGGCTGTTTTAGATAAAGTCGACCTAAATACCAAAAAAAAAACTAATACCAATCAAATTCCTGTAGGGACTAAATTCTCTCTCTCTCTCTCTCGATCTCTTTACCTAAGGCAATACCACCAATCATTGAGAGTCCTTTATTGGCAAGACCTAGAAAGGTGACCTTCCTGTCTGCTTCCTTGGAAGCTACGATAACAAATCAAATATTTACAGTCCACTCTACAAAACACATCGATCGAAATCAACTATCTTATAGATCTGATGAGAAAGTTACCTCTGCTACCAGGCGATGAAGAAAAACTGCGGCGAGACCTAATCGATCTCCATCCCTGTAAGCTTTTGGTCAATCCATCGGAAAAAAAAAAAAGAAGGGGAACAAGAAAGATAATCGATGATGATCAGATTTCTCGAATTTACCTGCGCAAAGGCACATCTCAGATTCGGCGGCATGATCTGAAACAAGGGTTTCGCTCTTTAGTCTTCGTGTCTGTCTGATTTCGTCGTCGAAACGGGATAATAAATGAGGTCTTAATAAGTTTTTTCGCATATTCTAAAAGATGGTAATTGCCTTGTCTGGAAAGAAAACCAAAATGTGAACCGGTTTTTAAACGGAATTAAACCGGATTGGTCAAAACTTCGCATATTCGCTCCAGATTTTAGTCCGGTTTTGCTCTTTTAGAAATATCTAAAGTCCGATTCAATGGGCCTAAAGTTGCAAGTATAAACCTTATTTCATTGGGTAGTAATAAACATGATCGATTTCACATTTTCAACCTACAACAGAGTCAGACACCCATGATCTCAAAATCATTTTTATATCGAATTGTTACAAAATGTTTACAAGCAACATTCTCCTCTAATGCCAAAACCGTAGCATTGTTAAAACACAGCTACGATTGGCTATTTGAATCGAGTGTGTATGTATACACATCGATATTAGTTTATTACCACTCTAACTCTAATTTACTCTAATCACATCGAAACCAAAGAGTTTCAATTAATTGCTTTGAAGGTTTCCAACGTTCATCATCCATGCATGACCTACAATTTCCAATTAAAATAAAAATTAGCCTACACAAATCATTTAAAAAGTAATTATAATATTTTGAAATTCAAAATTTGAAACAGAGGAGAGATCGAGAGAGACGAAGAAGACTTACGAAGAGCATCTTCTGCGGAAAATCGGCGGGAAACATCGCGGCAGATCATTTTCCTCAAGAGATCCTTCGCTTCTGCTGATACCGATCCAAATTTCGTCGGCGGAAATCTCAGATTCCCTCTCAGTATCGTTTCGAAGATCTTTTCCGCCGTCTCACCGTTAAACGGCGGCTCTCCAGCTAGCATCGTGTAAATCACAACCCCCGCGCTCCATATATCCACCTTCTCGTCGTACCTCCTCCCCATCACAACCTCCGGCGCCACGTAGTACGGCGTCCCGACGACTCCCTCCGCCGTCTCTGTCTTCTCATCTCCGAGCCACACGGCTGATCCGAAATCGCAGAGCTTAACGCCGCCGCTTCCGAGATCGACTAGAACGTTATCCGGTTTCACATCTCGATGAACGACGCCGCGCCGGTGACAATGAGCTAGCGCGCGGAGGATCTGTCTCGCGTACGAGGCGGCTTCTGATTCGGATAACCGTCCTCCGACGGAGACTAATCGTTCGTAGATCGTCATCGGCGGATCGACCAACTCCATGACGATCGCGAGAGAATCATCTGATTCGAAGAGATCGAAGATCCTGACGATATTCGGATGCGGCGGTAGCATAGCCATGATCCTGGGCTCCGTCTCTATACACTCGCGATCCAGCGCGTCGACGAGCGAGCGTTTGTCGATCGTTTTGCAGGCGTAGAATTCTTTAGTCACCGGCGAGAAACAGCGAGTGATTGTTCCGAATCGACCTCGGCCGATTTCGTCGCAAATCTGGTAGTTGTTTTCAAGTTCAAATTCGCCGGTCATCGGAATCTTCTTTTTTTTTTTGCTATTTTGCGTAGTTGTTTTTTCGTATCTTTGATTGTTTCGTGAAAGGCTTTTATAGAGGAAGAGAATCAGAATACTAAAAAAGAGTATATTCCGTTTAAGGAGGTTAAACAGTATTCTGTTTTTAACGTTGGAGTGAGGTCTCGCTAAGCAAAAGTCATGCTTACCAGAAGAATAGCAAGCAATTAACAGACTAAACTAACGGCGACGTTACATAGATACCTCCATCTCCATGTGTTATTCTTTTTTAATTCGGATTGTCAAATATTAATTGTCTGTAATTATTTGAATACTGCATCCATTAGAATATTGGAGAAATAACAAGAGAAGTTAGAACCATTCAGTGCATTACATAAAACCTTCGATATGGTCTTTAAGAATATTAAAAATATTTCAACAAGTCAAATTTTATAAGTAAAATGGAGATATGTATGCTCAACATGTCGTTGTTGTAAAGACGAGGAAAATTAACGAAGGCCATATTCTTGATTTATCAATGTGAATTTATAAAATAAGACCTTAATTAGTTTCAAAATGACATGTGTAATGAAGTATAAAAGAAAATGACATGTATGATAAACTCTACAATATTTAAATGTTGATCCATTATAAAATGTGCATGTGGCATGCTTTAATTGTTGTGTTATTTGTTTATTTGCTTCAACAATTATAAGACTTTAATAATTGTGCTATATGCTTATTAGTTTAGTAAAGTAAATTGCTGTTTCTTAAGTGCAAGAGTTGTGTACATATTATCTTAGTTTTGAGTATGTGTTCAACAAGCTAAAGAAGGAGAATTTTGATATGAGATCGCTGGGAAAGGAAGAAGGAGCTAACAGTGAGTCTTCTTGGTTTAAAAGAGCATTTCAAAATGTGTTCTCAGTTATTGCATTCGTGACTGTAATTGGGACTTTTGGTCAACATATAAAAGAATTTTGGGACAGCGATCTATGGAAGAGAGAAAAGTTGGAGATGAAGGCTCATGAGAGGTGGATTGATTTTTGGTGGTTGGTGTGGCAGAATTGTCCATTGGGCTCATTAATTGTGGTTGGTGTGGCTGGTGTTTATTTGCTACTCAAGCCTCCAAAACAATAGACTGGTACCATACTTGATGTCTTTTATGGTTCTCTACTCTTTCTAATAGGCTTTTGTGTTTGTCTTTGTAACCCGTCTTAGCTGATATGACTTCAAAGACCTTTGAGACCAAATAGAGAAAATCTTTGCTCTGTTTCTTCTGATTGTATCTTTAGAAAAAAAAAAAAAGTTTCCACCTTTATCCAAAAATTTTACATGATCATTTACTCAGTAAGCTATTACAAGACACGGGTATTGGTTCTTGTATGCTCATTGCTCAATCCCAGTTTTCATTAGTCTGCCAATCATCATCATCTTCTCTCGGTGGCCTCACCACCAGACCTAAACTCTTCTTCACCGCACTCGCCAAATTCTTATGTATTAATGTCAATCTATAAAATAAGACCATAATCAGTTTCAAAATGACATATATAATGAAGTACAAAAGAAAATGACATGTATGATAAACTCTACAATATTTAAATGCTCATCCGTTATAAAATATAGTTGTGCTATTTGCTTATTTTAGTAAAGTAAACTAAGCATGCCACATGCACATCTTAATTACTGCATTATTGGTCGATCATCTATTGCAAATATTAAAGTAAACTATTTGCTTATTTCTCTCGTGCATTATTGGTCGATCATCTAAAGGTTGTTAAGACGACAAAGTGTTTCTGTGTCATTTTCACGATTTCCTTAAGCCTATATGGTTATCCGCGGATATATCTATGAAAGGTATGATAGATATGGAACAACATTATTGAGAAGTGTATAAATTTTTTATTGGCTTAATCATTTAAGCGGAAGAATATTCATTTTGCATTGTTTTTTCCCTGTAAACCTACTCATAGATACCTTTATCCAAAAGCATTTTTTAAATAATTAATACCATCGCTAATCAATAACATAAATGATTGGTATTAATTTAATGACGTATGTAAACACTATATGATGTCTCGATCTCGTGGTGACAAAAGAAAACACCCATGTCTCACTCTGATTAGTCGGTTTAGCTAATGTAGTCATCATCTTGATAGAATAATGAGATGGCTTTGGAGGATGTGAATTTTATATGAGTACACAGTCATTAACTTATTGAGATGCCACCATCAGATTTTCCAAAACAGCCGACGCATACACATTCGTCGGCTAAGAGTAACATAGTGTAGAGATATGTAATATAAAAGCACTGTTGAGCTTGGGTGATAAAATTGGTGGAAACAAAAAAACGTTCGCGATGGGACTCGAACCCACAATCTCCCGCTTCGGAGGCGAGCGCCTTATCCATTAGGCCACGCAAACATTTATATCTTGTTCATATATTATTCACCCTACAAACGTTACAATACATATTAAGTTAGATGAATTTGTGGTATACCACTTTATGTTTTTGGTCTAATTTTTTCAAAGTAATTTTGCTCCGACTCTACTCCAAATCTGGTTTAGCCAAGCTCCCATTAACGTGCTCTCCCTTATCTGGACTACTCCAAAATTATAGGATCTTTGTTTCTTGAACCTTTTTATGTTTGCTGCTTTTATTTAATGAGAATCTGTTATTCGAAAAGAATAAAAAACATCTATCTAAAAAAAGTGTGAATTAAAAAACATCTATTTAGAAAAAAAGTGTGAATTAATCTGAAAACATTACACCGAGTACATTATGTTGGATAAATAATGAAAAGGTGAAAAGTTTAGTATACTTTCCTTTAAATTAAAAAAAAAAAGTAGCATGCAATAAGATAAGAGACTGGACAGAAACGTTACGGACTTTACTTTACGAATTTGTCATTATGCATCCAACGATTATTTCGTTGGACCAATCTTCTTTATGTCATATTCCCTGACTTTAACTCGTAATCGATTTGATCACTCACTCTCTCTCTCTCTATCTCCCATTTGAGTCGCTCGAAACACATTACACACCTCTTATCATCTCTCTCCAGTCCTCACCAATAACAAGAAAAACTAGATTATCAGAAAAAGAATCTTGGTCATCAAGATGTTAACGTCAACTAGAAGAACCGTTGATCTCCGGTCCGACACGGTGACTAAGCCAACGGAGTCAATGCGTTCAGCGATGGCAAACGCGGAAGTAGACGACGACGTCTTGGGGAACGATCCAACCGCGGTGCGTTTGGAGAAAGAGGTTGCGGAGATCGCCGGGAAAGAGGCGGCGATGTTTGTTCCGTCGGGGACAATGGGGAATCTGATAAGCGTGTTGGTCCATTGTGATGAGAGAGGGAGTGAAGTCATTCTTGGAGATGACTCTCACATTCATATATACGAAAACGGCGGCGTTTCAAGCCTCGGCGGAGTGCATCCGAGGACGGTGAAGAATGAAGAGGACGGGACGATGGAGATTAGTTCTATTGAAGCCGCCGTGAGGATTCCCAAAGGAGATCTTCATCATCCGGTTACTAAGCTTATATGTCTTGAGAACACTCAAGCAAAGTAAGTCTTAATTTGTTATTAACTATGAAGTAAAGAAACAAAGCGTAATACTGTATAATGGTTTGTGTGTTTGAAGTAACAAAAACTATTGTAGCTAAGTGGTTTCCTACTCACTTAATGATGTTAGGTATAGAGGTTTAGTGTAGGTTTCGTTTTATGAGACTATGTAATAAAAAGACCCGTTAGAGATGTTACTAAATTTAGTTAATTTTGGAATAAAGTTTGAAATAAATGAAATATGTGATTTGCATAGACTAGTAGTTTCGTTATGTTGATTGAAACGGAAAATATTTTGGAAATTGCGGCACTCACTTTTACTCCAACAACAAACAAAAAACTAGTGGATTTATATATAGTGAAGAAACTTTTGAGGACTGGTATTTTTAATTAGATTACAACATAAATTAAGAGTTTCAGCTATCATGATTAGACTGCGGATCAGTATTTAATTAGAAAATTCGGGTTAGCTAGAATTTTAAGCTTTTTTGACGTTATGGTTTGAAAAACCGCAATTTGTTGATGCAGTTGTGGAGGTAGATGCCTGCCTGTAGAATATATAGACAAAGTCGGAGAATTAGCCAAGAAACATGACTTGAAGCTTCACATCGACGGAGCTCGGATCTTCAACGCTTCTGTTGTTAGTATTACAAACATTTTAGTATATAATTCATCTCCATATGATTTCCACCCAAACACGTGTGTAATGCTTTGAATTTTATGTGTTCGTTTGTGTTTTAAATCTTAATTAGGCACTCGGAGTACCGGTGAAGAGGATTGTTCAAGCCGCAGATTCGGTCTCGGTATGATTCATCAAAACCTTGCTATGTAACGTTTGTGGACTAACATATGATCCTTTTGTATTTTTGTAATGTTTTAAATTACTGTTGAGTTCTAAACCGGTAACTTCGATGCAACTAGATTTGTTTGTCGAAGGGAATAGGTGCACCGGTAGGTTCGGTAATCGTGGGAAGCAAAAGTTTCATCACTAAAGTAAGTAAACTATGAATCAAAAATTGAGATGGTTAAATAGCAATTTCAATTCCGGTTCAAGTACTTGCTTGTTGAATTACAGGCAAGGTGGTTAAGGAAAACATTAGGCGGAGGAATGAGACAGATCGGTGTGCTCTGCGCCGCCGCATTGGTGGCTCTCCATGAAAACGTCGCCAAGCTCGACGATGACCACAAGAAAGCCAAGATCTTGGCAGGTGAATTGGAATTTTCGGTTATTTCTTATCCGGAATCTCAAATTTCATGTGAGAGTGTTACTTAACTGACTGATTAATTTGGTTTTTGGTTTTCTGCGTTTGCCAGAAGGACTGAACCGGATTGAACGGGTAAGAGTGAACGTCACGGCAGTGGAAACCAACATCGTAAGTGTATATGAACCGAGTGGCCTATATATATCACTTACACATGCACCACTTCATGATTGACAACAGAATCTTGTTTGTCGTTGTTTTAAGTTCTTGTTTTTCTTTTCGTTTTTCGTATAATACAAACTTTTATGGGCAGATATACATAGATATACCAGAAGATCCAAAATTTGGAGCAGAAGACGCATGCAAAAGTTTGGAAGCTCTCGGTGTCCTCGTCATACCTCAAGCTAAATTTAGGTACATAGCTCATAATACATCTAAACATAAAATGCTCGCGTGCTTAGTTTTTTTCCTTTCTTATAAAGGTAGCTTTACTTTGTCGTTGTCATCTAGTACCACGTAAAAAAAAATTCGTTTTATGGTATATTTGGAAAATATGAATTTTAAGGTTACTTTGAGTTTATGTTAACAGAATCAGGATTGTTCTACACCATCAAATCTCAGATAGCGACGTGGAATATGTACTCTCTTGCTTTGAGGTATTTTACTTTCAAATTCCTGTGATCTGCTCTGCTTTTGGTTACTTTCTTTGCCACGGTTTTTAGTTGTATGCTTTCAATTTATTTTCAGAAAATGTTTTAGCTCGATCGGTGCCAGAAGAGAAGGCTTGATTTCAAGTAATTTCACGTGTTGGAAATGAACTGTGTGAGATGATAGTACTCATCCCCAAAGTCCCTAACCCGAAGACAGTAGCATGTATGATCCATCCTACATGTAATGTTTGTTGTCTTTTTGGGTTTTAATGAAAGATTGCCATGAAATAAGAAAAGAAATATATTAGCATAAATATTTTTTTATTTTATTTCATGCATTTATTACAATATTTGAACGGCTAATCATTAGAGAGAAGATTGAGTTTGTATTACTTTTGGCAACAACATTTCTTAGGAACATTAGGAGAAGGAGAAGCACATTCCCCCCCATATGAGTAGCCAGCTATTTTGCAGTCAGTAAAACATTCTTGCCATGCGTATCGATCCGTACACAGACTATCGCAATGGTCATAAGAAAAGTTTTCGATCCCTGCACCTATATAAATTCACAAAATATAGTTATAATAATAATTGATATAAACATGTGTGTCCAATGACAATATCTATAAACATCTTTGTGTAAAAACAATTGAACGAAATGTGTTATATAAATATATGTATATGTATAGTCGCTACTCGCTAATCAAAGTAAAGTTTCAAAAGAAAAAAAAACTGTCTCTTGTGAATTCGGTCAAAGAAAATTCACGCATATAAATCATTATAACTAATTAATACACTTCATATAACTTAATTAAGTGCAAGGTCACAATTTATGTTGGAAAGTTTTGTAATTGTAGTAAGGCAGTATATATTAGTAAGTTGTGTTAATTATGGTAGAAGATCATAACTCATTTTTAAATTTGAATCAATTTGACTTTCAAAACTTTATCTTTGAAATATCATAAATATATTTATAAGAAGTTATTAACCTGAAAAAATCAACTTAAACATAAATTAAAATAAAAGGAACTCTTTAAAAGTTAGCTCCCAAACAGTTCTAATTTCTTAGATAAACCAAACAAAATTGTTGTAAAAATAAAATAAAAAACTAAATTAGACATCATCAAACATAATTTTTTTGAGCGAATTCAGTTGCGAATTTGTATGTTGAATTCGCTCAAAAATCTGAAGATAGCCACAAAAGTGTTTTAAAGGGCCTTTATTACTTTAAAAGATTACATATGTGAAGTAACGGAAAACATAAGATGGTAACAGAAGGAAAGGATGGCGAAAGAAAATGAGAAAGGTAGAGACAAAGGACGTCTCATGGAAATACAAATCTAGGCAACATTAGACAATTATGGTTCTACATACATGATAAATGATGCATCATTCGTAAACTAAAAATACAATTTAAAAATCTTATTCACCAGCATGGCTTTTGGGAAATGAAATAAGGTCTACATGTTTAGTCACTACCTTTAAAATAATATTTATAGTTAAATAAAAAATAGCTAAAGTAAAATTTCAAACATACCTGAAACCATAATGTTGTGGTTGAAGAACATAACTCCTAATATTCCAACGAAGCAGAAAGTCACCAACGTTTTGGTATTGGTCATGGTCAACTTTTAAATATACAATGTATATAGCGAGAAAAAATGTTTTTAAGTTTTAATTTCAGAGAAAGATTCTACTTTTTTCTACTAGACCCATATGAAAACCACTATTTATATAGCTTTTGGTTTTAGGAATTCTCAAATTTACCTAATTTAATAATATTATTAGTAATGATTTTTTATATTTATGGTATTTGAAACGTGTTGTTTAAATATTATATTGAAATTCTAAGATATATTAAATTCTCATAAATTTGTTCAATAAGAATTTTTTATACTTTGCATTGACTGTATATTCAAAATTTTGACCAAATGCAAAACTGTATTCAGATTTCTTTTTCTTTATACGATAAACTTACTCATATATTTGACTAAAAAAACACTTTAAATATGATGGGAAAACAAATATCTATTAAATTTTATCACAATTAATGAAAGATTTACATATTCAGCATTAATAAAACTTCTTTTAAAGTAGTAAATGAATGGCATTACCGAATTAAATTATAACAAACATATTTTATTATTTATTTAATCAAAGTGAATTAATAGTGTTTTTAATTAGATCCACATCTTGAGTTTTTATTGCATAATTCAATACGGTATACCATAATTTCAATAACATAATTAAACAACACTAAAATCATTAATAGTAATAAAATTAAATTAGGTAAATTTGATTTCCTAAAACCAAGAGCTAACTCTTCGTTGAAATGATGGTATATCTATAGATAAAACCAACGAAAATACATAGATATACCAGAAGTTCCAAATTTTGGAGCAGAAAGTTTGGAAGCTCTCGGTGTCCTTGTCATACCTCAAGCTAAATTTAGGTACATCATACATAGCTAATAATACATCTAAACATATATATGCTCACGTGCTTAGCTTATTTTCTTTCTTCTAAAGGTAGCTTTACTTTGTTGCTGTCATCTGGTACCACGTAAAGAAGTTTTCGTTTTATGGTATTTTTGGAAAAAATGAATTTTAAGGTTACTTTGAGTTTATGTTAACAGAATCAGGATTGTTCTAAGATAGCGACGTGGAATATGTACTCTCTTGCTTTGAGGTATTTTGCTTTCAAATTCCTGTGATGTGCTCAACTTTTGGTTACTTTCTTTGGCACGATTTTTAATGGTTTGCTTTCAGTTTATTTTCAGAAAATGTTTTAGCTCGATCGAGTGCCAGAAGAGAAGGCTTGATTTCAAGTAATGTCACGTGATCGACTCTTGACGCAGTAGACAGACTCCTCCGTGATCGACTCTTGACGCTACCACCCTTAGAAGGAAGCTCCTCTTCTCTTCTTGAATTTTATTTTAGTTGTATTAATTTATCTATTTAGCTTGATCTGTCTGTAATCCTCTCCACAAACAATAAGTTACTCTTTTGTAACATGTAAAACTCAGAAAATGGTATAAATCTTAACATTTAGACCAAAAAAAAAAAAGTAATGTCACGTGTTGGAAATGGACTGTGTGAGATGATAGTACCTTGATTATATTTTCGTTGTTTTTACCTTTCAATCATGAGCTACAAATTTTTTATTGGAATTCAACTACCTCGAAATGATTTAATATAATTCTTCTCCTACCAAGAAAATATAAACTTTTATAAAATTTCTTTATTTATTTTGTTGAGATTAGTATTCATAGTTCATGGTGTGAATAGTTTTCCTTCTTTGATACTAATCGTAATGCTGTACTTTTTTTGTTGTATAGTCGTAAATTAGTAATGCTAAACACATACTTAAAATACGATTCTTAGCCAACACCGTTAGTTGTGGGAAATTAAATCGAATTTGTGCATGCTTAGTTATTACCTCTACAATGAATCAATGATCATAGTTACTGAGAAAATAGTTAAAGTAAAATTTTTAACCTGAAGCCATAACTTTGTTAAGGTAAAATTTTGAACATACCAACCACTGAACCAGGTTTAATGATTAAAATCTGGTTTAGCCACTTACTGGTCTTAATGGACTCGGCCCAAACCTTTAAGTTCATTTTTTGAAATTTCCAATTTAAGCAAATATGTGGAAAACAAAATTAAAGAGAATTTCAGAATAAAAAAAAAGTTTGACGTCGATCTTCTCGCCTGAAACCTTTTTCGGTTGCGATTCGGCGTTGTCTTTTTTTCGATCATCTCCGATGTCAATCCCTCCGTCTTCAGCTTCTTCTTCCTCTTCTTCATCTTCAACGTCTCAGTACACATACGCGTCAAATTCGTACTATTCTGCGCCCTACCAGCCTCCACAGACCTACGCGACGCCCTCGCCTGCTCCAGCGCCGCCGGTGGTGCCCATTCCCGGAGCTACGGTCTATCCGCAGCCTATTGGCCCTGTCCCTGCCGTGTACGCTTACCCTCAGTACCAGCAGGTTAGTCGGGTTTGATAATTCGGAGTATTGATTGATTCATAGCGATTTGCGAATTTGAGATTCCTATTTCGAATTAGGGTTTTCCAAATCAATCTGCTTTGACTGTAGTTTTTGTTTGTTTTGTTCTTGAGAAAGCAGTTTCCGTTTATGATTGTGTGATGCTTGTTACAGAAGCTTGGCTGTTGATGAATTCTACCGATTACGGATCTCGCATGATTTACAGTTAAAGTTTTGATCTTTGGATTTTTTTTTACTTGTTTTGCGTGTTCTCTGCGAAAATTAGACCGATTCGCATTTTAATGTTGTTTCATTTGGTTGAAATGATTGGCAGGCACATCAATTGTTCCAGAGAGATGCACAGACCATCACACCAGAAGCTCTTGAGAATGTGAAAGCCGCTTTGGCGAGTAGTGAGACTGAACACAAAGCGGAAACGAAAAAGAGAGCTATTCCTCGTAAAGCTGCTGGACAGTCTTGGGAGGATCCTACTCTCTCAGAGTGGCCAGAAAGTAAGCACTATCCTTGTACTTGTCTCCCTTGAGCTGAGTTTGCTGTCTGCCTTTTTAATTTGCGGATTTCATCATAGTGATTCATATATAGGCTTTGGATCCTCTTTGCTCCTTTTGTCATGATGGATTTCTTACTAGTTTCTGTTTCACATTTTGCCAGATGACTATCGCCTGTTCTGTGGTGATCTTGGGAATGAAGTGAATGATGATGTTCTTTCCAAGGCATTTGCTCGATTCCCTACCTTCAATATGGCCAAGGTAAATGTGTATATCTCTCCTCCTTTCTGTTTTTGTGATGGGTTTTACTTATACCTGTTTCCATTGAACATATCTCTGACCATTTAGCTGTGTGACTATAGTAATTTTCTCTCTCTGTGCATGGTTACTAAGATAAAAAAATTCCTTGGTGTGGTTGATTAGTGTCAACTATGATGAATTTGCAACTCCGAAGCTGTAGTAGTTACAGAATTTGGTTGAACTATTGTCCTTAGATCACATGGATCATCTGATATTTAATGCTTCTAAGGACAATGAAATTATGATTTCGCTAGATTCTCTGTTTCCTCTTGTTTTCTTGATACCTTGGGAAAATTCAGCAGTGGGAAACTGTTATTAGGAAGCATACTGTAGTTCATGCTCTTATAAGCCACTACTATATATTGACGCCTTGTCCTTTTCATTTTCCTCTGTTGCTCTGTTTCTTGCACTTCATGCTGTTAGTTTTTTGGCTATTTTGTCCAGAGTTTCTGTTGTTGAAGACATCTTATGTACCATGACAGGTCATCAGAGATAAGCGCACTGGCAAAACCAAGGGTTATGGGTTTGTGAGTTTCTCAAATCCTGCGGATCTAGCTGGAGCCCTAAAAGAAATGAATGGTAAGCATCTGGTTTGAGTATCTGTCTGATGTGTTGCTTCATCTTCATATCTGATTTCACTGTTATATGATTCTGTTTTCATAATCACTGCCATTGAACATTTTGTTTCAGTCCACTGATTTCATATGATTCACACAGGCAAGTATGTTGGAAACCGTCCGATCAAACTAAGAAAGAGCAGCTGGAAAGAGAGAACGGACCAGGAGGCTGCAGAAAGACAGAAGCATCACAGCAATAAGAAGCAAAAGACTGTGAAGAAGAGTATACTTCACAAGTAAAAATCCATCGCGATTTTCAAAACCAGTGAACTAAAGTGTGTAGTTTTTATTAGTTTTACCTTTTGATATTAAAAATGTAACTCCAAAATACGTATTATGCGATTCTGTTTTAAAAGTGTTTAGACGGTTATTGTTAAGGTTTATAAGAGTTTATAAGGTTGATTAAACGGTTTTTTAACCTTTTGCCTGTTTTCACTTTCCATAATAGGCTCGAGCATAACTCTGACATCATTTTCACCCTCTATTATAATATTATTACAGCCAAGTGGTCTGAGTAGATTACTAGAAATTAAAAGCAATGACTTTATAATTTTCGATAGTAAGAATCGATTATATATATAAGAAAAAGATGATGTAGATTCATATCATTTATTTCCTCTTAACATAATTTTTGGAGGTATAACTATATTAATCCTTCGAAACTTTTTAGAAGCATCTTTTAACTTGAGTGGAAGTTTTTTTTTGCTAAGAATGCTAATATCATATTAATGATGGTTAAAGGTCTTACAAATGTAGAAAACCTATACAAGTGATTCCTTGGCAAAAAATAAAAAAAAACAAGGAAGCACACGGACAGAGACGAAATTGAAGATCAAGAGAGCCACATGCTCATCAAGTTACGAAATTTCTTTCTTGTTCTTCTAGCGTAGAGAGTCAGAGAGAGTCAGAGAGAGCAAAAAGGGAAACTAGGTGTGGCGCCAAAAACAAGGAGATCCACCCACCAACGACGTCAACAATACATCAACCTTTTAGTAAAGAATACATTTCGAACCCTTCGCACTCACGCATCGCTTTCTTGTTTTGGGATACATGCAAGTATGCAACTTGTTTACCCTTTCCACGCTAGGATCACTCAATGAAATCATGTGAAATAAACTTGAAATTACATAATGATTTCACAGTACTTTGAAGCTATAAAATATATAATAAAATCACGTGAAATCACGACATAATATTCATAATTAATTACTTTTTTTTACCAAAACAATAAAATATTCATAATTAATTTGCAGTTTACTAATCAGAATATGAATGCCACTTTAGTGTATATGTTGTTTGGTGGTCCTAGCGTGGATGGTTGTTGTTGTGTCCACTTTAGATTTTCATTTTTTGATGTTCCGTAAATCGATAGAGAAATAATTTATAATACCTGTTACTGAAATTAAGCAGAATAAAAAAAAACGATTAATTATTGCTTATAAATAATGCATTGACGAACTCAATTATTAATACGATTTCTTCGGCTGTAAAACGTCTAAGCTAGTGATTTACGTAGCGCTTCTTCTTTTTGTTCTTGAGTTTCTATTTTGGTTCACGATCTGTTTATTTATGTAGTAGCTCTCTGCATCTTGCTGTTTTCAACTCAGCTTACACACAATTTACTTATCGTTCACATATATAATTTGATTATATTTTACTTATATAATACTTAAAATTTGCTTATGTTTTACTTAAAATTTACATATATTTTGCTTATAAATTTCTTATATTATATTAAATAAAATCAAGAATAAACTCATTTGCATTTAAATTTGTAAAGGAATTCATAAAGGAATAATATCGGTATAGTAAATCGTCACAAATGGCCTATATAGTTGAGACGGTCCAAGGATGAGGATAGCTGGTTCGACGTTGTGAGCACATGAAGCGCGTTGGTGATAGCGTGCATGGTTGTGTCCACTTTTGATCTAAGGGTTTCTATTTTTGGATGTTCTTTAAATGGATACAGAAATAATTTAATCTTCAGCTATTCTCGTTGTTTCATTCTTGGATTTGGCAAAGTCATCTCTGAGGGTGTCGAATTCGCTCGATCCAATTTTTCCTTTACCTTCTTGTCCCGGATCTTCCCAAAAGGTTACTTATATACTGTAGAGAATCATCTATATATATATATATGTATATATATATATATATATATATATATATATATATATATATTGGTCTGCAGCTTTTTGGTAATCAACAGAAACTCTTCTTTTTGTTCTTGGATTTTGTTGTTTTCAACTCAGCTTACACACGATTTCTTCGTTTTTTCAGCTCCTTCTTTCTCTCTCTCTCAGCAAAGTGTTCTGACGAAATATTAGATAGCCAGTTGTTGAAGATTCGTTCGCAGGTTATAGCGTTTATGTGTCCACTTTGATCTTAAATGGATACAGAAATAATTTCAAATTAAAACTAAGCTGAATACAACAACAAAAAGCCGATTGGTCATATATATTACCAGAAACTCTTCTTCTTGTTGAAGTAAATCATCATCATCTTCTCTCGGTGGCCTCACCACCTTTATAATTTTTTTTTTGTATGTAGTATGCTGTCGGAACTATAAAAAGTCTACCTGTGTGAGTCATATCCCGAGTTGATGTAAAGTATGATACTTTTCTATAAAACGACTCTGGTTTGCATTATACATTGTAAACTGATCACTCAATGAAATATGTGAAATAAATTTGAAACCAGAGAATGATTTCACATTAGTTTGAACTTTGAAGCTATAAATATAGATTAAAGAAACTATTGATAAAATCACGTAAAAGCACGAAATGATGTTAATAATTACTTACGCATGTTTACTTTTCAGAATCTGAATGTTACACTAATAATCTTTTAGTGTATATGTTGTTTGGAGGTCCTAGACTCCTATTAAACAAATAAAGATATGTAACCAATATAATAGTTAAAGAGCATGGTTGTGATCAATAATTTTTTTAAATCATATTATTTTGTTAAAATCAGATTAACCAGACACTTAACCAGGTTAATCAGATTTATCATATTATTGGTTAATGAACTGTGAACTAAATATGAGTTATAAGCATAACATAAGCATAACATAAGTAAAATATAAGCAAATTACAAAAACAAAGCATAATATAAGCAAAATATATGAAAAAAATACTAACAAGACACTTAACATGCAAAAATTAGTTTCTCTTATTACTATTATGTTTGCTTGAAGTTTAACTATTTTGATATTTCCCTCTTAGTTTCATTTCTAGTACGATTCAAACATGGAATTTCAGACAATAAACATTATATATGTCCTTAGGTTTCTAATATTTGTTGATTAGTAAAAACATAATGAATTATGTTGGTTTGGCCAAAGAGAATTTTATTCCATTTTATTATAACAAGTTAAGTTCAAAAATCTATTGGCGTGCTTGTGAAGAAAATTTTATCATAACGATTGTTATGTTTTTACTAATCAACAAGAGAATTCTCAGTTCAAAACCTGAATTCTCTGTTTTTTTTTTGTCTCAGTAGGTTTCTCTTTCTTATTTGGGTTTGTTCGTGTACTTTTGTGAAATGATCGAATTGTTTTGTTTAATTGTAGTTATGGCCTATGGGTTGATACAATCATATGGAAGTGTGGAGAGATAGATTGTGTGTTCTATGTATAACTACATTAGAACACTAGAATTTAATATTTATTTTGAACAAAGTTTGATCGACTAGTCTACTTAAGTTTATTTTGTTATTTATTCGTTTTGACTAATCAATCTCATATATTTAGCAAGTATTTTAATCACAGACAGAAACATCAAACATGTCTTCGAAACGAAATATGAGCAACTAAGGAGCAAGAAAAAACGAGTAGAAGAAACAAGATCTTTAGCTAATTCGACGTTAACGTATGCAACAAAATCTGAAAGTCTTATAAGTGATGAAGTTTTAGAATGTGGGATGGATGATAAGTTTGAAAGGAGTAAAAATGGGAACGGGACAAGGATGAGAAAAATACTAAAATGTATATAATGGGCCCTTTTTTTAGCTTGCTCTAAAAACTAACTTCGATCACCTTGTCTTGAGAAACCCACGAACTTCAACGAGGAAGTTGTTGAGGTTCTTTCTGAATCTTTGGTAGTTCAGACGATCCAAGGACGAGGAAAGCTGGTTCGACGTCGTGAGCACATGAAGCGCGTTGGCTAGCCTAGTTTTGAAGTTGGGATTACCTTGCTTCTCAATCAGTTCGTTGCCCAATCCCTGGAGGCAACACAAACCGCTAGGTTAAGAAAAAACAAAGGAAACTCGATTGATGTTCTTTTAAAGAAAGAACTTAAAGACCGACCTGGTAAAGATTTGGTTCGCAGAGAATAAGAGGGAACAAGGCATCTGCTGCTGTACTGACTAGGTCGGTACTGTAACAAGAAAACACACTTTTGAGTAAACCTTAAGATTGCTTATTAAGTAATTTTGGGGGAATAGAGTTATATGATGGTTACCTGTAATCCTCAAAAAGAAGAAAGTGAAGTAACGTGCGGAGGAACCGGCTCAGGATTCCTTCGCAGAAGACTCCATTTGGATCTGTGTGTCCAGAAGCGTGCGAACCCAAACCCGTGTTGCCACTTTTCGTCTCTTTGTAGTGATATGAAGCAAGAGCCTTTAGAGCTCTCAGGCACATGGTGACTATATCTACATCCTGATGAGCATATTCAATAAACACAACATTCTTTTAAACCATAAGAGCAAAAAGGGAATTTACTTATTGTCTCTGTTAATAAGATATCACTTCACCTGCTGATGAAGACCAAAGTCGACTGTTGTAAGTACATGGTTAAATGCATCGCTGTTGAGTTGTGCGAGCGTCTCGGGATAAACCTCTAACATATGTGATATGAGCGAGAAATACTGCAGATTTTTTTTTTTCGCTTTAGTGAAAGTTCATAACAGTGAAAGGGTTAGTCAATGGTAGAGATTCAAGGCCTTACGTCGAAACAAAGCTTGGGGTATTTGAGGAGCTCCAGAGTTATAAGCGGCGTGATAATATGGAGACCAAAGTACACCACCTGTAAGTTCAAAGAATTACACAAACCATTTTCTTGTAGAATTTCATCTTAATTTTAACTCGATTTTCACCTGGGATATATTCGTGCTTTGTGTCTCAATACTGTCAGATGAAAAATCAACCTGCAAAAAGGTAGTTGTACCACTTGTTAGAAGATAAGGAATACTAGCGGATGTGTTAAAGTTTATACAGTGAGTGCCAAAAAAAAAGAACGTTTACCATATCTTTTGAGCATAGATGAGAAAGTAGCTGAAGCAGAGCGCGTAAATCTTTGTACTTTTCTGTTTTTGCTTCGTTAAGCAAGGTACTCGAGAGAGACAATGATATCTGAGGCGGAAAATAGCAATGTGTATGTGAGGGTACACAAACATTTATCTTGTCTGCTATCAAGCAATGAAGCTCAGTCTGAACAGAGACGTAAGGATGAGATAGGGTTACAGATTTTTACCTTCCCAATATTGTGTGACGAATATATTTGTAGAAGACTCATGCAGAAATTAATGACCACGGCTGTTTCATGAGCCTCTAGGTAAGATAATTGCCCATCCACCCAATCCACGACGAATTTGAGTAGTAGATATATTACTGCAGACTAAGCAATCAAAAAAATTAGTGGGGGTTTCTAACAAAAATGATTAAAAACAATCACAAGGATTTTGAAGAATGAAGTGCACCATCTGTATTGAACTGTTAACTATAGACTTTATCAAAATTCTGAACATTTTACATTACGTATGCCTTGAACAATACCTCGTGTTTGTAAACCTCGAGAAGACGGAGCACAGGATTCATAACAGACAATCCCATCTCATATATTGCTCTCTGTGTCCGGGGTTCAGTGGCACTTGCCGCTCCTCGAAGCCGCTCCAACACACAACTCACCTAACACAAAATACGAAAGAAACCTTCAGTTTGTAAGGATTTTGCAATCATCAAATCTACGTTTTCAAGTGTTTTTCTCCTCACCAGCATAATGATATCAGGTTGCTGTGCCAGATTTTTAAGGTCACTATTATTGGACAAATCCACCAAAGATGATGTCATATGAGCCATGAGGTCTTTCACATATCTTTTGGAAAATAAAAAGAAGGCTATTGGTCAGGCCAAATTTAAGGTTACGAATGTGAGCGAAGTGAGAAGAATTTGGGAACTCACTGATTTGATGCATCTGAACTTCGCATGCCATAAGCAGAAAGAACAAGTGTTTGAGCCAATGAACGCTGAATAGAAGTAACATCATTTCAGAAACAAAACATACATGAACAAATTAGCCAAAATGCAAACTTTAGGAAACTATACCTGACTAACACTGTTTAGCAAAAACAATGTTTTGTCGTTTGCAAAAGCATTTGCTAGGTTACGCCAGGAGTCCTGAACATTATTCATAAACAGCTAGTTACTAAATAAAGACAAGCACAAAATAATCTAATAAAGACAAGCACAAAATAATCTACAAGAATTATTTATCAATGAACAGGCTTTTTTTCCAAAGGATAAACATGAAATAAGCGAGCGATTCCCATTCTCACAGTTTTTCTAGCAGCCATATCATGCAATGAAATATGATTGTGGATTCTATTTCTAACATACAAGTGCGCTAAACAGTAATATAGGAGCAAAAGCCGAAGTTAAAAATGTCATTTGTATTGGGACCAAAGCTAAAAATCGGCCCCACCAAGTATGCCTGAGTCTGATTATGGTGAGTTTCTGAACTCACCAGTGATAGAAGGTGAAAACAAATATTTCTTCGTCGAACAAGTGCATGCAGTAACTGAAAACATGTTAATTCCTGCAGAGAGAGAAAACAAAAATATTAGGAGACCACCATTTTCGAAGAAATGGAAGTAGCCTACAGTTATAACCATAAGTTATAGCAAAATTCACACTAAGCCCTATAAGAAATCTTGCTGTAGCTAATTGGATTCCCTGGCTTAAAGTCCTTAAGTTCTCAAAATTTGTAAAATCAAATGAAGTACGAGAGTTCTTGCATCAGTTTACGCCCTCTCACAAACAACTACGAAATAGAATTTGTTCACGGTAAAAAAACCATCATATAAGGGTTGTCAGAATCAATAACGTTTATAGAAGGACAAAATATTATTACCTGCAAATCCTTTTCACCAGGGTAAGACATGAGCGATGTCAAGGAGATCCGGACAATTATATCAAGGACAAACTTCCCTTGATTATGTTCGTTGAAAAACGTGAACAAACATGCTCTGGAAGGTAGAGACTGAAGCTGGTTGCTACCCAAATTGCTATCTTCAACGAGCATTAGATATGTGAAAGACCATCTTGCAAGGAACCATATGACTGCCTACATATGTTTCTCCAATCAGTAATTAGAACTGGAATGACTTTCTTCTTTTTAATGTATGTTTTATGACCATGATATTTTGCATGCATTTGAATCTGAGAATTTGAAACAGGTAAAAAATTACCCAGTTCTGGAGTTTGTAAGAACTAAGAAATGTACCTCCATTAGCCGAGGACTAAAGATCGATGATCTCAAATCTGCATCCATACATTGCTCGGTGAACTTTATAATTGAGCTATGACAACAACAAAAAAAGGGAGGAAAATCAAGTAAATGTTCAGTGAAAAAATATGTACCACAATTTGTATATTAGTATGCCACTAGAATTTCAAGTAAAGTTGAAGACTATCTTATAAATACCTAGATGGTAACAGAAAACTGAAATATCAAACTATTAAAGTTCACTCATCTGTTCAGACAGGAAAAGCTTAACTCAAGCTCACCTTGAGAGTATCACAACAGGGTGGTTGCCTGCCTCTACAACATCCACAAAATGAGATTGCAATGCATCAGGAACCTGGTGGTTGATCACATCATCTCGTAAGTATAGGAAGAATTAATCAGTAAAATAACAGAGTAGTTTCACTGCTTGTGCTCGAAGTACTTCCATTTACTTTTATCAAGAAAAAGTGTAGTTTCAAGACCCATTCGTTTGAATTGATATCTGTGGTGAAACGTTTCTTATTTTTTCCATAGGAAAGCAGAGTGACTATTGTTTGATAGATAACTAATATCAGTAAAATATGAAACATGAACGAAAATATAAATTGATCCAATATATCATAATAGAGTGGATAAATTAATGGAAGGAAAGCTAGTCAGCGTCTTCCTTTTTGTGATTACATCAAAGAGAGGCAGGGAAAATTTAGAATTACCAGGGCCGTCTCCCCTTCCCCTTCATCAGCAAGGACATGACCGATTATCAGCAGTAAAGAGTAGACCTCTTCCAAAGTTTCAGTCGGATCAACAGTGCCCCTGCCCTAAAACAGGTAGATTAATTACGGTGAGCAAAAGCAACCTCTCAGGACATATTAGAAACCTCGTCCACATGATTAGGAAAACAAAAAGCTACCGAAAATTCAGACATTGCTGGAGTTTCTAATCGAGAACAATAAAGCTTTGACGCAAGTGTATGTTGGTATGCTAGCTACAACAGTCATGAATAGCTAGAGAAAAGACGAACAAGAAGTATGTGTAGTAGATGAAGGAATGTTGCTTTCTTTTATATGCTATAGGAAGGTTAATCAAGCGCACCTGATGGAGGCGTGCAACACGATCAGAAAAAAGTTTTGCTAAAAATGGAATTGTAGAATCGACTGCTGCCCTTGCAATGAGAGCATAAGATCCTAGTCTTTCATCCATGGCTGTCAGAACATGATATTAAAAGTTTGAGCACAAAATACTGCCTTCTAAGACTGGCTGCAATCTAGATCAAGAGGAAACATTGCATTTCTTTTGCTTACCAGACACAGAAGCCAGACAGTCAGCATCATCTTCATTAGCTGTAGCTGACGCAGATGCCACTAGAGAAGTAAAATTTCAGCTCGTAAATAGATTTGAAAAAGAAAACAGTTCCAAATGAACAAAAGTTGTAAGGGTCAACAGTCCGGAAATTGCTACCTTTTAGTTCAGATTCCACAATCAATGAAAAGAGGCTAGCTGCAGCATGCATCCCTTCAGGTGGCAGCCACGCATTACCTCCAGAACCATCCATTGCCTGACAGGAGTCATCACAATCCTTAGTCAAACATTGCCCACTAGTCATAGGACGCAATTAACTTATAAAGTGCATCTTTCCTCTAGATTCTCAAACATAAGATTGTTGGCAAATACGGAACTAATAATTACCCCGACAAAGTGAAAATCACAAAGTAACCCCAAAAAAGCCAGATACGGCTACAGAATTTCATGAACACAGCTATGCATAATGTAATAGATACATGTAGCTGTATTAAAAAAGATCTGAACTGTACTCACAACAAGGAGAGTTGTCCAGGTATCTAGCAAGATATCGCGCGCCTCATAGCTCCAAGTTTCTTTATCAGTACTATTCGCCATTAATACTTTGACAACCTCACCCATTAACATAGATAAGAGTGTAAGAGTACCAAAGGGCCTGAAGAAACAGAAACGGACGAACTCTTTTATGAATAACAAATCAGTAAATGGCTTTTAACGGCAAAAAAAAAGTCATACGCCAAAGACCTTATTGATCGCAAGAGTTGATCAAAGACAACAGGAGTAGTAACTGTCCCGATAGACAACAATGCGCGACAACCATCAATCATCTCACTGGAATAAAAAGTCGACGACACAATATTAAACGTGGGATATAAGACACAGACATCAAGCAGAATAAGAATGTTGAACAACTGACCTTCCACTCCTTCCTTCTTCAATCTCCTTTGAAATGACATCAGGAGGATCAATCCAGGGTAACACCCCTGACAGTAGGAGGAGCAGATGCTGCTCTTGCATCTGTGCATTGTCTAGATTATTGAACAAGTCACTCATAGAGAATTATATATCTTGATATGCAAAACATGATGGCCATCCATCGTTCCTAAATTGGCGAAGCAGACTAGATGCTGAGATTGATGTTTCTACAACGTATTCAACAGTAATTACAGAAGCATAGAATACTCACTGGATGGAAATATTTCCCCTGCTAAGGAGCACAATTGGACAATAAGTTTCCGAGCAGAGACTGCAACAGGACAATCTAGCCAATAGCCTTCAAGAGCAAACTTCTGCCTCAGCGATGAATATAGATTTATCAGCCATCCAACATGTGAACTTGAAAGCAAAACATCACACCACGAAGCACCAGGCTGCAATCAGCACCACTGAAGGTGAGATTTATGAAGAGTCCAAAAAAGGTCTTACAAGAAAACCATTTTTAACTCTGACAAGCTAGCATCACCCCACATGATATCTCTGAATTTCAACAAGTTAATAAAAGCTAATAATTCTTTAAAATAACAATTATTTACCTTAACAATTACACATTCCGTCTTTCGTGGTGATCCTGTATCAGGTCTAATTCCATCAGAGAATACATTTATGCTGGCCCTTGTGCCACCTTTGCTGTAACGAAACTCCCAGTTTAGTATTTGATGCATTACTCGCAGTGCAGCATTGCAAACCTTCACCTCAGGGACATCAAAATGTGACTCAATAATCTTGTTTGTAACACTTAAAGCAGCATCTTGTGCCCAGCTATAGAACGTCTGCAATTGAAAACATCGGAAGTTAACAGCAGAATTCTAGTAACAGAACCCTTGGTACAGGCTATTATTCTTCTACAGACGAAAGAATGGTGGGTGTCACAATATCGAGAAGCAAATGAAATCCTAAGAGAACCTTCAAAAAGTTTTGTTCAAGTGACTTGTGGCAGTTTTCATGAAATTCCCTTGGGAGACCCATGGCACTTGAAGTAGAGGGTGAGAATTCAGATACCTGAGATGAAGAAACTATGAGTACACATATGGTATACATATAACGCCAGAAAAATATGGAAACAGATCATTACCAATGATTCAAGAAAATTTATGCCAATGAACTGCACATCTAAGCCTCGAGAACCAAGAATAGCCTGATTGATCTGTGAACAGCAGTTTTTAAAAGCCAAAAGCAAATCAATACCATGATCCTTTTAACAAACATTAAATATCGGACGATTCCCTTTTATTTTTAAGAATAATTAGCAGCACTCTCGCAATTTACATTTCAACGTTAAATATAAAGTCACACTCAAGGTATATCCTGAACGCACCTAACTATTACTGCAAGATTTGTAAACCCCATTTTTTTATATGCAGCCTAATACTAATCAACTTTAATATACAGAAACTAAAAAGAGAGTCCGAAAAATTGCAATACAATGTTGATACCTGGTAGAAAAAGACTTCCTTCTCGGCTGGAGTAAACTCAAGCCTACAAGAGTAATTCAATCAGATTAGAAGTTTCCTAAGACAAACTTAGCAGACAAAAAAAAAGGTATATTGTCTAGGTTTCTTTAACTACTCTATTTTTCCAGACGCTATCAATCATAAGCGTGTTGTGACCAACAGCATCATTTGCCGAAATTCTTTCATATGCATCAAATTTGAAGTGACAGCTAACTTCCAGCATCTAATTTTCATGCTTTATTATTCAGAATACCAGAAGAGCACAGCTTACCAGCCTCTTTTCATCAGCTGCGCAGCCACAGAAGATACTTTTGAAAACACATAACCATCTGATGAATTGGCATGCTGCATGACGTAGCCCAGACAGAAGCTGCAAAACGATTAAGCCATATTTCAGAATTTCTTACTTGCATGAACCAAAATCTCATAAGAAAATCTCTAATTTATTAAATGATGGTCATGTTTATCACGGAAAATGATGTGTCCATACCAACCACAAAACATAACAGTCAAGAAGCAGCAGGTTTCACAGTCCAGAAAAAGTTGTCAGTATCCCAAAACTACTATACTGTGATTTGTGAAGCATGAATGCTCCCAGTTGATTCGCAAGGCCAATCAAATATACAGACTTGACACCAAGGGTTGCCTCCTGATAGAGCAGAGGGTGACCGCTCAACTAAGTGGAAGCTTAAGCATTCATGGCATAAAATATGAGAAATTACCTAATCAAACCCCCTTTATCATCGGTGGCAAGAAAACTCCATTCCCTGATCGCTGCTTCTTTAATAGCAGCAGCAGCTTGAAACCTAGCACTTGCTACCTGAGAATTTTCTGGAAGTATAAAACACTCTCAGTCAAACAGCTCTAAATCCAAGTTCATTTGCGCAGACGGTTCCGAAATCAGAAGATAAATTACCAAGAATATATCTACACGCCTTATACGGCTGTGGGGACTGGTGAAGCGACAATATGGTTGCTTCCGCAGCAGCTGGATTAGTATTTATCTGCTGGGAAGAAAGGGAAATGATCAAATGAGCATCTTCTGAAATACTTGTCTCGGTTTAGCACAAACAAAGACGCACGGATAAACAAACATCATAAGATTTCTAAAGAACAAAAAATCATAGAGCAACTTGATAATTTCAATACCTCCAGTGACTTCAAATTCAAGCCAACCAAATCACGAGGAAAAAAGTTCATAAATGCAATCACACGCACACGCACACATCTACAGGTTCCTCCAATTTAATAGGAAACTAAAAATAGATCAACCAGGAGACAAATGATGGAGTGACCCAAATTGTTTATGCGTATGAATAAAGGAAGAAGCAGAAAACAAAAACCTGAATGTAAGAGCAAGCAAGTTCAATCGCACGCATGGTAGATTGGAGCTGAGCCAAATCCTCAGGCCCAACTCCACCGCCACTGCTTCCACTAGAAACCCCTAACATCCTCTCCCGAATCGCCGATTCCGGTAACCGGATAATCGACAGCCTCCTCGTTTTTTTCAGGTAGAAGAAAACTAGTCTAGTCAACTGGAAACGATGAGAGTGAAGAAAAAGGGAAGAAACAGAAGAGAAAAATTCGATCGAGAAAAGGAAAATGGCGGCGTGTAGCAGCGAAAATGGCGGAGAAAGGGATCGATGGCGAGAGAGCCGGAGAGATGGAAATGGTGTTTTTAGAAGAGCGTGTCGCGGCTGTGCGTGCCATTTGGAAAATTTCCAAGTGGACGTCAAGTTCCATATTATTTACGGAAATACCCCTCTGAAGTTAAAGAGTTTAATGGACCGGACCGGACCGGGTGGTTCAATTGGCAATTATACAGCATAAGAACAATTTAAAGGTTTCTCTTCAAAATGTATATTTTAGGAGAAACCTTTAAATCAACAAGGCTAACTTTGTTGACAAGGTCGCTTAAAAAAAAACGTTACTCGTGCAGAGTAATTTCTTTACTAAAAAAAAGGTTTAGCCGTAAAGCAATTGCTTCGATTGTCAATAAATAAGATCCCGCAATTTGTTATGTTTCTGTAGTTACATGAAAACGTTGTTTGATACGGAAGTAAGCAATTCAGTAGTTTCCAGCTCCTCTGTTATCAGACAAGAGTTTAAAGTAACACAGAACATACCAGACTTATGTTTTTGAGTATATTGACACACATTCAAAGATCATATTACAAAAACAGAAAAGAAAAAGAGAAAGAGAGAGAGAGAGAGAGGCAGAAACAGATTAACCCTAAAGACGACGTCTTATGCCTCTGACCCTATTCTGTTCATACTTCTTGATGAACCACTCAGGCTTGTACAAAGCAACAACATGTCCAATTGCTATTCCAAGCAAAACTCCAGGCCCATACGCTATTACCACTCCTTTCCACTTCAATATTTCTTCTTCTTCTTCTTCTTCTTCTTCTTCTTCTTCTTCTTCTTCTTCTTGCTTGGGATCTTGTGTGTTTGAGCTTAGGCAGCTTTCTTCCAGAGGAAGACCACATAACCCTGGATTCCCTTCAAACGAGGATTTAGGCTGAGTTATGATTTGTGTCCCTTGTGGTATCTCGCCAGTGAGCTGATTATCAGAGACATCTATGTACGCCAAATAGGATAGTCTCCCGAGTTCTGTAGGAATTTCCCCGGAGAGTTTGTTCCCTGACAGGTCTAACGACTCGAGCTCAGTCAGATTGGCGATAGACATCGGGATACGTCCTTTGAATGCGTTGTTTGATAAGTTGAGAGCAATCAATGTCTTGGAGAAACCAATAGATTCTGGAATCTCTCCTTGGAGTTTGTTTCCAGAGAAATCAATGGCCGCGTAGAAAGTAAGAAGCTTTCCTTGCTCCATGTATAGGCCTTTGTATTGCAAATCCAAAGTGTATTCATAGATAAAACGATCACCATACATATCATCTCCCATATACAGACTCTTTTCTTCATCATTCCTCTTGAGTGATGTCGCATTCCAATTCGCAAAGTAGTTTCTTGGTAAGCTTCCGGTAAATCTGTTGTCCGCTATCTCAAGAATCCGGAGCTCCGGAAATGCAAGAGGGCCTTGATTACCAGGTGGAGATATAGGACCATGGAATCTGTTTGCACGAAGAGTAAGGACTTTCAAATTGGGCAATGTCTTGAGCCACAAGGGAAACGAGTCATTGATTCTGTTGTGATCCACACTTAGAAACTTTAGGTGAGAGCAGTTCTTGAGAGATCTCGGAAGCTTCCCGGTTAGTCTATTGAATCCAAAGTCGAGTGTCTGCGTAGAAGCGCCGCTATAGAACTTGTCTGGAATGTTTCCTTCCAACTTGTTTTTCCGGAGATTCACTGTGGTGAAGTTACTTATACATGGAGGAATTGAGCCGGTGAAGGTGTTGTAGGACAGATCAAGAACGTCGAGAAAGGTTCGGTTACAGATTGATAGAGGAATGTCTCCTGTAAAACTATTGTTCCAAACAGACAAGCTTATGAGAGAGAGTGGTGGATTAGGGAGCGATTCTCTGAAAGAGTTTAAAGCCAATTCTAGTATCTGTACCGAGGAATTGACCAAAACATGATCCAATGAACCTTCGAAGCCAGTGAAAGAATTGTTGTGAAGATCCAGCGAGCTCAAATGAGGAAGACTCCATAACCAATCAGGAACGTTCCCTATGATTCTGTTGTTGGAAAGATCTAAAAACTCTAACTTGTGTAGGGATTTCAAGAATATAGGGAAGTCACTAATGTTGCATCCCGAGAAGAGCAAGGTCTTCATGTTCTTTGGGAAATCGATGTCTGAATTCACACTCGCTGGTGTTAAACTGTTGCCGTAAAGAGCAAGGTATGACAAAGATTTTAGAGAAGAAAAGAGTGTTAGGTCAATGGGTTGGCTTGTGTTTAGGAAAGAGAGGCTGAGAGACTTGAGGTTGACAAACTTTAAAACATGATCTATAATCTCTGCTTCAAGAAAGTTATTCCCAAGGTATAAAGACTCGAGCTTAGACGAAGAATAATCGGGGATTTCAAATGAGCCAGTGAGATGATTCCCACTCAGATCAAGATAAGACAAGAAAGGCATGGTGAGGAGAGAAGAAGGTATGGTTCCAGAGAATTGGTTATAAGAAAGGTCTAAATCTGAAAGCTCCGTTAGGTTCTTTACAAGTAGGGCTAAATCACCAGTGAGCTTGTTGTAAGAAAGCTTTAAGTGGGTTAGTTTTGGTAGGTTACGTATTGAAGAAGGAACTTGGCCGAGGAAGCCATTAGAGGAGAGAATCAAGAACTCTAACCTCTTGAGATTGCCAAATTCAGAAGGAAGTGAAGAGGGGGTGAACTTGTTTTCTGAGAGATCGAGGTAACGAAGATGATGCAACTTGAAGAGGCTACTGTTGGGCATCAGAGTTCCACTGAGACAGGCTTTGATCTTTAGCTGCGTGATGGCACCCGTCGAGTTATCGCACATGACTCCTTCATTAGAGGAGTCACTATGGTTGCAACGGCGAGTATCAAACTCGTTCTTGAACTGCGTAAGGGCTTGAATCTGGTCGGGACGACAAGCACCAAGACCAACAACATCATGACTTTCAACACTGTAGACGAAGCTTCTTGAAGGGGAGACACAACATAATAAGAGCAGGAAAAGAAAAGGCCAACGCATGCAGGATTTCGACATGGTCGTCATGAGAAACTTTATAAGAAGAATACTTTTGGTTTGAGAAAAGTGATATAAGAGATTGGTATAAATAAAGGTAACTGGTTTTTCACTTGAACACAAAAATTGACTTGGAAGAAGTTAGAGTTGTGTGAAGTCTTTGTCTCGTGGCTTGAAAAAAAGTATGGCTAAGTAGCACTCAAATCACGTTAGTTCATTTTTCTAACGTATGAATTCGATTGATTTTGAAATCTCTCACATATATGATATATATCTATGTGATTTTATTCGCACGTCGCGTGAGCAAAGGGGGAGAGTGAGTATGTGTTACTTTTGCTTTCCAAGAAAGGGGAATTATGCGCACATACATAATTTCCAAGAAAGGATCCAAGAGCTTAAAGATTTTTTGATAAAGAAATCTCCTCTTATTATTCTGAGTTCACGATATTCGTTAATTTGAGAACAAATATTTGTTTAATTTAGAACGCCACATGCTTTTATAATAAAAAATTGTGATAAAAGAATAAAACGTAGTACGAAACTACTAGTTAGGTTCATATAGAAGGAACCATCTTGTTGTAGAAATGTTAATGATAAAAACAAAAAAAATGTCTCTCTAAAAATTCCAAAATATAGCTCTATTTGATATTTTCTTGATAAATAAGTACTAGTTTGTCAACAGAATGTTTTGGTAAGTCACTTGGTGAAAATGTTATTTCACGGAAAACACTGTCATTTCTTAGTTTTTTAGGAAATGCTGCAACACGCTCGCATGCAACTAAAGTCAGTCACTCACCGAACTGTTTTCAACTGTTGCTTTGCTCAAGTCTGTATATACTTCTTAGTTCTTAATGAGTATTTGGGACTGTATCAGTGATATTGAATCTGATTCTTCAATTTCTCTGGAACCTTTGAGTTGGCTTATTCCAATTTGATATTGTCCCAAGTCATCTTTGTCACTGCTTGTCTTTTGTTTAATGCACAGAGACTTCGTATATTCAGAATTACTTTCATTTTTGATGAATGATGATCATTAGCAGATTTTGTGTGTTTTGATTTGCAGGCGCATAAATATCTGGTTAATGTTAACATTTAAAACCCCTTTACAAAGTAGTAAAAACTAAATGCAGGATTCATAATGCAGTATAGATGATCAGTTGAGTTATCATCACGGATTTTCAAATGCTTAATATAGTGGTGCCAGTAATAGTTTTTATTAATTTGAATAGTTGATTAACAGTTCTTAAATTCCATCCATTGAACAAAATGATCAACTATACAGTAGTTCTATACTAGTTTATCGACGAGATTTTGCTACGGAGACTAGGTGTGTGGATACATATTATATTTATATTCACACATATCTATCGTCATATCAGATTCGTATCATATGGACCAAGACATAAAGCAATAGTAAACCCTAAATAGATTCCAAACTCTAAATAGAGTTTTGGAAGAAATGATCAAATTGAAAATTAAAGGGGCCAATCGAGAAACTAGGAGAAACGTCATGCTAGATTCCTAAATATTATAAAATTCATTTTTTTTGTATACTCGCCGTTTTTAACTCTATTGACTTGACTCTCTCTCTCGTCCTCGACTACAGAAGTTTCGTCGACGACATCAGAAACACCTCACTGCAATTCCGCAACTAGCTATGAAGGTGGTGGCTTTAGTCAGTGGCGGCAAAGATAGCTGCTACACTATGATGAAGTGTATCGAGTACGGTCACGAGGTACGTTATTCTTCTCTCACTTCCGATTCTGTCTAGTTTTCCAAGTTTTGTTTGCCGTTGAGAGTTTCCATGAAATTGCCTCAAAGAAGTTTTTTTTCGGCTATACGAACTTAAATCTCACTTGGGGTTGCTTAATTTATGTTTCCACAGATCGTCGCATTGGCGAATTTGTTACCGATTGATGATTCGGTCGATGAATTGGACAGCTATATGTATCAAACTGTAAGATTCTGCTTCTTCGTATTTCTCTTTAATGCTTCAATAGGTGTTATTGAGCTTCTTCTATCTCGTATTGGTGTTTATGTGAATCTGGTCAATGTTATCTGATTTGTTCATGAGACGACTAAGGCTTAATATTGTTTATTGGAGAGGTTTGAGAGTAAGATTGATAAATAAGGTTTATGAAATTGGAATCTTAATTGAATGTTTCTTTCCTCAGGTGGGACACCAGATTATAGTGAGTTATGCAGAATGCATGAATGTGCCATTGTTTAGAAGAAGAATTCGAGGATCTTCGAGGTGAGAATCAGTTAGGCTTTTTGTTGTGTGCTTGAGATTTCGTTTTAATGAATTGTTCTGAGGATTTATTTTTATATTTTGTAGGCATCAGAAGCTTAGCTACCAGATGACTCCAGATGATGAAGTGGAAGATATGTTTGTGTTGTTGAGTGAAGTGAAGAGACAGATACCTTCCATCACCGCAGTATCGTCTGGTGCGATTGCATCAGACTACCAACGTCTGCGTGTGGAAAGTATTTGTTCAAGGTTAGGTCTTGTTTCTTTGGCGTTTTTGTGGAAACAAGATCAGACATTGCTTCTTCAGGAAATGGTAAACTGTTTCGATATTAAAAAAACACCAAGATTTCAATCTCATATCTGTCTCTTATGATCTGTTTTCTTTCTTTAACTCGTTCCTGCTTTACTTGCAGATAGCAAATGGGATAAAGGCTATCTTAGTCAAGGTAATAAGGATTGCAGTTATATTTTTCCGGCTTACCGGTATCTTTTTATGATCGGCGTTTTCTTTGCATCAACAGGTGGCAGCAATAGGGTTGGATCCTGCGAAGCATTTAGGAAAGGACTTAGCTTTCATGGAACCATATCTTCTCAAGTTAAAAGAGTATTGCCACAATTCTCTTTTATGGATTCCGTTAAGAATACTTTGTTCAGTTGTGTTATGGATTCTAAAAGCTTCTGAATGCATATCTCTACTTAGGTTATATGGAAGTAATGTTTGCGGTGAAGGAGGAGAATATGAAACTCTGACTCTCGATTGCCCTCTTTTCACTGTATGTGTTTTAGCAATCTTAGCAACAATTTTTTTAAGTTCATGGATTCATGATATTTGTTAGTAGTTGACAGTTTGCATTTTCTTTAGAATGCGAGAATCGTGCTTGATGAGTTTCAAGTTGTGCTACACTCTCCCGATTGTATTGCACCGGTTGGAGTTCTTCATCCATCGACGTTCCATCTCGAGAAGAAGGAGAATCCAGAATCCAATTCCCTTGAGGGGGGATCGGGTTTAGTGTTTGAGGTACAAGGAGACGGCCCTAACACACCAGAATCTACTCGCCAACAAGATGATGGAAACGTTGGTCTAGTTGAACATACACGAAACAGACTTCACTTATCAAAGACCGAGAAAGACAATACATTCTCCATCTGCTGCTGGTTAGAAGATTCTTCAACAGGTAACTCCGAAATCAGAGTGAAACTATTCCTCCAGACTTGTACTTGATATTTGCTGTATCCTTTTTGACAGGCATGAAAGAAGATCTTGAGACTGTACTCACAGAAATTGAATCGCAGCTCTTGAAACATGGGTTTAACTGGCAGCATGTCTTGTACATTCATCTCTATATCTCTGATATGGGTGAATTTTCTGTGGCGAATGAGACATATGTGAAATTTATCACACAAGGGAAGTGTCCTTTCGGTGTTCCTTCACGTAGTACAATAGAACTTCCTTTGGTACAAGCGGGTTTTGGAAAAGCTTACGTTGAGGTGTTGGTTGCGAATGACCACAGCAAAAGAGTTCTCCATGTCCAGAGTATTTCTTGCTGGGCACCTAGCTGCATTGGACCTTATAGTCAGGTGAAAAAGTCTCCTCTTCGATTTCTAAATTAAGTTTTTTTATCAGCAAACTCAATTTACTTTTACATTTTACTTCAGGCCACTTTGCACAAGAGTGTTCTCCACATGGCTGGACAATTAGGGCTTGACCCTCCCACGATGAATCTTCGAAATGAAGGCGCAATTGCTGAGCTGAATCAAGCGTTGACGAACAGTGAGGCAATAGCAGAGTCTTTTAGATGCTCAATCTCTTCATCAGCTATTCTCTTTGTGGTCTTCTGTTCATCACGCACAACACCATCAGAGAGGAACCAACTTCATGAAAAGTTTGTTTCTTTCTTGGATTTGGCAAATTCTTCTCGGAGAGTATCGAATGTCCTCAATCCTATGTTCCTTTACATTCTTGTCCCGGATCTTCCCAAAAGGTGAAAATACTGTGGAGACTCTTGTATTACTGGTCTGCAGGTTTTTGGTGTTTAATAGAAACTGTTGTTCTGCAGGGCTCTTGTTGAAGTAAAGCCTGTCTTATACGTAGAAGAAGATACAGAGACTGAAGATGAAACTAGACAAGATCAGTCAGGTGAAGGAGATTACAGTTATTGGGGATATAAGCCAGAGAAGTGGCACCAAGATTGTATGCAGAACCGAGTTGTTGATGGGAAAGTGTGCGTGACCGTTCTCTCCATCTCAGCCGAAGTTGTGAGGAAACTTCATGAAGATTCCGCAGAAGAAAAAGAAGAACAACTGGAGAGAGTATCAAGATTCTGTGTATATCTTCTCAACAAAACCTTGTTGGAAAATTCATTCTCTTGGCAAGACATAACGGTGAGAATTAGATTCTTGAACGCAATGTTAGTCTCTCATCAAAAGCTATGCTTATGTCTTCTTCTTTTTGCTGATACAGAGCTTGAGGATACACTTCTCTACAAGTCTTGGTGTGTCCATAGAGAGACTATCCTACATTTATTCGACTGCATTCAGAGAGCTTAACGAGATGAGTCATGGAGGTAGAGTCAACGGCTTGAAAGAACCTATATTCAATCTCGTTCCGGTCCTTGGTGCTGGAAACTCTTCTGCTTCACTCGACAACCTAATCACCTGTGAACTGTTTGCCCTAAGGTCGTAAGTTTCCTGTCCCACAAGGAACACACGTTTACTTTCTTGATCTTAGCCTCTTAGAATGATTTTCTCTTCAATATGTTGAAGGCAATATGTTTGCCGTTTTTCTTATTGTCGTTTCGTTTGCTGAGGAACAACACGTAGTTGTTTTGTCACAAATGGAAACGCCACGATGTTTGTTTTATTACAAATGGTGTTGCAAAGGCTGTTTACTTTGGCAAACCCCAATATACACAATGATCAGTTAATTTATTGAATACTATGATATTATTGGTCAATACATTATTATTATGACATCAACAAATTATACTATTAACCAACATGTACTCTTATGTCACATGCCACTAAACAAATCGCCTTTTATAATCTAAAGTAGAAAATGTGGTCCCGCACTTGTACAAATCTAGATTTAGTCATGTGTCACATATCAAATTTCTTAATCTTGTGAAGATAAATTATAATCTCTTTTCTACTAATCATGCAATTAAAAAGGGTTTACAGCAGAAAGCCAAACAAATCAAATCAAATAACTTTGGCTACTTGCTAAAGTGTAATGGCCTTACTAGCAAAATTTATGCGTATAAGATTGTTTTTGCTTATAGTTTATTTGTAAAGGCTTTGATAATTGGAGTAAAGAGATCAAAACAAAGTAGATCTTATAAAATATATCCAATAAGATGCCTTGGGGGGAAACATTGCGTTGTGGTCTGTGGGGACAATTTGCTGGCACAAACATTCTGCAGAAGAAAATGAAAATAATTTGGTTCATTATGATTGTCCAAAAACCAAAAATGTACTAACAAGTTAAAATATTATGATGCAAAGTAATTCGACAGGTTTCACCACGCCTTTTTACACTCTGAAGTATTGAGCACCGTAATTCTGAATCTTATGCAATTTAAAAACTCATATCGGTAAATATGAAGCATCATTTCATTCGGTTGGCTCTATGAATCTTTAATGTGTCACACACACTAGTAGAAACTAAAAAAATTTCGACAGGTTTCATTCTTAGTTGTACTAATTCGACAGGTTTTAATGCTACTCCCACAGTCACACGTCTATAAATTTAATGCGATGGTAACATGTTTTAATGAAGTACATATACGTATAATTTGAGTTTTCTCATTTTAATTTCGAAAACACAATTACTAGTTGACAATGGCAATCGTAAAACTCTGACCTAACGGAGGATATAAAAGTCATTAACGGAGGACAATGGGAAAAGTCCGACCTGGAAATTCAGACGTAAAGCGTAGCCCAAAAAAAAAAGGAGAAACTGGTAAAAGTGTAATTAAATGTAAAGCCAAGGGTGATTCGTTATTACACCTTGTAGTACCAAAATAGTCGAGACCAGAAAATCGGCAGAGAGAGAGAGAGAGAGAGATCTGAGTAAGAGTGGCATTAATAATGGCGGACGTACAAACCTAGCCGTTAGATCGTCTCAATTTCGAGAAAAAATCATTGTTTACCGTCCGATTCTCTCTGTCTTTTCAGGTTTCCGGGTCGGGTTTTGGGTAGAAAAGTCCAGCAGCTCTCAAACTACTATTTCTTCTTCCTACTTTTTGTAAAAAGGCTACTACTTTCTGATGAACAGCTTACATAGCTTGTGAGGTGTTTTGCTTTTGTGTGTTGGAATTTGGAATTCGCTTTTAGGTTTCGTTTGTGATTCACCTTCTATTAGGAGTCCGAGTTTGTTGGAGAACGACAATCACGAGTCTCGGATTTGTTAAAATGGAAGATTACTCGAAGTATACTCATAGTCCTGCTCATTTAGCGGTAGTGCTTCGTGATCATGTGGCTCTAAGGCGAATCGTGACTGATCTTCCTCGGTTAGCCAAAGCCGGTGAAGTTACCACAGAGGCAGAGTCAATGGAATCCGAAGCTCGCGCCGATTCCGTTTCAGCTGTAATCGATCGTCGTGACGTTCCTAATCGTGAAACTCCATTGCATCTCGCTGTTCGTCTCCGTGACCCAACCTCCGCCGAGATTCTAATGTCCGCCGGTGCGGATTGGAGTCTACAGAACGAGAATGGCTGGAGTGCGTTGCAGGAAGCGGTTTGCACAAGAGAAGAAGCGATCGCGATGATCATTGCTCGGCATTACCAGCCGCTCGCTTGGGCTAAATGGTGCAGGAGGCTTCCTCGGATCATCGCGTCGGCGTCGCGAATCCGTGACTTCTACATGGAGATCACTTTCCATTTCGAGAGCTCGGTGATTCCCTTTGTTGGCCGGATTGCTCCGTCGGATACTTATAGGATATGGAAACGAGGATCGAATCTCCGTGCGGATATGACTCTCGCCGGTTTCGATGGTTTCAAAATCCAACGGTCAGATCAAACGTTTCTCTTTCTCGGAGATGGTTGCTCGTCGGCGGCGTCGCTCTCTCCTGGCTCGTTGATTGTGCTTTCTCATAAGGAGAAGGAGATGACGAATGCTTTGGAAGGAGCTGGTGCGCAGCCGACGGATGCAGAGGTTGCTAATGAGGTTGCTTTGATGTCTCAGACTAATATGTATAGGCCTGGAATCGATGTCACTCAGGCTGAGCTTGTTTCTCATTTGAATTGGAGACGGCAAGAGAGGACGGAGATGGTTGGGAATTGGAAAGCCAAGGTTTACGATATGCTTCATGTGATGGTGAGTGTGAAGTCAAGACGTGTCCCTGGTGCGATGACTGATGAAGAGCTCTTTGCTGTTGATGAAGAGCGAGCTGCTGCTGCTACAGCAAATGGTGCTGAGAATGATGGCTTGGAAGACGTGTTAACCCCTGAGGAGAGAGTTCAGTTTGATTCAGCGATTCGGAATGGAAACGCCGATGCTATTGAAGATGATGAAGAAGTTAACGATCACCAGGAGAATGGATCTCTTAAGGAGAAGAAGAGCTGGTTTGGTTGGAACAAGAAAGGCTTGAATAATGAAGGTGCTAATCAAAAAGGGAAAAGCCAGAGATCTTCGATGGTGTCTGATCATTCAAGTGAGGATCTTGGAGAGGCGAAGAAAGGGAAAGAGAAGAAGAAGAAGAAGAAGAAAGGTGTTGCTGGAGATGAGGTCAAGCGTGAGAGTGAATACAAGAAAGGACTAAGACCAGTCTTGTGGTTAACACCGGACTTTCCTCTTACGACAGACGAGCTTTTGCCTCTCCTTGACATATTGGCTAATAAGGTCAAAGCCATTAGGAGACTCAGAGAGCTTCTCACAACTAAACTTCCACCAGGCACATTCCCTGTAAAGGTATAATCTTTATCTTTTAAAACTTGTGGACTGTTGTTACTGATATGATTGGTGAATGATTATTCTTGGATGTATGCTAATTGGTAATTTGATCTGCAGCTTGCCATTCCCATTATACCGACGGTTAGAGTTGTTGTTACTTTCACGAAGTTTGAAGAGCTTCAGGGGGCTGAGGAGGAGTTCTCAACGCCGCCGTCTAGTCCAGTGTTTCATGATGCAAAGTCATCAACTTCAGAGAACTCATCACCGTCATGGATGTCATGGATGAGAAGTGGCAAATCAAGTGACAACGATAGTAACCGTTACAAAGACGAGGTTGACCCTTTCTTGATACCTTCAGATTACACATGGGTGGATTCAGCTGAGAAGAAACGTCGGATGAAAGCTAAGAAAGCTAAGAGCAGGAGGAAGAAACAGGCGTCTGGGGCTACAAAGCCTGCGTCTGCTGGTGACTCAAGTAACCGTTCGAATCAAGTAGCGGAAGAATGATGTTGAGGTCCTCTTGTTTTACTCTCTTCTAATTGGTACGTCCATTGCATTCTTCAGGTTTGCTTTGGATGGATTCAAACATGTACACTTACTTTTCGAGTCATGTACCAGTGTTGGCCTTGAGAAAAGGCTTTTGGTAATTGTTGTTTATTGGTCTTGATAATGTCATGTTATTTCTGAAATTCCTCAACAAAACGTCTTGTTCTCTCGCACTCACTGATTATAATAATCTTCGTTGTTTCTTTCACCTGAACTCCTAAGAACATAACCAATTGAATTCAAAATAGCCATGAAACATGAACTCCAATAATCTCTTGCATCCTTTATTAAAAATGTTGAAACAAATAATCAGTATTTTTTTTCTATGCGGAACATTATTATCATCCCCATTGTGCAATATACACTATTCCTTGTGAAGGTGAGACGAAGAAGGAGAATAAAATAACCGTTTGTCTGCTTTCTTCGTCTTCATCAAATCCAGCTTCGGTTTGGACTTTGGATTAACAAAGGTTTCTCGCAATACAAGAAACATTTGATCCCAAAGTTGATGAATAAATATAGATACATATAAACCAATTGGGGGAATTAGGGGTCTCTCACTTGCAGTCTTTTAGCTCTCTTCTGGTTCAGACTCTGTTTGCACCATCTCCAAACCGAGATTGAGAACAGAGCTCTCACTGTTTTGCTTGAAACCATTGAAATAGATTATTCCTAAGTGTCATGAAACAGCCTCCTAATCTGATCCACGCTAGCCGGAATCAATGTCACTGGACATCGCTTGTACTGTTTACAACACAGAGCTATATAAGCATACATCGTCTGGGAATAGAGAAGAGGACTATTTCGAGAACTAACCTTTGTAACATACTTGAATACACAAGCGTAGCAGAAAACGAATCCCGAGACTGTGACAACTGATGGGTTTGCACGTTTTTGCAAGCATAACGCGCAGAGAGAACTGTCAGGAGGTAAAGGGATTCCTTCTTTGGCCACCTGTTAGAGAAAAACAAAAAAACATTCACAAACTGCGTCTGCATTAGTTTCAGATATTGCTACCAAATGATTGGTTGATTACCTTTGGCGCTGGAGGAGGTGGAGGTGGAGGGTACACTGTTGGAGCTGACAATCTCTCTTCAGCTGATTGATACCACCATTCCATCATCTACAAAACCAAAACAAGAGGTTTATGTTCAAGCTAATGTATGTATGCGATGAAGAATCTACTAAGAGACAAAGACGCCATAAATATAGCAATTTTATGATACTTACTTTGAATATAAAAACTGCTGCAATTAAACCGGTTTGGGCGTAGTCAAGCACCGCATATGAACAGCTAAGAAGTGCCCCTTGCACTGTCTAATTCAATATTCAAAACAGTATTGTCAGACGTTGGATCTTTTAAGTGTAAGCAGTGGTAGAGACCGGCAGATCTCATTCCTTAGGTTACAGAAAGTTTAAGAAAAGTGAAAGCATACTTTTAACCATGGAGGACCACGAAGTCTCTCACGCTCATTGTTCCGGATCTTTGAAATTCTTGAAGATGTATCCATCTATCTTGTCAACAACAAAAACAACAGCGTGTTAGACATAGCACATGTGAATTTTACAAAGTTTATAAAGTTTTTTCTACAGTTCTAGTTGATGGATTGTATAAATTCTCGCAGCAAGATATCTAAAAAGAATGTGGACTCTGAAATATAGTCCATTAAAACTAGAGCTCTTAAATTCTACATCCTAGTACAGAAATGATTGCATTCTTCATCAGCAAATTCAGGTGAAATGATAAAATCTCCTTTGACTAGCGACAGACCAAACAAAAAGAGTGGTTAGACGAAGTAAGGACGAAGCGCATACCAGTTCTTGCCCTGTGGCTCGACAGACTTGAACACCAAGAGCTTGCAGCCCAAGAGAATAAAATCCAGTAGCGTCCAACAGGTATAAGAGCTGGTACGTGAACGATAACCCTGCACAGCTCTTTTCAGATCAGCCTAGATCAACTACGAAAGATGCTAGTGATCAAATAAGAATCCTCATATCAAAAGCAATGAAAACGCAGTGATAATGTATATTACTCTGAATTTCTAGTGCTTATAGCCTGGATTTCATTCTATTCATAAATACTAGGAAGCCAAACTTACATTGCAGTTCCACGCACTAATCTCCAACAATTGTAACTACAGGCATGAAGTTGAACATGGTAAACTAAAGAAGGGCTCCTAATTAGTATAAATCCACAATTACCTTCACTTGAAGCATGTATCCAAGGATAGCAGATAGCTATAAACTTTTTAATCTTGGTAGCCAATTGTCCTCGAACAGTTAGCTCTTGATTCCCACTGGGCTCTCTTGTAACAATTGATTCCTCCCCTGTGAAGAAGTCAGCTTCATCAAATCCTTGATCTTCATTTCCCCATAAACTTTCCCGGAGCCTCGCTTCCCTTTCCTTGTTATATATCGCATGCAACTTTGACTTGAAATACGGTAATACAACCTAAGTAAAGACAGTAATTAGAAGGCAGTACAAAGCTTAAAGGCATAAGCTTTATGCTTTTTAACAGTGTAGGATTCAAAGCGTACCAGAAACACAACAGAGAGGACTCTCTGGCGCTTCTCTAAACCGGAATGTTGAACTTCTTCGCTTAAACCCGTCCTAGAACCACCGTCTCTCCTCAACCTCAGTCTCACTGATTTCCTCCTCAAACCATATAATGACTCAGCAAACGAAGCATCTGAAACAATTCGTAAAAATCTAGACTTTATTAACAAAAGTTCCCAACTCACAGTCACACTCCTCCAATCTCAAAATAAAGCCAGAACATTTTGTTGAGAACCTACCTGTGGTTCGTAAGCTATGTCCTTCAAGAACAAGCATCAGAGAAGCAAAGAATTCATCCTCGTAGTCTAAGATTTTGTGGAGGAACGATCGTCTCAGAGCAAAAACCTAAGCAATCGGGAACAAATCAGACCGATAGGTACCAAATTTTCGATCGGAAGGGAAGGGCATTTTGAAGGGTTTTAACTTACGCCGAGGGAATATGTGAGAGCGGCGCGGAGGCTAGCCGGAAGTTGCTGAGCGGCAGCCATCTCAAAGAAGGTTGGGCGTGTGCCTTCACCTCCCACCTGAAACAGCATCTTCGTCTTCCTCTCTTCTTCTTTTGCTTCTGATCAGTGATAAATAGTTGATAAAGGTAAAAGCTTTGTTTTTGAGTGAGATTGAGACCTTTAGCTTCCTCAGAATTGCAGAAATTTGGGAAAGAAGATAGACGAAGGAGAAAAGACGCATTTCGAGAGAATATTACGTCATAATTATGTTATGTCTTTTGCCACGTCAGTTATATTACATCGCTGACTCAGCAGCCGACAATAGTCCAAATCGACAGTGATTTCTCCACGTCATCTATAACAAATCTTTTACTTGCTTATTAAGGCTTGCTTTGTGTGAATGAAAATTGTGTTAACTGTGTGACCAAAGCAAAACCACGTCTAAAATTGGGAGAAAATCCTCAATTTTCATTCACATAAACCAACAAAAGCAAGAAGAAAGAAGGCATTTTATATGCACAATTACATTCTGTTGCAACATCTTTGGATTTCCGACAAAACCTAACTTCTTACGTAAGAGACATTTCTATACACACACAGGTCAGTATCATAAGTTCCGACTTGTTCAGTCACGAGAGATGTCTAATCTTTGGATTTCCGACAAAACCTAACTTCTTACATAAGAGACATTTCTATAAAAAACTATTAAGAAACACAGGTCAGTATCATAAGTTCCAACTTGTTCAGTCACGAGAGATGTCTAATCTTCTCTAGCTCGTTTCCTAGTAGTCCCAGATGAGGTGTCTGGTGATGGAGCTGAGGTGTATTTTTTCTTCTCTTGCATCTTCTGTTGTTTATCAATCATCATCTGAAGATACCGACCTTGTTTTTCGATTTGTAACTGCAGTGACCTTTGGATCTGCATTGTATCAAGAACCAAGATCAGATCAACATAACTAGATTAAGAAAGGACACAGTGTCTTGTTTCATATAATAAGCTACTTGGAATCATACATACCTCAAGTTGCTCATGGAGTTTTTTCTGAACTTCCATCTGTAACCTTAGGGCTTCAGTAATTTCAATGCTCCTGAAGTAAAAAAATCGTAAATGTAAATAAACACATTTCTTGGTGCTACTGCTATATAGACAGAAAAAACGAGTTTTTGCTTACGTCTTCAAGTCAAGAGATTTGATCTCTTCAATGGTTTTCAAATTCTTCTCTGGAGGTTCCTCTGTTCAATAAAGAAAACAATTTTGGTATAAACATGTGTTTCTTTAGATGCAAGAGATTCAGAAAATGCAGGACTATTTGTATGGAAATAAGACTACCTAGATCTCCTGAAAGCTCCGGTTTGTACCTTGCCGTTCTGTATTTCTGGAGAAGGCATGAGAAATGAGCTGAGATTAAGCATATAAACCATAAACAGAAATTAAGATAACAAAAATCACCTGCAAATGGCTTTTGACATGATAAATGGTCAAGCCTGGGCTATTGATGAGCTTCAACACAGCCTTAGGCGTGGCACCTACGGTTTTCAATTATAAGCCAAGAGAATAATAAGTTATTAACCTAACATTTGCAGGCATGTGAAGAGAAAGAAAAGAAGAAAAAGAGAGCTAACGCACGTTCACTACCACCAAGTTGATTGATAGCTTCAACGAATGCTTCATGAAGTTCTGGTGTCCAACGCATTCGTTGTTTACATGTCACTGAACTAGCCGGTGAGTTTTTTGCATTAAAATGCTCCATTGATTGATTCACCTGATACTGATTATTGACTACTATCTCTTGCTTTGCTATATCAGAACACGGTATTGGTATCATCTGTAATAACACATCATCAGAGCCTTTCTTAATAAGGAACAGAGAATCATACTGAGCTGCGAAAACGAACCTTTGAATCTTGGTTGAGGACGACATTAGGATCGCCTAGAAGCTCCGACCAATTTGGTTCAACACCGTCACCAACAGAGATCAGCTGATTAGCCCAGTCTGGCCATTCTCCTTTTGAATGGACCATAGCTCTGCTGCTCTCTGCTTGTGGATCCGGAAGAGGAAAGTCAAAGAACCCCTGAAGCTGATCTTGAGACCAGCTCATATCTTTGTGCTCTTCTTGAGGTTGATTAACCAATGGCAATGGCAAAGACTGTGTTTTCACAGAGCATTGCTGTCTCTGTCCTTCTCCAAAGACATGAGAAACGGATGGCCTTGTCTGAGAGGAACTCCTTTCATGTGCTGAAACATACATACCATTATTGCAAGAAGTGCCACCAGAGACCAGAGGAAACACCTGACAGGGCACTGGGTTATTCATCACTTCCTGTCCTGATGAAACCCACAAAAAAGGATTAGGAAACTTATGATGATGGTTGTTGTATCTCTCTTCAAGAGTTGTAGGAAGAAGAGCAAAAGATGAAGACATAGCAAGTGTCATAGAACAAGTGAACTAGCTTGGCAAGGAAATGAGACTAAATATCATTAACTTATATACAGAAAATGACTCTAAAACATTACTCCTGAGGAATATTCTTTCACTTTTTGTTTTGCATTGGATCATAATTATCACTCTTAGCTTTCTTTAACTTTAACAAATACTAATGCAAAGAGAAAAGATAGAAAGAAGAAATTCTTTTATTCTTCTTATCCAAACTTAAAACTTGTTTGAGCCATGAACCAAGAGAAGCTATATCATGGAGATGACAGATGCATCAAAATCAAAATTAGAAAGGGACCACAAATCAGATTTGGAATCAAATGCAATTGGGAACGAAAAATATGGCTTTTGGTAAAACCACAGGGACGTGCAAGGAGGAGAGTCACCATGAGCACATTATCATTCTGATCAAATTGTAACCTCAACACCTCAAGGAAAGAGAATCTTGCAGAGAACCAAATCGGTAACAAAAATGACTTGACCATAGAATAAAACGATTCTTAGATCATAACAAGTCCACATCTCATGATTTAACTGTCTAATCTCCATGAAAAAGAAAAAAAAAATCAGACCTTTTTGCTTGAAAGTTTTCAAAAACAGAACATTATCTATGGTGAACCAATTCCACATCAACTGGATAAATTAATAGAAGGTGAACACTTTCAATAACAGATCAAACAGACAATTAATGAGTGTTCATTGCTTCCCTAAGCACAAGCCCAAAAAAAAGTCAATCTAATAATCAGCTAAGCGATATATAACTCACCAGAACAAAAGACTCCTTAAAATCGAAGTTTAAACTGAGACAAAGATCATGGAAGACGACGAAAGAGAGAATGCCGACAGTGAGTAAAAGGAGAAATGAATCTCTGCCACACAAAAAAAAAAGTGAAAGACAGAATCTTACTCGACCAAGCACTAGGCAGCAACACAGAATCCAATACCGAATCAAAGACCAAAAAGGGCTTTTAATTCAATGATTGAAAACTAAACGAAAAGAATGTCTTCTTTTAGTATATTTGTCTTCTCAAATCCCCAAAAAACGAAACAATTCGTCTTTCTCTTCTCCTAAAACCATGAGAAGACGAAATTTGGAGTTATTACTAGTCTTTGTCTTCTCCTTCTGGTGTGTCTCTGTTTTACCACCAAGTTATTTTGGTTTGCTAATGACCGTTGGATCTACATTCGCTTTCGCTTACTGAAGTTTTGTTATGAAAACTAACAGATGAGATTCATGAAGCGCACAGTAAATGAATGTTCTCTGCCGTAGACGATTTATGGCGGTCGTGTTATAAAAATTCAGAATGTAGTTGGTGGGGTCCATCTGATGTTTGATTGGTCGAATGTTGATCGGTGCTTACTACGTCAAGCACAACAAATTTATATTTAAAGTGTTTGACCTAATAAATTAAGTAGTTTACAATTTTCATTTTCAGTTTCATCCACGTTAGTATCGTGTTACTATAATTTATACTTTTTTAATAAAGCAGAAAATTATGAATTATCCATGAAATAGTAAAAGTGGAAAAAAAATATGTAAACCAATTATCAATCATCATGTTAGTTTTTTTTTTTGTTTTTTTACCACAAGTTACATTCACATTCCGACTTAAAATAAAATGGTTCTTTGTTTGTTTAATTTTTGATGGAAAACTCTATACACCAAATAGATAATGGAGATCTTGTACTGTTAGTCGAGTCGCAGATAGTTCACCAGGATCTTCACCCAATGCAGATGCAACCATTTCTCTTTTCTTCTCCTGAAGAGTCAATATCCGTTCCTCAACGGTGTCGTTGATAGTTATACGAGTCACAGTAACAGCCCGAGTTTGTCCAATACGATGAGCTCGATCAATGGCTTGATCTTCCGTTGTCGGATTCCACCAAAGATCCAACAGAATCACATGACATGCAGATACCATGTTCAGTCCAAGGTTCCCAGCTTTAAGAGACATTAGCATCACTTGCACGCTAGGATCATTGTTCAATTCTTTTACAGCTATGTCTCTTGCTAGAAGAGACATTGTTCCATCTAATCTTCTGAAAGTCATACCGTTTTTGACGAGATTAGTCTCAAGCAAATCAAGCATACCAGTCCACTGAGAGAACACTAATGTCTTTATTGGTAGAGACTTTGGACTGCCTTGCTCCAATTTTGGCCTGCCTTGCTTTGCAAGCGACGAAAGAGTCTCCATCACGGCTTTGATTTTCGTTGACCTAAAGTCGCTTGCAAGCACAGCCTCAAGAGAAGGAATTTCAGGAGCATTTCCAGTTGGCTTGCATAGCTTAACAAGTTGTGGATGGTCACAAGCTTGGCGTAGTCGCAAAAGCAACACAAGAATGTAGGCATAGTTATCGTACACGGTCCCTGCAGCAGAAAAGGCCTTGAACTCCTCTCGCGAACTTGCTTCAAGCTCCTTGTAGAAAAACAGCTCGTCTGAAGTAAAGTCCATCTTAGTCAAACTAACATTCTTTGGAGGTAGTTTAAGTATAGCTTGCCCATCAAGTAATGTTCCTTTGGTCCGGCGAAGCAAGATGGCTCGAAGAACAGCTTGAAGCTTCTTGTAACCTTTTACATTGTCATCTTCAATTGGTGAAGTGATTCTTCGGTGAAACGAACTGTAGTCAGCGTACGGATGATATCTAAGAAACTTGAAGTAGCTGTAAAGATCCTTGATCTTGTTCTGTATCGGTGTTCCAGACAAACACCATCTCCTTTTGGCTTCGAGATTACAACATGCGATTGCAACTTGTGTTGTATAGTTCTTGATTATCTGAGCTTCATCTAACACAACTCTCAGCCACTTAACTCTTGATAGTGCACCAGCAAGTCTTTTTCGAATTCTTTTTCCATCCTTCTTCTTAGGATCATGACTCTTCTCGTTTTTGGGGACTTCGTTCGTAACAAGCGCGTAGGTTGTCACGACGACATCGTATTTTGCTAACTCGAGAGGATCTCTGGTTCTGTTGGCTCCATGGTAGACTAGAACAGAGAGCTTGTGTTTAGGAGAAACCTTGTCTTGAATTTCTTTTGCCCATTGCTTTGCAATACTTGCTGGACAAACAATCAACGTACCACCAGATCTTCGACTTCTTCGCTTTTCGAGCTTTGGTGGTGAATGTGAACTCAACTTTTGCAATAGGATAAGAGCAATCGTTGAGATTGTTTTACCAAGTCCCTGATCATCTGCTAACATCCCTCCCAAACAGTTCTTCAAACTTCTTTGTTCTTTTTGATACATCCATTCCAACGCAATTTTCTGATGCCTCATAAGAGGAACTGAAAGAACACCAGGAGGTAAATCTCTCTCTGTCTTTGGTTGATTCAGATCTTGTAATGCAGCTTGATAGATAAGCCTCTCATCATTAATGGTGGTTCCATCTGGTTGCATGATGGGTTGTACTTCATCATCATCGTCATCATCACTGCCTGAACTAATGTAACCACCTTGTTGCGTCATGGGCACATCATCATCATCATCGTCACTCCCTGAACTAATGTAAACACCTTGTTGCATGATGGGTACATCGTCATCATCATCATCATCACTCCCTGAACTGATGTAATTAACACCTTGTTGCATGAAGGGCATTTCATCATCATCATCATCACTAATGTAAACATCTTGTTTGATGATGGGTTTGACGTCTTTTACTTCATCATCATCATCATCATCACTACTTATGTAAACAGGAAAATCCATCGCAAAAAAAACCTCCTAATGTTGTCGGAATCGCAGTCTAGGGTTTCTAAGAAAACGAATTAGCCCTAAACAAACAAGAACAGAGTAAAGAGAGATTCGAAATTGTTGGGATGATAGAGGTAAACTCTGATTTCTTAGTAACCGATAGAAACCAGAACCAATGTTCTTAAAACAAAGATCCTGAACTCACATGTAAAGAACCTGCAATTGAAGAATAGGTTCTCAACTAGATTGAGCTTTTAATCGAAGCAATAGATGAAAGGAGAAGAAGAGGTTTTCTGAATAATACTGATTCTCAATGAAATACAATCCTTATATAAGAAAACCCAAAACCCAACTTGAAGTAAAAACTGAAAAGGAAATTTAGCCAATTACCTAACGACGATTTCTCATCATGTTAGTTAGTTAGTTAGAGGTAAACACATTGAGACGACACAAGTCGAAGATATAATGAGAATATACAAATCCCGAATTCTCCGTTTCAGAGAGTACAGTGAGAATTCTCCGTTCTTAATGTTCAATTACGAACACGTTCATAATTGTAAAATTTCACAATTAAACGATCAAAATCATGTTCTAAGTGAAACTACTCAAGTAAGCAAATTAAAGGTACCAAAACCATAAGAAACCGAAAACGGTGAAACGCAATGTGATAAACTGAGATGTTCTTTATAGGAACTAGAAAGAAGATCAAAGCATAAGACAAGTCTAAAACAAAAAAAAAAAAAACATAACATCCTCAAGAGATAGTGCAAAACGTTCAACACAAAAGAAAGATCTCAAGTTGCTTAAACGATGGCGTTTGCAGCACTTGCAATCCTTGGCCAAAGATCAGCACACTCCTTTCCGATTGGTCCAGTGATAGCAGATCCTACAATCATACAAAAACAAAAGACAAAATAAACATCAGCACAAGAAGATCAAATCCAAAGGAACATTAATTCACTGGAGTACCAAATCTTTCGACTCTTACCTTTCATTTCACCCTTGGGATTGACAATGACACCAGCGTTGTCTGCAAAATCACAAACATATTCAAATCAGACTCTCACATTTCAAAGATGATTCATTGAACACACACAAACTCAGACATGGAGATGATAATGGAGAAAAGCTTACCCTCAAAGTACATGAAGACACCGTCCTTTCGGCGCCAAGGCTTCCTCTGCCTAACAATGACAGCCGGCAGGACCTTCTTACGGAGATCAGGCTTTCCTTTCTTCACAGTGGCCATAACCATGTCACCGACACAGGCTGACGGCAAACGGTTGAGACGACCCTTAATTCCTTTAACCGAAATGATGTAAAGGTTCTTGGCTCCGGTGTTGTCTGCGCAGTTCACTGTGGCTGCCACTGGAAGACCCAGTGACATCCTGAACTTGTTTCCAGAGGTTCCTCCTCTTCCTATATCAACCAATCAAACAAACAAATGTCAAATGAATTTGGATACTAAATACATTCATCAACCAAAATTAGAACAAATCAGGTTTAGATCTCAGAGAAACAAATCACCGGAAACGCATGAGAAAACACAAATATTCAGCTACCTAGCGAGCTCTAAAGATTCAGATCTCCGTATCAGTAGTTCATGATCTAGAAATAACCTTTATCAGGAGTAAACAAGCCAATGAAAACAGCAATCATCTATTCGATTGATATTCTAAGAATGAAAAGGGAAGCGAGAATAAGCAGCTCATGGTTGTTGATAAACTAAAAGCAAAACAGTATGCAGATGGAAGATAGACGAGACGGAAAGGAATTCAATTACCTCGCTTCGACATGGTTGTTGCAGAGTAGCAGCTCTCTCCTTCGGAAGAGTTTCGATGGCAGAGACGAGAGTGTTTATATACGGCTGTGCTAGGGTTTTCTTGCACCCTATTGTGCGCTGACCTGGATTTGATATAATGGGCCGGAGAAATTTATCAATAGGCCCAATAGTACAATATACACGCTATTTTCTCAAACGTACACATTATTAAGCCCAGTAAGTTAATTGTAACGAAAGACGCCATTAACTAAATATCTATATGTTGCCTGCTTCATATTGAAATCTCAATGAGCTCATCATTATCATTCTAATCAAAAGTGAAATCTTAGCATTTGAAGGAAGGAGAATCTTTCATAGAAACAAAATTATGACTTGACCACTGATGATGCGTAACAAGATGAGTCCAGTGAGATAGTAGTCAGTAATCAGCATCAGGTGAGCATTTTAATGCAAAAAGAAGGAGAAGAATGTGAATATAATCATCTTTGTTGAAGGTCAAATGAAGTACTTGGAATTTGCTCACGTATATCTAACAAAGTATCTATCATCATTAGCTTCTGATAAAATGTTCATCATCATCATCATCATCATCAGGTGAGCAATTTTCATTTTGAGATAAGAAGATGAAGACAGAGGAAGGAGATATGTGATGTGATAAGACTATAAGAGACGTTATTCTCTCTTAATATGTCTGATAAAATGTTCTACAATGGCTAAATACAGAAACAAAAGAATAATGACATAAACTTAAATAACATGAACTGTAGATGGATATGCTCTAAACTTTAGGAACACTATGAAAGAGATTATAAGTGCATTTGGTGTAAATTAGAACAAGTTAAAAATTTGCTTCCAAAAAAACTAATTAGTTAGTATTTTGAAGAAGGTATCGAGTTGTTCACCAGTTATTTACATTCGATTAAAAATTTGTATACTGATTTTCAAGGAAAAAAAATGTAATACATGATTAGTACTTTGAAAAAAAATGTATTATAATAAATAATTTGTTTCTATTCCATGCATTTTATTACAATATTTGAATTGCTGATTATTAAGGAGAGAAGATTAAAGTTATATTACTTTTGGCAACAACATTCTTCCGGATCGTTAGGAGAACGAGAAGTACATAAGCCAGTGCTGTAGCCATCTCTTAAGCAGTCAGCAAAACATCCACGGAAGTCAAATGGAAACTCGCACACACCACGACAGTAGTCATATGATATTTTTTCAATCTCTGCACACACAAAAAAATATATAAAACTAATTGTAATCGTTACAAAATATATGGGCCTGATTGGTTGTTACTGTAGCTTTGAATTTTTTGCTTTAGAATTTATGCTGTAGAATTTTTGGCTGTGATTATAGATTTTAGTGCTGTAAGATTTTTTATTGTAGATCGTGACATTAAATATAGCATTAAAACAAAAAAGATAAGATATAGAAACAATAGATTAAAAAATAAATGTTGAAAAAATAATAATGAAAGAGAAAAGAGAAAATCCTAAGAGCACTTAATTTTGTGCTCTAGAAAAATTGCTTTCCAAAGCCACATAATTTCCATAAAAAAAAAATTGATCTGCGTTTCAAAAATGGAAAGAGATAAAATGAAAGCTTGATTGGTAATTTTTGATTGCTGTACAGAGATTTAGTGCTTTGGAGAGCAACCACAGCTCCTACCAATCATCCCATATGTCTCCATTATGCCTATATATAGTTATTTAGTATATCATTGAAAACTATAATCATGGTATAATTCTAACAAAATGTTCAAAAGCATGTCAGTGTATACACAGAAATCCAAAATATGGCCATTACAAATTTAAGTGTTTATTAATTGCTTTTAAAATGATCAATACCAATTTTAAACTAACTACAAAAAAAATTGAAACATACCGGAAGCCAAAACATTGTAGCTGGGCAACAAAGCTACAAATACTACCACGAGAAAAATAACCACCAGTTGTTTAGTAATGCTCATAATATTTGTTGTTGTTCTTATTAAACCTGTTCAGAAATTGAATTTGAAAGACAAATTTTATTTAGTCTTTATATAATTTTGGGTTTGGAATTTTATTATTATTATTATTTGACTTTTCAAGCAGCAAGAAGACATTTATTTTCTTAGCAAATAAAACCATTGACCTTGAATTGATTTTTTGCTTACATTATTAAAAGTCCAAAATACTTGTTGATTTGGTCAAAGAGAATTTATTGCATATCTTATTATTATTATCACTAAATCAATATAACCTTAAGCATATTTATTGTTGGAACTTATACTGTAAATTATAAACTTTTGTTGGCACATCATCAAGCAAAACTACAATAAGATTTATTTAGTTTATTGAAAGGAAAAAATGATAGTATGAAGTTTAACTAAAAGACAAGCATAGATTAATAAGCAGAGGCAGTGCCAAACGAAAAAGCACCAGAGAAGCTAACCATATTTCCAAAAAAATACAACATGTTCAACTTTAACAACATGATCAACTTTGCATATCATCTGTCACCATCACCAGGTAAGCAAGTACTGTATGTCGCAGACTGAGAGATTTGTCTTCCGATTCAAGTTCAAACTTCAAACGAAAGATAATAATCACTGGGAAAACAGAGCAATTGTGTGCACACAAACCAACTTGTGTCTTCACAGACATTAAGTGATTCAACCAAAGTTTGTTTTCCAAAACATTATTAAATTATAGTTTTCTGTCACGACTTAATCTGGGTAAGGCATCCTCGCAAAACGTGATCTGGATATTGCACTCGGAGGACCTAGGAACCATGAGCAGATCTTTGGTGATCCGAGACTTCTCCTTGTCGTCTGTTGCATACGCAAGAACCTTGACAAGTTCAAGACATGGCAGTTTCTCAATGAAAACCTTCAGCTGCTCCAGCTCTCCAACTTTGCTTCCTTCATACTCATATATCTCCAATACTTTCACGGGACATGACAGTCCATATTCTCGGTCACGTGTATCAGCGTGCAATGGACCCTGTAAAACAAGAGGCAAGGTTAGAGAGAGAGAAGTCTGAGTTTGTCCAATAAAATAAACACTTCCTTTTCGGTCAAATATAATACCTTGATGACGAGAGTGTGTAGGCTCGGACATTTTGCCAAAAGCATTGGCAGGAATTCCCAGTCGTGGTCGGGGAAATCAACTGTTATAGTTAAACGAAACATGTTGCTGAAGACAGGGATTTCCTCACGGAAATAACAGAACATCTGCAAGAAAGAAAGAAAAAAAACGAACTAGTCAATACTCATTAGTCATCGACCACCAAGAAAAAGAAGACATGATTCTTTACCTTCCAAGTATCAACAGATAATAACTCCAAGACCTCAACATATCTCAACCCAATCATCAGATTCGTTGGATTGCTCATATTGCGATAAACACGGAGTTCAAGGTTAGCTTCGACAAGGGAGTTGAGATTCACAACCGGATACTTTCTTGCAGCTAAATCCGAGTACTCCAAGTAGGCAAGATTTGGAGTGTCGAATGTCAAGTCCCAAAAATCAACAAAAAGAACAACCTTGATAGTAAGTCTCTTAAGACTCGAAGACGACACGGTTCGACAACGTTTCTGAACCTGCCAGGTCGGGCTATGAATGGTTAGCTCCTCAAGCACGGGGCAAGCAGAGAGGAGCTTCTCCAAAACGCAGTAACGCTTATTGTAGAAATAAACAGTATCAAGGTAGAGAGTCTTGAGTGATGGAAGATAAACATCGTCAGGGATCAAAGCTTCGAATCCTTTTGATAGTCTCAGCTCAACAATTGTCTTGCAAGTGAACATCTCGAGAGGCACCATAATCGAATCCTCAGCGATTACGTCTATATTAAGGTTTCGGACAGCATGTTCCAGCGCGTAAGTCATCCAGCGAGTGACATGACCCGTATCGTCCATAGCAATTCTCTTTCCAGATTTTATCGATATGTTGCTCATTGGAAATTTGCCTGACACAGCCAATACACTATTCACAAAATCGATGAAACTTTCTCCTCCTCCACACACTCCGTCATCATCATCATTATCATCTAAACGAAGATTCGGTCTCAAGGCAAACAGATAACGCCATCGCTTTGAGAGGACACGTGTTAAAGCAGCCTCTTTTATCGGAAGGGAAGATAGAATTTGGCAAATTGTATCATCTGCTAGACTGTTGATCATATCCATAGCGATAATACGTAGATATTCAATTCACCCTCTGCGAAATACAAGTCTGAATCAAATTTAACCAGAGTGGAACAGAAAACTAACAAGAGTGGTTGGAACGAAGGTAGTTCTGTCTAGGGCCATTGACCAATTTTCTTATTTATAAAGAATTTTTTTCTCTCTTTTAAAAAAAAAAAAAATCCTGTCAGGCTATTAATAAGGAAATTAATTATTCATAGAAAGAAGAGTTCCACATGGATTCGAACTCTCCACACATAAGAATAGAAACCTTTGTTTGAAGCCATCCTAATGATGAATTATGTGACATTTGCAAATGAAATCTCTAGAACAGAACTCTCTTTTGGTCCGCAAAATATTTGTCAACATACAACAAGAATCTATTTATTTAAGCTAACTACACCTAAATAAGGGATTGTATGAGAAGAGATCTGCAACCACAGTAGTTCACTCTTCACCAAGAAGGAAAGCAAATGAATTAAGCAGGCTCAATATGAATCAAAGTGTGTATGTGCGTTATGTTTTCTTAACGTTTTACTCTAATCAACAGTTTCATTTGCGCCTTAATGCCATCGCTTTGGGACCTGCATTCACAAGAACCCGCGTTTGTTAGTAACCCTTATCGGCTGATTCATTCACTTCACAAAAAACCATATCATAACAAGCAATTGTATCAGAGGTAATTGATGCTACTAGTCTGAAGACTGTACTATCTTGGACATTCTTTCTCACCTGGTTGTTTTTTAGAAGGAACAATCTTTCTTCTTTCCATAGACTTGCCTCGAGATCCTGACATATCACCAAAATGCATATTTAGCCAATAAATACAAGTTTCCCTGAAGTGATGAGCCACAATATACTTTTGCCAAACGGAATTTGGTTCTGATCTCATACTAAACAAAGCAAGTGCAAACTTAGAAATGTGTGCAAACTAAGGAAGCAAGCAAGCGGTCTGTCACAATGGTTTGAACAAGGAAGGTAATGTGCAAAGAGAACCGACCTCTTGTAATTTTGTCTCTGCATAATTCGCTTCCGCACGAACACTTAAACGCCTTTACTGGATGACTCTCATCACTGAAGTCTATCATGTAATCCTGCGATTACAAACAAAGCTCGTTTGAATGAGAGTATGTGTACAGCATTACGGGAACAATAGAAAGACATGTTTGGTGCATCGCTATTCACGGAGTCATCTACAAACACAGCAATTGTCTTGTCTAGTAATTTCTAGCTTTAGTGAAATATCCACATTTAAGAGCGTAAAACTTCTCAGCCAGGTAGGTAGCTTACCCATGTCAATTCGTCCATGGCCTTCACATCTCGTATGGTAAAAAAGGCAATCTGCACATGATCAAACCCATAATTTCCTTAAGCTCACTGAAAATTACTTTCACAATCAATGCCTTGAGGAAGATCATGTTAGAGTGAGGAAATCATATACTTACATGATAATAATGTCTGTCAGGAGTCTCTATTTCTACCGGAATATCAATCAAGTTTGCATCCTCACATCTACACCAACAATAAAAGTTCACAAGAACGATAAATTCTCAAGGGAAGCATAAAACAAAACCATAGCACAAGGAGAGTTGATTGGTACCTGTGATTGACGAATCTAGCGACATTTCCACAGGTTGTGGCATCCAGGCAGAGAGCTTCTTCATCTTTCAATTCCTTTTCAGAACCCCAGTCTCCATCCAGAGTTACAGGATATGTGTGGCGTTCACTAGTAGATCTTAAATTCCGCTCGTACAACTCCGTGTTGGTCAATATTTCACCAATGTATTCACAGACAAAGGTTCCTTTCGGCAAGTCTTGCAGTGTTCTTATACCCCATCCCTTCTCTTCGTTTGTATAGTAAACCTGGAACATATATTTTGCTTGTCAAACACTCAGAAGATATTGAACAAAAATAGGAGAAAGACATGAAGCATGAGTGGAAAATCAAATGAGGATTCCAAACATCAAGATATAAAGAACAAAAGTAGTATCTCCCAGAAAATGTTACCTGCAGTTGGCACCTTATCCCTCTCTGCACCACTCGATTTCCACACATCATATCACATCCACACTTTCTCCAGCATTCCTTAATGAACTTTCTGATCAAGTGTCCTTCACATTTGCCTTGTGTGCCCCTTTCGTGATCTCTCACTAAAGGGCAGTCTTGGCAGTAAACCTTATCGAATTTATCTGGTGACTTCTTCATCTCAAGACAAGTGTCCAGAAACTTCTCCTTGAGCAACCCTTCTTTCGTATAAGCATACTCTCCGCTGGTTTCACGAGCACAAGCACATGGAAAGTCGGCCGAGAGACAGTCTCCAGTGCAGTTTGCGCAACAATCTTCCTCGCAAATCCGAGCCAGAGACACATGCAGGTAAGCACTTTGGTAGACGATGTTGTGAGGGATGTAAGTGAACTTGGGCACTTTCTCAGTCCCAACTTCATCAACCAGAGATATCTGAACGCTCTCCGAACCTTTCGTTATGTCAGAAACAATTTTAAACTTCCTCTTGCGAGGCTTCTGGACTAGCTCAGTGGACGAGCCGGTGATTGCAGAACGGGTTTCATATTTCTTTTTCAGAGCAGCAGCAGCAGTGTCAGTGCCCAAAACATTCTTCCCTCTATTGCCATTAGACGAGCCTTCACTTTGCTTCAGAGTAGGAGGAGAGTCAATGACCACAACACTCTTCCCTCTATTGCCATTGTATGATGAAGCTTCACTCTGCGTCTTCTCTTCTTCAAGAGAGTAAATAGCATCGATCAATGCGGAATAGTTATCCAATCTTATGATATGCCAATTCCCACCACTCTCTTTCAGTAGCTTCGTCAGCACCGGCAGTGTCTTTCGATCGGGAATATTCAATTCCCTTGTTTTCAAACAAGCTTTGCGTACCTTCTCGTCGTTGAGATCCAGAGGTTGCATATCGGAGATCATTTCCACCGGAAACCTAAAAAAAAAAAAGACCAAATCATTAGTCTCTTTAGATAAGTGAAATTCAAAATCCAACTCATGTGAAATTGGGATCTAACGTTGATGGAAAATTCATGGAGAGGAATGGAGAAATGTCATCGGCAAACAAAACTAAGAAAATGGAGTTTGTAATCGCGGAAAAATCTCAATCGGAAAACGGCGAATGAAGAATCATCGAATCAACTAGGAGAAAAGTTTACAAAAGCTCAGCGAATCTAGAGACCCAAAAGAAGCCGAAATTCGCGGAATTGAGCGAAAACGAATAAGAAAGAGCATGCACAAAGGAAGATAGAAGCAAAAACCTCAGTGGTTGTCACTATTCGGAGCGGAAGCTTCTCGAATTCAGCCGCCTAAACACAATTGCGGAAGACTGGACAGCGACTGAATTGCGGAAAATGACCTAAATGGAGATCTCCATTCACAAGAGTATCCGATTCGACTGCGAGTACATTGCTTGGTTCCTTACTTTTTCTTTTTTCGTCGTTTTACGGAGATAAATCTTCTGATTACGGAAAATAACAGAAAACGAGAAATATTAATTTAAAAATTTATGTCTCCGGGTCCATTGACTAAATATTATAAAGTTGATGGGCTAATTTCGAGTAGCTCTCTAGACTCAAAAACGTATTAAATTAAACGTCGTATAATAAGACGACTGTTGTGTAATAATTCTCACCACTATTCTCAAAGTGCTTGAATAATTTTAAGTCAATACAAACATTTACATGATTACATATTATCACTTTGTTATTTTCCCAACCGGATTTAATATCTTTGGTCGCGATAAGAAGGAAATTTTCTTTGGTTGGTTTAACTGATAAAATGAGCAAAATTATTTTCCCAACATCTCCCCGATGTATAGTCCCTTTCTTCAACAATCTGCAACAAGAAATTTGAAGATTTCCTTAATTTTCATCATCTAGTCAGTAATCAGTATAATGGTAATTGCTATCATTCATCATATACACCATCCAACTATTTAGAATCTTTTAACAAGTGAATAATCATGTATGCATAATAAAACTATATATGCATTAGTCTCTCCTATAAATTTGAAATTATAATGACTTAAACGTACCATCTCCTTTTTTACGCAAACTCTTGAGGAACATGAAGAAAATAGCAACAAAGACCAAAGCCGCTACACCTCCTACAACTATCGCCAACGACTTCCCCGTGTTTGCTTTTGTCCCTTCTTCTGCCCAAAAAAGTCAATGCAAACTTTAATACGTTACCGACTTTTATATCGGTTATCTTCAATTCTTCATATATACAAATGTCATAATATACTTACGTATTCGGTAATGTATATCAGTATATGTACAAATTATATGCTTACACGTATTTGCATTAATTTGTATACACATGCGTGCGTACTGCGTACCGTGGTATGAATCACCGGGGATTTCATGCGGGTAATATGTATACCCGACGTAGCACCCTTCCAAGTATATTTGACCGGCGATGGACCACCGGCATTCTTCTGCCGCTGCAGCCGCGGCGGCACCGACGCACTCTCCGCAGTCGCATGCTTCAACGTGGCCATCGCACTGAGCCACAACGTGGAGGAGCTTGTAGCTTTCCTCGTAGAATCCGTGCCCGTCAACCACTCCTCCTGCGGCTGCAATGAGCGCCTCCGTCCTCATCTCCTCGAATCCGGTGAACGTCTCCGCCGTAGCTTCGTCGCATATCTTGTGAATAAGGCCGTGTTCCGATGTTTCCAATAACTTGTGGTTATGATGATTATGAGCTTTTCCAAAAAGTCAAAACAAACAAAAAAACTCGAGAATATAAATTAAACATTTAATAACTATTGAACAAACGTATATCTTCACGACTCCACCAAATAATTTTTACTTCTAGGTAAATAAATTGTCCATACTTACGAGCATTATGGGTATCAACAAGTTCGGTTTCGTACATCAAATGACATCCACGGAGATAAACACGAGCTGACGTGGCATTTCCACACAATATAGACGAAATCTCACGAAGATCACTAACACACCTATGGCAGATCTCACTCGGATAATCTTCTCTGCATTGGAACCATCCCGAGACGGCGTATTCTTGGGTACCCACCAGAGTCTTAAAGAACTTAGACCGAGAGGATTCAGATTCGAGTTTGCGTAAAAGAGAATAAAGGGCTTGGGCACGAAGAAAGAGATTCTGATTCGAGTAACTTAGATATTTTGTTGTTGTTGTCTTTTGGAGACTGTTTGTGTCTAGTGAGTCGCATTGCTTGAAAATAAGAGTGTCGTAATCCAATTGGGAAGTGTTGATAAGAGAGGGAAGAGAGAGAAATATTAGGGTTAAGGTTTGTGTAAGGGGAGAGAAGAAATGGACAACCATGTTTGAGACAAATTAAGTGGGAAGAGAAAGATTATTAATTCATTGAGTATATATAAATTGGTGAATGGAGAGGAAGTTGTGGTAGTTTAGATATTGTCTACGTATCTTTTTACCATACAAGTCTACATATTTTGTATAACTCGGTTGTGACTTGTGAGGTGAAGTGCACGTGATAATGAAAAACAACCAACGCTTTCTTCTGAATATGATCCTATATAGCCAATGTTTAAAATGAAATTTGGCTACTAGTGGAAATCTCGAAAATTCTTAAACAGAGTAATAGTTTTATTGCTAGCCTAACTCTTGACTCTATCCTTTTTTTTTTCCTTTGTCTCGGTGTATACCGAAATAATAAATTATTAAATTTTCATAAAGTAGTAGACATGATTAGTAAAAAAAATAAAAATAATAATAACCCTTTTCTTCTTAAACCCTACATATCAGAGAATTATCAGAGCAACCCTAATTTGCCCCCGATGATGACACCGAATCTGAGATCGGTCGTTGCGCAGGTAAATCAGAATATGATTATCATATTTCTCTTTCTTTGTACGGATCGATTAACGGAAAATTTTACAGTGTCACCGGCTTGGTGGTTGTTCCATTGGGTCTCACCAAGCTCGCAATTTCTCTTCACCCGCTCCTGGCAATGGTAACGTTCACAGATTCCTGCATCAAATCTAATCAAATTACCGTATAATATATTGTGTTTGATGATGATGATTGTTCTTTTAGGAGTCTTGAATAGTTCGGCCTCATCTCGTCTCTTGTGGTGGGATCCTTCTGGTGTTTTTTCATGTTTTGTTTATGGAGCGTTGGCGCAGGCTGGTTGGGGTAATGTTCGTGATTGTTTTTTTGTTTTCTTTCTTATAAAAAACCATAATTATTCGTGATTGCTTCTTTTTCTTTCGTAATTCAGAAATGTACAAGATGATCAAAGTCAAGCGAAGCGCGCATAGACGTTTGATCGATTTTAGAGCTCGGTCGTTACGTTTTCGTCAGGAGCTCTTCAAGACTCTTGCTCAAAAGATAGCGATGAGCGAGGAGAAAATCCATGTCTTCACGAAGCAAATAGCAATGAGTGAGGAGAAAATTCAGATCAAGGAAGAGATCAAGAAAGAGATCAAAGAACAGATCAAGCAAGAGGTCAAAGAACATATCAAGGAAGAGATCAAAGAACAGATCAAGGAGCAGCAGCAGTTGCTGATGATTAGGGATAAGAGAGAAGAAAAACAAAAAAACATGTTTAGGGAAGAGCTCTGCAAAGCCCTTGGAGGATGAAGCTTTTTTTTAATAAATTAAAGTACACTGTTTGATTAAAGTAAGACTTTTTATTTTGTTGGAAATTTAAGTGTAGCTCTTTATAGAGTCTTTGGTAATTGCTAACATTTATCATGTACACCATCCAAATAATTTATTTACCAAATGAATAATCACGTATGCTCCTATAAAATTGAAAATATAATGAATTAAACGTACCATCTCCTTTTTTACGCAAACTCTTGAGGAAACATGAATAAAAACCGCAACAAAGACCAAAGCCGCTACACCTCCTATACAACTAACTATCGCCAACGACTTCCCCGTGATTGCTTTTGTCCCTTCTTCTGCCCAAAAAAAGTCAATGCAAATTTAAATACGTTGCCGCCTTATATCGGTTATTTTTTATTTTCCGAGTTTGGGCAATGTATAGTATACAAATGTAATATTTGCTTACGTATCTGGTACAAATGCATTAATATATGCTTATACGTATTGATTTACATTAATTTGTATACACATGCGTGCGTACCGTGGTATCACCGGGGATTTCATGCAGGTAATATGTATATCCGACGTAGCACCCTTCCAAGCATATTTGACCGGCGATGGACCACCGGCATTCTTATGCCGCTGAGGCACCGACGCAGTCGCATGCTTCAACGTGGCCATCGCATTGAGCCACAACGTGGAGGAGCTTGTAACTTTCCTCGTAGAATCAGTGCCCGTCAACCACTCCTCCTGCTGCTGCAATGAGCGCCTCCGTCCTCATCTCCTCAAATCCGGTGAACGTCTCTGCCGTAGCTCCGTCGCATATTTTGTGAATAAGGCCGTGTTCCGATGTTATGATTATGAGATTCTCCAAAAAGTGAATTAAATAAGCGAGTCGTGTTGGAAAACAAAAAAAAACATCTCGAATATAAATTTAAAATAACAGATTTTTAATAAATCTTGCAAATTCAAATTTACTGAACAGACGTATATATCTCCACCACATAATTCACAAAATAAAAATCATTAAATATATATTTTTTTTGTTTTGGTTTTAATCATAGATTGTCTATACTTACGAGCAGTATCACAGTATGGGTATCAACAAGTTCGGTTTCGTACATTAGATGACATCCACGGAGATAAACACGAGCTGACGTGGCATTTCCACACAATCTAGACGAAATCTCACGAAGATCTCTAACACATCTATGGCATATCTCAATCGGATAATGTTCTCTGCATTGGAACCATCCCGAGACGGCGTGTTCTTGGGTACCCACCAGAGTCTTAAAGAACTTAGATCGAGAGGATTCAGATTCGAGTTTGCGTAAAAAAGAAGAAAGGGCTTGCGCACGAATAAAGAGATCCTGATTCGAGTAACTTGCATATTTTGTTGTTGTTATCTTTTGGAGACTGTTTGTGTCTAATGAGTCGCATTGTTTGAAAATTAAAGTGTTGTAATCCAATTGGGAAGTGTTGATGAGGAAGAAGGGTATTGAGAGAAAAATTACGGCTAAGGTTTGTGTGATAGGAGATATCACATGGACAAACATGTTTGAGATAGATCCAGTGGGAAGAGAAATTAAAGAGTATTAATCTATTGAGTAATATATTGGTGAATGGAGATGGAAGTTGTGGTAGTTTAGATATTGTCTACGTATCTCTACTTGTCTAGATGTTTTTATAGTTTGGTTGTGACTTGTGAGGTAAAGACGTAAAGTGCATGTACACTCAATGATTTCATGTTATTATGATCTTACAAGCCAATGTATAGTTTTATTATTAACAGATTGCGAAATTAGCTAACCCAAAATATATTTAAAATGAAATTCGGATACAAGTGGAAATCTTAGAAGTGTTAAAATGGGGAAATTTCAAAAATACAAAGGTTTTTTTTTAAACTGTTTCCCTTTTTAATACAAAGGCTACTTTGCCACACTGCTACTAATTCTCCAGCTTAAAATGTAATCTTTAACATTTTACTAAAATAGTTTTCTAGTCAAAAAGGGGTACAAGTATTATTTATTTCCAGCCTAACGTTTCCAGAAAGAGACCAAATTCTATGAAATATTAACAAATGTTGAAAAGTCGTGATAAAAATATGATTGTCTTCTTACTAGTAAGCGAGAGATGTTCTAATGTGAATAGATTCTAATATTCTATCAACAAGAAATTAGGATTATACATATTATTTTCACAAATAAATTATTTTACCTCGTATGTAATTAGGATTATTAAAGAACAAAAGTTAAAGGGTTACTATTTTCATAAATTAATTATTTTTATATTATTATACCTTGTGTGTATCAAAAGTTACAATTATTTTCACATAAAAGGTTATTTTCATATATTATTTGCTTAGCTTGATAGCTTATTATTTTCACAAATAAATTATTGTACCTCGTGTTTAAGAAAATAATATGTATAACTAAACCCTTAAAAATGTGTGGATTAAATCCACAATAAGTTAGGATTATATTCACAAATAAATAATTGTAACTTTTGTTAAAGAACAAGTAAATAGATTTTCATAAAGTAATATACCTTTGTAACAGAAAAATAAAAATAAAAAAGATATATGGTGAACTAAATTTTACCAAACAAGCTATCAACCTATACACGTTCAATCAAGTTTATGTTAAACACATAAATACATTGATTATTCAAATACTCGTTATTACACTATTTTTGTACTATAATCCACTTGTTTTGCCACAATTTAACTTCATCCCATCATAACTATCGATCTTACCTCGCCGCTATGTAATGAGAAATTTCTCTTCTTCAATCGGCAACAATGGCAAGACAACAGATCAAAGGGCAACAAATTTCTCTTCCATCACTAAAATGCCTAGTCTTGATGATATTGTTGCGGCCATAGCTGGCAACAAGGCTGTCTCCGTTTCTCAATCTACATATTTCTTCAGCTTCCATCCTCACATTTTCTCCAACCGAGGAAACAGGCGACCTTTTCGCCGCACTGTGGGAAGCACTTTCTTGAGGTGTCTTAGAAGAAATATGTGCATAACGTTTAGGTGTTGGACCGCACTTGGGATGCACCTTTCTGTCATTCTGCATTCCCACTGAAGCCTTAGCATGAGGAGCTTTAGCTTTACCAACTTCTACACCCGGATGAGCTAAATTCAAGTCCTCCGGTGTCTCAGTAACAGCCTCCGAATTAAGTGGCTCACTTAATTTCTGCTTTTCTTTCCCCAGATATCCATTCTGATATGCTACCAGAGAAGCACCCACAAACGCAGCACCCACAAACGCAGCACCTCCGATAAGCAATTTTGAAGCATTGCCTTTGGAGTCATTTGGTTTCCCCAAAGGAGGCACCTTTGGTACATCAACGCCAACGGGTACACAATTCTCACCCGATGTAGATGCCTTTCTCTGTCGCAAAAATAACATACACTATTAGAAAGAATAGTGTACGATGCTAACTAGACTCGCCGTTAAATGCATACACTCACCCGAGCTCCAACCAAAATCCCTCGGGAACCTCTTTATTGACAAACGCGAAGACAGCTCGAGAACAGACCTGAGCAAAGGGAAAACGATAAGATTCACAACGAATTGAGCTCTCAGTTTAGGGATTTCAACAGCAAACGGGCCCTAAACCAAACGCAAAATTTGGCTTTGCAACAACAATAGAATCGGTATCAATTGTACAGCATGAACTATCTCCATAAAAATCCCCAAAATCAAATACTCCCCGATTTCTAGGGTTGAGGAAACATACTTTCGCAGCATTGTCGTCGCGTTGCGCGTCCCGGAGATACGAAAGTGTGACGACGGAGACGACTCACGTACGGATAGTTAAAACCCCCAAAGCGTTTACGACGCCGCATGTAAGAAGCCGATAATCAATCAAGGGTAGTTTCGACATTTGTTCACTACACTACACTGGTCTCATCCCCTGACGCTTTCCCCCCTTTTTTTTAGTCAAAATAATCAACTATCTGTGTTTCTATAAAAATAAAGGTATGACTACAAAAACATCCTATTTATAATTTGAATTTTGAAAAATACACTTATTTCTTTCTTTTTTTAAACTACACTTCAGAAGTGATTGACCTGATTTAAATGAAAACCTACGTTTAAAAATAAAACATGTCGCATATAAACTGAAATGTGTCTTGTGTTACTGAATGTTATCTTGATTTATTGTTTAATGTATACGAAACCATGTGGATTTTTCTAATTAATGGCTGGCTATACGATACATTCTCTTTTCTCCATAAATCCAGAAGGTGGCAAGGAAGATGGAGAAAAGGAAGTTTACAGATTGGGGAAGGTTGAAGGACGAGGTAACTGATCGCCTCATACCGATGGTGATATATGACGAATCTAAGTACCCTAGACTACTCGTCTGCCTTATGTTTTTACAACAGGATCACGAAATATCGTAATGTAAAAACTGTGGCAGATTCCTATAATATATACAGACTCTTAAGAATGGTAATTTAAATTGGAAAACAGTGTATAGTTTTGCTCTAAAAAAAAAACAAAAACAAAAACAACCGTAGTTTTCAAAAAAATAATTAAAAAGGCATTGAACGATGTAGTTTTCAAAATATATCCTCTTTAAAACGTTGTTTTCGAAATTTATTCTCAAATAAATCCAAGTGAAAAACAATCAATCACACGTTTAGTTTAATGATGCATCCGATAAACTGGTCTACTCAAATTCTCGGTTCAAATTTTTTTCTTTAACATTTTTTTCTCTGATACGATAAATCATTTGTATCTTGTTGGTTTGTAGTTTAATCTCTAAATAACAGAAGACCTATTTTCCAACAAAGCTAACTATTTTAAGAGTAAAACTGAGAGAACTTCGAACACACTCTATTAAAATGCCATATGGTAGAGAATATAAACTGGAAAAAATTCAAACTGAAAAATTAACTCGAAACTAAATTCGAACTGCAAATTGATGTTTAGTGTCTAAGAGATTTTTTTTTTGGGGGGGGGGAGGGAAGGAAATAAATTAGTTTATTGGTTAAGCTAATTTTAAACATCAGCAAGCGGTTTCTCTTCTTTATTCTGGATACTTGGCAATAAAGCAAAAGAGTTATTTTCGTGTTTTTTTTATAATACAAAGGAATTGAAGTAGGTGAAACCACTCATCTTAATGCAACAAAAGATTAAAAGAAAACAAAGTAGAATGAGGTAAACAGGAGCACTTAAAGTGGTGAAACAGACGATGTTGATGATCACACTTCAAGGGAGAAGAGGAGATCCTGACCAGCAGATTAATAGCCCTTGATGATATAAAAGCTAACTATTTTAAGAACTTCCGACACTTTATTAATACGTAATGACGATGACTGATGAGCTCGTGACATATATAAGCAAACCGAACAAAACTCTTTTTTTTTTTTTGAACGACAATTTCATTTAATGAAAACAAACCGGTTTACACAAAGTTTGGTACAGAACAAAACTCAAATTGAAATATTAACTCGAAACTAAACCAAATCAAAATTGATGCAACCAGACGCTTTTGTCAAAAAACGGATTTAAACTTCTATTTGGATAGGAGGGTTTTCAATTCATACTGAAATAAATATTTTTGGATGTTTGTGTTTTACAATTTAATAAAAAAGAAGGAAAAATGCGTAATTTAAAATCCTAAACTAATGAAAAGTAGAGTGAATAAAAGGTATAAGAAACACATTGTTTTTCACTGTGTAATTCGAATTGTTCCCTGTGGTCCCCCATGCCTAACTTATGCACATTTGCCTTGCCAAGTAAGATTGTGCCACAGGAGAGCAGTCTTGAAACAAGCACTAAAATTCTTCTCCACAGAACGATCCTCATACAGCCATTTTTCGTTCCACCTATAACGAAAACAGGTCTGTCGTAACTGAAAGTCTTTTAATTAATATAAGTAGGTCATATTCACCCTTCGTCGGATGGGGTAAACAATCAAATATCATCCTTGATTGTCACGAAAGTTCCATCCAAAACAGATATTTCATTTCCTACATAGCTCACAACAAACATTATCAACATAGATCTCTACATTCACGTTGAACCCCTCGCTGAAGCTGACACTTTAAGGAGATATGAAATAGCTGTAGCTGTGATGATCTGTCTGAATCATTACCTTCTTTAAACCTACGCGTAGAAGCTTCGGCTGCTTTATGACTTCATTCGCATCAAAGATAACTAAAAATGGTGTCGGAGGCTTGTCATAGCTAAACTCCCTAGTATATGTAAAATCAAATAATTATGTTAATTTATCTGAATAATCAAATAATGTAAATTATGTAATTATATAGTATATCGATAGTGAAGATGAAAGTTGTGGCCGAACATGAGTTGATTGACTTGATCAACCACATAATTTGGTTGGTTGGCTTAATCAACCAAAGACCGCGAGGCAGGCACGACCGCACGAGCTGATAATTCGGGCCGACTAGTGTCAATCCATATAGTATATATGGACTATTGAATTCTGGTCAGGGACATTCTAATTTAAACGAGACATTTGATAGACGATGGGATTTAGATCATCTCGAAATCAAAATAGTAAACATTGAATTAACATGAATAGTGCGGGAAATATTGGAAGAAATGATAATTATCAAAGGTTCGCAAACATGTTTTGTATATCTTTCTTAAAAAAAAAAATGGGGAAAATGGTAACTTACGAAATTTGAGGTGTGATGTTATAAATATTGAAAAGCAGAGGCAAATACGAACAAATTAGATGCGGTCTATTTCGTGTTGGATACTTCTATGTACTTGCGACATTATTGAAGGCGCATATCATTTTCCTAGATCCAATAATTAAATGTGCACATTTATTAATGGTTCTGATCACGAATGGTCGAAATTTATCATCTAACAGAGTAAAGACAGACACGGGGATACGTTTTACAAAACCCGGAACCCTGAAACAAACGGGCTAAGGCCCAAAAGAACAGGCGGTAATAAGGGAGCATAAGGTCTGACTAATGCCCATTTGATCATAGAAGAAGGAACTTATTAAGACCATAATTCCTTTTTTTCCCCTCGGGAGAGCAAAAAAGAAAGAAGAACGAACCCTAATTTGCTCATGAGCATGATGCCAAATCTGCGATGTGTCGCTGCGCAGGTAAATCGAAAATCTGAATATGAGTATCCCTCTTTGTGGTGTGCGATTGGGCCTCGCCGCAATTTCTCTAATTTATTGGGTTCCTCCGCAGGTACATAGAAGTTCGAGATCGATATGGCCTCGCCGCAATTTGTGTTCATCGCCGGAATTTAGCAGCAATGGTAACGTTCTATGACTAGGGCATGAAAGCTATCTAATTAATAATTATCGTAGCGTGGTAGTTGTGGGTTTGATGTGTTTTCTAATTTGTTGAATATTTGTGATTTGTGATTGTAGAGTCAAATGGAGCAGGACAGACGGTTGTCGGGTGGTACGTCAGGCGAGGTTTGGCAGTGGCTGCAGGATTCGGCTTTAGTAAGTATCTCTCTAGAGAGATTTAATTCAATTTGATCCAGTTAATTAAATCGTGGAATTAATAATTGTGATTTTTTGTTTGTTTAAAGATTGGTATAGATTGGGCGACCTGGCATCGAGTCTTGAGGAGGATCTGCAATCGGTAAAGAGCACTTGGATGGCATTATTAATCGCTATGATAACTATTTCAGCTTCATGAATTGATCATCTCATCTTGTGTGTCTCAGGAGCTGAGGGCGTTGGAAGAAACTTTGGAGGAAAGCAAAAGGAGGTTGCTTCAAGATTGATCAATCGTGAAGCTCTTTAAACCCGGTCATTGTGGATCTTTGTTGTCTAAACATCCCTTGATGCTGTTCATGTACCAAGTAAAATTTCAATTAAAGGCTCATGTGTGTGTGCTCATTTTTCAGGATGCGGCGAGTGGTGAATGGTGATGAGATCCCACGCACATGTAAAGATGCTTTCAATGTCACAAGTCCAGAGGGTCACCGAGAAGTTGCATTATAGTGTAGTGTCTTAGTATAATTCTTCGTGCATATCATTCAAGATGTGGTGCGGGCACGAATCTTACAAAGCGCGTAATGACATCCCATAAGCCAGATTGCGAACACGATTCCCTTTTTGTAGCTAGAGTATTTGGATGAACAAGAGAACCGGAAGAAACATTTTTCCCTGTTTGGTTTGTTGGCCTTGCATCACATTTGCTAAATCAACCGAAATTGAGATTTGGTAACAGCACAGCACGCATACATTCAGTCGAATAAAAAAGGATACTCTAGTTGTAATGAAACTAAAAGCTTCTGATACGTTAACCAGTACCACAGTAACGCATCATTGAAAATGGTGTTCAATCAGTTTACACTGGCACAGACCTCTCAACATGAAGCACAAGTTTTTTTTTTTTTTAACACTGGATTGACTAATCTATTACACAAATATGAGAACTGTTACAAGACAATTCTACAACGGACGATTCTACCATCTTCAAAGGCTCCCCGGCTGACGGCTCCACGTGCACCATTCTGTACAGGAGGTCTCCAATAATCTGCATAAATTATTAGCAAATCGCATCCGCCGGGATTCAAAACCCAGATCTCATGGTGTAGAAGCATTAAATCCCTTCAACCACTAGGCTAAGGGACTTCCACATGAAGCACAAGTTTATACTCGCATTATCAATAGATTATGATCCGAGTAATTTTGATATTTCATTGTTGTTATTTTGTGGAGGCTGTTTGTGTCTAATGCATAGTTTCTTGGTGGTGACATAATACGAATGATGATGCTAAACGTGAATCAACACTAAAGAAATCCAATATCCAGGAAAATTAAATTCAGGCCTAAAATATAAAGAAGCTAGAAGAAACAGAACTCCCTGTTAAGTTTTAAGTATTGCTGTCTTATTTCTAGGAAGTTTGCTATTCTGTTTTACTCAGTTAAATGTGGTCATCGTGTTTAGACCATGTTTGCCTTTTTCTTAGGATTAGTTGTTCATGTTCTATTTCACGATTCGTGTAAGGCTACTTAATAAGCCATTGTTATTCCTTAATGAATTAAGTCAATTTCCAGATATGTTGTTCTAAATTCAACACTCCCTTCTGTTCTTTAGTACAGTGGTTAATTCAAATACTCGTTGAAATTACAAAACTACACTATTTTTGTACTACAATCCACTTGTCTTGCCACAATTTAACTTCATCCCCATCATCCACAATCTCTTCTCTGGGCAATGAGTGCGAGAAACTCAACGGAAGGCTGATGCTGCTCAAGCTTCCAAACAAATTGCGGTTTCATAGTTGGTGTTTTGATCTTCATGATGAAGGATGATTATTGGTTGTTTGTGACAAATCTTTTTAGGAAGGAGTAGAAGACAAGTACTCAAGAACAACTAATGTACTACAAGATGTTGATATGACAATCCAAGCATTTCTAAAGAAATTCAGAGATGAATTCGAGATCTTCAAGGAGCAGCAGTAGCTGTTGAAGACCATGGAAGGCTTTGATGAGAAAAAACAAGCATATCTGAAAAACAATTCAGAGATGAATTTGAGAGCTTCAAGGAGCAACATATGTTGAAGATGTTGAAGATCAGGAAAGAGACTAAAGGGTCAGATGTTGAAGTTAAGGGAAGATGTCAAAAGAGAGATGAAAGGGCACATGTTGGAGATGAGTGAGGATGAGTGTGAAGAGACGCAAAAGGCCATGTTCAGGGAGGAGCTCTACAAAGCTGTTCAAACAATTCAGTGATAGAGGTTTTCTACTTTCCTTTCTAGAAATTAAATAGTTCTCATAGTTTTGAGAATCATGCTTAGTATTAAATTAGGTTTTAAGTAGTTTTTGTTGGTTCCGAGAATCATGCTTATTGGAGTATTATCGGAGACTTTATCATGCTTAGTACTCAAGATCTAAACAAATGGGACATTATTGTTTAATTTCGGGTTCGATTTGGTTAATTTGGGTTTAGAAGAACTCTAACCAAGATCAATCAAACTTAGTTTGTGTTTAATTTGGTTTAGTTCGGTTGTTTTTAAATGTTTCACTTTTAATTTGATTCAAAACTACAAATAAAACAATTTTAATTAATAAAATAAGAATATTCTTTTGAAAAAAAAATGTTGTAAGTTTTCATATGAAATGTCAAATCAGTAAAACTAAACTTAATTAATAGGATAAAATAAAGTTTTAGGGTACCAACCAAGTGATAAAGATTAATACTAGTCATTTTGAGTTTGCCTAAAAAAAGAAAGAAAGGATTTGTGCACAAATAAATAGATTACGATCCGAGTAATTTTGATATTCAATTTTTGTTATTTTGTGGAGACTGTTTGTGTGTAATGCATAGTTTCTTGGTGGTGACATAATATGAATGATGATGTTAACTGTTTGTATGTCTTATCCGATCAACTATCTCAAAATTTTTTTTATCCGATCAACGATCTCACAGTTACAATCATCATTTGAATTCTTAATGATCCAAGTTATTCTAAACGTGAATCAACACTAAAGAAATCCAATATCCAGGAAAAATAAATTCAGGCATAAAATATAAAGAAGCTAGAAGAAACCGAACTCCCTCCTATTCTTTCGTTATGACAGCAACATTTTATTCTTTGACTAGTTTTTTTGAATTTTTTCTTCTTCTTTAAACGCAATCTTGAAGAGTCAAAAGAATAAATGTCTGTCTCAAAACTTTATAACCAATTTCCCGTTGAAAGACAGCAAGGAAAACAAAACAAAAAAAAACCAACGGTCCAAATTCTTATCATGTCTAAAAACCACCAGCTTCTTCCTCATCTCACGCTCTCCCTCTTTCCTTCCTTTTATTCTCCTTTCTCAATCTCTTCCCAAAACTGATCGTATAATCATTCAACGGAAAACGAGAGAAAAATTAGTCTCGCGCTTCTTGCGAAGATTAAACGAATCCACCATAAACAACAAATGGGTCGGCTCAAATTCGCATGTCCTGTTCTCGAAATCAACTTAATCTCAGCACAGGACCTAGCTCCCATTTCCCGAAACATGAAGACTTACTCCGTCGCGTGGATCAACACCGACCCCATGCGAAAACTCACCACGCGCGTCGATCAATCCAATCGCGCCAATCCCATCTGGAACGAGAAATTCGTGTTTCGCGTCAACGACAAGATCCTCGACCTCGACGCGTCCGCGATTGTGATTGAGATTTACGCGGCGGCTTGGGCTAAAGACGCGCTTGTTGGTACCGTCAATGTTCTCCTCAGCGATCTCTTTGCTCCTTGGTCTGGCTTCGGCGACGGCGACGATGGTGGCGGCGGGAATAACAATATGAGGCTCGTGACGCTTCAGATTCGCCGTCCTTCCGGGAGGTTGCAAGGCTTTTTACGGTTAGGCGTCGCGCTTCTCGACGGCGGTCAACGGAGTATGCCGTTGTCGGTCGAGGTTTTCGATGGAAGCCGGAGAGGAGAGACGAATAACAGCAAGGATGCGAAGATGATGCATCGTCGGACGAACAGCGATCAGACGGATTTAACAACGTCGACGAATGATTACGGGGTGAAAACAGAGGCTGTTCCCGGCGGTGGAGGAGGGAGATTCTCCGGCGGTGGTGGAGGAGGAGGAGGTGGAGTCGTTGTTGGTGCGGATAGTATGGTGAATGGTTCGCTTTGTAGCTCTGATATCGGACCGTCGGCTTCGGTGGTCGCGGCGGCGATTGCGCAGGGGCTTTACAATAGGCAGAAAACGGCGGTGAATGCGATTGCGGAGAAGGAGGACCCGAGTTCGATCCTCGAAGGGAAGACGGAGGGGATTGAGCATAGAGTGAAGCGGTGGAGAGCGGAGAAAGAAGACGGCGCGGTGGAAGCGAGCGATGAGTCTAATGGGAAAGGAGGAGCGGGACGGAAACGGAGGAGGAGAAAGGAGAAACAACGGCGGAGAAACGGCGGCGGTGGAGGAGAAGGTGGTAAAAAGGGGCTGTTTTCGTGTTTTGGGAATGTGTTTGGATGTGAGATTTCGATAACTTGCGGCGGTGGAAGCGGCGGTGAAGGAGACAGCACGAAGAAGAGATATAATAACAATAAAGTAGTCAATCTTAGTGCTGTAGACGAAACGTTTAGTCATTCTGCGACTTGAGCTTATCAAATTAAATTGTGTGTATACAGTACTCTGGTTAATGGGTTAAATTGTGCAATTATAAAGGTATGGGTTAAATCCTTCCCCTAGAAAATCAATACACTTCCCATTGATGGGTTAAATTGAATATTTTTATAATACTGGGGTTTTAATGAACAGAGTTTTAAGAAATTGGGAAAAGGAGTCAAACGTTTTTAGACTAACGCATCAAACGTTTTTAGACTAACTTCACCATCAACCTTCTCATCTTTGTTACGCAATTAAAACTTCAACGACTCTCTCTCTCTCTCTTTCTCTTTCCCTTCGCCGTGAATGTTGAGCAAGTCATAGTTCAGGGAAGGAGAAAGCTCTCTGCTTTGTTGCTTCTCTCTCTAAATTTCTCCCAAATTGAGAGTGGCAGAGAGAGAGAGTGGGGGTGAGTAACGGTGGTTTTCCCAATTCCCGGAGAAACAATCGGCTGATTTTGCTCTCTATTTCTGTTAATTGGCGGTTCCGGGGAGAAATCAACTCGTGGGATTTGGTGGGTTTCGCTCGATTTTCCAGAATCCGGAGAGAAATCTTGAATTTCCGCAAGATGTTTGGGTGTGACTGTTTTTACTGGAGCCGAGGAATCTCCGAGTTTGATTTGGAATCTTCCGAGCCAAAGCCCTTCTCGCTTCCCTCACCTCTTCCTTGCTGGCCACAAGGTACAAAAAAAAACTTTCTTTTACTGGAAATTGCAGCTTATCTATAATCATGAAACTAAAAGTTTCCAGATTTGTTTATGGAACTGATCTTTCATTTTTTGCATAGTCTCATTTTGGGAAGTTTTCGTCCTATTGTAACAAGTGTGTCAAGAATTGCCCAACAGATCCTTGTAGTCATGTAAGCTTGAAAATTTTGATAATCTTAGGAGAAAGAACTGAAGACTAAAAGATTTCTAGCCAGCTTTGGTCTAATCAAATTGAGTTTAATTATTATATTTGATCTTTCTTAATCTTATCCAGTTCTGAGGCTTAATTTTATATGATTTTTTTTGAATAAGAGTAATAACTATATACTGGTTTATTAAAACGTGAAGAGTAAGGAAGATGCTTTGGAATATTCTGCATGGGTTCCTGTTGTCTTTTTCCTTCTTTTTTGTTTCACTCTAATTCAAGATCTTGGATACAAAAGTTGACTTTAAATCTAATACTCTCACATGATGTAAACTTAGTTACTCTCACATGATGTAAACTTAGTTTGCTATAATTAGAACTCGTTGGTTTTGTTACCGTATCGTAGAGAAAAAAGGCTCATCATTTGATGTTATGATAGTTAAAATTGGATTTGAAGCTAATGAAACTAATCTCATGGCAGGTAAAGGTTTTGCCACGGGAAGAATAAACCTAGGAGAAATAGAAGTGGTGAAACTCACCAAGTTCCACAGAGTCTGGAGCTCTGATTCATCATCGCACGGAAAATCAAAACGTGCAACATTTTACAAAGCAGAGGAAACTCCACAAGGTTTCCACTGCCTCGGTCACTATTGCCAGCCAACCGATCAAGCCTTGAGAGGTTACGTACTTGCAGCTCGGGCTCGTAAACCGGTTAACGCTCATGACCTCCCTCCCCTGAAGAAGCCTGTGAGTTACTCTTTACTCTGGAGTGAAGACTCAAAGAACAACCGCGGTGGCTATTTCTGGCTGCCTAATCCTCCCGTTGGTTACAAAGCAATGGGAGTAATTGTAACCAACGGACCAAAGCAGCCTGAGACAGAGGAGGTTAGATGTGTGAGAGAGGATCTTACAGAGAGCTGTGAAACCTCTGAGATGATACTTAACCGCTCTGGTTTCAGTGTATGGAGCATCCGACCTTGCGAGAGAGGGATGCGGTCAAAAGGTGTATCCGTTGGCTCATTCTTTTGCTGCAGTTACGATCTTTCTTCTAATAGGACGATGCGTGACGTTGCATGCTTAAAGAATCTTGATCCGGCTTTACACGCGATGCCGAATCTGAACCAGGTCCATGCGGTTATCGAACACTACGGACCAACGGTCTACTTCCACCCTGAAGAGACTTACTTGCCTTCGTCCGTACAATGGTTTTTCAAGAACGGAGCGTTGCTGTATCGGTCAGGGAAGTCGCAAGGAGAACCGATCATCTCAACAGGCTCGAACTTGCCTGCTGGAGGGAGCAACGATATGGAGTTCTGGATTGATCTTCCGGAAGAGGAAGAAGCCAAGAGCGATCTCAAGAAAGGAAACCTCGAAAGCTCTGAGCTTTACGTTCATGTGAAACCAGCACTCGGTGGAACGTTCACCGACGTTGTGATGTGGATTTTCTGCCCGTTTAACGGTCCGGCCACGCTCAAAATCGGGATGTTCACGTTACCTATGACCCGAGTAGGAGAACACGTCGGTGACTGGGAGCATTTCACTTTCCGGGTGTGCAACTTTTCCGGTGAGCTTTGGGAGATGTTCTTCTCTCAGCATAGTGGTGGTGGTTGGGTTGATGCATCGGAGATTGAGTTTGTTAGAGGTAACAAACCTGCTGTGTACTCGTCTAAGCACGGTCATGCTAGTTTCCCTCACCCGGGGATGTATCTCCAAGGCTCTTCGAAGCTCGGGGTTGGAGTGAGAAACGATGTTGCGAGAAGCGAGTACAGTGTGGATTCTAGCGAGAGGTATGTGATTGTAGCGGCTGAGTATTTAGGTGGAGGGGATGTGGAGGAGCCGTGCTGGTTGCAGTATATGAGAGAGTGGGGTCCAAGCATAGCGTATGATTCAGGGTCTGAGATCAATAAGATCATAAGTCTTCTTCCTTTGGTTGTTAGGTTCTCTGTTGAGAACATTGTTGACTTGTTTCCTATTGCTCTTTATGGAGAAGAAGGTCCTACAGGGCCAAAGGAGAAGGATAACTGGGAAGGAGATGAGCTGTGTTGAATGAAGAAAGAAGAAACTCTTTTGTGAATGATGAGAAGTCTCTTGTTGAGTCGGAGGGATTTGTTCAGTGGACTGATTTGTTCATTATGCAATTTGTAAAAAGTTGATCCAAAGTCGAAATATAGCTCTGGTTATATAAACCAAACCGGTTTAGTATGTTCCGAGGTCGGTTTCAGACGTTGTATGTATTACGGAGTACTAAGTTCCATTGTTTGTTGAGAAACATTCAGAGGTTTCCATTGTTTGTTTGTTGATGATGAAATTTGAGCATGTCTCTTCGTCACACCAGAGAACCTACCGTTGTATTTGTTTGCTTCTTCCGGTTTTGTATAATTAAGTCGGTTATTGTGATTCGGTTTAATAGAGTGTGTATTGAAAACATGAACCGTTCTCTTCTTTCTTCTTCTCTATCTACTTCTGATAAACCTCTCGATTTTCCCTCTTACTGCTCCATCACTGCTTTTCACTTCCGTTTATCAGTTGCAATTCAAAATCCGGCGACTAGCCGGAGGAAAATATCAGTCATATCCGTATTAAGCTCCTGCAAATGGAATTCATGAAATGGTCTTCTTCATTTTGTCTTTGAATTTAACTTCGGCGGTATGGATTTCATTTCCGCTTCTTCCATCTCTTCACCCTCTTTCAAACAGTTTTCTCCGCTTTCTCTGAGCCCAGGTCTAGTATCGTTAAAGCCCAGATATCGGTTCAAAAACCGGAAATTTGAGTCTAGAGAATCCAACAAATCTCGGAAAAAAATCGTGCCCATTAGAGGCTGCTTTGGTTTCTCCGGCGTTAATGGGAGAAGTGTGAGCTCGAATCAATTTGAAGACGAGAGGAGAGTTGTTAGAAAAAGAAATGAGCTTGTGGCATCGTCTCCGTGTAGCGCAAAGACGAGAGAGAGCGTGATACAGTTTGTATCGAAGCCTTTAGTTTACGCCTTGTTCTGTATTGCAGTTGGGTTTTCGCCAATTAACTCTTTTCAATCTCCAGCTTTAGCTGTGCCTTTCCTCAGTGATGTGATTTGGAAGAAAAAGAAGGAGTCAGTGAGAGAGAAAGAGCTGGTTTTTAAATCGGTTGATCATGAGTTTTCGGGTTATACTCGGAGATTGTTGGAGACAGTCTCGGTTCTACTCAAGAGTGTTGACAAGGCCAGAAAGGAAAACGGAGATGCTGCTGCTGAAGCGGTGGCGCCGGCTTTGGATGCGGTGAAGGTGGAGAAGGACAAACTGCAGAAAGAGATAATGAGTCGATTGTATAGTGATATGAGGCGGTTGAGGAAGGAGAGGGATTTGTTGATGAAACGAGCTGATGGAATTGTGGATGAGGCCCTGAGATTGAAGAAAGAGAGTGAGAAGCTGTTGATTAAAGGTGCTAAGGAGAAAGTGGGGAAACTGGAAGAGCGTGTGGATGTGATTGAGAGCGAGTACAACAAGATATGGGAAAGAATTGATGAGATTGATGATATCATTTTGAAGAAAGAGACTACAACATTGAGTTTTGGGGTTAGGGAGCTTATTTTCATTGAAAGAGAGTGTGTAGAGTTGGTCAAGAGCTTCAACCGAGAAATGAGGCAGAAAAACATTCAGAGGTGATATATCTATCCATGATTTTGTCTTGAGTTACCTTTAACTGATAACTTGTGAGATCTTATTGCATGCACTTCTAATGGTGATGTTAAAAAGGCTCTTCTAGATTAGCTATTGATTTTGTTTATGCACTTTGTCATGAATGTATTTTCTGGTTTTCGGATATGTTTCATGTTTGACTTACACGATGTATTGAATTTCTGGTTGTAGTATTCCTGAAAGCTCCGTTACGAAGCTCTCGAGGTCTGAGATTAAGCAGGAATTAGTGAACGCTCAAAGAAAGCACTTGGAACAAATGATACTGCCTGATGTTATGGAACTAGAGGAGGTTGATCCCTTGTTTGATCGTGATTCAGGGGATTTTTCTCTACGCATCAAAAAACGCCTTGAGGAATCAGAAAAGCTGCAGAAAGATCTTGAGGATCGTATCAGAGGACGTATGAAAAAGTTTGGTGAAGAAAAGCTTGTTGTTCTACAAACTCCAGAAAGGGAAGTTGTCAAGGGGTTTCCTGAAGCTGAGGTGAAATGGATGTTTGGAGAGAAGGAGGTGGTTGTTCCGAAAGCTATCCAGCTCCATCTGCGCCATGGTTGGAAAAAGTGGCAGGAAGAAGCAAAGGCAGATTTGAAGCAGAAACTTTTAGAAGATGTTGATTTTGGTAAACAATATATTGCGCAAAGACAGGTAATTTTTGGCTAATATAAAAAATGCACTAGACCATTGATATCTTTTTATGTTTGATCTTCGTGGAACTTAGATGCTAGTTTAATGCTTCAGATGAGACTGTTTGAGCTGGAATCTTGTTGTGGACCTGTACGCATGTATATTTCATTCTACAGTTAGTTAATTGTTTTTTTTTGTCTCTGAAGGAACAAGTTCTCCTGGATCGAGATAGAGTTGTTTCAAAGACTTGGTATAATGAAGACAAAGATAGGTGGGAGATGGACCCTATGGCTGTTCCATATGCAGTTTCCAGGAAACTGATTGACAGTGCCAGGATTAGACATGATTATGCTGTAATGTATGTTGCACTAAAAGGAGATGACAAGCAGTATTACGTGGACATCAAGGTTGAGCAATTAAAGTCCTAATTTATTTGATGGATTTCTAATTTAAGGCTTCTAACTCTTTATATATGGATGTAGGAGTATGAGATGCAATTTGAGAAATTTGGAGGGTTTGATGCTCTGTACCTCAAAATGCTTGCTTGTGGAATCCCAACTTCTGTTCATCTGATGTGGATACCCATCTCAGAGCTAAGTCTTCAGCAACAATTTATGTTGGTCACAAGGGTTGTTTCTCGAGCCTTTAACGCATTGAGGAAGACTCAAGTTGTAGCAAATGCGAAGGATACTGTGTTAGAGAGAATAAAGAATATAAACGATGACATTATGATGGCGGTCGTGTTTCCAGTTATTGAGTTTGTCATCCCTTACCAGGTATTACTACACTCTCTCTGGATTTCTTCTTCTGGTTTCCCCAAGTATATTTACAATTTCTGACCTTTTTCTGACACAGTTAAGGCTACGTCTGGGAATGGCTTGGCCGGAAGAGATAGATCAGTCTGTTGGCTCAACATGGTACTTACAATGGCAATCTGAGGCAGAAATGAACTTCAGATCCCGCAATTCAGAAGATTTTAAGTGGTTCCTCTGGTTTCTAATTCGAAGCTTCGTGTATGGGTATGTTGTGTACCATGTTTTCCGCTTTCTGAAAAGAAAGGTTCCAAGACTTCTTGGCTATGGACCCTTCCGTCGAGATCCAAGCGTGCGGAAATTCTGGAGAGTGGTATGCAACTTTCCTTTTTTACCTATGTCTCTCTTTCCAATGCTCCCAGTTTTCAGTGAGCAGTAGCATTGCACATTTTAATTTGTTTTGCAGAAATCATACTTTACTTATCGAAGAAGGAGAATCAAGCAAAAGAGAAGGTCTGGAATTGACCCGATAAAAACTGCATTCGATAGAATGAAGAGAGTGAAAAATCCACCAATCCCATTAAAGAACTTTGCTAGTATTGAGTCTATGAGAGAAGAAATCAACGAGGTTGTGGCGTTTTTACAGAATCCAAAGGCATTTCAGGAGATGGGTGCCCGCGCACCTCGGGTATGTTGCTTTACGGTTGTATGCTTACCATGTAGGACAGTGTCCAATTCTAAGCGGCATTAATTCATAGGAAGTGCGTATTCACATTGCAGGGAGTCCTTATTGTGGGTGAGAGAGGAACAGGGAAAACGTCATTGGCGCTCGCTATAGCAGCCGAAGCAAGAGTGCCTGTTGTCAACGTTGAAGCTCAAGAGTTGGAGGCTGGACTATGGGTTGGTCAAAGTGCAGCAAATGTCAGGGAACTCTTTCAAACTGCAAGAGACTTGGTTAGCTGCTTTGCCCCAAATTGTTTTTATTGATTCATCATTTTTCACAGATATTAAGTAATGAGTTCTCATGATAATCAAGTTCCGAGTCTTATGTAACATCAGTTTAATGCCATCTCATGTTCTGATGTTTACTGTGATAACTAGGCACCTGTTATCATATTTGTGGAGGATTTTGACCTCTTCGCTGGTGTACGTGGGAAGTTCATACATACAAAACAGCAAGATCATGAATCTTTCATTAATCAGCTTCTTGTTGAACTTGATGGGTAAGAGCCATTTTCTTTGTTGATTATAAGTTAAAAACCAGATTTGTAGTATTCATACGGTTTCTCATAGTATCGCCTTTTAATGCAATAAGAACTGGTGCATTAGAATTTTCTGATGAGATTCAAGTTTATAATCTCTACGTGTGCAGATTTGAGAAACAGGATGGCGTAGTTTTGATGGCTACAACACGAAATCACAAGCAGATTGATGAGGCGTTAAGAAGGCCAGGTCGTATGGATAGAATATTCCATCTTCAAAGTCCAACTGAAATGGAAAGGGAGAGGATCTTACAAAATGCTGCAGAAGAAACCATGGACAGAGAACTCATTGATCTGGTGGATTGGCGTAAGGTGATTGTTTATTTGCGCTAGCGATTGTATATGTTATATTGCACCTTCAAAGTTTTGATGGGTCATATCTCTTTTGCTTGTGAGTGTTGTACACGTCATATTTCTTCTTTCTTGCTCTCTCCTATATCTCTTCCTAGTTCTGTATTATAAGTTCCACTATCTCGGTTAGTTAACAGTTCATTGTTACAGGTTTCAGAGAAGACATCTATATTACGACCGATAGAACTGAAACTTGTTCCAATGGCTCTCGAAAGTAGCGCCTTCAGGAGCAAATTTCTGGACACAGACGAACTTCTGAGTTACGTTAGCTGGTTTGCGGTAAGCAATCTGTCATCATCTTCGCCTTCTGTCAAACCATATTTGTCCATTTCCAAGTTTAGTTTCATTAGCATTCCTATTTCTTTCATGACAGACGTTTAGCCATATAGTGCCCTCATGGCTGCGGAAAACTAAAGTTGTGACGAAAATGGGCAAAATGCTTGTGAATCATCTTGGACTCAACTTAACCAAAGAAGATTTGGAGAATGTGGTTGATCTGATGGAACCATATGGACAGATAAGCAATGGAATAGAACTTTTGAATCCTCCTGTTGATTGGACGAGGGAGACAAAGTATCCACATGTTGTCTGGGCTGCTGGTCGTGCTCTCATCGCACTCCTAATACCAAACTTCGATGTCGTAGACAATCTATGGCTTGAGCCTAACTCCTGGGAAGGAATTGGGTGTACAAAAATCACCAAGGTCTCAAGTGGAGGCTCTGCAAGTGGGAATACGGAATCAAGATCGTATCTTGAAAAGAAGCTCGTTTTCTGCTTTGGATCTCACATTGCATCCCAAATGCTTCTTCCTCCCGGAGAAGAAAATTTTCTTTCATCAAAAGAAATAACACAAGCGCAAGAGGTAAAAACTCTTTCTACTCTTTTGCAGTATCCTGTTGTCTACATTCTTTATATTTCCTCGCCCTATGAATGATTATTATCTTCGGTATTCGACAGATTGCAACACGTATGGTGCTTCAGTACGGCTGGGGACCCGACGACAGTCCTGCAGTATACTATGCCACTAACGCGGTAACCGTCTTTCATATATTTGTCATTAGTAGTCCTTTACAAGATTGATTGATCTCTGAAACCACTGAATCAAAATGATTCGATCTTACCGTTTCAATTCATTCTGATGTCTCATCTGATCACTTCATTTATATTCTGTGTTTTTTATTTGGTTCAATTGAGCAGGTTTCAGCTTTGAGTATGGGCAACCATCATGAATATGAAATGGCTGGTAAAGTGGAAAAGGTTCGTTTTGCTCTCTAGTTTTCTTTCAGCTTTGCTTTTTTTCATTTGGTTCAAGCATAGTCCAAGGCTAAATGTAGAAATTCTCTGATGTCATCTACAGATTTATGACTTGGCGTACGAAAAGGCAAAGGGAATGCTCCTTAAAAACCGCCGTGTCCTGGAGAAAATCACTGAGGAGCTACTTGAATTTGAGATCTTGACTCAAAAGGTAAAATCTTGCACCATGTTGGAGCGATTGTGCAACTGAATATAAGAGTTAAGGATGTTCCAGACAATCTCTGCATAATCATTTTGTTTTTCCTCGTTTTGTTTGCAGGATCTTGAAAGACTTGTTCATGAGAATGGCGGGATTCGTGAGAAGGAACCTTTCTTTCTCTCTCGAACCAATTACAACGAGGCAAGTATTACAACCATCAATCCATATCATTGTATTTACTCCACGAATTCATCAGTAAATCGAAAACCCTTTTAAAAGACTTGTGATACAAGCTATCTTCTTTCTACTAATATCTCTTGTTTGGATGATTTTCTCATGTTGCAGCCATTGTCAAGGAGCTTCCTCGATGGCGGAGATTCGTCCGAAACTGTACTTCTTAGCGCACCAACCTAATAATCCACGAAGATGAATCCATACTTTGATGATAGAGTTTCTTAGCAGTGTCAGAGTAAATGTCTTGCTAGATTGCAATTTTTGTTCTTTGTGTTCACCAGATGAGGCACTTGAGCTTAGTTTAGTCTGCCAAGTTTGAGACTTGTAAGATTCATATTTATTCATATATATCTTCTCAACTATAAAATTAAATCAAAAATTTCTTGTCCTAATCTTCTATTATTCGACTATAGGTCACTGTTTCCACTAATTTAACATAAACACTATATAAACTTCTGTAAATCAAACTAGAGAGAGAGATCAAGTACATATAGCATAATGAAGTTTCCGATTTGTTTTATCAGCTGTCTATTTCTCAAAATGATGCAGTTTTGGGAAATTATAGTTTCCACGTGTCCGAGCTTTAGTGGTGAGAAGATATGTTGTCACTAAAAAGGCTTTTCAATTTTCATTGTCTACACGACGGCGGAGAAGGAAGAAAGAAGTTAAGAAACAGAAACAGAGCAACAAAAGCAATGACGGAATGAGAATCAAATTTCAAATCGATTTCAACGTTTATAAAAACCTGAGCTTTTTTTTCCTCTCGAGGAAAACTACTTCCATTAAATATTCCTCGGGAATAACGGTGGCAAACGTAAAGTAAACAGATCCGAGGAGAATCCAATGGTGAAACTCAACCGGAGTTTCTGGGTTCTCATTCTCTTCTCAATCGCAATTCTTTCAATCCAATTCAAGGGCTCGTTTGGATCCGAATCAACTAACGAAGCTTACGTCACACTTTTGTACGGAGATGAGTTCTTATTGGGAGTCAGGGTATTGGGGAAATCGATTCGAGACACTGGATCTAACAAAGATATGGTCGTTTTGGTCTCCGATGGCGTTTCCGACTACTCTAAGAAGCTTCTCAAGGTTTGCGGATTCTCATTTCTTCAACCTTTCTATTCCTGGAATCTTAAAGATCTAATTTTTTATAAAAAGTTTCCATTTTTCGTTACTTCATATGAGCTCACTCAATCCGATGTTGATATGTATTAAAGGATGGAGTTTGATCAAATGCAGGCTGATAAATGGAAAGTAGAGAAGATTAGTTTGTTAGCAAATCCAAACCAAGCTCATCCCAAGAGATTCTGGGGTGTTTATACAAAGCTTAAAATATTTAATATGACTGATTACAAGAAAGGTAAGTACTAATTACTAGTGTTATTGCAATCTTTTGAGTTTTTTTTTTCATGTTTTGCATTTGTGCACAGTTGTGTATCTGGATGCTGATACTATTGTGGTGAAGAACATCGAGGATCTGTTCAAGTGCTCCAAGTTTTGCGCCAACTTGAAGCACTCTGAGAGGCTAAACTCTGGAGTAATGGTCGTTGAGCCCTCTGAAGCTTTATTCAATGATATGATGCAACAAGTGAAGACCTTGTCGTCTTACACCGGTGGAGACCAAGGTTTCTTGAATTCGTATTATCCAGATTTCCCGAACGCTCGTGTTTTCGATCCGAGTTTGTCCCCTCAAGTCATGAAAACTAGACCGGTTCCTAAAATGGAGAGGCTCTCTACGTTGTACAACGCTGATGTTGGTCTTTATATGCTTGCTAACAAGGTACTTGCACAATTTCAAGTTTGTGTTTATGTTGATCTTGTTTTGAATTTAGAGATTATAAGATTCTCAATGATTTATGCAGTGGATGGTTGATGACAGCAAACTTCAAATTATTCACTACACTCTGGGCCCTCTTAAGCCTTGGGATTGGTGGACAGCATGGCTCGTTAAACCTGTTGATGTGTGGCATGTACGTCTTCTTCTTGTCCTCATTATTGATGGATTTTCTTAAGTTGAGTTTGACGTGGACAAGTGCAGAGCATTAGAGTAAGCCTTGAGGAGACTCTTCCTGGAACTGGAGGTGGAAAAACACCGAACGATGAATTCATCGTCAAGTTCCTTTTCTTGTTACCACTTTGTGGGCTTCTGTTCTGCCTTTATCGCTCCATACAGGTCAGAATTCTTCTTCTTCTTCTTCTTCTTGTACCTAACCGTTTCGCTAAATTCATCTCAGTTTCATATCCATCCTCTGTTTTTATGTTGCAGGGACGTGACTTGTTTGGTTCATTGAGCAGGAGCTCTGTATACAATCTATATTGCAAACTCAGATCTAATGGTTATAGTGGTTTATCGACATTGAATTCCAACTATCAAGTTAGTTTTCATTTCCAAATTGTTTCTTAAGCACATAATTTTACCATTTGACAGCCTTTATACTTTTCTGTTTGCTAAAAGGACTCAAATATTTGTCACCACAGCTCCACACTGGCTCAAACTCTAAGGTTCCTCAATACTTGGGGGCAGTTTCGGTTGTAGTCTGCTTTGTGGCCGTTTTGACATCCATTGGAGTCTCCTTTATGATTGTGCCAAGGCAAATCACGCCATGGACTGGCTTGATTTTGGTATATGAGTGGACATTTACAATCTTCTTGCTTTCGTATGGTGGCTTTCTACTTGTAATATACCAATATGGCAAGAAAATCGCAGTTGAAACAACAGAATCGTCAGTGGATGATTCAGGAAAAGGTAAGGACATATGGTGAAAATCTTGTTCCTTGTACATTCTGGATTTCTCACTAACTAACTAACTTGTTTGACAAACTAACAGTTCATCAGCGAGCAGATGCGTCTTGTGACTTTACTACATGGTATTATGGATTGGGGATGGTATTTTTGGCTTTTGCTGCCATTTCTCTGCCCTACCTTTTAGGTGTCACATCTTTATTTTTGAGGTAATTTTTCTTTCTTTCACATTGGTTGTGTCATTAGCATCAAGAACAAACCCCATAATTAGCTTATGTTCCTCCTTTGGTCTTTTCTTCAAGTTGATTGCATTTAGTTACCTGTAATTTTAAAGGGTGAATCAGGTTTCTAGGAATGTGTTGCTCAGTTTCATCATCATCACACTCTTTTTGTTCTTGAATTTGAGTGGATTAGGATCTGTCATATTGGTTTTAAGTACTAACTGGGCGGTTTATGTGACTACATTGAGCAGGTTGGGTCTGATGATAGCCGTAGCCATAGTTCTAGTTTCGTTTATGACTCATGCTTCAGAGCAACTTGCAATCAGATGGTTCCTCAAAGGTCTAGAAGACGGTGACACGACGAGATCAAAGTCTATCTGCTGACATCCAAATATGTGTCACAATGTAACGACCGGAAGTCATGAGTCTAACGTAAAAGAGTCATAGATGAGCAAATATTTGTTTTTGGTAATCTAATGAAATGCATTGATTTTTTTTTTTTTTTTTTTTTTAATTCATCCTAAGTCTTTTATCAATTAACCTATTTTTCCATAATCTTTTTTTTTTTTGTAAAAGATTAGTGTTACAACTACCAAAAATTCTCTAAAGTAAAATACAATCAATCACAATTGAAAAACAAGAGACACATATTTAAGTAACCAAGTAGCTCTTGGTCGTTCCCGACACGACCAAACTTTTTAGTTCAGCCTTTCCGTTTCCGACATTAATCGCTGACCTCACAAACTCCGGTCAAAAGCTATTAACGACGCCAATTGATTTTTGGCCAGCTGAAAATAAACCGATCCAGTTCCAAAATTGTGAATTCGGTTCGGTTCATTTTGGTTTAATCTGGTGTTTGTCTCTCTATCAAATTGTTGTGGAGTGGAGGAGGAAACCAGATATGGCGAATCTGCTAAGTTAATAAATATGCAAAATTTATCAGTTAATTTTAACGGTAATAATCGGATCGCTTGCTCATGGCGGCGAATCTGCTACAGCTCTCTTCTCCTTCTTCCTCGCGTTTAGCCGCTTGCGTCAGACGCAGATACTGTTTCACGAATCGCGAGATTGATCTCTTGCGCCGCGATTCCTTTGAGTGCCGCGCTTCCCGCGGTGGACGGTTCAGATTCCGTGCGGAGGAGGAGGAGCTCTTTCGCGACGGAGGCTTTAGTGGATTTGGGTTTGGGAACAGTAAGAAGAAGAAGAAGAGACCGTGGTGGCTCGACGACGATGACGATTATGATGATTTGATGAATGACGAAGATGACTGGAGTATGGTTTTTGAGGTATTGCTTAATTACAGAAAAAAGTTGCTCACTTTCCGATTTGTAATGCTTTTGATTAAAAAAGTTGGGATTTTTCCATCCAATTGTAGGTTTTTAAGACTATAAGCTGGATGCTTGCACCAATCGGCATATCTTTGCTTCTTGGAACAGATTCAAACGCTGGTTTAATGGCATTAGCAGTTCCTTTAGTGCAATCTCTGTTTTCACTTGTGGTGAATAAGGTCTTGAGCAGGCCAGGCATTAGACCTATGAGACGAAGCAGAAGAGATACATTTTCAAGAACAAGGAAAGCTAGGCGAGAAGAGTACATGGGTGGTGGTGTGGATAAGGGAGATTACAAGTCATGGATGGTAGGAGATGATGCTGATTCTAACAGCTTAGGTTCTATGTATGGAGGTTGGGATGATCTAGACAAGCTAAGGGAGATTAGAAATGACGAGGATGTTCGTCAAAAGCAACAGTTTAAAAGAAAAGCTAGTCCACGGTGGAGAGTTAAAGAGAAGCCATTGCTATTGAGGATGCTAATTGCTGCCTTCCCCTTTTTGAGTTCATGGACCAAATTGTTATATTGACAAGTTCTGTTTCTCTCTTCAGATGAAGGTTAGCTTTCAGTTACGTTGGAACTTAGAGTACAACTCTTACTTGTGATAACAATGCATATCCTGTAAGTTGAGAATATATGCTTGTCAGAGATTTGTGTTTCTATAAGTACAAAAGTGTAATGGTTCTTGTTTGTACAGCCTAAGTAGCATCTCAATTTTTGTTTCTTTTAATTAGCACCAATGATTGTTGATGGCGTACCAGATACTGCTATTGTTATTTAGTATGTTGCATCATCCTCTTCTACTTTATCTAGTCAGGGAGCAATATTGGTAGAATATATGCTTGGACATAGTTATATTATAACATTCAAATGGTTCTTTAGATTGTTTTTTTCTAAGTGATTGTAGCCAATGGCCTCATGATAAGAATCTTTGATAAAGACGTTTTCACGGAATAAAGAACAATATCGGTTTATTGGGAATCCTTAGGTTAGCAAGTTCCATTAGCAGGCAGCCTTATCTGTGATGAAATACGATACATATGAATTTGAAACGTATATTGGCACATTCCAATGCTTTAAGTCACATCTGAAAACATAATCTAGGAGGGGCATTGTACGTACTTTAAGCAATGTCTTTTTGTCTGAATATAGAGTCTTATATGCTTCTTGTTGATGAAGACTAACCCAAAACTAGAGAAAAGTTATAGAGAAGTAGGAGGATCGAACTTGTAGTGCTTGTCGATGAAGAGTGATACGTCCCAAGTGCAGCTAAGTCCTTTGGGGATGGTCACAAGGTCTCCTGCACCAAACTCTACAAACTCTGATGACCCTTTTGGATACACCTTAACCTTTCCCTTCACCAAATAGCATGTCTCTGTTTCTTCAAATACCAATGCATATTTCCCCGGCTGACATGACCATCTATTCATCAGAGACCATGACATCATGTTACTACCAGTAAAATGAGGAATTGGAAGAAAAAAAAGTGAAAGTCTATATGGTTAGTAGTAGTGTTAGGAAGAGAGCATGTTCATGTTTTGATACTTACTTAGGCCATGACATGACTCCAAGGTCAGATAACTTTATGCTTGAAGGGTTGTGTTCGATTATGATACTCATTCTGGAAGAGGAACTGATGGTTCAATGCTATTAGATAGAAGAGAAAGAAGCAGAGAGAAACAAAAGATAGGAAGAAAGTAGGTTTGTGAGATGTATTTATATGGTGAAAGGACAGAGTAGTTGGTTTGGATGTGTATATATAAACAGGTCTAGTATGAATAAAGTGACTTCTTCTTTTTGCCATTGTATTGAAAAGGATAAATAGGAGAGAGGAATCTTTTAAAGAAACACTTTGACTCAGAATGGATACAAAACGAAGTCAACTAATACATCCATTAAGCTGCATTGTTTTTGTTTTGGATAGTCATTCTTTTTCTATCAGTTTAATCTGATTAAGATTGTTTCTCTAGAAAGGCAAGTTGCTTGTTTGGTCTATCAACAAGCTTTTAATGATCAAATCTAGACCGAGTCTCAAACCATATGGACCCCTTGTGTTTTACAACAAGTAATAGATGACTGTTGTGGGATGATTATTAGCAGGTAACATCTGTACACTTGTTGTATGGTTTTTATTTTTAGTTTCGAGAATGTTTGACTGATTCTTGAGTGGAAGATACGTGATAAAACCGGACATTGATTTGTGTAGCCCACCTCTAGTTTGGCTGCATTCTCAACTGGCTCTGTTTGTTTTCTTATTCAGATATGTCATAGCATGTGGGGGATTAGTAATTTAGTGTATCTTCTTAACATTTACTATAATATGTATACATTCACATATTTATAGAGAAACTCGCTAGTCTTTGCAAATTTTTTTGTTGTCTTTCAGATAAATGTAATATGAATTGAAAACAAAACATCCGTGTGAACATCCTAATGAATTTGGAAGCAATGTCTTGCTTTGATTTGGTCTGATCATTCACACGTTGAAAACCTTTGTTCTGGTTACTTGTTGCCTCCTCTTTTAATCTCACATCTCCACGGTAGTTTATTATAGAAAAGCTCGACTTGCATCTCGTGTTATCGGAGAAATCATGGCTACCGGGATTAGACAAGACTATATAATATGCAAGAAACTCGTGCAATCGAATACAATGATCTTCCTCCTTATTTAAAAATTAAAAGACCAAATCAAGTCTTAAAGATTAGACAAAGACTATATAATATGCAAGAAACTCGTGCATGGTATTAAATAATAATCAGAAGATTATTGATACAGTCAATCAGTTATACATTTAAACAAACAAACAAAAACACAAGTTGAGAAAAAGAAGCCAATATATAAAAGAAAAATATAAGCAAAACATAAGCAAAAAATAAGTAAAACAAAAGTAAAAAGAAAAACAAAATTAATAAAAACTATGGATGATTAGTATGGGGGAAGAAGATCGGATACATCTCTGTGAATTTCGAAAGTATAAGGAGGACTTAGTCTCGTGGCAAAGTGAACCATCATCTTAAACTAGTGAATAATAACAGTGCTTCCTGAATTATGTGATCCCGCAGAAGCCGATGGTTCAACGATGGCTGATCCGTCAAACGGAAACAGTCAATGACGTCTCCGTCGGGACTCTGGATGCTCATGACCGGTGGTGTCTTGTAAGAGCTGCAATTTAAGCATGATGAAACAAGAAGGAAAATAAGAAGTTACTCATTTTCAATAAGAAGTTACTCATTTTCAAGATTATATAATATGCAAGAAACTCGTGCATGCTAGTAATCAGAAGATTATTGATACAGTTAATCAATTATACATTTAAACGAAACAAAACAAAGGTTGAGAAAAAGAAGCAAGGATATTAAAAAATATATAAGCAAAATATAAGCAAAAAATAAGCAAAATAAAAGTAAGTAAATAAATAAATAAAAACTATGGATATCAATTTAAAATTAAAATATTTTGATTTTTTGAACTATTTATAGCAACACATGTTTTTATAGACTGAAATTTTAATTACGGAATTAAGATAATTAAAGTAAATGTATTAATGTTTATAGTACAAATGCATACCCCATTCTTCGTTGTGAACCTTCAATGCGTTGTAATATGTAGCGTTGCGAGTCTGTAGAATAAAATTCCCGACTGGTAGAAGATGGTAAAGATAGTCTATGATCCGAAGGTTGCGTAAGCCGCCCCACAAAACGTATGGGAGGGGGGAGGGGGGAGGTGGGGGGAGAAGATGATCGGATACATCTCTGTGAATTTCGAAAATATAAGGAGGACTTAATCTCGTGCCTCTTATATCAATTTAAAATTTAAATATTTTTGATTTTTTGAACTATTAATAGTAACACATGCTTTTACAGACTGAAATTCTAATTACAGATTTAAAATAATTAAAGTAAATGTGTTAATGTCCATAGTACAAATGCATACCCAATCCTTGCTGTGAATCTTCAATGTGTTATGTGCCTGATTGGTTGTGGCTGTAGCTTTGAATTTTTTACTTTAAAATTTATGTTGTAGAATTTTTGGCTGTGATTATAGATTTTAATGTTGTAAGATTTTTTATTGTAGATTATGGCATTAAATATAGCATTAAAACAAAAAAAATAAGATATAGAAATAATAGATTAAAAAATAAATGTTGAAAAAATAATAAGGAAAGAGAAAAGAGAAAATTCTAAGAGCACTTAATTTTGTGCTCTAGAAAAATTGATTTCCAAAGCCACGGAATTTCCATAAACAAAAAAAATTGTTAGCCATATCAAAAATGGAAAGAGATAAAATGAAAGTTTGATTGGTAATTTTTAATTGTTGTACAGAGATTTAGTGCTCTGAAGAGCAACCACAACTCCTACCAATCATCCCATAATCTGTGTTAAAAGAAACGCCACTTTTTGTGAAACATGGGAACAAAAAGCGCTCATCGGCGGCAGACCGAGCAATTAATGAAGATCGGAGGTGAATGAATTGTTGACCCATGTCAACATACTTTTACGAAAAGCAGCGTGCAATATCTTTAATTGCCTGGGCCTAGTTGCCAATTTTTATTTAAACTGGCCCAATAAATCCTTATATGACGTCGTTTTTGACAAAGAAATTATGGACCAAGAGAAGTGTAGTAAAATAGAATTGGGCATTTTTATATTAAGCACAAACCTCAAATCCTTTTATAATAGATGTGAATTGGCAAAATAATAGAATGTTTTGGAATATGATCATGTTGATTCAATATGTGTTATTGAGCTACATATATGAAAATATTTGAAAAATATATAAAATATAGTTAAAATTTTATCCCCATTTAATCCATGTTGTAAAAGAAATTTCAAATCCCAACCCTACTATACGATTAACGATTACAGATGATGTTTTGAAAATAGGTTATAATACTTAGAGTTGTGATTTGTGAGTCTGCAGAATAAAATTCCCGACTGGTAGGAGATGGTAGAGATAATCGATGATACCATGTTTGTGCGGTGTGACGTTGTTGTTTTGTGTAGAAAATTTAAACCCTAAATCCGAACCCGACAAAAAACCCTAATCAAAAAATTTAAAAACCCAAACTTTTTTAATAGGTCTAAACATGAAAATCCGAAATCAAAAAAATCCCGAAAACCCTGACTGAACAAAAAAAATCTGGAAACTTTTTCACCCGGAACCCGACCCCAATACCTAATCAAAATTTTAAAATACTCAATTTTTTTAATATATCTAAACCCGAAAACCAGAAATCTAAAAAATCCGGAAAACCCTAAACTGAAAAAAAAATTGAACCTAACCCGAACAGAAATTTTCAAAGAAACCCGAACAATTTCTATATCTCTATATATATCTCTATAAAATTATGTCTCAGATTTTCACCCAAACCCGAACTTGTCTATAAAAACCCGAAAATCCAAAAAGCATATTCTATTGATTTGGAATTATCGTTAGATTATGTTAAGTTTTTTTTTTGCAGATTTTTAAGAGATGGAAAACGGAAGTTTTCTAAACCATCGGTTTATTTTAAGTTATTATTCTTGTATCCAAACAATTTTTTCCATTTATTCTTCTATCCAAATAGATTTTTCTCTTATTCTTATATCCAAACAACTTTTGTTTCCATTTATTCTTCTATCCAAATAGATGTTTCTCTAATTCTTGTATCCAAACATTAGAATGTACTTCTCAATTAATAATATAAAGATACCATGGAATAAAAAACTAGCTTTCACCATATGTTTTCTTAATTTCAAAAATCACAATTGAACCGATCTGAACGGAAGTCAACCGAACCAAACTATTAGAAATATACAATCAATATGATTGATATGTGATAGTCAATAATCGTGATATGATTGCCTTCATCATCGGCTCATATCATTCTTCTTTATGTGTAAAAATTGTCTTTCCTTAGTTTACACCATAGCCTTCTTGTATAAATGTAAAGCTCTCAAGTGTAATACAAATCATCTCAATACATAATATTCTCTCTTCTCTATATGGTATCAGAGCAGGCTATCGATACCTAGCTCAAAACTCCTCTTTTCTTCTTCCTTCTTCTCGTTTTTCTCCTCTTTTTTTTTTCTTTTTTTTTTCTGCTCAAAAATAACTTCTCCACCAACTAACAATGGTGTCGCTGATCCCACCCTTCAAACCCCCACTGTGCAAGGCTCTCTTCTTCATGTTAACATGACCAATGTTACCAAGTTGAATGCCACAAACTATATCATGTGGAGTCGCCAAGTTCACGCTCTCTTTGACGGGTACGAACTGGCTCACTTTCTCGATGGTTCCAAACCATCGCCAGATCCAACCATCACTATTAACGGATCTGCCACTGACAATCCAGCTCACGCTCTCCACAAGCGACAGGATAAGCTCCTCTATAGCGCCATTCTCGGTGCTATCTCCCTCTCCATCCAGCCCATTCTCTCAAAAGCAACGACCACAACTGAAATCTGGGACACACTCGCTTCCACATACGCGAAACCCAGTCCTGGTCACATTAAGCAGTTGAAACATCAACTCAAACAATGGAGAAAAGGAACCAAAACAGTGGATGAGTACCTTCAAGGGCTTATCACACGTTTTGATCAACTCGCGCTTCTCGGCAAAGTCATTGATCTTGAAGATCAAATTGAGTTTGTTCTCGAAGGTCTGCCGGAGGATTACAAATCCGTCATTGATCAGGTTGAAGGACGTGATGCACCTCCAACGCTCACAGAGTTGCATGAAAAACTCATCAACCATGAAGCCAAGCTCATCACCTCTGAACCAGCTCAATCGCTTCCTGTTTCTGCCAATGTTGTCACCAACCGCTTCAAGCCACACCACAAGAACAACAATCGCAATCAGTCTTGGCAGCAACAAACAAACACCAACAACACCACATGGCAGCCACGTCCTTACCTTGGAAAGTGTCAAATTTGCGGTGTTCAAGGACACAGCGCTCGTCGTTGCCCACAACTTTCCCGACAGAACACTGGTGTTCTCCCATCTCCTCAGCCGTGGCAGCCAAGAGCAAATTACTTAGCCAGTGGTTCTCAAGTGACCCCACCGTGGCTTCTAGACTCCGGTGCTACACATCATGTTACTTCTGATCTCGCAAACCTTGCGTTGCACCAGCCTTACACCGGAGGTGAAGAAGTCATTATCGGCGATGGAAATGGTTTGGCCATTACAAACACTGGTTCCACATTCTAACCTTCCTCTCAACGTCCATTATCTTTGAATAATGTGCTTTGTCTTTCCTTAGTTTACACCATAGCCTTCTTGTATAAATGTAAAGCTCTCAAGTGTAATACAAATCATCTCAAATCATCACCAAACCCTACAAATCGGTTCAAGTTCAGGGCTTCAAGTTTTCGTTAACATGAAGACACTTCTACTTGAGATTTTATAATCCTACCACAATTGAGAATTGATTTGTGTTTGCATCCGTGTTTTTGTCACACCTGACAATTAATTACTTACAAGTAAACAGTATAATCACTTAATCAGGTTGCTGTCTTTCATTTTTTTCTTTGAAGCAAGTTGCTGTCGTTGATGATTCGTGAGATAGAAAAAGATTGAGATTCTGAAAGAATGAGTAAGAAAAAATTTAGAAATTTTTGTTATGTGAGAGTATAAAATCAGACTTTAGACCAGCTAGGTAATATTTTAACATCACGTTGTCGTTTGCCTTAGCTCCTCGACACGAACGAAGATAAAAAATGGTAAAAATGATAAAAAAAATTGTTAATCACAAAAAGATATTGATAGTTAAGTTTTACGTTTTTTTAACATAAAACTCTAAAAAAAAATTGTTTTAATAAATAAAAACACTGGGGCAAAAGGCGTTGAAATGTCCGCTATAATAAAAGTGGGTCCCCCAATGCCTCGTTGTGAGCCTTAATCATGGCGTTGTAACTTGTAACAATATTTGACTGTATATAATTTACATATTTGCTTAAGTTGACCTTAAATGTACATTTTTTAACATTTATAAAAACTATAGCAAGAGAAAATCAACACAAGTATCGAAATGGTTTTGGAAGTAAATATTACGTGTCCAATTCCAAGGTTTCTATGGTAATACTTATTCAAATCATATTGACCTAAAATATGATGTTGACAAAATCTTTATATGATAAAAAGATACTGAGATTATTTGGAAATAAAAATAATGGGATTTGTGTGTTGACTTCCAAGATTCCTATAAATAAAGCTTTTTAAAAAATTATCTAAACACCTCAATACCAAATTGTTTTCTTCAGTCCGCTTTCTACCAAAAAGAAAAAAGAAAAAAGAAAAAATGGGCTTCAGTTTCACAAAAACAATTGTGACTCTTTTTCTTGTAGTTTTATTGGCTGTTTCGGTTCCCATCCAAAACGTTTTGGCATCAGGTATTGTTTTAATTTTTTTATTGCAACTCTATGCATAATAATTAGATTAAACGATATTTGTGTATATATGTGCAGAGATCAAAGCAAAGAATGGCTTAACATGTTTTGCTACATGTAAAGATTCATATACACAGTATGAGTGCACTGTGGACTGTGTAACAAAAGGGTTCGCGACAGGAGATTGTTTTTCTCCGTCTCCTTCACAACCTGAACCTAAAAGATGTTGCTGTTATTGATTAAAAATGATGTTCTAGTCTTCTTTTATGTTTATCTTAAATCATGAGAAGAATGTAGTTTCTCTTGTATTAAAAAATACCATGGAATAAAAAACTAGCTTTCACCATATGTTTTCTTAATTTCAAAAATCACAATTGAACCGATCTGAACGGAAGTCAACCGAACCAAACCCTACAAATCGGTTCAAGTTCAGGGCTTCAATTTTTCATTAACATGAAGACACTTCTACTTGAGATTTTATAATCCTACCACAATTGCGAATTGATTTGTGTTTGCATCCGTGTTTTTGTCACACCTGACAATTAATTACTTACAAGTAAACAGTATAATCACTTAATCGGGTTGCTGTCTTTCATTTTTTTTCTCTTTGAAGCAAGTTGCTGTCGTTGATGATTCGTCAGATAGAAAAAGATTGAGATTCTGAAAGAATGAGTAATAAAAGATTTAATTTTTTTTTTGTTATGTGAGAGTATAAAATCAGACTTTAGACCAGCTAGGTAATATTTTACCGTTTGCCTTAACTCCTCGACACGAACGAGTCTTGTATTAGAAACGTCGCTGCTAAGTAAGAGTGGTCCACGTTTTAATCAAAACAAACCCAAATCGAACAGATTTAAACCAAAGTTAACCAAATTAAACACCACATATCGATTTCATCCAATCTATCGATTTTTAGTTCAGGGTTTTATCAAACAACAATATTTGAGATAGAAACTAACAAGTTGTGAATATGAAGCTGAATATACTAGAAGGAAACTATGGACACAAAACGTTATATCCCGGTCCGCCATAGTAGAAATGCGTTCCCCATTGCTCGTTGTGAACCTTCAGCGCGTTGTAACATGTGGCGTTGCTAGTCTGCAGGATAAAATCCCCGACTGGTAGGAGATGGTACTGATGATCTATAATCCGTAGGTCGCCGAAGAAAGCCGCTTTCCCAAAGCCTTCTTCCGCGAAATGTCCCGAACCCATCTGGGTGGTGGTATGCTGGCCGTAGCTCCTGGTATCTCTGACCTCTCCACCCCACTGGACGAACGTCGCGGGACCGTCAGACAGATGTGTAAATAGCTTGGATGGCCAATACCCGACGAAGGATTGGCCAATGCCGAGCCACCAATTGCCATCCTCTGGATCCTACAATTTTCAAAAACCAGACATAAGCAAGAGACCAAATGGGAACGAATTTAAACAGAATTATGTCGATTATTATTCAAAACTGTTATATGACTATATCTATCTACTATATATCCTAATCTCAGTAAGTTAAGTATTTGTATGTGTAACTCTAAAACACGATTGAACTAAGCCGAGTAAACCCTATTTATTCAAATCGTTCTCAAATGTTCTACGTGATTTTAGCATGTACTAATCAATATTGTATTCATACCTTCCATATCGACATTTTAATGTCGAACTGGTTGCCGCCGTATGAAGAAAATACAAATGCCGCTCCGACTGTATAGTTGCTGGGGACCTGAACAAAGCCAGCGCAATCCAGGTTTAGACAGCCTGTGTTTCGGTACGAGTCCCTCTGCGAAAACCAATGCACACATTCGTTAGTAAATTATATCACCAAAGTTCTGTTCGTTAATGTTTTAATTATATTTATATATAAGTAATATAACTATATATATATGTCTGTTAATATTGAACTATATGTATGATAATTATGTGCGTGTTGATTTTTCTAGACCAAACGTTTACTTTAACGAGTTTAAATCACTGCAAAGTTATAATAAAAAAAAAAAAGGTTTACGTACCGTCCAAGAAACAAAAAGATGTGGTTGGCTGTCGTGATAATGTTCCGGGAAGACCTGAAACAAATCGTTGATGATTTAATGATTTATTCATTTTTTCATAAAAATGTTGATGATGTAAAAGAAAGGAAAAAAAAAAGAGAGAGAAAATTTGGACAAATATTCTACTATGAGATTTTTATTTGAAAAATATTCTTGGTTTTTTTTTTTTTTTTGAAAACTACACTTTTCTAAAATAAAATGACAAAATTGTCCTAATACTGTATAAAGTTCTGAATTAAATTAATTGTAACAAAATTTATACTATTATACATACAAATAAATGAGTTGTGCTTGTGAACTTCTCTCGTTAATATTAAAGAACTATTTAAACCACCAATTAAATAGTCACGAACTTCTCTAACAATTGATATACGCTTCGGTGAGCATTTTTAATGCTCTACACCAAGTACATCATAGATTATCACATATTCACATGTGACATAATAATACAGTTAGTCACGTAAAGAGCTTTGGTCAAAGAAGGGAAATACCGAGGGAGATGTTCTTATTCCTTTCTTACTAATACGATTTTATTTTGCAAGGTAACTAAAAATTCATTTATCTCGTAGCCAAAAAATATACACAAAATGTTCAGAACTTCAGATCAAACGTGCACAAACTACATATATTACATTAAGTGAAAACAAAACCTTTAACATAAGTAGGTAACTATCAATAGATAGCCATGTTTGTACTACTATGGTCAATGGTTTGTGTCACAAAATATTTTGTTTATATGAGGCTTCAAAAATAATTAAATTTGTTTAAAGATAAACTTTAAAATAGAAGATAGATGATTTATCCACTTTTAAAATTTGATTATAAATAATTAGCATATTATTGATAGTAATAGTTTCGAATTTCATTTTAAATTTATTATTATCTATTAATATTGTACTTTGTTTAAATCAGGTCAGCAAAGTCTTTATACATATTAAAAAGTGTAGATTTCAAAAAAAGAAAAAAACTAGTGTATTTTCCAAATATTAATTCATAAATAAGGCATTATGCCAATTCTTTTTTTGTTAAAGCATTATGCCAATTCCCCAAAAAAAAATTAACAGTTGCAAAGATTACTTAAATTGTATAAGTTGACATAAAATTTAATTAAAGAAATATAAAAGGAGAAACTAGTGAAGAATGTACCTGCCATCCAGCCGCCACCGTGTTCAGATCGTTTCCTTCGTAGTTTCCGGCGACGAGCAAGATCTGAGACTGGCTAAACTCGCCTGTTCCTGCTTCTACAACGGGATCCCATATGCTCATCGTTGCCATCGTTCCATAAATCCCTCGTCGATATCCAGTATACCCAATCGCGTACTGAAACAAGTCAAATTAAGTCAAAAGTTCTAAAACAAAAAAAAAGGGTCTGATAATATTTTGTTATTACTTCACCTGATGATATTTACAATGATTTACATCTAACTCCGTTTTGTGACAGTTTATAACATACGCAGAAATGGGGTACACGTATAGAACAAGCACGAGAGTGAGACAGAGAAGGAAAAAAGACGTAGAAGAAGAAATCATGTTGGAGTTCAAGTTCGAGAAAAAAGACGAAGAAAAGAAGAAGGTGGAGATGGTGGTGGTGAACAAGATGACAAAACTTTAGGAAAATGACTTTATTGATTATGTTTCGGATGATTTACAACATTAGCATTAAGGCTCCTTATATAGGGCTCAATGGATCCTTTTAGGTTATCTTAGCCTAATCCTTTCCTTAGGTTAAGGAACAGCTGTAAAGCTAACTCTACCATGGTTAATTAACCTCAAGAGCATCATATTTGTTATGCAGTATTAACGGCTCTTTTCCTCTTTCTATTTCAGGTTTATATTGAAGAATATTTCCCTTTCCCAGTCTCCTTCTATAATGGTTTACTAGTAGAGTACCCGCACGTTTGTGCGGTGTGACGTTGTTGTTTTGTGTAGAAAATTTAAACCCTAAATCCGAACCCGACAAAAAACCCTAATCAAAAAATTTAAAAACCCAAACTTTTTTAATAGGTCTAAACATGAAAATCCGAAATCAAAAAAATCCCGAAAACCCTGACTGAACAAAAAAAATCTGGAAACTTTTTCACCCGGAACCCGACCCCAATACCTAATCAAAATTTTAAAATACTCAATTTTTTAATATATCTAAACCCGAAAACCAGAAATCTAAAAAATCCGGAAAACCCTAAACTGAAAAAAAAAATTGAACCTAACCCGAACAGAAATTTTCAAAGAAACCCGAACAATTTCTATATTCTCTATAAAATTATGTCTCAGATTTTCACCCAAACCCGAACTTGTCTATAAAAACCCGAAAATCCAAAAAGCATATTCTATTGATTTGGAATTATCGTTAGATTATGTTAAGTTTTTTTTTTGCAGATTTTTAAGAGATGGAAAACGGAAGTTTTCTAAACCATCGGTTTATTTTAAGTTATTATTCTTGTATCCAAACAATTTTTTCCATTTATTCTTCTATCCAAATAGATTTTTCTCTTATTCTTATATCCAAACAACTTTTGTTTCCATTTATTCTTCTATCCAAATAGATGTTTCTCTAATTCTTGTATCCAAACATTAGAATGTACTTCTCAATTAATAATATAAAGATTCAGTGCACACTTTAAAAAATAACATTTAGTTTAAACGATTACAAGATTGTAAAGGTGCATAACAAAGAGAGTTTGGAAACAGAATGCATACAAATTTTGAAACGTATATAAAGCACATATCGTTATCAAAGTTCTCTCTTCGTATCAGATAACAAACCGATTTGAATAAAATCTTGGTTTTCGGATTTATTAGCAGATAGAAAAATATTGACATTCAAATATATAATATGTAATTTTGTACATATTTTAGCTAGATTACGTAGTAAGAATTAGTTAGGTTTGCATATTTTAAAATCTTTGTTCTAGTTAGGTTTGCACCCCACACACAAAAGTTAGGTTACTACTATTTTGGGTCTGTGAACTTTGTTCGTATGGGCTTCAACTGCTTTTTCCAAATTTGGGCTTGTTATAATTTAGTCGTTTAATTTTGTGTTCGTCTGAATACTGGGATGGTTAAATTTTCGTTTACGGATGGTTAAACTTTAACAGAAGAAATATCTGAGACCTTGAGATGGTTAAACTTTCGTTTACGGATGGACACCATGTGATTTTATTTTTACTGTATCCGCTTTCAAATTAATATAAACTAGTAGAGTACCCGCACGTTTGTGCGGTGTGACGTTGTTGTTTTGTGTAGAAAATTTAAACCCTAAATCCGAACCCGACAAAAAACCCTAATCAAAAAATTTAAAAACCCAAACTTTTTTAATAGGTCTAAACATGAAAATCCGAAATCAAAAAAATCCCGAAAACCCTGACTGAACAAAAAAAATCTGGAAACTTTTTCACCCGGAACCCGACCCCAATACCTAATCAAAATTTTAAAATACTCAATTTTTTTAATATATCTAAACCCGAAAACCAGAAATCTAAAAAATCCGGAAAACCCTAAACTGAAAAAAAAAATTGAACCTAACCCGAACAGAAATTTTCAAAGAAACCCGAACAATTTCTATATCTCTATATATATCTCTATAAAATTATGTCTCAGATTTTCACCCAAACCCGAACTTGTCTATAAAAACCCGAAAATCCAAAAAGCATATTCTATTGATTTGGAATTATCGTTAGATTATGTTAAGTTTTTTTTTTGCAGATTTTTAAGAGATGGAAAACGGAAGTTTTCTAAACCATCGGTTTATTTTAAGTTATTATTCTTGTATCCAAACAATTTTTTCCATTTATTCTTCTATCCAAATAGATTTTTCTCTTATTCTTATATCCAAACAACTTTTGTTTCCATTTATTCTTCTATCCAAATAGATGTTTCTCTAATTCTTGTATCCAAACATTAGAATGTACTTCTCAATTAATAATATAAAGATTTATAATTCTCCAGTGTAAATAAAGTAATACTCCCTCTGTTTCAATATATAAGGGGTTTTAGAGTTTTGTTTTTGTTTCAAAATATAGGGAGAATTGGCAATTTACCCCAAATTGAAACTATTATTGTCCCACTACACCTTTTTTGACTTTGGTCTTTTTTGGTCATGTTTGCCCGTCAATTTATTTATAAACTCATACTAAATATTTTTTGAAGTAAAAAAAAATGTCATAATTCCTAAAAATGATTTCATCACTGTGTAAAATATTTGAACATTTTTGAAAATGTTTATGATATTTAAAAAAATATTTCAAGTTTCATTCTACAAAACTAAAATAACAAAGTAGAATATGTTGACTACAAGATATTCAGAGGTCTAACCTCCGTAGAACATAATGTCTACAACTTATTCATACCTTTGCATGATGTAGAAGTTGATATCTACCTACTCTTATAGGCTCTGCCATTTTGTAGAATTCGCACCAAATGTATTCTACTCAATCAAGTATCTTATATTACTTGTAGATTTTATGTTCTACGCGAAACATTGCTGTCTAGAAGAAATAGTATTCGTATTCTACGTTTTTTGTCTAATCTACATCCCGCAGAAGTAGTGTTCTACTTAAACCATGTTCTCTACGATCGTGTTTCTAGTACACAATCTAGCAAAACTAGTGTCGTCTACGGTTTTGTTGAATTCATCTTCTACGAAAATCGAGAAAATATTGCTACGGTTTCAAATCTTTTTTTCCTTTTCTTCCTCCAACTATCCCAAATCTGGACTTCGGAGGAGAGCAGAGATGGTGGAGAAGGAGAAAACAACGAAAATGGGGATTAGGTTTTCGATCGCCTATGGCGCCGTCGTGAGAGAAGGAGAGAAGGAGAGATTAAGTTTTGTTTTTTTTCGGTTTATTTTTTGAAGGGCAAAACTGAGAAAAGTGTTAAAAAAAAGGTATTAGGACAAAGTGGAAATGGGAAGGTGTAGTGGGACAAATGAAGTTTCAATTTGGGGTAAATTGCCAATTCTCCCCAAAATATAAGGGGTTGTGCAAAAGTAAATGTGTTTTTATTACTTTTAATTATTTATATTCTTTAGATTTCTTTTTCATTGGTTGAAATGTTTCGAAATTGATGATAAAATATATTTTATTTCAAAAAGTACAAAAATTAAATGAATTCTTAATCTGTGTGCAAAAACCTTAAACCCCTTATATATTGAAACAGAGGGAGTAATAAATAGCCGGTGAAGGTTGGTTTGAGATGACATTTACCTTTTTTATTATGTTTTCTTCAAAAATCAGAAAACATGATCCAGTTGGACAGGGTAGCTTCAAGGTTCATCATGTTAATTTAAGACGTGAGCTGGTTGAGTTGGTAGATCTCTTAATTTCACTTGTATCTCTCTCTCCAATAACTTTTTTTTTAAAATAATTTTTTTTTAAAATTACATATGAAAAAACAAGACAAAAGAAAAGTCTTACTGATTCGTAGGATTTAGTCTGAATTATTGGCCACTTATGCATGGTATTTTCCTTACCCAATTCGTTCATTTTTTATGCACTAACAAACGTAAGGTATATAGTTATTACAACAAAGAGAAAAGCTATAGCGATCCGCGCACTTCAAGAATAAAGCATGGGAGAAATCAAAGAGGAATGCTTTATTAAATTATTAATGGTTTTCATTGTCATTAGGGTTCTTTTATTCACTGGATGCTTTATTTTTATATATTCACGAATCTAACTTCATTGTTTTGATGGAATGAGCTTGTCATGGTCTATTAATAGCTCATTGCAGTCTATTTAGATGTGATCCAGCCACCATCTTAATACAATTCACTTTTCTAAATATTAATATAATTTTGAGATAAAATCATGTATAACCCACCACATAAAAAACAAGAAGAGAGACTATCAAATATTTCACATATATCAACCAATTAGTGGGACATGTGGTCCACATGGATGGTCATACAATTTAGTCTCGTTGGAGTCTCATCTCAATTTGAGATTAGGGTAAACACAAAAATGAAGACAAGAACAACAAAGGTTAAACAGAACCAATTAGCAACTGTAACATTGTAGTTTCTCGCATATTACATATATATAAATTGTCGAAATCTACAACACGTTTTCGTTGGATGCACATACTTTATCATTTCAAAAATTACATAATGGGTGTATAAGTATAACCCATTCAATCAAATTTCAATGGTTTCGAAATAATTCCATTTTAGGAGAAGAAACAATAGTACCATTTCTAACATTTATTACATCCAAACAACAAACTAGACCAATTTTTATGGTGTATCAGTTGGCAGCCTCTATTAATGTCTCTCTCGTCTT